AATTTCAACTAATATTTCTCTGTATTATTGATTCTTCGAAAAATTGATATGATAGTGAAAAATTCAGTAAAATCGAAGTGATAGTAGGTTGAGTACCAAGCAACGCGTATTTGGCTGAAATTTTCGACCTCAAAAGGTCGCGTGTTTAGCCCAGTTAGCCGTGTATTTGTATTGAAATCGGAAGTAAATCTTATTTACCCCATAAATATGGCTAACCTTAGAGACACAAAAGTACCTGGATTTTTATTTAATATTTCATCATATACACGGAAACATTGTGGAAGATATCCGCCCAGGAAGATCGCCCTCTAAATGAGCGCCTTGTATATTTTTTCTTTGAGAAATCTTTGAACTAATCTGCTTTTAGTCAGATGCCAAAGTATTCGTGTTCATGATGAGTTCCATGGTTCTCATCTTGCTCCTTACTTTTCAGGTTTGACGGTTTCGAAGCCTTAAAAAAAGATATCTTTGAAATAGAAAAGATACTCCTAGATTAAGGGTACACCCTTTACTTTCTTTGAAAAGACTGTTTACTAAACAGAGGTGCAATAAATCTTATCAGACATCTATCTTACTCCTGAACAACGAAACCGGTCAGTTTGATCCACTTGATCACATTTTGAAGATTTGAGCTCTAATTCTGACTAAGTGGCTAACTGCGCCAGGAAAGAATATACCGCCTGGGCGATTGAACGGCCGACAGGCACTTGGTCTTGTTTGACAGAAATCATCGCCCGCTCTTTCTGTCCCTGGTTCTAGCGCACTTTGTCAAGATGAATGGTCTCCCACGGCGTCATCCGGACTAAACAACTTCTGACTCTTTTGCAATGTGAAATCGCAGGAGCTGCTTTGCAGGGGAGCTGATCAACAAATGCCTTTGATCACGGCGGAAATTATCGGAACCTGTCACCAAAGTGCTCCGGCGCCTTTCATCTTTTGAGGTGGGGTGCAGCAAATAACCCTTGACCGATAGAGTGATTTCATGCAAGGCTCCGGGACTTGACAGTTAGTGGTTTAGAAGTGAGACAGATCGTTTTTAAAAAATCGTATTTTCACGAATAAGAAATGCTCTCTTGAAACCTAGCCTTTCAAAAATTCTGTGATTCTAAAGGAGAAGCACAGATTTTGGAGTTTTTGAGAGGATTAATTTGAAATCGGATGTTTCTAGTTATAACTTATAAGCCAATGTTTTGATTTCCCGTTTTTGGCTTTTCAGAGCCTGGGAAAATGAAAAGTTTTTATACAAGTTGAGATGTTCACGGTCGATTGACAAAAGCTCGAAATCACCAACGTCCTGGCTCATCTTTTGAAGAGCATCCGCGAATAGGAGCTTATTCAAGTCTGAAGTCACGTGGGAGTCATTCCGCTCCCGGAAAGTGCTGCCAGAGCGGAAGTTAAAATGCATTCTCCTTCCATGTAAGAATGTCCGGGCGTAATCGTAACGCGCATAATTAATGCTTCATTCTTTCTTTTTTAAGTTTGAAAGTGAAACCCCGACAAATATTTAATACACGGCCAGGGCAATGGGTCGCTTGTTTGAATCTCATTATAGAGCTCTTTTCTATTTTCACCAAGAAAAATCTCAATCATTTCCTCCCGAAAGCTTGCCTAGCTGATCCATATGCCCAAATCGCAAGAATATCTTTACGGAACTAATTTAAAAACAATCTTCAATCTTTGTCCGCCGGATGCGTCAGACGCATATTGCATCAGATTTCACACCAGGTCCCTTAGCTCGCCAATTTTCAGAATTCCTGCTGCCAGCATCAATCATGGGCAAATTTCACGGTTGCAAGACATCTTGAACAAAATTTTTGTAATGCCTAAATGTGCACGAGTCAGGGTCAAAATAATAATTTCAAAAGAAACTTTGCCGACTCGTCAAAAGAAGAAAAAATTCCATCAGCTGAAGCAGAAAATGTAATTTGCAATTATTTAGACTGGTTACCGCCGGGCGAGAAATGCGGGTACCTAATTAAATGCCTGGAAAAACTGAGCTGTCATTTTTTCTATGACAAAATCAAATTGATAAGAACATATTGTAATTATAGGTTTGAATGTCCCGCGCTTTTCGCGTGCTTTTGGGCACTTTTGAGCGCAAAAATCAAAAACATCTTCTATTTTATCTTTATCTAAGCTTCTTTTTTACTATGTTAAATTCTCTGGAAATGGTTGGAGACCACAAAATGCTAAAAATCCTCTGCCTTTTTTAAAAATATTTCTTCAAGTAACCCTAATCGCGATCGGAAGTAAAAACTTCCTGTGGCACCATTTTTTTTTTCGTTAAATATTCTTGGCGATCTTCAACACACGCGATGGCACCTCGCGGTCGGCCAGAAATAACTTGGGAGGAAGCGGCGGCGGTTGACAGGTAGCTCGATAAGGGGAGAGGATTGAGTTGCAACCGCTTGATTATTATTTTGAACTTGTGCCCTTTTTAGAGGCGCGTTATGGTTACGGATTGACCCGGGGATTATGGGACTGATACCCGGGGAAAGTGTGACTCTAGCAGGTGCATTTTAGCCGCCTGTCTGACCCTTAAGCTCTTCCGATTAAAAAAACGGCAGAAAATTGATAGTTTATCGGTCAAGAGAGGGAGGCAAAAAAAGGATCAAAATGGCGACCGCCGACTTCCGATAAATTTAAACACATCAAGTGTTGGTTTGAGCAAACTCTTTAGGGACTCGCTAAAGGACTATTTTTCGCAAATAGAGTTCAAAACGCTCCTCGTAGCGCGGGATTAGGGGAATTAGGTTTTGCGTATTTGTATTTGATCAAATGGGACTCGCAAATTGTTCATTGGATAAATGTTTCGGCTTATCTTTTGAGCAAGATTGAGGGTTTTTTCTCAACTGGTGTGGGTTCAGGAGAATACGTTGATCCCTGTATATCACTCGGGAAAAATTCAGCAAGGAAAATCTGGACCATAAGGAGCTACGTTCACTTCCCAAAAAGCGTGACATGAATTTTTCATGTAATCGTGCGCATATATTCCCCAGGCCGGAAAAGGCCGGTTTCCAAGGAAATCATTCTGACATAATCTTCCCTAAGTAACACTTATGAATCGACTTGTCAGAAAGCTGGCACTAATCGCTGCGGCTGAAAAATGTATAGTCTGAATGCATCAAGTAAAAATTGAACGAGGGAAATTGGAGTTGAAAAAAAGTTTCTTTGAGAAAATGCTGATATAATGGTTCTTAGTGGTTACTCTGGCACGAGTGCCCGAGAATCTGATAAGAGCATGCAGATTGCTTCCCGATTAGTTTCGAGCACTAAAATATCCCGCTGAGTCTATTTCTTTATTTCACCTGGAAGAAAAACTAACCATCCAATTTTGAATGATTTTGGAAGCCCAAGTCTGGAGTTATGAAAGCATGGCCTGCTTGTTTAGGCTCAATAAAGCATCATTCTATTTATGAACTCAGCATAACTCTTGTTGAAAAGAGCGCTGGCTACATTCTTGGTTTATTTTGAGATGCAAATTACCTTGACATGATTTGAGAATCTCTCTATTTACTTTTGCAGCCGCGTTGTTGGTAAATTAAGAGGCATTGGAAAGCCCTAGCTCATCCGCAAAAAGAAGATAGACCTAAATGTCTGTAAATCTTTGCTAATCCCGGACATTGGCATTCTGGTGGCTTCATAATTGTGAAAATTGGTGAAGACCTTAATCCGGCTTTGGCGAATCTTTGGAATTGCCAGAATCGATGAAATCATTTTCCACAAAGCCATACTTTCAAATCGACGCCCCATATGGCTCCAGGACTCGAGCAGGACCTGGACGAGCTCGAGCGTCGATCCCAGAGCTCAATCCGCGGGGGTAGCTCCTGCGCGACATCTCCGATCTGCGCTAAATGACGCAACAGCGCCATATGCGCCGCCGTGGCCGAGGATGCGCGAAATCGAAGCTGAATAAAGCGCATTCGAAGTTTCAACTTGTACCAAAAACACAATCATACAAAAAGTTAAAGTTTCGAAACTTTCCTTTTCAAAAACATACGAGAGCTAAAAATAGAAGAAAAATAACACAGAGATTTAAAAGAAACCTTCACTACACAAACAAAATGGTAAGAAATTACAATCATACACGGTCCTCCAATTTGGGTTTTCTTCCGGCACCGAAGTTTTTTTGAACAAAAAGTTCTAAACGATACAAAATATTATGTTTCTAAAAGGACCACTAGAAAATTCGGGGATCTTTTTTCACAGGGAATTATCGAAAGGTCTGTCCTATTAGCGTCTCAAGATCAAACGTGCCCAAATATTCTCCGTTTAGGGATTAGCGGCGGGCCCCCGCCTCGCACATGTCTTCTTAGGCAGCCAGGGCCAGGAAGTTTGTCTAACAAGTAAAAAGGGATACCGATAAAGATTACACATTCGTCTAGAGTTACCAATTTCATTTATCCCCTTCAGCCTTAGCCGGATTTGGCGAGCACAAGATAGGGCAAATTTTGATTTCAGTCGCGCCAAGAGTGACTTATCCCGCCCTTGATCGTATTTATCTTTTCATTCTTGTTAACTTGTGAGAAAATCGAGCGGCACGGATTAACTCACTCACTGGAGCTATTCTGAAAAGATTGCGTGAATAAGCAGAATATGCATGGGAACTTGCCTGGAAAGATAAAGCTACCTCCTCTGATAAACGTTTTACTGCCGGATTTTGTTTTTGATAGGGAAGGAAAACAAAACCAAACAAACTGTCTGCTCCCTCAAATTAGCCCGTTAGCGTAAACACAAATCACCGAGATCGAAACCGACAATATCTTACGCGGCGGAATGTGTGCCCCTTACTTGACCGCAATCAAGCGAAATGTTTAATTATATAGTGAAATATTTCGCCTTTTTCGGCGTTTGCGGTTCAACCCCTTAATACCTCCGCCGCCGCCGTGGCGTTGAATTTGGCGCCAAAATCTTAACAAATTAGGCCCCACTTCCGTTTTGCATTTTGTAAGTGGCTAACCCTTCTCTTTCAGAAATCGCTGCTCATCACACTCTGTGGGATGGCCGCTGCCTGCCCAAGTATGTGCAGGTGCACTGCATCCGGACGCGTCTTCTGCCAAGACAAGGGACTCACCGAAGTACCCGCCAACATTCCTGCCGACGTCAAATATCTCTACCTGCAGGATAACAAGATTTTGAACTCGCCCGAGCTCAACGAGCGTCTCGCCAGACTTCCACGACTTGAGCGACTCTTTCTCTACAACAACCTTCTCGAGCACGTCCCCAGCTTCGATTCTTCCACCCTCAACGAACTGGTCCTTTACGGCAACCAAATCCGAAGCGTGGACGGCCTTGGAAACCTCCTAGCCTCAGGACTCTCAACCTTGAGCGAAACGAGCTGAGTGGTACTGTCGGTGACTTCTCTTCCCTTCACTCCCTGGAAGTGCTCTTTCTCCGCAAGAACTCGATCTCGACCTTCCCAAAACAACTGCCCGCCAGTCTGGAGGAGCTTTATTTGTCCGACAATCGCCTCAACCAAATGCACTTGGAGTCTGTCCGTCACTTGAGCAATTTGAAAACTCTTCACCTTGACAGCAACCAGCTCAATGACCAGGTAAATACAAAAACTTTTAAATGATGGATACTTGGAACTAGTTTAAAGAACTTCAAACTTTGTTTGTGTGAAAGGCACCTTGCGCGGCGTAAACGGAGCGCGTAAGATAATGTAGCGGCAGGCAAGTGCTGCTTATCGCATTTTCAAAAGTATTTAGCTCTGTTTGGGAACCTACCACTCGAGATTGAATTCACAATTGATTCCCCCAATGACCTCTCATACATACTTAGAACCTGTAGTTTACGTTTTCTTCTTCAAATATCTTACTTTTATATTAAGTCTTTCGAGCAGGATATCTTTGGATACCTTGTCAGCCTTGAAGAGCTCGATCTCAGCCAGAACAACCTGCGAACGTTTCCTTCCGGTCTCCAGACTCGAGTCGAGAGCGTCAACCTGGCCCGAAATATGATCGAATTCGTGGAAAAGACATCCGTCCACGGACTCCAGGCACTTCGACGTCTCGACCTCGCATTCAATCGTCTCCGATCGATCGAAGACGGTGCCCTTCAAGGTCTCGCCCAGCTCGACTCAATCGACTTTTCCGGCAACAATTGGTCTTGCGACTGCTACCTCAAGTCCCTCCACAAATTCATCGCCAAAGGCTACCACCGAGGTCAGCAAGGCGATCTCCTCTGCGGCGAATCTGGTGAACTCACTGGTGTTGAAATCGAGAAGCTCAGCGAATCCGATCTGTCCTGCGACGCCGTCGAGTTTGAAGTTCTTCAACCACGAGAAGGCGAGCTCTTCATTCAAGTCGCTGATTTTTACAGCCCATCGTACGCTTCTTTCCAGATCAACATTAGCGGCGTCACCCAGTCAGGTAATAAAGCAACCCTAGAACGTCTCTTTTCCTGTTGTAAACTCTTTTGAAAAAGAGCTTCCCAGGAAATCATAGTACACATTATTTTATTGACCAATTATTTACAAGCTATTTCAGGAAACGTCAACCTCATCGAATCGAAAAGGATCACTCCCGGAGCCACTCGAACTATCGCGGGCCTTGGAGAATACCCTGAGTACAAGATCTGCATCGAATCCCCCTACACCTGGGACCAGGAAGGCTTCACCTCCCCGTGCCAATCTGCCACTCCTCGAGTCTTCTCTTCCACCCAATCCGAGAAAGTTTCTACTGTTGTCACTGACGATGTCGAAACTATCATCGGATTGGTCACCGGTGGTCTGATCGTCATTCTCTCGCTCATCATCGTCGGCGTTCTCTTCTACAAATCCAAGCGATTCCCTTCTTCCAAGTTTTCTGAAACTACCTTCCTCCCCTCCGGCTCGCTTTCTTTCAACTCGAAGTACGAAACTGGCATCACTCGAACACTCTATGGTCAGCCTGGTATGCTCTATCATCCATACACTGTCGGCACTAACTACGGAAACGTCCACCCTGCTACTCTCAACCAGTCTCAACAATCCCAGCAAACTGTCGATGCCGGCAGCGAGTTTGCCGTACAGCTGATTCCAAGCGGCGCCGGTGCTCCGCCACCTTACCCGAGTTACGCCAACAACACTACTGGAAACAACAACAACGAGGGCGGAGTCTTTGTGTAAATATTTCTAAATTTCCTGCCCTGCCCAGATTTTCTTTAACTAAAATCAATATTTTAAACTATTTGTACATTCCTGCATAAATATACTTCAACACAAACTTTCAATTCAAAAGTCTCCTTTCTTTGAATATCAAGCAGCTTTATTTTAGAAAAGATATTGCACCTAGATTTATTCATCGTCCGCGTAGCCTAATTAGATTTTTAAATTAGAATAACATAAGATTCGAAAACAGAATGAAGTTGAGTTGAAGAAGCGTCGTGTTATTTACGCCATATAGTTTCGCTCGTTATGCTTAACAAATCTGTTAGTTGATGAATAATTAAAGTGAGACAAACCTGAGGATGGCCGTTTTCTTGAAGCGGTGAGCTTTGTCGGAAAGCAGGAGGGGCTTGAGACATTACTGGTGGTTGAGGAGCGATGTACTGTGGATAGGAATTCGGAGGAGCTCCGGAATGAGGTGGAAATTGAACTGGTGGGGCTCCAGGCATTTGAGGAGGCATGGGTGCCATTGGCATCTGTTTCTGCTGTAAGGAAGGTCTGGGCTGGTTCAGTCCAGCGTTGCCATGAATCGGACTCAACTATTAAATTTGTGAAACCGCACGTAAAATTTATTCAAAGCTAAAAGACACGGTACCTGTGGAGAATCATGATAGAGCAGCTGCTGCTGTCGTTGAGCATGACTAAGATTGGGTGCTGGGGGTCGTTGGACGAGTGGGGCAGGGCCTCGCGGTCTCGGTCCGTTCATCACTCGACCAGTTCGACGAGCTTCCTCCCCTTCAGGACCACGCATTCGATGCAGCATTCGGTCGCGCTCTTGGCGAGCTCGCATCTCCATGATTTCTTGGTGTCGTTTCTAGGATTAGTTTTATTACGCTGGGAAATGTCACAGGAGGACTTACCGCAGCTTTTCGCTCTTGGCGGACGTGAATTTCGTGAATCTCCCGCTCCAAGCTAGTTTTCAACTCTGCTTTACGAGCAAGCTGATCCTGGAGGGATTTCGATTCGCGCTCGAGATCCTTCACTTTGCGATCCGTCTCCCTCCATTTTAACCAGGTCTCATGAGCTTCGCGTTCCACTTTCTACAGAACAAGTAAGCAAAGAAACATCGTAAGACTCTAATTACATTGATAGTTTGAGAGCGTTCGCGGCTTGCGATCTCGTGGCGTTTTGTGAGATCAGCACGCGTTTTCTTAAACTCAGCGAGTTCGTTGTTCAAAAAAGTTTCTCGATCTTTGAAAGTTGCGTAGTCAGACTCGATTGCAGCTCGGAGCTCTTTTTCTTTCGCCAGTTCTTGTCGAACTAAACAGAGTTTATGACTAACTGATGAGAAAATCGGCTGAACCTTTTACATCTTTCTTCGCAAAGAAATCCTCAATAACACCAATTTTCATTTTGAGAGTCTTTTTCTGCTTCTCAAGTGATTTGATGTCCTCCAAATATTTTTGTTTTCATTCGTTCTTGAAATCAATCTAAAAATTTTGTTATCCAAGAAGGTAGGGTGTTCTTACTGATTTTCTTTTTCTTTCAAAGCAGCTTCCTGAGCATTCAGACTTTCTTGAGTTTTGTTAACAGCATTCTGAGCAGTTTCGACCTCAAACGCTGCTTTTTCGACATCAAAGAGCTCATCAACGATTTGATTTTTCTCTTTGTCTGATGCCCCCTCTGCCAATTTTTCTAGTGCCACTTGAAGAACATTTGTGTTTTCTTGAATATACGCAATTGCGGAATTGAATGCATCTTCTTCTGCTTTAAATTGCTCCTGGCTAGCTTTGTAAGCATTTATCTGTTGTTGCATTTTTTCCCGATCAGTGGTAATTTTTTCGACCTCCTTTCGAAGCTTGTCGTTTTGCTTGGCAGTTTTGTCGCGCTTCCTTTTTGCATCGGCAAAGTCTCGTTGAAGTTTTTCTAAACCGAGTTTTCGCTGCTCCAGTTCCTCTGTTCGATCCTAGGGAAAGGTGAGTGATAGCGGGAAAGAATAGAATGTACCTGATAAGCGAGCTGCTGTTGATAAGCCTCCCGCATTCGGGCGAGCTCTTGTTCTTTGTACGCCACTTGTTGGTACATTTGCGTGTATTCATCATTTGCCTTTTGAACTATTGCTTTGTACTCAGGATCTTTCGCTTGAACTAGAATCATTTTTGAACACTGAAATCAAGGAAGAGGACCGACCTGCATGACACGCGCGCTCGACCTGAGTGTGCTGGTCTAGGAGCTTTTTCTTTTGCTCTTTTAGCCTTTCCAACTCAATTTTACTCTGCTCGAGTGCAACGTTTTTCGTCTGTGGCTTATTCGCCTCGTCGATTCTAGCTTTCATGCGCTTTAGAAGTTCCATTGATTTCTCTTCCGAGAGGGCGCGGAATTTCGCATCGCGGGAAGATGATGCATTGGCAGCAATGAAGTAAAGGAGAAAATGAACGATAAGGAACCCACCCACTAAAGAATACGAAAAAGTGGCTTCGTCGATGCCCAGCTCGTCAGGGGAGATCCCGAGGTTGTGGGACAACTTGACGACCTTTTCATTGACAAAACCAAGTATTTCGTCCATCTTTATCTGAAAGAAAAATACATGAAAAATTTTCCATTTTATATATTTTGTTGAACTTGATTCGGTTACACACCAGAATGAAATTAGAAATCATGGGAAGAGAGATACTTTCTCCGACAGGACTAGATAATAAATATGTGAAGACCAGCTTTGCCGGGAATAGAGGAACAAATCTTTGATAGGAAAGAGCCCTATCAAGTGATGAATTTCAAGCAACTTTTAAAGGAAACAAAATAGCTCGCGGAGAAATATAAAAGAATAGTAACTGTCGTTAATTGAAGACATCAGTAAGATATCCAAAAAACTTAAAAGAAGCAAAAGAGAGGTACGGAAAACGATTTTTAGGTAAAGATCGGTAAATGGGATTAATAAAAGCCCAACTGCGGATCTACGAGCATCAGTCTTCTTTCAGTTCAGAAACAAGTTAGAAAGCGGGCGAGCGTGTGAGCGAGATAAACGTTTTAGACTTCCATATTGGAGTCAGCAGTGGCGGAATCTGCATCCGGACAGAGGGACTTCTTTGCAGTCTTTTCCAGAAGACTTTGAAACATGGACTGATCACGGGAGTCAATTGAGGCGAGCGAATCACTAAAGATTTTGTTAACTTGAAAAATATCGAAAGTAAACCTTGAGCCGCGACGAGAGTTGACAGGAGTGTCAACAGACTGAGCGCATGAATTATCAGACAAAGAGTGAAGAAAAAGGCCTTCTTTAGGCGGGAAATCGTTATTTTGGGAACTAAAAGATTCACTTCGATTTTTCAATGGTGAATCAGCTTTCACCTGTTTTGGGATACTTCGGAATACACTGAGCCATCATGGCTTGAACTGATAGACGAAATGGACATCGAGCGATTGATGCCATTTATACTCGGGCGGCGCAAATCCATACATGACGAAAAATCATTCAGCAAGCGCTGCAAAACATCTCTATAAAGATCCGAACAGAAATAAATACCTTTGGTTTGGGCTCTTCAACAGTCTCAGACGGAAACCGTCGCTTGCCCCTGAAAGCGGTGAGAGGACTCTCCGCTCGTCTGCTGATAACATCACCGCTTCCAGGCTTGGTAACGAATTTGCCCCGCTTTGGACTGCCAGGACAAGGACCGAATTCGCTCCTTCGAAGAATCGAGCTTGTTCCAGTCGGTGAGCTCGAGATCGGCCCGATCTGAGCTGCACCCATTGTATCGCCAATTTTTGATATGAAGTTCGTTTCATTTTCGTGCGTTATTTCATCCTGACTGAATCCATCGATTGAGTCACGGCGACGAATGTCAATCAATCGAGGGGATAAAGTGCCAGAGTGGCGGCGCTGGTGGTGTTTTCCGTCAAATTGGGTGTCGATAGAGACGATAGATGAGTCAGATGATTGGAGGCGGAGCTTTTGCGGCTTTTCAAGCAGAGTCAGTTCTTTGTCGCTCTCAACAAGAGAGGAAGAATCATTTAATGACTAAAATTCGTATATTTATTGTTGAATTATTTGTTGAAAATGGGATCAATTACTTTTGTGAAAGGGCAATCCTCATCCGGCATCCGTTTATTTTCCTCAACGGATGAGTCCGAATCCGAGTCGTCTTTCGAATCCATTCTAAAACAATAGTTGTTTCAGTATTTTTCGGTAGAGGAGAAAAAAGTTCAATTTTCCTAAATTCAGTAGAGCACACTGAAACGTTCAATCATCGGTCTGCTTCTTTGCATGTCAGGCCGTTAACGAATGGAGGATGAGAAAAAGATACATGTAGTGATGACCAAAGGGCAATGAGTTGTCATCGACTAGTTGAAAGAATTTAATCCGGCAGTGGATAGTTGGAACGCGAACGTTCTTATGCGTGCAGCACGCGGAATTCCTTGAACACATTGAGTGCTGGCTCAACTGTGCCTTGGGTGAACAGGAGCTCGCTCAGCTGCTTATCGTAACTGAGGACAGCCTGGAAAGAGGTTAACTATGAATCGAAAGAAGATGACCTACAGTTTCGTTGCGAAGGAACACTTCCTGGAGACGCTCACAGGTGCACTGGAGCCAATGTCTGTTCTTCGCCTGTACAAGAGTCTCTTGCGTATCCATCATTTCATCCTCTTCGATCGGAAGTCCGTGCTTGGCCACGTGCTCCGAAATCACTCCAATAAATCTCTAAACAAATCATTGCAAATGAAAATTGAAAAAACAAACCTGGAAAATAACCAGGAAAAGGTTCTTCTGCTCTACTTTGGCATTCTCTAACTTCTCTCTGAACGTCTCAACTTCTGACTCTGACGGCGCAAACGCAGCGTAAGAGTCCATCATATCCTGAGTTTCTGCAGCCTCCGTTCCTACAGATTGAAAATGTATCAAACTTCAAAATAATATCAAACCTTCTTCAAGCTTAATTGACGCCTGGTGCAATCGAGACTTGATACTTTCGTATTCATCTGTAACACGGTCGACGTGAGACTTCATTTTCGAAATTGTTCCATGAAGAATCTTGGAAAGAGTTAAAACTCCAAGATAAAGATGAAGGATCTCACCTCCCAAACAAAATATCTTTGGAAGTTGCTGGACATTTCCACTGAAAAGATCCATTGTGCAACTGAAGCTGGATCGACAATTTGAGCTCGGATGCACTTGTCGATCAAAACCACCTAGAAAATTTTGAGTCTGAGTCAGAATATCCAATATAATAGTAAAAGAACTTACGATCATTTGAGGATGATCCTTCCACATATCATACAAGATCTGGAGAAGCTTGACCTTCGCGCCTTCGTTCTTAGCGAGTCGCTTCAGCATAATATGATATTTTGATAGCGCTACAATATTTTTAAAAATAAACAGTTGAGATAAATTTACCGGCGAAAGAATGAGAGAACGTCTTGGAAGCGATGAACATCAGAGTTTGAAGAAAAACGTCAAGTGCATTCGGGTTGTAGTCTAATAAAATGTTGATGAGATTTTCTGTGAATAATTTACCCGGATTTTCTTCATTATCGGGCTCAGTAGGCTTTGGCACATCCTTTAGGATGTCAAAAATCTCTTCTGCCGTCGCCTTCGATCTAATGGCGTATTCTAACTTTCTGGAACATGCAACAGCTGGATTCTCAGACATGCCATCGTCGTCATCGTGCTTGTATTTGAATCTAATGATAGGCTCGCTCGGAAGCAATGGCTCGAAGTCTTGTGGTACTGTCTCGTTGATCCTCTGATGGTAGCACAAACGTCTACATTTTTCGAGCACTTCTCGGATGAAAGCAGGTCGCGAAGATTCTAAGTCTTGTTGGAGACAATCTGCCCACTCATCCCAGGACCATCGGAACTGGAAATTAGACAAGTGATGAGCGAACCAGTTAGTAAATCGGTCAGCAGTTGGTCGAGTCAAATCGTCCAGCTTTTCAAAGATCAATTCTGTTGCCAGCGCGAGAACTTGTGGCATAAACTGGGGCTGTAGTTTGCAAAGCTCAATGAAAATCGTCGCAAAACAAATGTCAGGAACAATCGGAGTTGGGACTCGGAAGATGTACGAAAAGATGACCTCGACGATCATGTGATAGATCGGCACTTTAGATTTGTTCGAGTAGCTCAAAAGACGAGTCGCGCATTCTTTTCGCTCTCTATAATAAGTGAAGAAAAGAGTGGTTAGGTTCTCTTCGACGATAAATCGACCAATTGAGTCATTGGCTGGAAGCGGGGCTCCATCTTCTTCGCCAACCTCATCCATCTTGAAGAGGCGGAACATCATGAACGGCTTAGGGTAGATAAATTGAGGCTCATGAGGAGGAAGGACGAATCGAGGAAGGTTCTGTCGAACAGCTTCTGCCAAGATACCTTCGAATCCTATGTAAGGCCTTAGGATAAAGCCTTCGTCGTCCCAGTTGTTCTTTGCAAGATTTTTGATCTGACTCCAAAGAGAGTCGACATTGTCTTCCATTCGCTGCTGTTTTTCCGTTCTCCAAACACTCAAGAGGCTGAAATGATCACGGTTTCGTTGAGCTACGTAGTCCCCCATCGTATTCATCAGGCGATCAACTTCTGCGGACTCGTCATTGTAAAGCTTTCGGCCACACCAAGGGAGAGATGAGAGACAGATGTAAACAAGGGCATCCTTTCGTCGCTGGGATGCATTTTCTTCGTCAAGGCAGTCAAGGAAGGAGTCGAAGAATGTAATGACGGTGCTGGCAGTGATCACACCACAGTTGCTAAGATCTTTATAGATGGTGGCAAGTTGATGCCTAATTGGAAGCAAATATGAACTATCGTAAGCGAGCGAACATGCGTCTACTGCTGGTAACCAGGGTAACCGGCAACCCAGGCGACCCTTAATAGGCGCGATAGATAAATATTAATCTGTGGGACTTTTTGGAATTAGGCTCCGTCAAGGTCAGGTCGTGTGTGGTGGGGTGTGGTCCTTGCCCCCACCATACAACTTTCATGCGGCGGAGGAGCAATGCCCCACGATGATCAGGAGCATAGTTGCTATGGGGAACGGTTTCCACGGAAATCTGAGCCAGTAAGGGAGTTTATGAAGCTCCGACTCTTTGGCAACAGAAATGTTCAAGAACACCTTCCAGAGCGGATTCCTGTCGATCCTTTATTCGATCGGCAGTAAGCCACTGCTGATCTGGGACAAAAAGGTTCGAAATGGTCACATCAAGAGAATCACCGATAACGACATTCAATCCCTCGTACTTGAGATCGAAGGCACCAATGTCTCAACAACTTACATCACCTGTCCCGCAGGTATTTCGGTGATCTTCTCTGAATGAATTATTCGACCGCTTTAGATCCAAAGAAAACGCTGGGAATCAAGCTTCCATTTCTCGTCATGATCATCAAAAACTTGAAAAAGTACTTCACATTCGAAGTCCAGGTAAATTTAAGAAATTAAAAGTAATGGCATTAAATTGTGATTTTACAGGTGCTTGACGATAAAAACGTACGTCGAAGATTCCGCGCATCAAACTATCAATCAACAACGCGTGTAAAACCGTTTATTTGCACAATGCCGATGCGATTAGACGATGGCTGGAACCAAATTCAATTCAACTTATCAGGTAATCCTTGAAGGCAGACATTGCTCTTATCGACCGTTCAAGATTTCACAAGAAGAGCTTACGGAACTAATTACATCGAGACATTGCGTGTGCAGATCCACGCCAATTGCCGAATCCGCCGCGTTTATTTCTCGGATCGATTGTACTCAGAAGACGAGCTACCTGCTGAGTTCAAGCTGTATCTCCCTGTACAAAATAAAAAATAAACAGCTAGATAAAAAATCAGTGTCACCATGTTCCTGTGATAAAACGAAACATAAAACGCACAGTTTCCCAGCGACAGGCGATAACGTTGTCACGAAGGTCGGCCATGATGTACTTCATGAATTCGGAACCGAACGAGTCGCTCTTCGAGTTGAGCCAGCCGACGAGCGTTGAGTAAATGGTGACCTTTTCCGGCATCTAAAGTTGAAAGATCAAATTCTGACCCTTCATAAAGCTCGATTACCTGAACAGCAGCACATGCAAGAGTCTCAATAATGAAATCCTTGAAATTCGCCAAATCTGATTTCAAAACCTTCGCCAATCCCTCCAAATTCGACTCCAGCGATGAAGTGGACTTCTCGCCGATACGACAGATGAGCGACTCGAGCCTAGTTTCAATCTCACCGTGAGATTCCTGAGGCAATGATCGACCGCGATCGTCGTCCGAGGACGAAGAAGAGTCACTATCGGAATGACGTCTTCGGCCCATTCTGATTCTTACAAATATTACAATAGGTTGTTTTTTATTGAAATATATTTATACAGAGCAAGGTAGAAAAATATAAAGTGCAACTAAAATAGACATTCATAGAAAAATATAGTAAATCGCAGTAGATAAAGTAAATTTCGTTCTAAAGTCGTAAATTTTCATACAGAAGATAAGAAAAGAGCCGCGCCAGAGAGAAGCCATGGTGATGCGTCAGATCCAAGACCGCTGAGGACTGCTGGGCATATAAGATTATCGCGGTGTTGATCTTAAAACCATTAATTTCGGCTAAATAATTTTTTATACCGGAATAAAGAGGGAGCGAAGCTGAATTATCATCCGCAAAAGAGACTCCCATCGGCGGGAGCTCCACAGTTGACTTTGTGTTGATATCGGCATGGGAAAGCTTCGATCTAAAATCAGCGCCAGACAAGACAATCCCCGACACTTTGAGCTTGGCACTAGAAGTTGACAGAGTCAACACGGCGTTAGCAGGGGCGTTTTCGTGCAATTGCAAGGCAGCTATCAACGCAGACGGGCGGAACATCATGCTAACATTGAGTGACGACGATGATACTGAATAAATTTGATCATTACAAAGGTCAACAATGCGATGATTTTTACCGGAAGTAATTAAGTAATTCGTTATTTTCGCCAGCTTGTCCAGGAAGGCTATCGGCTCTTCGGGGCCATCCGAGAACGCTCTTAACCAACTTGAAGGCGTTTCTGCATCGAGAATTGCTTGAGCTTCCGCTTTAGCTTTGGAAGTCACTAAACCCCGCAGAGCAGATTCCATGCCATTTATTGAATCGTTGACGACTTTGAAAACTGACTTCAACAAGCGCTTTTCACCGATTAAAAAGCTCTCTATCGGCTGAGGAGAGGATTGAGACACATCAAGAGCGGATATAGCTTCAATGGTAGATCGACTGAATAACCTAGTATTGGGATCTTAGATTCGTTAGACTCCCTCGTCCCCTAAGGTCACTTGCTTATCTAGATCGAGCTTTGCTCGGTCGCCGCCGTGTCAAAGATACTTTACTCGTTTTCTTCACTCGTCCAGATATAGAGAGCAGGCAAACTACGCTAGAAGTGGGAGATTCAGCAGAAGCTAGGATCCCTTCAGTGGTATCAGAGTAGTCCCGTTGGAGAAAAGGTAAATTTTCCGCCATCGACAACCGAAGTTTCGCAACTTGGACGCTGATTGGCCGTCAGCGGAGTCGAGGGGAACCGAATCACCAACCGCCACCGCGCCGCCGGAGAAACTCCACTCAGAGAATTTTCCGCGCCGCACCACACCAACACCACCCCGAGCGAGCGCCACCACACGAGCGCCACCACGACCCACGCGCCGAAAGTCGCGCCCACGCAACCACGCACGCACGCCGGGGAAAACCTAAAATACTCAGAAAAACAGAATTCTTTCGCCACTTTTCACCAAAAATCGAGAGAAGTTTACGAAGAATCGACCCTTGGACCAGACCTTGAAATTTCGACAATCGCTGGACAGAGAAATCGTCGGGCGTTTGCGCAAAAAGGCACCTCAGCTCATCATATTGCGACTTTTAGTCGCAGTATTTTCTGAGGGCCTGAAAGGTAATCCAAGGCCCATAAACCCTTACTGCCGATATATTTCGAGCTATGGCGGCGAACAAATCACTGCTAGAAACCGTCACCGAAATAAGAAGCATAAACGATCGAGTAAACTACCTCGAAGAACAAGTGCGAAATGACGAATCACTTAAGCCAAGCCTAGAGCCCTTGATCACAGAAAGCAGAGTAAAATTAGAACAGCTCAGTACAACGCTTCTTACCTGCGAGCTCGATCAAGGAAAAGAATCTACGAATGCTACAATGAGAGAAGAAGCATGGGTGGCCACTACCTGGTCTCGTCACGTCCAAGACTTGCCGAAGCTGGACGCCGCATGCAACACATCTTTCAACACCTTCTTGGGCAGAGCCGACATTTATCACCGCGCCTACGTCCGCGACAGACCTTCACGTGAACAGCCTTTCATCGCAGCAGTGTACAGCCACTTCGACTTGAACATCGAACGCTCACTTGGAACCGAATTTCTGAATTGTCAAGACTGGAAATCGGCCAAGGCGCTGCTAGAGAAATCATTCGCCGCGAAGAGTCACTACTTACTGAAGCTAAGCGAAGTTTTCGACGTCGAATACGACCATTCGAAGCCGTTTGCACACTACACCGCCAACGTCTTGCAAAAGATGAACGAGGCGAAGCAAGCGACTTTGAACTCTTACCGACAAGAGAAGTCAGCCGACGCCGGGGTCGATGAAATATTCGACATATTCTCGACGATGATGCTGTACTTGAATCTTAGGAAAGAAGAACCAGACGTTTTCAACGCAATCCTTCCAAGCCTATCAAAAGTTTACGATATCAACGAACTCTGCCGTCTCGCCCAATCCACAAGACAGAATCGAGTTGACAGCGCGACCGTCTCCCAGCACTTCAACAGAAATAAGAACAAAAAGAAGAAGAATGCTAAGCGCGCCAGCACCGATTCTAAGGATGGGAAAGACGATAAACAACCAGAATCCAAGAAGATTAATACGACTAAGAACGTCGAAGATTTCCAACCATTCGATGTTCACTTTTACACAGTGAAGAAGAAGCGACCAGGAAAGGCTTATTTCGCTTCGGCTACCATCATTACGGGCTCTAAAAGTTTTGACGTATCGATGGAAGTCGACAGCGGAGCCGAGTCCTCCTGTCTGTCCGCTGCTTACGTTCCCGACAAATTTCTCCAGATGCTGAAGCCCTGCCCCTTCAAGGTCACCGGTTTCAGCCCAAATATCCCCGCCGAGCAGCCGAGGGGTATCCTTCCCTGCCGCTTATCATTCAATGGTGGCCCTGCATTCTCCTTGAATCTCACCATCATGCCAGGCAGTAAATACCCAAGTCTACTGGGCCGCGATATACTAGAGAATGCGATGACGGACAGCTTCACAGTCGACAATAAGAATCGTACTCTCTCATTTTGCTACAACGAAGCCTTCACACAAACTGAGACTCAAGTGGTGAAGCTGGACGGAGTGAAGCGGACCAAAATCAAGAAATACTTGACGACTAGATCAGCGGTCAAAGACAGCGATCGGTCCCGCACTCAACCACCACGAGAAGTCCCAAAGCTGGACGCGCCGAACAAGAACGCAGCCAGGTGCCCCATTCAGCTAGCGAAGCAAAAACTCGGAATAACCCTACCAGCAGACGCAGACCCGGGGCAAAAGAAGATGGTCGCCGAGCTGTGTTTGGAATTCGACGACAGATTCGGCTGCGACGGTCAAAAAATGGGTGAATTCCCGTTCGAGATCGAAATCCCGACTGATGGTACGAGTCGAAACATCAGTCAACACCCGATTCCGCAAGCTTTTCATGGTCAGGTCAGCGATCACATCTCCGAACTGCTCGAAACGAAAATAATAGAAGAGATCAAAGACCAGAAAGGGTTTAACAGCCCGGTATTGCCTATTCCTAAGAAATCTGGGGAAATGCGCTTCTGCATCAACTACAAAAACAGCCTGAACAAATGCCTCTCCGACAAATCCGACCCTTACCATCTCCCAAGCATGGAGGATACGATTGCGAACATTGGACCGGGCAATAAGTTTTTCGCCACAGTTGATCTACGAAGTGGATATTGGCAGTGCCCTGTAAAGAAAAGCGACAGGTACAAGACTTCCTTCCAGTGGGGTGGGAAATCTTACGCCTTCTGCAGACTACCATTCGGTTATCGATGCTCGGGGAATATATTCTCGCGCGTCGTAAACACAATTCTCGACTCAAGCCCCACCAGGAAAAAGATGCTTTCTTATATCGATGACATAGTGTGTTTTGGGAAGACTTTCAGCTGCTATTACAACACTCTCCGAAACCTATTCATCGCGCTCCGCAAGTTTAACGCTAAACTCAAGGGCGAAAAGTGCTCTTTCCTACAATCCGAAGCTCACTTTTTGGGCCGAATCATCAACGAAGATGGAATCAAACCGGACCCTGCGCAAGTCTCCGCTCTTCGTCAGATGAAACCCCCACGCTCCCAAAAGGAGTTAGCTTCATTAATCGGGTCATTGAATTGGATCCGAGGTTTTCTAGAAACGAAAATGGGCGAAGCTATTTCATCCGGTTGCTTCTCGAGCAGAATGAAGCCCATAAACGATGTTCGAAATTCGGCGAACGAAACAAATTGTTTCAAGTGGACCAAAGAAGCGGATTTGGCGCTCAAGGAAATTCAACGACGACTCTCCGAGACTCCAGTCATAAGTTTTCCTAACTTTGACGAGTCTTTTCATCTCTACACAGACGCGAGCCTGTACGCAGCGGGTGGCGTCCTGCTACAAGAGTATGGCGGGAGAGTGCACCTAGTAAGCGCGATTTCCCACACCTTCAACAAAGCTGAAAGAAAATGGAACACTTCAGAAAAGGAAATGTTTAGCATTGTCTGGTGCTGCGAGCGACTGGAAAAGCTCCTGAAAGGTAGATTCTTTCAGATTCACACAGACCACCGATCTTTGATCTTCCTACACAAAAAGAAGTTCAAGAATTCTAAAATAAGCCGATGGCAAAGCCGATTGGAAGAATTCGATTTTCACATTGTCTACATCAAGGGATCAGAAAATCAATTCGCCGACTTTATGAGCCGCAGACCTGGCGAGGACGACAAATCACTTGGATACGACTCTGAGTTTCCCGTTGGTCGCGAGTACGAAATCGACAAGAATTCACCAGTACGTGTCTTCGTCCCTTTCTGGAACGAAAATCAGTTTCCGGAGAAAATCACTTTATCAGAGGTGAAGATACATAAGGTAAACGTCAAGGCTATCGCGGCGCCAATGGAGATTCCGTTGGTGTCAGCGAATTATAATAACATTCTGGACTATCAAAGGGAGGACTCTGCTCTGAGTGCAATCATCACTTTTCTGGAATCTGGTAAGGAGCCACTGGACATAAAATCGCTGGTGAAGGACTCCGACCACCGACAATCGTCTCTACTCAAGATGGAAAAAGCTCTGTTCCTGGATAACACTACCGGGTGCTTGATGTGTCAATTCAAATCTGGCGCGCGGGCGGTGGTACCGGAAGCGGTAAAAGTCACTTTCTCTTTCTAGCTCACGACTTGTCCGGTCATCTGGGCGAGCCGCGGACTTTAGAGCGATTAGAGGACGTTTGGTGGCCTTCATTTCAAGACGATGTTTCTAACTACGTCCACAGCTGCGTCCCTTGCCTACGCAGAAAAGGATCTGCTGGAACTCGTACCAAACCGCCACTTGGAACCCTTCGTCGTGGAAAAACAGCTGGCGAATCGATTCAGATCGATTTCGCTTGTATGCCTCCCGCTGGCGGATTCAAGTATTATTTGGTGGTGGCGGACACTTTCTCTCGCTACACTTGGTGCATTCCGACGCGGTCCGACACTGCTATCCGCGCTGCAAAAGCGCTCATCTACAAGGTCTTCCTTCCCATGGATTTCTTGCCGAAACATCTACACAGTGACAGAGGTACCCACTTCTGCGCAAGCGTGATTGACGAAATGTGTAAGCTTAACCAGATAAAACATACAATAAGTACCGCATTTCACCCTCAATCAAACGCTTTCGCAGAAAGAGCGAATCGGACTATCAAAAACAGTCTATTCTGCATGGTCAACTCATCTTCCGGTCGAAAAACTTGGGCCGACTGCGTTCCCCACGTGATGCGCGCGCTCAATAGTGTGAAAAACAAAAGCACGAAAATTTCACCGCGAGAAGTTTGGTTTGGCCGAAAAAGTACTTTCACCCACTCTACTGGCGCAGAAATGACAGCGGAAACACCTCAGGTGTTTGGTCTCAATGTGGGAGCTTTAGCGAAATCGGCGGAAGCCATTGTGAAAACTGCGATGGAAGCTGCTGACCGAGCCATGGAGCACAGGCTGAAAAACGAGCCTAAGCCGAGACCAATCCCCGCTGGCGCTGTCGTGTACATTAAGCGAGAAAACCTGACCGACGCTAAAAGCAAGAAGGAACGCTGGGTAGGTCCCCTGAAAGCCGTTTCGAGCAACGACTGGGTCGTCATGGTCGAAGATAAAAAAGGACAACGTGATTTCATCCATCGAGAACACGTGGTTCACGCCGCAGAACGAAATCACGACTTACGCTGGATTGATTACTACGAGGCCGAGTACGTATTCCCACATTTAACCGAAATCGTTAAGTCGAAAGTCCCACAAAAATCGCCTGTTCCTACTTCCAAACCGATGGAAAAGTCCGGGTCGAAGTCGCATGGGGGGAGGAAATCTTCTCAGGTCGCGTCGACTCCGATGGTTGCTATGGAAAAACCGCCAAGATCATCTCTATCACCTATTTTGGAAAGTAGACGCCGATTGGACATGGAAAATCTGGGAGATACAACCGCTACATCTATTTTGGACTCGTCGGTAGCTCCAGCCGAGCCGTCAGATCGCTGGTACTCTGGTGGTACTCTTTATGAAACTGCCGAGGACATGTCAGCTGATGCTACAGTGATTTCGGAGGTTGCTGCGCCCGACAATAGCCATATGTCAGTCGATAAACAAAATTCAACAGTAGTTGAGGGCTCAGCAACTGAAAACAGCAAGAAAAGAACCCGTCCAAAGTCTTCACCAGATCGTCAATACTCAGCCGGCGCCGATCCGAATGCGACTTTAACCGAAGTTGGAGCAGCTCATCTCCCGAAACATACAAAACGAGCACACCGTGAAACGAGGCCCGTCGAACCTCTAAACATCGGCACAAACTCGGGTCAGTCATACGACTAAGCGCAAGTACTGCCCCACTCAGGTCCCCTATTCATCGACCGGGGCCTGAAAAGGTACGGAAATTATCACAGTTTACCGTCGCCGACGTATTTTGAGTTCTTCTACATGTGCAGCTACTCCTTCATGTCATCACCGCTCGGACATCACGAAAACTTCGCATCTGATTCAAGCTTTTTCCCAAAAAAGGGTTTTTTAACGCGAATCAGACTGCCTCGACGTTTCGAACCTGCCATGTTACTCATCTTACGCTTATACTCCTGCAAAAATCACACACTTTGGCCTTAGAGGACGTTTCAGTCTCATGGGGGGTATTGGGATCTTAGATTCGTTAGACTCCCTCGTCCCCTAAGGTCACTTGCTTATCTAGATCGAGCTTTGCTCGGTCGCCGCCGTGTATTTCTCTCCATTCGGTAATTCACGCAGTTCGTGAATTAACCTCTATTTTACTCCAGCTCGAAATACAGACGTCAAAGATACTTTACTCGTTTTCTTCACTCGTCCAGATATAGAGAGCAGGCAAACTACGCTAGAAGTGGGAGATTCAGCAGAAGCTAGGATCCCTTCACTAGTGAAATGTTTCACAACATTGGATGCAGCGGATTCCCATTGACTATCCGCATGTTCTGTTTGTCGAGCGAGAAGGTTGAGCGATCGGATCGATTCTCGGACGAGCTGCTCCGCAAGAGCTTTGCCAGAGTTCTTCGCGAGTCCAAGATGATCAGAATTACGCGAAACTGGAAGTTTTGCTGTGTAGCTCAATGCATCGGCCTTGGACTTGACAGAGATCATCTTAGGGAATTTTCCGAAGGATGGACCGTCACGTGACATCGTTTCATTCACCATGAGTCGCAAAAGATTGCCATCAAAAGGATTGTGCATTCGACTTCCGTAGATGACTCCCTCGAGCATCTTCTCTGTGATTCCGGGGCGATTCCGCATCTTTGCAGAAACAGCAAGAGCCGCTCGGATATCGGCGACTGTAAAATCGTACTCTTGGCTCCAACCAAGAGTTCCAAATCCCTTTCGCTCAAGAATAAGTGAATGGAGAAGTGACAGCTGAAGATGATCAGAAGACATTCGAGAGGGCCATAAGTCGCTGATGCGCTCCATGCTTCTTCTGAGACCAGGAGGAGCTTCGACGCACATCTTAACTGAGCGCCGAAGAATCGCTGGTGAAAATGTTGAAACAGATTCTGAAGTTAACCACAAACGGAAATCTTCGTGAATATCAGGCGCAGCGAGGTCCCCTTCAAGCTTTTCAAGCCAGCTGGATGCCAAGTGACAGTTTTTCAACAAAAGCCATTTCCCAGAGCGCAGACATTCTTTGAACACGCTAAATGTCGCATCGTTGTCCTCTTCTAAAGCCGCCTCGACCAGTGCTTGGCCCTGTGCCTCGGCTAATCCAGCGATGTCATTGGAAGGATCAGCGCCGCCAGAGAGAATAAAAAGCTTTGGTGTGTCAGCACCACCGACTTGAGAGATGAATTCCATCGCGCCAAGGCCAGATTCAGGCATGTCTGCAATGCGCGATATTAAATTTGAAGCAGAAGCGGCGAAACGATCAGGTCTTCGCTGAGCGATAACCGCCATTTGCTCAACCTTTAATGAGGTGTCTATTTTCAATAATATACTGATTCGATATTGAAATTCATAATTAACAAATAATATTTGTCAAATATATTCGAAATAACAGAACCTTCCCTTCGAAAAATTGCCACCTTTTGGACTTTCATTTTCTGGATATTCACCGGCGAGCCATGAAGAAAGCTCTCTTTCGCTTGCAGAGAGCTTTTGTGAGAACTCTCGATGCCCCGAAGTCATAATATTAAACCAGTCCTGACTGGGGAACTCTCTCGGGAATAGTGCTGCGACGAGATGAAGTGATGCTGAAACTTCATGATCTTTTGAAGCCATGTTTTGAACAAAACTGACTACGAGCTTGATGAATTCTGATTGTAGTTTGTCTACTGGCTTCTGATGGTACTTTTTGAGGATATGATCGAACATGACTGTAATACAGTGCAAGCCAGTTGTGTACATGACATCCAAGCTTTGGATGTCTTAGGTGGGTTTCAAAATTACCGGGGCAAAACTACTTTTGCTGTATTTCCGACCAGAGTCATTCAAACCCAGACATCCATATATGAGTCGACTTAGAATTTTATGATCTTTGTCTGGAACATTGGAATTTCCGATAACTCAAGAATTGTCGGATTTTTTATCGGTTTTTCCTAGTTTTTGAGTTATCGGAAAGTCCAATGCTCTAGCAAAAGAGCAGAAAATTCTGAGTCGATACATATATAGATTTCTGGGGTTTGTATGACTCTGATCGAAGCTAGAGGGAAAGTAGTTTTGCCCCGGTAATTTTGAAACCCACCTTGGATCTGAAAGAAACTCGTGGCTGCCGATGATGCCAGTGGCGAGTATTTGTTCCGCTCGATTGCGAGTTCTTCTTTGATTCTCGAGTTCTCATCGAGTGTTTGTTTGATCTCCTTGGCAGATTTCTTCGAGCTTTGGAGGCTGCTGATGAGCTTGTCGTTGTCAAGAATATTTCCCTCTGATTTGATGAGAGTTTCGAGGAGATCATTTTCAATTTTGATGATTTTGAGACGCAAGTCTTCTTCCTTCTTGACAAGTGTAGTCATTTTCTCCTCGAGTTCTGGCTGTTCAGCGCGCAGAGCGACGGACAATAGTTGATGTTCAAGACCTTTTCTAGTCATTGAGAAAATAACAGGGTTCGCAAGGCCAGATATTGATGGTAAATCATCGTATGTAAGAGTTTTTGATGCAAGGAGCAGTTTGAAATTGGGATTGATATCAATCACTTTGTCGCTGATTTTGATGCTTGGTCGGGTGCCAATTGTGTGTACATTTGCTTTCAAGACTTCCACGATGAAAGCGGAAAGTTTGGTGATATTCTCAATCATCAACGTTTTACCAAATCTTAGAGCAAGTTCGACACTTGACTGGAAAGCATCTGAATGCTCATCTACAGTTTCTATCTTTTGTTCGGCAAAGTAGGCCTTGAGGAAAGTCTGCGCCCGACCGGATTGATCGATGATCATGGGCGTTTTGGAGAATGACATGAGACTTTCTGTATTTTCCAAAGACAACTGATCGTTTGGCATGCCTTTGTGGTGATATTCAAGAAGCTTAGCTTCAGTAGAAAGGAATTCGAGGAGTTTGAAGTCTTGGCAATTGTAGCGGAGTTTCCAATCGCTAAATACTTTATTTCTCTCGACCTCGTGACGGCAAGACAGATAGACAATATGCGCTGCAGCGAGAAGAGATTGGATCGGAAGTTGAATTTGGGTCGTCTGCAGATTTTTAAGTCCTTCCTTCCATCTCGATTTTTCTTTCGACAAATCTTTTATCAACTTTCCAGCCTTGTGCAATCGCTTGTTCGCGTCTTCTAGGCGGTTTTCAAGTCTGGCTGCTTCGGAGGTTTTTTGTTCGAATTCACCGCGGAGCACGGCAACGCGTTCTTCTACAGTCGCTATTCCACTTCCTAGTTTCTCAACTTGCAATTCGGCAGCTCGGAGGCCTCGCAAGAGTTTTTGCTCCTCCTGCTCTAGCGGTGCGATGCGCTCGAGGACTGCTGCGTATTGCACATTCGCTGTTACCCATGCAGCCAGAGGGGCTGCAGCTACTGAAGCTCGTTTTGCAACGTCTGCTTGGAAAGATTTGGCTTTCTTTTGCATCAAAGCTTCAACAGCTTCTCGTGAGGAAGGAGGAGTGTTTCTCGCATCAAACTCTCGGATATCGTCCTTTACACCTCGTTTGCCAAGGAACTGCTTCATTCCTGTCCAGGAAGTATCATCATTTCCCATCAGCTTGAGTACACCTTCCAAAATATCTCGAATAACTTCAGGTGGAGCTCTCAAGTGTCGGATTTCATTGAGCGACGAAGTCTGGATATTGCCAACAGCTTCTTTTGCTTCATCAATGAGCGGCTGAACTTCACTCAATTCAGCTTCGATCTTTGCTTTTCGACGGTTGATATTTTCGCGTTCCTTGTCCGCGTCTTTCTTACGCTTCGACATTTCATCTTTTTGCGTTTCCGCGCCGCCCATCGCTTCTTGGATTGCTTGTAGAGCTGCATCAGCTTCTTCTCGTTTTAGTTTCAGAACCTTCTGCTGCTCAACAACATCCTTTTCGAGCTCTGCAACAGTCTTCCCTGCTTCTGCTAGTTTATGCAGACCAGTTTCCAGTTTAGTCGTCCGTTCAGTAAAGCTGTTCTTTTTGTTGTCGTAAATTTCGGAGATCGCTTTCAAGAACACTGCATATTGGGCTGGATTCCAACCGTGATCTCGGTGCAATTCTACCGCATGACCTGAAATTGTCTCTGTTCCTTCTCCAAGAGACAGTCTTTTGTTGGCGACGCTTCTCAGCGTCTCATGTGACCATCGCTGAAGAACGATAATTTTCGACTTTTTCGTCAGCGCTGGGCATTGATTCCAACACTCTGAGAGTGCCTTACTTCCCGTTTCTAGGGATAGAACTAGGCGGATGTTTTCTTTTGCTCGTTTGACAAAGAGATCTGTCGCAGTCATGCTCATTGCGCTTGCTTCAGCACGCAGTTGACTTTGATCTATTTCTTCCGCTGACCAAAGACCTGGGACTGTTCCCTGTGCAAGAAGAGAATTAGCGTAGACGTAAATTTGTCCATTCTCAAGGTGATGTGATTCGATAAGAATCACTACAGACTTGTTTTCAATAGAAGCAGCGCCAAGAGCGGTGCGGAAGAAATTCTTGACAGCTTTATCAGTGACATTCGTTACCGATGGGGACATTACGTCAAAATGGAGTGAATAGGCGCCTAGCTGGACAGAAGTTCGACGGCCAGATCCTGATGGACCGATAAGTACGATGTTGCCACCTTTATTTGATAGCTGAGATGTCACCGATACGATGGATTGCGTGAGTTGCTGCGATAAGACAAGCCCGCCAGTCGGCAAGTCTCGAATTTCACGTTCGAAGTTGCCTGCCGTTTCAAGCAAGCGCTTTTGCAGATCATTCATATCCATTGCATGCAACTTTCCGTCTCTCTTAGGAAAGAAAAGCTCTTTCTCCATAGTTGCTCCTTGGAATGCTGTGTCGTAAATTCGCTCGTGATTTTCATCAATCATTCTGTCGCGGAAAATCCGATCAGCTTCAAACTTCCATATTGCCCAATGGTTTTTGCTCTTGAAGCTTTGACATGCTTTTGCCCACTGATTGAGATGACTCAAGGAAAAATTGTAGTGTGGCGCTTCCTTGGGTCCCAATTGCGCGGTCAAATTCGAGAAAGCGCGAGCAGTACTATGCGACATATCGTCGTACGGACCATTTGGAAAGGTGGTCTTCCAAAAGTGTCTGCAAATTTTTGGATCTCCCTGTCATTCGGTACTTCTAACACAAGCGTTTGTACAATTGAGCTGAGGCGCATGTCAACTTGGCCACGGTTAGGGTTCGAAGTGATGATGAATTTGAATTTTTCAATCGAAACGAACTCACGCTCATCGTTGTAAAACCCACCACGGGAAATGAGTTGAGTCATGAAAGCGTAGAGCATGTTCGTACCCCATTTGTCCTTCTGTGGAATGTTGACTCCGCGGACGAGAATAATCGCTTGATCAAAACCCTTTGGTCGGATGACGCGTCCGTTTTTACCCTGGCCGATTATACCGACAGATTCAATTAAGTTCACAAGCTCAGTGGGGATTGACATACTTGAGCAATTCATCTCAACGAAATTACATGAAGGGAATTGACCCTGACAGTATTTGACAAGCAAACTTTTTCCGCAACCATCATTTCCAAGCAATGATACGCCTCTGACACCAGAGTGGATCCAGTGCTTCAAGCTCTCGGCATTTGCAAGCAGAGACTTTGTGGCGACAATTTCGCTATCATGAGATGGAGTTGGTGCCTGTAGGTTGCCATCCTTGTCGATCGCCATCGTAAGATCGGCTGCGAGACCAATTTCTTTGTATACTTTTTCAGCAAGTTTTTGTCGACCAGCGACGGAAAGACCGCTCGAGATATTCTTAAAGCCAGCGATGACAAACTTTTCTTTTGTCACATCACTCCAATCCTGATATCGAACTGCATCAAGCAACCTTATCAGCTTGCTTCGGCGGGAGATTACATGCTCAGGATGTTGTTCGATCCAGTTTATACCACGAAGAAGAATCGCTTTAGTCCATTGAGTCGCATCGGTTTTCACTGACTCAGATGGTGATAATTTACTGATGACAGTAGAAGCGATCTTGAAACTGTCAATTTCTTCAGTCGAAAGGAAAATAACTCCCATTCGAGAAATAGTAGCTGGTGATGCATGCCGGAGATCCGCGGTTTCGAACAAAAAGTTTACATTATTACCGAACTGAATTCGCTCTCCATTTGGAAGGGTAAGCAAGCGATTATCGTCAAGCACTGAATTTAGCGCCTCGATCCAGTCAGGGTCGATCTCACCATCGCAAATGATCCAATGATGATGCTCAAGTTCTCTGTTGACCTGCCGAGCAGCAGCTGTCAGAATACCATCTGTCCATTCTCTCGTGTCCGGGTCCATTTTACCCAGTAAGCGTTCACGAGAAACCGCCTTTGGATTCATGTAATGGATCTTTAGCGAGCCTTTTTCGGCAGCAAACGCGTCGCCCAAGGTTCTCCAAAGGACCGATTTGCCACTTGATGGTGGTCCGCAGACGACAACACCAATTCTTTGTTCGAGCTGTTCGCTGAGCTCTAAGCATTTTCTCGCAAATTCAGGATAGAAATATATTCCATCCGAATCGCACACTTTTTTAATGTTTTGTTCCATTGTGGAATCGGAGAGTTTCTTATTTTTGACCTCCGGAAAGACCCGTTGAATCAGGAAATCAAACTGGACAAGATCACTGAAAGTCAGCTTTGAGGTTGTGTTGATACTGACAGCGCGAACAGCGATTTCTTTCTCGTCGATTGCTCCTCCCATAGAGGCCCTTGATCTAAGCATCTTTCCAGCAGTATTGAGAACAGTTTTCAATGCTCGAAGGCCCCAGTCGTAGTGCTGGTGCTTTTCGAGTAAATCGCGGCAGAGAAGGAAGAGCTTGACGAGTCGTTGGCCAATGATCTCCTCTTGAAATCCTTCAGCAAAAAGCATGACGGTCGCGATTGTTGTTATGTCAGGTTTGGACATTGCCACAGGTCTAAATAGCGCCTTGAGGTTATCTGGCAGCTTTCGTCGCCCACCGTAACCTTTTCCCGCTGGATTGAGCGTGACAAAGATAGCGGTGTGTGAGGAGAGTTCGTTGTCAATATTTTGGAGCGTAACTGCCTTTGCTTTTGTCATTAGTGCAGTTTGTATGCCTTGAATGTCCATTGACACTGCTGAGAGGACAATTTCACTCAATCGGTTGAACTCATCAAAGCATCCCCAAGCACCGCTTCTACACAAGCCCATGAAAATTCTACCCATGCTTTTCACATCAAGACCTTCGTCACAGTTGAAAACGAGTACATGCCGGCCAAGAAGGGATCCAAGCTCTTTTACAGATTCGGTCTTTCCCGTGCCAGCTGGGCCGTAAGGATTTCCACCGAGTCCAAGACTCAGAGCTTGAGTCAGAGTAAGGAAACATTTATCGGTCAATGAGGTGTGAACAAGTCGATTTGGAATGCCTTGATACTCCCATGAATACTCTTGCACCGAGTCGATCATTTGGCCGATCACGTTTCCTCCCTTTGAGTAGAAACGGAGCTGCTTGAGCCAGACCCAATCGTCAACACTTCTGCATTTCTCATCCGTCATCTGCTTAACAACATCTCGGTGATGCACTGCATCCAAAATCAGAGCAGTCAGTCGCGCCATTGAGACCTGGTCATGTTCATCTTTCTGCGACGCAAGCTGGTGAATGAGCTCAACCATTTCCGTGTTCAGCTTTGAAAGTGAGCCAGATGAGATTGCTTTTTCGGCTTTTGCACAAAAGTCAATCTGATTTCTCAAACATTCTATTTGTGCTGGCGCAGCGCCTTTTCCGCGAAGGTATCCTTTGAGAACGTCCTTCGCAAGAGCATCAACCTGGCCAAGCCAGTTTTCCGGATTATCATCTATCGTCACATTCCTGGAAAGATTGACCTTCTCTCCTCCGAGCGATTTTATTCCCATCACATGTGATTCATCTTGTATCTCGAGGGCAGCGATTCCAGCGAACAGTTTTCTCAGATGAGTTTGAATCGATAAAGGTCGGCCGAGAATCTCAAGAAGATCATCATCTCCCAAGAAAAAGAACTTCGAGAATGAGTTTCGCTTTTCCTCCAAAAATGAGCTCAATGCTCGCTGGGATGCTTGAAGCTTTTGCAAGATTCGTTCAAGATTGTCTACTAGACCGCTTGTCGTTGAAAATGAAACAGCTGTTTTCATGTGAAATGCTTGTGATAGAAGTGAGACGATGTTGCTGTGAGTCGACATAAACTGGGATTTTTCTGTTGCAAAGACGCCTTTGCAAAAGACTGGTTCCAGATAGAGCCATTTTCGTTGAATCTCGCAAAAAACTGAGATGACTTGATTGGTCGTTGACAATTTTTTTCTCCCAAAGAGCGATGGCATCGGTGAAATTTATTGAGTGAGGTGATTCTTTGAGTGTCGAAATGAGGCGTTCTTGATCACCAAGCTCTCCAAGAAGATCACTCCAGTCTTTGATCAATTGGACTTGCTTTCCAGTACTGTCACGAGCTTCCAAAATGGAGAACTCCGTACTGCCAGCCCATAGTTCCACTTCCGCCAGTGATTCACGAATGGATATCTCAACATGTGCACGCTCGTTGATTCGCTTGAGCTTTTCTTGAATAGAAGTGTCATTGAGTTCCTTCGACTTTTGCAGTAGCGACGATAGTTGAAGCTTGTCAACTGATGTCCCCCCGTTCAATTCCTATCGTACGAAAGAGCTCGAGCCAATGATCAGTGGAGAAAGAGTCGCCTCGGCAAAGTGCCAACGCTGGAACGCATTGAAGCCAGCCTCGGAGACGTTCTTTGAGCCGCGTTTGCATTAGAGTCGGAGTTCCACTGGGATTCGTAAGTTCCTCGTCGAGCCATTTTTGACCAAGCTCTTGGAACTCGTGCATTCTGGATTTTACTTGCACCCATTCTGCATTTGTAAAAATCCCAAAGGCTTCCTCGAACTTTCCTATAAGACTCCAGTTCGATTCGTACTCTTCTATTTCACTCTTGAGTTGATTATATACGTCAAGTTGCATCGCTTCGAGTTCAAATATCTCCAGCTGTTTGTTCATTTGTTCAATCTCTTCATTCAGCGCTCTCATCTCCTCTGCCTTTTCGTTGATAAATGATGATATATTTTTGATTTTGGCATTATCGCTTAGAGAGTCGACCGTATCAGAAGGCTTGCCAGAGTTCCATTTTGCGAGTACAGCTTCAATTCGTCCTGAAAGTGTTTTCTTTTGCTCAAGTGTCGTCGATTTTAGTTGTTCGATTTTGTCCTCAGTTGATGCTTCGTATGAGTCTATAATAATGCCGAAGCCTTCCCAGTCTGACTGTAAGCTGCCAATATAAATTTCTTCGCGTGTAATATTCTGATGTAACTTTATTAGCTCCTTCATCTCCTCATATTTCTTTTTCATTGCGCTGGATAATTGCTTCGTAATTTCGTGATACTTTATTTGTTGCTGCGTGATATCGTCAATACTGTTTACTCTTGCTGTAAGTGCTTCTTTTGACTCTGATATAAATTTGCTCAGCTCTTTGCTTTCTTCTAAGACTAGGTTTCTGATAGAGATACACAACTCGTTGTAGCATCGGGTGAGGAGCCCATCGACTTGTCGCTTGAATTGTGTTAAAGATACTGTGATACAGTCATGTTTTATGATCTCAGGTAGCTTTTCTGCTTCTTTGCCTTTTTGCTTGATTTCTCGGAGAGCTTCCTCGAAGTCATTTACGCTTTTCAGAGGAGCAAATATCGCATCCAAGTCGACAATGGCTGGGCAAATCCACTCGGCATGATTTTCTAAGATCGACTCGACTTGATGGAAAATGCCATCTGCTCTCTCATAAGCTGGAACAAGCGCATCAGCGTTTGCAAGAGCGATTTTGGGAAAAGATCGCGCTCTGGACCAAGTCCACGGAAGGATTGGGGAAGATTTGTGATTCTCTTGATGTGGCTGTAAAATCGGGCCCGAGCGGTTTCTAGATCAGGTCTGAAGCAAAGCCCGGCTCCGTTGAAGATGAGGTCGAGTCTGATCTCCGGTAGACGGTCAACCAGAGTTTGCAAGCTGTATTTATAATGCACGTCGATGACTTTATACAGCTGCCGATCCCAGTGAATAAGCCATGCCTCGCACTGATCTTCGCCGTATACAACTCTGACGTTTTCGACTTTCTCGCGCAACCGGCTGATTATTCCTTTCCATTTCTCTTCTTGTCGGATTAAATCAGTGTTGAGCAATTCTAGCACAAGCTTCTTCAGTTCAATATGTTTCTGAGTTATTTGATCATTTGCTGTTTTGAATTCTTCGGAGCAGGCTTGTAGCGAGCGGGCGAATTTCTCCAGCTCATCTGGATTCTCCCATTTCATTTGCTTCTCGTTTCTTGCTATGTTCTTAATGAGAGCTTCGAACTCAATCGCTTTCTTTAACAGCATCGGCTTCGTCGAGGGGATCATCTTGCTGCCAATCGTGTTGTAGAAACTCGCGACTTGTTGGAGCAAAACACCCGCTCGATAAAAACGCGCTGCTTTTCGGCAATTTTGTTGCACCTTCATATTCACTGGGAGTCTAAGCGCATGGATTTGCTTGACCTCGCATAGTAGCGATTCCCAGCGATCCGAGAACGAGAGCTCGAGCTTCTTTGTATTTTCGTTAAAGTGAAAAACATCCGACTTTTGGTCGAAATCGATGATCATATCGTCGGTTTCATCCTGAATATCTTCTTGCCACTGATGAAACAACTCCAGCCTCCGTGCATGTTCTTTTTGGTGGCGTTCTTTAGCACGAGTAGCAATTGATTCCGAGTGAACGGCTTCTCCAAGTTTATGAATGTTCCTCGCGATGCCCTCTTGCCAGAATGAATATATCATCTTCTTGATTGGGTTAAGATCTTCGGTTTTGTCTTCCATCGTCGCTTCCAGCGCAATTTCTAGCTTCTCCGCTACTGCTGCTCTTCGGTCGGGCATGTATCTCAGAATCGAGGTGCATTGACTGCATCTACTAACGATTTGCGTTGGCGATTTCGATTGATCGAGCATTTTTCTGACGAAATCGTCTAGTTCCGATCCATATCGCTCGATGAGGCTCTTCCCGATCTTTTCAGCAGACGCTTCTGGATTACTGACGTCTACTCTTGGAACAACAAGAGCTTTTCCAGTGACGCTATTAATCGTGTCCACTAACTCGCGCACAGCGGACACGTGACGACAGGACTGGATAAAAGTCTTGCTCTGCGCTGCGTTTTCAGTTCCCTGGGCGCCGATAACTTTTACAAGCTTCTCCAGGACTTCAAAAAGCTCATCTCCAGCGCCGTCGATGAATATGTTGCTCGCAGATTCGACGTATAGCGCGTCAGTGTATCTTAGAATTTGGTCCTTTTTCGAATCGGACTTTACTGAGCCAAGAGTTTCAGAGAGAAAAGTCAAGCCAGCTAGAAGCTCAGAAACACTCGACATTCCCTCTAAGTTCTTGACGAGTGCTCGACCTCTCGAGCCCAGTTCCAAAATTTCAGCTTCAAGAGCAGCACTGGTCGCACGACCGAGGGGAAGATAGGAGACTTCTTCATTTTGTGTGAATGTCTGAAAGCTGAGAGACGTCGGGTTATCGCTCAAATTAACTCCTTGTGGTTTTGTGAAAACGATCGCCTTCGCGCCAGATGGAAGAATATGTGTTGAATCAACCACTTGGACGGTGTCGCCAAGTTTTGTAACAATAAGTTGTTCCTTATTAAAATTATCGAAAAAGACAATAAACAGTCAATTTACCTGAGCTCCGTTAACGAACTCATCAAATTTCGAAGAATCACACTTTGAAGTGAAAAAGCTCTTTACAATCGTCTCTACCACGTTCATAATGATCTCATATTTTTTTTGTATTTCTTAAAGATAAATTGATGCTCACAACATAATCTAGAATGATCTCAACTTTTTGCTCTATTTGCAAATTTTCATTTTGAAATTGAGATCAAGGAAGAGTAGTTATTAGGAATAAATAACATTTATTCATTAGCAAGTAGAAAAGAAAAAATACAGAAGGATAAAATAGTAACTTGCCTAATTTGAATTTGAATGAATTTCGCACCACCTAGAGTCATGCTCACAATATTTCTTTATAAAATTTAATTGGAACTTATCAAGAGCCGTGGTCTGCAAAAGCAGCTCGCGTTGAGCACTGGGCGAGACGAGCTCGAAATTTCCGCGGTACAGCATTTCGGACGTTAATTGATTGACAGTATTGATTTGAGAAGGCGTTAGGCAATTTAGACAGAAAGGGTTTTTGTGGCAGTCGAGATTTGAGTCATTGTGACAGAAGGAAACCTCCCATGTCGCTGGGAGAAAAGTTGACGTCAGGCCGACGAGTTGAAACATGTTTTGCAGTACCGATTCGTATATTGGGGCGTTCGGAGGATGCGCTTAATTTTTCATTATTGAAAGGCAAAGAATTACTTAGAACTTACATTGGCTTGATAAATTTGGCGACATGTTAACCTCAAGAAGAAAGATGTTTGAATCTTCGTCGATCACAAAGTCCATTCGGAACATTTCGAACATCTGCCCCTCCTTCACCTGATAGTTCTTATAAACATTGAGAATTTTCTCCCTTTGGAGCTCCCAGACTTGCGCTACTGCTTCTTTGAACTTATTTTGAAACTCATCGATATTCTTTCCAGAGGCCTTCATGTGGCGCAAGAGAGCTTGCTTCATCGACGAACCGTTCTCCATGTAGGCGTTGAGAGTTGGAATGTCCCAGATGGTTGTGTAATCGTCGCCCACAACATAGCTATCGACATTGTTCGGGTCAAAAGGCTCGTATTCATCCTTGCAAAAGCGAATGAGCCACTCAGACTGGAGCATGTAAACTCGAAGTGGGTCAATTGAAGTGACAACAGTGTAAATTCCAATATCGAACTTTTTCTTGTCAATAATCATCGGTGGCTCGACCAGTCGCTGAACGAACTGCTCCTTCGTTGATCGCAGTTTTAAGAAGTCTTTTGCTTCGACGATCTTTATATTGCGATGCTTGCCACTTTTAACGACCCAATGTCCTTCAGGATTAGCTTTGGCGTATTCGTTGAACTTGTTGAATTGAGAGGGTAGCTCAAAAGCAGTCGGCATGTATTTATAATTGGTAAGTTTGGAGAGGGCCTGCTTGCTGGAGACCCAACCAGTTCCAGGGATTTTGTTGACTCTGAGGCCGGCCGGAAGGGTTTTGAGAAAGTTGCCGTAGTATTTTCTTGGAGGTTCACCAAAGGGATACAGATGGCTCCATAAGACGGACCAGGAGTCAGGATCGTAGCTTCTTGAGAATCCTGCCCGCTCGAAAACCTAGAAAATAAGCCTTATCAACATTCATTATTCCTCATTCCATACCTTGATAACATGGCTTAAATATCCAGCATCAACATGATCTCCCGACAAATAATACGTCTTTGAACACTCTTTTGGGTTTAATTTCTGAACTGCACTCAAAATCTCCACTTGGGAGGTAAAAAACAACACCACGAAAAGAAGCGCCCCAGCAGCGGCGACATATCTGGTTCGGAGTCTCATTTTGTTTTGTGAAAATTCAAACGCATTTTTTGGAGCGGCGCTGAACTTTCGATGATCTAGCGCTCTTAAAACACAAAAGGTTATTTGGATTGACTCGGTAGTTTATTTTTGCTTTTTCATGAAGAGTTTTTTGATGAACAAAGGAGGAGTTAAGAGGGAGAGCCAGTTTTAGCTGGCTCAACTTGAGTTTAAGAACAGGCTAATTGCAAATGACAAGACTACAGTCTTATTACTGAATAAATATTGTACACCCGGGGCATCGATCGTTTACTCAGCCTTGCTGTAAGCAGCCATGCCGAGGGTGAGGACAACAGCGAGGCCGATGGCGGCGTAACCGGTCTAAAACTGGTTAATAACCACACCTTTTTGAAATACTTACCTGGTAGAGGACGCCGACATTCCTGATGCCAACGGCGAAGATGTCCCAGGACCAATGTCGGAAGCCGAGGAGGATGTGGAACCAAAGTGGGAAGAGGAGGCCCATCTTGAGGGCGAAGATGCCGAAACCGTTTCCATTAGCTCGGGCCTCAGCGCTGAAATAAGAGTTGAAGGAAAGCTTGGGATCGCAGAACTTTACCCGAAGGTGGCGATGTCAGATGCGAGCGAGCCAGAGCTAAAGATGTCCAAAATTGGAAGAAGAAGGAAAGCACCAACGAGGGCAAAGGCAAAGATTCGGTTGAGGGCCGACATGGTCATTGGAATCGACCAGCTGTAGATCGTGAGATGAGGGGACATGGGTCGACCTGAGAAAGTTTCAACAATTCTTTCGGAAGAGACTTACCGAGTTTCTTGTTGGTAGCGAGCCAGTCGTCAACCTGAGCCTGGGCAGACTTGATGTCATTTTGGGGCTTGGCGACGTTGTACTGGATCTTGCTGGTGAGCTGAGAGCTTGAGCTCAAGAATCGGGTGTTGACAGATCGAGTGCAAAGCCTGGCCAACATTCTTAAAATCATGATCTTTACTGACTGAAAAGTTTTATCCTTTAGTTATAAAAATACAATACAGAATAGTAAACGAATATACATGTGCTACCACTTTTGACTGAATAATAGCTTTGTATCAGATTTATCAAGCGTTTTATTATCATCATAGCCGGCGAGATTTTCAAGATGGACACGTTTTTTCTCTTGCTTCAGTTTTTCTTCTGCTCGTGCTCGAGCCATGGCCAGGGCTTTTTTACGCTTAAGTTGCTCGATTAGAAGCTCTCTGGAGGATTTCGTCAGATCAACAACTTCATCTTCAGAATCCTCATCATCGTCTTCTTCATCGTCGTCTTTGGAGGAGCTTTCGCTAGAAATCTCGTGTACCATCGCAGCTATTTTTGCGGCTTTCTCTTTTATCGCTTTTTCGCGAGCTTTTTTCTCCTTGAGCCGTTTAAGTTCTTCAGCGAAATCTTCACGGACTTCCGTTCTTGAAGATTTAGAGGTCTCCTTTTCCGATGATTTTCTCAACTGGTCCTCAAAAAGTTGCGCGTTTCTCGCCTTTTTCTCTTCTTCAGCCTCTTTTGCAAGTTTTTCCGCTCGCTCACGATCTTCTTTTTCTTTCGCTTTTTTCTCTTTCAGTCGTTTTAGTTCTGCTTCAAATTTTGGATCGATTGCATTTGATGATTTTTTATGCGTGGATGATTTTTTAGATGACGAAGGTTCATAAATTAGCGTGTCAAAGAGTTTTTCATTTTGTGCGCGTTTATCAATTGGGCTAGCTGGGCGTTTTCGGGCGGAAGTTCTCTCCGGCGATGGAGGATAAGTTGGAATAGGTTTTTTCTTCTTTCCGAAGGCATTATTTTGCGCTTTGAGCATTTCTTCTCGAAAAATGTCTTCGTGGCTTTTTGTCGGCGTGTAAGTTGTATTTTGAGGAGGCTGAGGAGTATTTCCAGCTTCTTTTTGCGCTCTTTTGGCTTTGAGTTGTTCGCGGAATTTCCTCTTGATCTCTTCATTTGATTGTTGAGCGCTGCTCATGGCAGGTTTCGATGGCGCGGGGTTTGGTGCTTGAGCTTCCCAGGTTTTACCAGCAGGGAACTTCGGTTGGTATGTTTCTTGTGGACGCTCTTTTGGCTTCTTGGCCTCCTTCTTTTTAGCACTCTGAGCGCGGAACATCCGGACGAGGTCTTCATCGTCCTCCGCAAAGTCCCCCTTTGAAGATGTTTTTGGGCCATCATCATCTTTCAAAAAAATATTTACCAATAGAGAGAAGGTAAACTCACCGATTTCAATAGTTTCATCGGCATGAGGTGACTTTGAGCGTGGCTGTGGACCAAAATTAGGTCCCCTCGGTTCATCGTCATCGATAACGATTGGATTCTTGGTCGTACCGAAAGAAGTTCCCATGTCATTGATGATGATAACCTCCTAAAGATGTTTAAAGTTTAAACCCAATTGCGAGAAGATTTTAGCTTACATCGTCAACAAATGATGGTTTCTTCCCAACGCCAAATCCGATATCCGGCTCGGGCTCCAGATTTGGATCGAACTTTGGCTGATTTTTCTTCTTTCTTTCGTCGCCCTAGAAAAAAAAGTAAAGCCTTACTTAATAGAGCATTCTCACGTCATAGTAAGAGCTAGGCGGAGCAAACTCAGTTTGAGGCCGCTTTGTGATCCACTGAACGCGAATCGGCATCGGCTTGAACTGCTTGCAACGCTTTTCAGCAACCAACGCCGTCTTGGAATCTTGAAACTCGGCAATAAAAACGCCTGGTGGCGCATTTGGCGGAGCCTGAATGTTCAGCGCCCACAGAAGACTCCGCAAGTTTCCGATGCTCATTTTAAAGCTTGGGTCCACCATGAGTTTCAACTTTGCCATTGTTCGTTGATATTTCGCCCGTTGATCGCCCTTCCAGTCGTTTAGGAGATCTTCGCGGTACTTTTGGGCTCGCTTTTTCCTGGAGACATCTTGGGCAGTTTGACGGGCGGCGAATTTGTTTTTAATCCATTGAGTGTAGTAAGCTTCGCCTCGATTTAGAGCGTCCCATTCTTCCTCGTCTGCACGAGCTTGGTTCACTCCTTTAGGACCCGCCATATGATTGTACTACATAAGAAAGCTTAAGTGGAAGAGATAGAGAGATCTTCAAGTACCTGTGCCGAAAAAGCAGCATATCTTTGCCTGTCCCTCTCCGCTTGAACACGCTGATTATCGTATTCTGTCCTCTTCCCTTGGTCCTTCAGAAAGTCAAACGCTTCCTTGAGTTTGATAAAGTTCTCCTTCGCCTTTGGATCATTCGGATTTTTATCTGGATGCTTCTCCTTTGCAAGTTTTCTGTAAGCCTTGACGATATCTTTTTCCGTCGCTGCCTGGGTCACCCCAAGAGCTGCGTAGTAGTCTGGCTGCGATTTCGAATTCATCTGAGAAAAGAAATAGATTTTGATAGAGTTTTTGAGGCACAAATTGAATACAGTATCAAAGACAGAAAAAATGGAGTAAACTGAAACTGAAGAAGATAAACGCTGCGGAAGAGACATTTTAGATAAGTTTTTTTCGCGACTTCGTTGATTAGAACAAATTATTCATCATAATTTTCGTATTGAACAAAAATACTCTTCCTTGATTTCAAGGATCTTTGAGGGTTATTTCTTTTAGGCTGATCGAATGAGAAGAATGGTCATCATGCCGAGCACATAGGCGGCTATCAGTCGCTGAGCTTCGGTGAATTCTGGCAGATAATTTGACTGTGAAAGGACAGCGATACAAATCGACACTAAAAATAAGCTACCAGGGATGCTCTACGGAAAAAATTTTGTACCGAAAAACATGTAGTAAAAATGGTTTTGGTCGGTTTTCACTTGAACTGCGGGTGTTTCTGAAACCCGCGGCACAGGGCGCGGCTCTGGCGGCTTATCGTCGTCCAATATTAAATTCACGTTTTTCGCGTTTCGTCTGCTTTTATCTGTCATCGAGTAAAACTCAACCCTAGTACAGTTTCAGAAGAAAACAAAAAAGGATTCCTACCTGAGCTTTTCTTCCGAAGAAAGTGTCAATTTCCTGGCTCTGACTGCGATGTCGATTCGTTTGTTCGGCTCAATTTCACCTTTTGAAGGCGAAATTTGAAAGCCATCTTTCGATGTACAAAGCATCTTCGGGAAGTTGTTTCATTGGGAACTGGAAATGAAACTGTACCTTGTATTTAACCGGCTCATCGTTTGCATTGAAGAGGGTCAGGATCTGTTTTGATTCTGAAGGCGAAAAGCGCAAGGCAGGTGGCAGTACTGCGACTGTAAAAATTCATGAAAAAATGAGGAGAATTCTCATTTTCGTTTTCTCTACCTGATAGATTCATTCTAAAAAATTGGAAAAATTAAAGATACTTTTTTATAAAAAAATATATTTTAACAAAAATTTGAAAATAGACTTTGTGTCAAATAGTCAAAAAGACAAAGGGAGATACAAAAACAGGTAGAGAGTAATAAATATATAAAAATAGAGAGAGAAGATCTTTGGATCACAAGATGGCTCTTTTTCCGACGGGACTAAATACCCATCGTCGCGTAGCGCTTCCTGCGCTCTTCTTTGTAAATTTCAATTCGGCGGGCTTCTTGTTCGGGATCGTCGAGTTTTCCGATCCAGCGGATGGTTTTTGGGTCTGCGATTATCTTCAAAGAAAAATGAATAAGACAATAAATAAGTGCAAGATTTTCTTGAAGAAAAATCTCTTGCATAATGATTTTCGTTAAAGATTATGCTTTACCTTTTCTTTATTATCTTTTGGAAGCTCTGGCGAAGTAGAATTCGTTGTATCTGTATCTAAATTCTTCTTTTCATCCTTTTTCGATTTCTTCTTCACTCTTTTCTTGAGCTTTTTCAACCTTCGACCGCTCGAACTCGGCACCGCTGGCAAAACTGCAGGCATTCTTCTTTCTCTCTAGATCTTCTTGTTCTTCGGAATAAGCTCTTTTTTATCCTTTTGAGAACTTTCCCTCAATTTTTCCTTCAGCTCCAGCGGCGCGGCGGGGAGGCTCGCTGATTGGCCCGATTCGAGGCTCTTTCAGTACCATGAAGTTTTACTCTTTTGGGAGAAAGCCTCTGGCCCCCTTCCCCGTATCCCGCGCAAATCAGTGTCGGGGAAGTCTAGAAAATTTCTTTAACGCTTCCTTGGCGGTTTAAAAGAATCTCGAGATTCTGAAGAACAGAATCTGGAAAGTCCGAGCCAATAACAATGGTTTGCGCGGCTTCTCCCCCAAATTAGGCGCGCCCAGAATGAGCTACTGAAAAAGTCAGTGCATTTTTCAGTAGCTCAGATTCTCGATCTCCCTTTAGAGCTCAACTCCATGGTATTTCTTCAACGCGAAGACCATAATGATTTTGACAAGAAGGTTCTGGAAATTCTAGCGCCGAGAAATTAGCCATAAATGTGTCCTTTTCCCCTGACTCATGTGTGAAAATGTTTTAAAATTTTTTTCCTCGGTGACTTTGTTTTGATAAAATATTCTCTCAAACAATGTTTTCATTATAAAATGTTCAAACAATTGTTACTTCTGTTATTGCAGGCTTGTCATTATGGGAATTCAGACAATACTCTAATAACTTATTACTAATATTATTACTAAGTAATAAGAATTGAATATTTAAATTACATAAATCTGTATGTTAAAATAATTAAACATGTTTATTAAATGTTCCAAAAATTTCTTCAATGAATTCTTTGATGTTCATTAATGCGTTCCTCAGAAGTAGAAAGTATGAAAAATGTTTGATTGGTCGATTTTGAATTATAGATTTTTTGGGCACGCGCCGCGCCGCCGCACACCAAAATGAGCCACCACTTTTGCCAACTGTGAACCTTTCTATTTCCCAAAGAATCAACATTTGAGAAGAAGAAGAGAAAGAAAAATCAAATCAGAAACAAATGGAGTGGTTTGAATCTACGAAACACAGGGTCAGGCTCTGGGTAGCCGAGAAGTTTCCTACTCTTCATGAACAAGTGAGTGACAGTCTTTAAAATCGTCAAAATTAATCATCATTTTCTTAGGCACAAGTAGAAGTAAACGAGTCAAATTCGCGCAAAGTCTTTTTCCTGCACCAACTCCCCCCTGGCGAGGAGCAACCTTCAGTCCGAATCGACAATACGATTTCTTCAAACAAATACACCATCATAACATTTCTTCCTCATAATTTATTCGAACAGGTAGAGATCTCGATTCCGGATGAATTTCTGAAGCATTTTTAGTTTCATCGAGTTGCGAATTTCTATTTTCTATTTATTTTCATCATGGAAGTCGTGATGGATTCGCCTGTTTCGCCGTATACCTCTGGTCTTCCGCTTTCCTTCGTCGTCTGTATCACTGCAATTAAGGTACGCCAATAGACAATTCGAAAATAAACCCTTTCTTTAGCAAGCTTATGAAGATTACCTTCGTTACCGCGAAGACAAGAAGGAAAACAACAAGCTGATTTACGTAGTCCGCAGCGGCGTTCTCGTCCAAGACCGTTGCATGAACATACGCCCGGGTATAACACTCATTTTCCATATTCTACTCATCTAATATGCTCTTGATATAGGCGATATTGTGCGCGTGAGTGAAGGCGAAACAGTCCCAGCGGATTTGGTCTTGATTTCTTCCAGCGATCCGACTTATCATGCTTATTATAGGTAACAAACAAAAGGGGACAAAGCACAGATTAGAGATTTAATACTGTTTATAGCACAGCCGCGCTGGATGGCGAGTCGAATCTAAAAGAAGCCTCGGCGCTGAAAAAGACACAGTTTTTCAATACTCCGGCTGAAATTACGCAGATCCGATGCTATTGCGAAGTTCAAGGTAGATTTTCCCCTTCGAAACAGATCTTTCAAGATACAAAATCGAAGCCACTTCCGGCTTCGTGTGATGAAAGAACGAATTCCTAAACGGCTCCACGAAAATTTTCTCTTTTCGGCGACAAAAATTTATTCTAGCGCCGAATCCCGAGCTGTATCGTTTCGCAGGACGAGCTGTTTTCAACTATGGAGTCGGAGGCGAAAACGAAGAGATCTTTCCCTAACTCCAGATCAGTTCATCTTCCGCGGATCGATTTTGCGTAATACAGAATGGATTTATGGCCTGGCCGTGTATACTGGTGTTGAAACGAAGATGGTACAGAATTGGAAGGGAAAGCGGCAGAAGAGATCGAGCGCCGAGTTGTCGATGAATCGCTTTTTAATGTTTTACCTTATTTTGTTGTTTTCGTTGTCTGGATTATCTCTTTTCGTGGAGGGGATTTGGAACATTGGGCGGAGCGAAGAGTGGTACCGTATTCTTCTTGAACCGACGACTACTGGAGCTACTTTGGTCACTTTCTTTTCCTTTCTTGTCATATATAACTACGTCATCCCGATTTCTCTGTATGTAACAGTAGAAATGCAACGATTCGTCTCTGCTTTCTACATTTCCTGGGATGAAAGGTTTGCCTATAAAGCTGCGGACGGAGAAGAACTGCGAGCGAAGGTAAATTGCTCGGATATAAATGATGAGCTGGGACAAATTAAATTCCTGCTGTCGGATAAAACCGGAACGCTGACTGAAAACGAAATGAATTTGAAAAGCTGTTCGATTGGTGGGGTGAGGTTTGATCTTGTAGGAAAGGTTTATTTTATCTCCTAATAACACTGGAAGTTATGCAAACCCTAACGGATCATTTCAAGAAAAAATTCAAATTACATTTTTGAATGAACTTTAGAACGAAATGCTCTACTTATCTATCTTCGAGATGATCGCTATCAGTAAAAGTACAAAGCATGAAAGTAAAAAGACTTCCAGCCGAGTCATATTTTTATTTGAACCTTCAAAAGGAAATCAACTCGTCCGCGCGGACACCAAAGCCGAGCTGCTCCCCCACCACGACCCCGCCGTTTACCAATTCTTCCTCGCCATGGCGCTTTGCCACACTGTTCAAGCCAAAGTCGACCGAAAGCCAAAGTTCACCTCTCCCGAAGCTCAAGCGGGCGATTCCTTCACTCTTTCTCCCGCCAAACTCAACATACAGTACTCTGCCTCCAGTCCCGACGAGTTGGCGCTTGTCGAAGCGGCCAAAAACCTCGGAGTGGCGTTCACCGGAGCAAGCGAAGAATCCCCAAATATGATTCAAGTTCAAACATGTACAAAAGCTAGAAAATTCAGCGTAGAAGATGTCATCGAGTTTACATCAGCGAGAAAACGTCAATCTGTTATTCTCAAGGATGAAAATGGCGTTTATCTTATCCTGACTAAAGGAGCTGATAGTCATGTGCTCCCACTAGTCACACAGGGCCCAGTAAAGCAAATTGAGAACAGTGTGCTAGAATTTTCTATGGACGGATTCAGGACGCTTATTTTGTGCAAAAAGCTCGTAACTCAGGAAGAAGGAGACCGACTTGTGAAATCTTTATCCGAAGCAAAGTCGATCGTAAACGACGCTGTGCGAAATAAAGCACTAGAATCGATCTACGACGAAATCGAGTCAGACCTTCAGTTGATGGGAGCAACTGCAGTGGAAGATAAGTTACAGACAAATGTAGCATCAACGATGGCGAATTTGCGAGAAGCTGGAATTTTCGTATGGGTTCTGACTGGAGACAAGGAAGAAACTGCCTTAGCTGTTTCAAGAATGGCAAGACATATTGATTCATCGACGAAGATTCTAAAAATCGAAGGCGAAAATACGACAGAAATTGGAAGATCCATCGCCGATGCGATTCGTCAACTCTCTCCTGGAAGCGAATTCGGTGGACCGATCAGGAAAAATTGCGGGCGCGGATGGGCGCTTGTCATTCCTGGCGCTGTCGTTTCCGTTGCGATCAGAGATCACAAAAAGATTCTTCAGACTTTGCTTATTCAAATCCGTCCGGAATCAGTTATTTGCTGCCGAATGGCGCCAATTCAGAAGGCTCAAATAGTGAAACTCGCAAGAGCACATGAAACTGGCAATGATCTGACCCTCGCAATCGGTGACGGGGCTAATGATGTATCGATGATTCAAGAGGCCCATGTTGGTGTCGGCATTTTCGGTTAAAAACAGATTTATTTTTTGTTTTCATCATCATCTTTTAGGAAAAGAAGGACGAGCTGCTGCTCAAAATGCAGATTATGCTATCCCTCGATTTTGCCATCTGGAAAGGCTTCTTCTCTTCCATGGGAGAATGTTCTACGACCGTCTTGGTAACCTGATTCAGTACTTTTTCTACAAGGTATTCCTCCATCAATAATTGAACAACCACTAACATCGCTAAGAACCTGACATTCGTTCTCCCACAAATTCTCTTCCAGCTCCAATGTGGCTTTTCCCAAACAACCCTCTACGATGGCATCTATCTAACAATGTACAACACGGCCTTCACTGCATTCCCAGTGCTGTTCTACGGAATTCTTGAAAGAAATCTACCTGAAGAATCTGTCGAGAAAAAGCCACACATTTACAAAGACAACGCAAATAATAAGTAAGTTTGGTTTGAGTCAGTTTGTGGCAAAATGGGTCGGTCTTCAAGGGGGTGTAGCTCAAATGGTAGAGCGCTCGCTTAGCATGCGAGAGGTACCGGGATCGATACCCGGCATCTCCACACCTTTTGCTTTTGCTGATAAGAAGTAGTTACTGATAAGAGTCGACCTCCTTAATTTATACTACTGTTTCCTCTTTTCAATGAATAAGTGAGAGCTTTTGCATCATTTTTCCGACAAAAATGATTCAGAGGAAATTATAATGAATTAAATGATTTCACAGTCTCATCAGTTCTACTGACAGCAGCAAATCATTATCAGTAAAACTAAAAGGTGTGGAGATGCCGGGTATCGATCCCGGTGCCTCTCGCATGCTAAGCGAGCGCTCTACCATTTGAGCTACACCCCCTTGGGGGGATGGCAACAGTGCCCCTATGATAGCGGCCCTATCTGTAACTTGCTAATTGTCTTCATTTAGGCATTTGTCCATGAGAGCGTTTGTTCGCTGGACCGTCGAAGGTTTCCTTCATGGATTGATAATTTATTGTTGGTCTTCGATCTACTACCACGGCAGGCCGTCGGACAACTTCCAGTTTGGTATTGGCTGCTACACGAGCATTGTTCTTGTGGTCACAGCTAGACTCGCTGTTGAGACGTCTTGCTGGACGTGGCTAACGCATTTGGTTCTCTGGGGCACTATCCTTAGGTTTGAATGGCTCGCTGGACCGGGCGATATTATTCTCTTTTTTTAGCTACTTCATCTTCGCATTCATTTACTCCTCCACTGTCTGGAGCTTCTCCGCCCATGGCGGCAACGTCTACTGGCTGATGCAGCGTCAGTGGGGCTCCGCATACACCTGGCTTCTCATACCCATCATGCTTGTAATTTGCATTTTGCCCATTATTGCCCAAAAAACCTTCATGAACGAACTCTTCCCCAGCGAGACGCACATCGAAATGGTAATTTTTCAAGTCAAATTTTTATCAGAAAAAAGCTCATTTTAAAAACTTTTAAAATGAAGGAAAAAAAGGCGAATCGTTTGTAGAGTAGAATCATTTCGGTGTTTGTCAAAAAGACGGAAATTGTTAAATTCAGCGTCAGGTGAACATCCAGTCCTCTCACGAAGACTACACGATATCTCCAGTTTACCAGCTCAATCGCCTCATCCGCTGGTGGCAAAGAAAACGCGGCCACGAAGATGCCCAGCCTATACCTATCCACCAAAGTCAATCTTATGACGGTATTTTCTGTAGGTCTGACGATATGAACAGATTTGGCATTTAAAAAGAATTAACTAGATTCGGAACTAGAAAGATGAATTTAAAAAACTTTTTGCAGGCAAAATTCTGACTTGGTCTGATTTGTAGCCCTATAGAAAGCCCGTAAAATTTCGAGTCGATTCGACCAAGTCGTTTTTGAAATTTTCTAGAGAATGACGTCACAAATGACGTCAGAAAATTCCAAAAAGCCGAAACTTTGAGTCTTATTTTTACAGTGTTCCTGATCGAATTTTTCGGTGTTCTATAGCACAAATGAAAGCTTATTAAAAACTGTACTAAGGTTTTAAGGATTAGGAAAAAAAATTTGAAAAATTTGGCTCTAGAATTTTCCGAAAAAAAAATTTCGAGCAAATGAAAATCCAAGAAAAACCTTAGTACAGTTTTTCATAGGGATCAATTTGAGCTATAAAACATGAGAAAATTCCGTCAAAAAGGCCCAGGAAAAGTGACTCAAAGTTTGCCCGAAACGGCTATTTTTGCCAACTTCTAGCGTCATTTATGACGTCATCGTCTGATTGTTTTGGTCTGAAACTAGTCCAGTCGACTCAGAATTTTACGGGCTTTCTGATGAATATAAAAACAGGCAAAGTCAGGATTTTGCCTGCAAAAAGTTTTTTAAATTCATCAAAGCATCGTAGTCAGAACCTAGAGAAAAGCCCGTCCATCAGAGTTCATTAAATTCCGAGTCGCTTTTCCAAATTTAGGCTCACCTACACTTCTTCAACGAAAAGACCAAATAGGCATGATCTTCATCTATTGTGAGCATTTACTCGTTCAGTACTCTCTCTCTCTCTAGCGTGACAGTAGTTGCTGATGTATAACATACGCATTCATTTTCTTCAACCTGCATTATTTCTACTAGTATTTCATTTTTTTCTGAAACTGTACTCAATGGATAACAAAAAAATATAACTTCGTGAAACTACGGTATTCAAAATTGATTTGTTCTCCTTACAGTGAGGTTTTTTGCAATCGAGTCGGGATGAAATAAGACTTTGCAGGAGCCTGAATTTAAAAAAATGGTGGAACCAGATGTAAAAGGAGATGCAAAAGGTGAGGCGAATCGAAATTTCGCATGTTTTATGTTGTTTCTGAAGTGCCAGAAAAAAGAAGAGCGAAAGAACTAAAAGAGCTGAAAGAGGGTTGCAAATTGCGCGTGAACCGGTTTCGATCAGAGCGCACAGAATGGACCCCTGCAGAAATCCTGTCGATCCGTGATTGTGGAGATAGGTGGACTGAAAAGAAGCAGTTTTACATTCATTACGTCGACTTCAACAAGCGTTTGGACGAATGGGTTGATCAGGATCGACTGGACTTGTCTTCTGTCGAATTTCCAGCCCAAGTACGTTCTACCCATGTTTGTCTTTCACTAACTCCTCGTAGCCCAAAGACAGCAAAAAAGCTTCGAACAACCATTCGCACCAAAATGGACACACGCATCCGCCAGCGAGAAAGAGCCAAAAGTAAGTTTCTCTCTAGATGATTTTAAAAAAATCTTGATGGTCTCCGAGACCACGAAAATATTCTCGTAATAAGCCGGTTAATCGCCCAGTGTTCCCTCCAGAGATTCTTTTGCAAATTGAAAAATGTCAAGAGAGACTAGTTTGGCAAAACTATACGGGGAAGACATTTGGGATGAATATTTAGACGATAATGACAAGGAGTAAAGAGAGAGCATTTTAGATTTTGAATTGAAAATGATGTTTTAGGAGAAAAGCGAGCAGGGTCGAAGAAATTTCCGACGAAAATGTGGACGAAGAAAAACGGCCAAGGAGCACTGGATCCATGGTCCAAAACCCCCACGACGACATCACCACGCGCATCAAGAATTTCGAGTGGCTCGAATTGGGCAGATATCGACTTCAGCCTTGGTACTTTTCCCCTTACCCACAGCAGTTGTGCAAGTTGGGAAAGATCTACCTATGCGAGTATTGCCTGTGCTTTATGAAGTGCTTAACTTCGCTGAAGAATCATTTGAGAAAGTGCAGAATGCGATGTCCGCCAGGGAATGAAATTTACAGGTAACACCTTTTTCTTCGAAAAGATAGACTTTAAAATACTTTCAGAGACAAAGATCCAAAAGAAAAAGACAAGGGAATCTGCATCTTTGAGCTCGACGGTCGGAAGCACAAGACTTACGCCCAGAATCTCTGCCTCCTCGCTAAATGTTTCCTCGACCACAAAACACTTTACTACGACACAGATCCCTTCCTTTTCTATGTCATGTGCGAGTACGACATGTACGGCGCACACATTGTCGGCTATTTTTCGAAAGAAAAGGAGTCCGCCGAAGACTACAATGTTGCTTGTATATTAACACTGCCGAGTTATCAGCGACGAGGATTCGGAAGATTGCTGATCGAGTTCAGCTACGAGCTCTCGAAAATCGAGAAGAAACAGGGGACGCCAGAAAAGCCTCTTTCAGATCTTGGGTTGCTCTCGTATCGCTCTTATTGGACTCAAACGATCATGGGTAAGACTTAAACTTTTCGGATCCCGGTTGATGGATGTTCTAGAGATCCTGGTCGAGCTGATGAAAGAGGAAGAAGAAGAGAGAAGCAAAATATCGATAAACGAGATTTGCGAGAGGACGAGAATCCACTGGAAAGATGTTCAAAGGTGACTTTTCCTTTTTCAATTTTTTTGTAAAAAATGTTCAGTACACTTCTGCACCACAAAATGATTGACTGGTACCGTGGCAGCTACGTGCTAGCAATCGACAAGAAAGAAGTCGACACCTACCACAAAAACGCGCAAAAAGCTCAACTGCGCATCAACCCGAAGAACATCCAGTGGACGCCAAAAGACTGGACGAAGCGACTCGGGCGCAACTAGATGCAATTCGTCATTCAATTATTTTCTTTTACTATCGTTTTACAGCTTCATTTAACTCTGCACTTGACACAATACAAAGAATAATGTTCAAAAATACTTTACGCGTTGACTTTAGAATAAGATGGGAGTAACAGTTGTCTTTCAATGGGAGCTTGTCGATGGGCAAACCCACCAGCAAGCAATTCAAGAGCTACACGGAAGAATCAACAATACAGGAGCAGTGCAAGAGGGGAAGTTTTACTATGAATCGAAATTCTACCAAGCGTCTGATTCTTCCACTACTCGAGGGAAAGTCTTGAGCTGATAGTTAAATCTTAATTTAAAAAGTGACTATTGAAGACTTTTTCTAAAGATTTTTACACACTGAAGACTTCGGAATACCCGGTTACCGTCTTTGCCAGAGTAGATGATTCGACAAAAGTATGATCTCAAAAATGAGTAAAAAGGAACATTTTATTAGGATAAAAATTCGTGTATCCAATGCGATAGCCCGATGGAAAGTCTACTAATCAAACTCCGCGAGTTTTTCACACCGAAACGAACTTTCGAAATCAGAGGAACAAGATTCAAACTTGCGGACTTTTGGATAAGACCTGGAATCGTCACGAGTAGTGGATCGAATAAATGTGTTACGGTTGAAATTGAATACACTCCAAGCGTAAGTTCCATGATTCGCTTTTCTAAGAGATTATATTTTCTTTTAGTACTTTGCTGATGATTGCTGGCCTTTGTTCTCTGAGCTTGGGTCGTATATTCTGAACCGGCCGATTGATGAGAAACCGCCGACATGAACGGATTATGAAATTTAAGAGGCAAAGAATTTTTTTGAATATTATATTTACAGGGATCATTGAACAGACAGACAGATATACATTAATAAGTTACTCAGAGTCAGAAGCGCTGCCAACAGAATTGGCTTTAGTATTTGGGCTGGCTTTTCGAAGTCGGATTCGTCGGTTCTGGAACCAAACTTTGACGGTGTTGATTTCAAGGCCGAGCTGACTGGCGAGATTGTGTCGTTCTTGACCAACAAGATATTGGCATTTGTTGAATGCGATTTCGAGCTGCTCGAGTTGGAACTTGCTGAAAACGGTTCGCTTGCGAGATCTCGACGATTTCTTTTCAGAAGTGTTTGGAAGTGGGAGGTTGTATTCAGTCGAAAGCCCGAGAATTCTGTCGATTCCAAAAGCGAGGTCGATGGATCGGATGGTAGTTGGAATGGTAGCCATTTTTTCTTGAAAGCTCTTGTAGTTTTTGAAGAGTGTTGAAAGTTCGTTTCGATTTCGAGTTAATCGAGTGAGTCTGTGATTTGATGATGAATCCAAATTCTGAGCGCGTTATAAAGGTGAGATACCGGTGGCGCCAAACTAATTTTTGCGCGACTTTGAACGAGCCCAGCTGGCGGCAATCACCCGGTGGCGCTGGGAAGATGGGCGTGATTGATATGCAGTAGCAATCACAGGAGTTCGAGAAATTGTGACTAATTACTCCCTACTGATTGCGCGCGCTGATTGCTTTGATGCGGCGTACCGCGCGGTCGAGTGCGAAATTGATCCAACAACTTTCCCAGAACAGTATTGACCCACTTTCCGATATGATTTTACGCGTACAAATTTTTACTGGGGTATGAGTGTGAAAGTTAAATTTGAATTGCACCACAGGAAGCGTGTCCGAACATGGCGAGACTAATTGAGAAATGAAAAAATATGTTTATTTTTTTTTTGGAATCAAGTCATAATTGACAAGAATAATTTTGTGACCACACATTGCATTTAGTTTTACAATTTTTAAAATGAAACGAGATACAGTCTGAGGAATAAACCAAACGCAGGGACAAAACTTATGCTAATTAATCCTTAATAAAGTAATGGAAAACAACAAGCAATTCAACCCTGGCATGATGGTCCAGCAATACGTCGAAATCTTCTCGAGAAAAGCCACCACTCAAGCAAATTTCCAACAACCGATGAAGCAAGAGCAAATTCAAGCGTACAACACGCAAATGTAGATCAAATTCTATTCCGTTTACTGTCCACTGCCAGAGTAAACATAAACTGCTTGTTCCTTATTCATTACTACCATGGAGTTGAGCTCTAAAGGGAGATCGAGAATCTGAGCTACTGAAAAATGCACTGACTTTTTCAGTAGCTCATTCTGGGCGCGCCTAATTTGGGGGAGAAGCCGCGCAAACCATTGTTATTGGCTCGGACTTTCCAGATTCTGTTCTTCAGAATCTCGAGATTCTTTTAAACCGCCAAGGAAGCGTTAAAGAAATTTTCTAGACTTCCCCGACACTGATTTGCGCGGGATACGGGGAAGGGGGCCAGAGGCTTTCTCCCAAAAGAGTAAAACTTCATGGTATATTCCTGCAATAAAATGAAATGTTGAAAATTCAGTGACAAAATGAGTCGGACTCTCGCTGGTAAGACGGTTGCTAGGCGGGCCAGGACACCGGTTAGAATGACGGAAGGCCAAAGAATTACAGAGCTCGTAAGAATTTATTTACTGGATGGTTCAAAAATAAAATAAGGGTTCTCATTCAATCGGATCTTCAATAACTCATCATATTTACTCTTCCGATCGTTTTCGCCCAGAACCTCTGATCGCACCAGCTCAAAAAAGAATAGTCTACGAGAACCACACTCCGACAATTCTTGCTCACAAAATGGAGGAATCATTTCACGAAAAACTCGAAGCTGCCCGAGCGAAACTTGTCTTTGGCCAAATCCGTGCAATTGTTGCATTCATTATTACCACAGGAAGTTGCATGTATTTTTATTTGAAATACACTGGCGAAAAGCAAAAGGAACGAATTTCAAGAACTGCTTCGGATATTGGTCGTGGAGCTCTTAGGCGCGGATTTGAAATATGAAAACATTTTTATTAAAAATTATTGATTTACATCCGCGATAAAGCAATCAAGAACTAGTGGAGCAGGCGAATAAACTCTCCCTGAACATCGTGCACGGGGTTCTTAATGACCCCAAAATTAGGTCAGAAGTGACGAGATTACTCTCCGACGTTGTGCAATCCGGTCAAGTTACAGGCATCGGCCGGCCAAATCTCCAAAATCCCAATTTCGAAGACGATAAGCAATTAAGCTACTGTTGCCATTATTCGGGCTGAAAGATTTGTCGATCGAAATGATGAGAATCGTCGCTTATCCTTGTAAATAAAATCCTGAATGATCCAAACATTCAACAATCAGTGGGCGCCTTGCTGCATGACCAACTTTTGAAAGCACTCGCAGACGAGAAGATCCAATTAGCCGTCCAGCGACTTGTCAAGGATGTTTTTCTGTCGGAATCCATCACGGAAACCGTAAAAACCGTACTTGGCGACGCTCTGGTCAGTGATTATGTGAAATCAGCGGCCACGGCGGCAGGAACTCATGCGACTCAAGGCAAAGGTCACAATTAACAAAATGTAGAGTCTGCCTCGGTTTTGGGGACCCATTCTACCGATAACCGGAAACGATTTTATTTGACCCATTTAAAAGCAATCATCGCCGACCAATCGGTGCAAGACAATTTGTCAGGTACCTATTCTACGAACTTTCGCCCTTTGAAGCTCGCTTTTATCTCTAATTACGATCATCAGATGCGATTTATGGTGCATTGAAACCGTGGCGATCGCGATCCCCGCGGCAAGTTATTACACCTTCGCCCGCGCGACCCGCCAAGAAAGCTGATGCTATCGATGAAACAGATACTGTCACTGATAAAAGAAGTTCTGCTGCAAGGACGCCCGCCGCGCGCGTTCAAAGCGAGCCGACACCCGAGCCGAGGATCGACTGACAAGTTCAAACACATAAATCGCACCCATTAATCGGTTGTTCAATAATTTCATGGCTATAAATTAGGCTCTGAATCACACTATCTCTACGGGATATTTCTACTACCTCCTATCAAGCCTCCTTTCAAGTTCACACCGAGTTCAAAATCGATACCTTCATGTACCAAGACAATTCTAACCGGAAATCGAGCTTTAGTATGACCGACGAACTCAAAACTGTCCTCCAGAATCTGGTCCTCAAGCAAAAAATTGGTGGACTTCTTGGAGTCACGATCATTGACAACTTAGGAAACGATTTACACAATTCTCGTGCCCCAAAACTGGGATCATGAGTCATTTTTGAAGAATATATGCTGGGTTTTATTTAGTCTTTAGTTTGTCCAAGAGAAATTCGGCTGTTGCTGAAGAATTCTCCTTTGACAACGTTAACTCGTCGGTTTTTTCCATCGGGAATTTCCAGTGGAGGTCGGGCACCTTGGTCATCGTTAGAGATGTTTAATTTTAAATGCTTACCGTATTGAGCGTTAGACAAGAGAGGCGTCACTCTTCGAGTTTCTTCTTGATAAACGTTGAGGCCGCTGAATGGCAAATCTCATTAATTTGATTGTGGCGATCAATGGCTTACCGCGATTTAGCATTTGACCTGTCATCGCGGTGAAGCTTTGGATCGTAATTGCAGTCAGCGTTGAAAATACGGTTGTACTGGCGGTTGTCGATGTTCTTTCGGGAGTGGCTCGTCGTGTCAAACTCGTAGTAGGCGTTGTTGAAGGGGCCTGATTTATTAGACAGGGATCAAGTTAGATACAAATACCTTCGTTTTGTGCCTTGACCTCATCATCTTCCAGCCAGGTTCCATTTTTCTGACCGTTTCGCATTGCGATAGTCTTAGTTATTCTCTCTTCTCGGTGACAGTACTCCATCCACTGCCCTGTAAATTTATCCCGTAAATATTGAATTATTTAATCCAGTACTCACCCATTTTGGTGCCCGGACTGGGACTTTCTCGGCCATAATTGGACATGCGCATCTTTGCAGAAATCTAAGTTTCCAAAACTGAGGATTTTCTCGCTGCAAACTTTGTTTAGCAGTTATGTTCTAGAAGATAACGTCAAAGTGTCTGTGTATCCGCTCTATCCATGGCTACCGCATTTGCATATAGAATCAAAGAAACTTTCGTACTTATGTTGATTATTAATTGGAAAAAACGGTAGTTCTGTAAATCGTTTTATCAGGAGTCCCAATTTTTCAGCAGCTCCATCAGTCTTTCGAACAAGCTGAGCGCAAATTTGAGCTCAGTTCGTCCAGATTTCTTTCGCTCAACTCAAACTCTTCAGGTAAACAAGCCAAATGAACTGTTCATCACTTTCTTTAGGCATTGACAAGCAAATCAACCAAGGCGAAAACCTGTATAATATCGCATTCGGCACCAAGTACCAAACTGTTCAAATCCGAAAACATCCGCTTACGATAATCTTTCTTGCCACCTCAAGTGCTTCCACTGGTTACCCGCCCATTCAGCAAAAATAACTATTTTTTTATTTCAGGATTGATTTTAAAGGAGTCGAAAGAGCTCGATACTTACTTTTCTCAGCTGCAGACGAACGCGAGAACGCACCTCCAGATTCAAAACTAGACGTTAGATAAGCAAATTTTTCATACTCTTCGTTGTTTTCATCATGTCCGCTGCCGATATTATTAAAGGTACGGGATGAGACATTTTAAATATTCTTTTGTTAAAGTGGAAATTAAATGTTCATCCTTTTCGTTAGAAACAGAAACTGCGCTCAAAAATTTCTTGAACAAACTTCCCGATCCGAAAAATGAAGAGGTCCGGATTTTCGACCCTTCCGCGATCATTCTTCTTCGAACTTTTCCTCGTTATCAGCAACGACTTGGCACTTTTGATGTGACCAAATGGAGCGGCAAGCCTGCCTGTTTTTCACCTACCTTCTGCGCTATCTACGGCTGGAGCTGTAAAGAAAAGGACGTGTTGAAATGTCCTGATTGTGGAGAAGTTCTCCTTGCTGAGCTACCCCCACGAAACAACGATTACTTCCCGAAGAAAGTCGATCATCTCTTGACCATGCTCCAGTCTGGCCACGCAGACTACTGTGAATTCGCCAATTCGCACGAGCCATTCGAGTTTTTGAAGAAAAACGACTCACCGTATCTGTTCAAAAAACGCCTTCAAACCTTTCCCGGAACGCTCGATTTCCTACCGAAGGTTACATCAGGAATATCGGAAGAAGATCTGGACTTTTTGAGCAGATACTTTTCTTACTGCGTCAAAAATAAGGTGGGAATGAAACATGTCAAACTCTTTTTCAATCAAATATTCAGAAATTACAACGCGAGATCCTTAACTTGGCCGTCAATGGATGGAGTTTTCACCACGAGGATGAGACCGACTACTTGCTATGCGAGGACGATGTCCGCCAAATTCCGGAACGGTGAAGAAATTCGAGACCTTTGAAAAGTGTATGTTCCTGTTCTTCTGCAAAGTCTTCACCTTGTCCATTTTTAATGAGTATGATTATATAATTCGAATATTTAGTTTACTAATTTTATTCTCATCGCAAAAGACGCTAGAAATCTCTTCTGATTTCTGCTAACTCGGTGTAGATCTTTGCAGGAGAGCATGATGCACTTTTTCATTGAGAGCAAAAGTAGTATACAAAACAGGCACAATACAGAGGCTTTGAGGTCTCCCTATTGTTATTTTTGTCGTTTTCATGAAGGATTTTATTGATACAGAAAATATTTTTAGAAAGCATTTTAAGCGCACCTGTACGAAATTATATTGAATATAGTTCGACTACAGCTAATTATCAGGATGAAAAAGTTACAGTAACTTTTCAAGCGTATGTTGTATCTTGGTATATAGAATTGTTTTATTTTGCGCACGAAGTCAGAAAGTAAGAAATGGTCCAAAAATAGTGGAAGAGAATAAAAATATAATAGTTTTAGTATATAGAAGCGAAGTAAAGACTAAATTCAAACTAAACACTACTGTAGTTGTTCCCAGATACAGTTGTGTTTAATTTCGATCTCGTCTTGTGTTAGGAACAACTTTAGGCACATCAGGATATTATATGGTTATTGCACTTATTTGAACAAAAGTAAAATAAGGATTATTTTTTGCATTCAATCTTCATCTGGGCTGAGAGATGATAATAGAAATTTTATCTAAAAGAAAATAGATGATAGGGAAAATGATTTCTGCTCTGCAGGCTGCTCGGCAGTTTCAGTATCGCCTGCTTCAGTGGGTGCTGGGTTAGTTTCGGTGGTGGGTTCGGCTACTTGCTCGTCTTCAGGGTTAACGTCGGGCAATTCAGATGCCTCGGTGGCTAGTGATGTGGGTTAGATGAATTACCATAAGAATTTTTTGGCCGAAAAAAATTTTTTTGAGATAAGAACATATTCTGAAAGCCCAAGTCAAAATTAGTCGATTCCCAAATTTCTAGGGCTCAATGACATCATTATGACGTCATTTATGATGAATAAATGTCCGAAAAGGCTCCAAATTCATGAAAACTTGGAATGCTTTTTGAGGCGGTTTTTGCTGGAAATAGATTTTTCTATTGATGACATGTTGTTCGCTATCAAAAACTACGTAGGGACCCGAGGTTTATTTTTCGAACCGACAGGTTTCAAAAATTGAACCGGTCGGTAATGGTTGATATTCAATGGTTTGATCCCGGGTCCCTACGTAGTTTTTCATAGAAAATCCGAATCCGTCGAGAAAAATAAAATTAAAAAACGTTTTCGGCTCGAAAAAGCGTTCCAAAGACAAAATTTTCAATTCAGCCCGATGACGTCATAATGACGTCATCTGACCCTAGAATTTGGTGATTCTGTATAACTTTTATCGGGCTTTCAGAATATACCAATATCTCAAAAAAAATTTTTTTGCCCGAAAAATTCTTATGGTAATTCATCGTTAGTAAATGTGAAATTCTGCTGGGATTAGTTTAAATGTTTTTCTAAATTCTTACCTTCAGTACCGGCCTCGGAGGCTTCCGGCATAACAGTCTTAGGGTCGTCAATCTGTGGGGTTTCTTCTGTGATCGACAGTTCCGCATTGTCAGTAATCAGGTCTTTATTCACTAGTTCTTCATTCACCTCTTCGTGAATTTCGGTCACATCTGCGGTCATATCTTCAGTAACCTCGCTAAGCGCGTTTGTTTCTGAGTTGTTATTCGCATTTGCGTTTTCCTCGATGTTGAGCGTCTTGTTCTCGGGAACAATGATTTCCTCTCGCGCTTCTTGGGAGCTAACTTGGGAAGCGGTCTCATCACCCTTTCGCCTGAAGCTGACCTTGGTCGCTAAAGCGTTTTCGATGAGAGTAACATCTTTGTTTTCCTCGTCGTCAGAGTCTTTCAAGTCCTCCTTGAAGTTTTCAATGACCTTCATTTTATCCGAAACGATAGAGAATGTTCGACCTTGGGTCTCTTCAACCGGCTGTTTTCCTCCAGAGATCCAGGACCAAACTGGCCAGATGATTCCACCCTCGGCGATGCGCTTCTCCTTTTCTTCCTCGAGGGACTTCTCGGCATTCGCGAGCGCTTCCATCATTCTTCGCTTGACCTCTTCATTTCGTCTGTATTCTTCTTCTGCACGGATTCCGAGCTCGCAAATCGAGTTGACCATGTTTTCGATGTCAATTTCTGCAGGAATTTCATCAATAGCAATGACGATATTTTCGCCAGCTTTAGCAAGTGTGAATCCTACTCCAGAGTCGAGTTCTTTGAGACACCGGAAGACCTCTTGATTGATCACATCAGCGGGCGCGGCCTTTGGGATAATGGCGATCGCGCCAAGCTTGAGATCCTCATTCGGTTCTAAGAAGAGCTTGATATCGCTGCGGGCGCTCGTTGATCGCCACAGATCCCACGCTTGATCGAAATACGATTCTATTGATGGCAAGACAGAGTCGATGGTTTCTTTCATGAGATTGAGATCCGCTTGTTGAGCACCTATTCAAACATAATCAATTTATTTTACCGAATAATAGTTTCTATTTGAGTGGGAACCATTCAAACATCTCATAAGACGTACCCTTGAGAGCAGTGACCAGCGATCGGATTCTAATACACGATCCCTCGTCATTCATCGTCTCCTGACAATCGAGCTTGTCGCATTTGTCCTGCAGGGTCATGAGTAGCTTGTAATTGCACACGTCGAGCAGCGCGTCCGTAAACTCGTTAGTGACAACTTCGGTCTTCGGAGCCCATTGAAAGACAGTCACTAGTGGAGGGGCTGGCGGAGCCGTCAACTGTTTCATCGTATCCTTGACAAAATCACCGAAGGAGTTGTAATCAGCGTCGCTGTGCTCTTCCACGCGTTCTGAAATTACACGGTATATTTTTCAAGTGCTTGTTACACTGAGATAAGAAGGGGCCGCGTACCTTTTACGGAAGAGTTAACATCCGCGAACTGTTTGAGTACCAATACAAGGTCGTTTGTGATTCGCATCGCGTTGTTTATCCTGTGGCGAATATTCGCCGCGCCGGAGAGCTGAAGCGCAGTCCAGACTGGCAGCAAATCGTCCTCCCAGGGTTGGCAGCGGATCGGGTTGTTGGCGGAACGCATGCAGAAGAGGCTTGGCAAGCCGAGCATGCAGAAGTCAGACGGTTTCTAGTGAAAGTATTAAATATAAGTATAGAAAAATAATTTGTGATTTACCAAGGTAATAGAATTAGCGGCGAGAACAGGAGCGCTTTTTGATGGAATCGTGAAATTTCCAAGCATAGGAATGTTATCGCCCTCAAAGTGGCACCAGATCTGGAACTTTCCGCAAATATGGAGCAAGGATTCAACCTAAACGCCGTTACACAAAGCTCTCTTTAGAAGATATACCTTGTCATCAATCGCACTTTCGCTTCCAAAAGAACCGATCAAAGCGGTGGGCTCTTTTTGAGGATCGTTAGCGTCAGCCTGCACTTGTTTGAAAAGCTTATTCACATCAAAAGGAGTCTAAAATTTGTGTTTCTTTTGTTGGAAAAAGCACAAATGTACCTTGTCTCCATTTATTCCATCATTTATTCTATGGACATTAAAACACTCTTTTGGCAAGCCAAGTTCGTTCTGAAAGAACAGAATCCAAGCGGCTGGAATATCGTCTGTTACATAGATAACAGGCGCTTTCACTGAATCGCCTTTGACATATCTTCTGTAACCAAGAGGCGATTCTTCGTTTTGCTGGTTGTATTTCACAGCTAAAGCGCATCTAGAATGGTTTAAGAGTCTAGTTTTCAACGATATGCGTACCTTAGAGCTTTGAGCATGGGCTGGCGAGGGTCTTTGTAAGCATTGACAGTGGCTGCCTGGAATCGGAAAATATTCCTAATCCAGTTAATAACATCGTCTTGGATTTGGTTTAGAATTTCACAGCGGAACTCTTCATCGACAAGGCCGAGACGATTTTGTAACGAGGATCCTAGCTCGTAAACGGACGGGACAGTGGGAATTCCGAGCTCTTTTCCGATGTCTTCTTCAGCTGAAAAGAGCAGGAAGTATTTAACAAGGACGTTGGAATTATCGGGAGACAGGTCACATTTATGGTGATATTTTGAGACTTCATTTGTGAGTTACCTTTAATCAAAGGAATGTCGGCAGCTTCTGGAGTAGGATCTGCGTTGAATTGTGCAAGGGTAGCCTTAAAACGCATAGTTGCAATAATATGTTTTGGGAGAACGACAATAGATCTTTAGAAGCTCTAGAATCACCTTCAACGACTTCTCCATCTCCTGCCATTCCGGCGACGATTCGAGCTCTTTCTGAAAGTCGTCGGCGAACATCATGGGCGGCGATGTTTCGGCAATGCCCAGCCCAGAGTCTGTCATATCAGGTTCTGGGACTGTATCAGAGCTCATGCTGAACAACGCTCGATAAATACGCTTGACAACAATCATTTTTGGTTAATTCAATTTTTCAAATTAATTGAGAGACCAAATTTAATTTATATTTTTTCTTGGAACAAAAAATAACAAGAGGGAAGATAACATGCTAGAAATTTGTAATATCTAAAGAAGAAAAGTAGAAAAAACATCAGCTTGATGTTTTGTGCTTCAATAGAAATGCAAAAGAAAGAAAAAAGTATATGCTGGTCAGAGAGTGGGAGTTTATTTGTGTGAAAATGAGTGGTTACGGAATTTTGAAAGGAGAGTGAACCTATTATCAAGGGACGGAATGTTTGTTTCGGAGACAAAATAAAAACTACAAAACATGAAGGTGTTTGTTTCTAAGCTGAGAAAAATGACGGCATGATTTTGAAAGAGTACCTCTTTTGCTTTGAACCGGAGCTCTTACGATGAGGGTACCCTTAACTTGTAGGAATGCAAGGCTGTAATCGTGCAAGAGTCAAGAATTCATACGAGTAATAGTGTTTTGGCGTGGTTTATTTTTCTTATTGCTAAATCTAATTTGTTCTTGGCGAGATCCTTCTGGCGAAATTTACTAAATGAGTTGAGCCGAGTTGCATCATCTTTGAGGATTTGATTAGGCCTAATTAAATCGATTTTGGATCAAATATATAGCCGCATCAATTGTGGGGACATTTGAGGCCGGCTTATATTCTGTGGTTTTCTGATGCAGAACTCGATTCTCAAGGATTCGTGGGATCTCTGATGTACTAAAAGATCCCTCGGAATAGGACGTTGATAAAAACCTTTCGATCTATCTATCCACAACTCGTCTAGTTTTGAAGAATTCGGCCTTATTGCACAAGAAGTTGACTACGCTGTCATTGTATTTTTATCAAATTTTATTGTTTTTTTTCAGTTTTTGGATGCGTTATAATCTCAGCCTAGAATGAAGCGAAGTAATCTATACATTTTTCAATTCGAAAATTCGTAATTAAATTACTTAAAATAAATAAATTCAACATAAATCTAGTTTTTAGATCAAAATAATCAAAAGAGTAAAAGCGAAATAGAAATTAGCCAGAATTTGACTTGAGAATGGATGTTTAGGAAATGAGCCTTTTGGAGCAAAACTTAAATTTGTTAGAAATTGATATCGTAAATTGTTAACTAAAGAGGGCGTTTTTTCGAAAAGAGATAGAATCAATGGAAATGTACAGTGATTAGGAGGAATCAGGCGTACAGTAAAAGACTGTACCCGTAGGATAGGGAAAATAAGAAGGAAAAGTAATGGCTGGATTTACATAAATGGAAAAAAGGAGAGGATAACAAAACGGGATGTGTGTTGGTTTGTAGTTGTTTTGTGACAGATTGTCAAATATGTAAAATGTTTGATCTGAGGTCAGCTCGAGGTCACGATGACCTTTGGAGCATCTCGGCTATCATAGATTTTGGATCAGGATAGGTAAATGAGTCATCCTACGAGGGCAGCATAGGTTGAGGTAATTTCAGCTCAAAGATGTATTTTTTTGACAAATTGATAAAAAAATATTTAATTTAGTCACGTGGTAAATTGTTTATAAGGTTGGTGGTAAAAGCTACATATTTTGTCGTATTTAAAAGAGGTTAAGAGTTAAGTAGGAAATTTGGCTACATTAAGGCTCGTCGAAGCTCCGAAATTCGAGGTCCGGGCACTTCTGATATACAGAGACCATCACGTAATAGCTTAACAGGGCGCTTTTATGGGACTGGCGCATATGGGGAGCGCAGCTTGTACCGCGGTTAACCGTCCCGGCGCGATATCACCAGGTGAAGCTCTTGAGTTGATCTCATGGTTTGTTTCATGAGCGAGCCCTTATCATTAAAAGACGCCGTTTAGCTGATTACGTAACAGTCGCGCGTGTTGTAGATACAGTAGTAGTTCAATTTAGTAGTCAACAATTTAGCCAGTCAAATTCACATGGCACTTCTAGTGGTTCATAGCGTGGACAAGGCGGCAAGAGAATATCGAAGCTATTAAAACCAAGAGGGCGACGCCGGCTCCTTTGAGGCCATCGGCACGAAGAGAGTAGCAGGTTGACTGGCCCAATTCATTCTTTCTCTATACAATGGTGTTAGGAAGGAAGAGCAGTGGACGAGCTTACCTCGGCTAAAAGTTCTGGGCAAACGCATTTGTCGGGTCCAGCACAGATTCCATCGCCGCAACCGCCTGGGCAGACTGGCTCGTTGCACATTTTTCCGTTGTAGCCTAAATTATTGGATGAAAAGAAGTCACATTTGATCATTGCATACCCTCTGCACAAGCTTTCTGTTCAGCAGTATCATCCCAGCAGATTCCGGTATCGTAGTCGCACTCAGCGCCCCCCAAACAAGCTCCGCTAGAATTATCGAGTTAGTTGACAATCCAGAGGGTAGAATAACTCACCAAAGATTGCAGCCATCACGCCCGTATTTGCCTGCTGTGCATTCGGCATAGGCACCGCCTACAGCGACGAGGAAGAGCCCGAGAAGATGTTTGAGGTGTGGCATTCTATAATAAAAGAAGGGGTAAAGGCTAGTTGCGGAATAGCGGAAAATGTTTATGAAGTTGTATAAGGATTTGGAAGGTATTTGAAGTCAGGTGTGCGTATTTCGGCGAGCGCTAGAATGATTTGAGTACAGAATAGAAGGGCTACATTGGGTACGGGTAATCGCCCTGGGGATACTGATATGCGGAACTGTGGTTGGGAAAGTGCTGCTGCTGGTGAATCATTTGCTGACCCAAAAAGCGAGGGTCGACTGCATGCTGCGTAGACGTCTGATATGTCATTTGCGTGGCCCCGTAGCCCCATCTGGCAGCAGCGGCTTGTTGATGAGCAGCAGCAAAGCTCTGGCTCACGCTGGGATGATAAGACGATGATTGCGCGTGGCTCATACTCGGCTGCATGTCGTGGTAGAGTGGAGAACCTGAGCATTGGTTTTTTCCTTGTGCCTGGCTAATTGTGAGCCCCCGAGACAATTAATCGCGCCATTTCGCGGCTACAATTAGCCCTAAATTCTCTGTCGTTGTTGTCTCTCGCGCCTGCGGGCACTTTGCCACAGGAGCTGAACTTTCTGTCGCGGCCAATTAATTCGCCGCGTTATTTTGCTAAAATAGGAAAACCATGTGCCTGAGCTGTGTTCTTGCTTGATCGATCCGTCCCCAGTGGCACCGCCTTGTTGTTGCAAAAAGTTGTCGCTGAGTGCCGAAGGGCCGATATGCCCCGCGGCGTGTGCGCTCGTGTGCGCATGATTCTCGCTCTGGTTCGCCATGGATTGCGAGCCAAGAATCGCCACGATGTCGTCTTGCTTCAAATCGGAAAATGAGTTCAGTCTATCCGGGTCGAGCTTCAGCTGGATCTCGTTGTCTACAAGCCCGAAGGGGGTCGGAGTCACTTGAGACTGGAACATCGGGTGAGCAACTACAGGAGCTGTGGCCACGTGACCCTTTGATTGACCAGCGCCAAACACCAAAGAATTTGCCTAAGGGAAGCGTCAATCTCTACAGGAAAGAGGGAAAAACGCGCTTACCTTTCTGCTCATTCTCTTGTTCTCTTTCATGTTTTCGCGAATCCCCTTCATAATCGCATTTTGCTCGTCAGGTCTCAAACTCGGGCTGAGCTCACTTTATATCGCTTAAATAATTTCTCCCCAAATTCCCCAGGGGAGTAATTTGAGGTTGACTGAATTTATAATCGAAATAAAAATCTATCTGATTCCTTCTCTTTCGACTATTATGAAATGCTACTATTTTGAAGCTCGTAAAAGCGGATTTTCAAATACCAGACATTTGTGTCGCCCGGTGCCTAAGTCCATTGGAATTCTTCTCGTTGTCTTTCCTGTCCCGGCCGCTCTTGCGCTTCGTCTTCAGTTCATTCACTTTCTGGTGGTACTTCTCGGTCTCTTTCAAATCCTTGACCAGGAGATGATTGACCTGGTGATCGTGGCCGGACTCCTTGCGCTTCGCATTCTCTCTGTATTTATCTGCGGAATCGGGTTTTTGAGTTGTTCGGGCCTGTTTCTTTGGACCGCTTAGATTAAAATCGGCTTTGGTTCATTATGACACTCGAGTAAAACGGGCCGAGTGGTATGGGTAGAGCTGCTTGGCGCTCAACAATTCCTCTCATTGTCTTTCAGCCGCGCTTTTCATTCGCAAAATTTGGCCTGGCTGCCATTGTGGCTCTCTGGCTGACAATTTGAATCAAACTTTCGCTCTCCCTCTCTTTCCATCTCTCGCGCCGGCGGGAAGACCTACTCTTGCCCCCGGCGAGTGGAACCGGCATCTCATTAAAAATCGAAAAGTAACCGGTCAAAACACGCAAGAAGTTTCTGTTTTGCGTCGATAACGCCGGTTTGAAAAGCGAAAGAAAAGAGAAGAAAAGCGGCGAAAGTTTTTTTTTCGCAAATCAGATCGATGTTCATCGATTGCTGAATGTGATTACAAATTATATGCATCAATATTGCAAGTTTCCAAGCGTTGGATTTAGATTACACCCGGTGCATTTGCGAATGCAAAATATTCTCATACACAAGTTTGTTAATTTCAGGGCAGATGATCAATTTAGCTGAGGATGCATTTTAAATCGGTCGTTAATTTTTAATCAGATTCTAAGCTTGTTAAATAAAGAAAAAAAAAATCGTAGTATTAAAGAGTGCGAGATTAAAGTTCAAGTCCTCTTGATTCTATTCACACGGGTTCGCTCAATTCTCTTTTATGGTGCTCTCTAAGGAGCTGTTTTGCAAACAGCGTAGTTTTTCAGCTTTTCTCGGGCGTGGATCGAAAAAATCGGGTGGACTCTAAAAAACCCGTTCCTAATCGCTTCTTGGTGCGCTCTTGAATGGCAGCTGGCGGATCGTTGAGTAGTGGGCTCGGTTGACCGTAACTCGGGATCTGAATATTCTTGCTCACTCATCCGTATCGGCATCTATCTCTCTATCTACTGTCGACTACGCTCTGTACGCTCTGGCGATAAGAGAGCGCAGATTAAACCCATTAATAGACACTCTGCGGGAGATCGGAAGAAAAAGGGGATTTGCGCAGCGAGCATTTCCGACTTCTGATTGTCGTTTATTTCTATTGTTCTTCCCGAAAAAAAAAAGTTGAGAACGGATAAACCCACCCGGCGCGAAATCATAACCAGAACACAACAATCGTAAAACAATTGAGTAACGCTCCAATAATCATTTAGTTGAAAAACATCATGGTTCCTCTCTTTTTGAGTGCAACACCTGAGTTTTTTGGACAAAGGGACCCCCTTCGAAATTAAAAAAAATTAATTATAGAATTTTCCTGGCAAAGACGCACCTGTTTGCATAAATTTTCTGGTCCATTACATTCAGTATCAATTACTGTTATTATCTAAGCAGCGACGAAAAAATCTCTCAAAAGCGTCAAATTCGAGCGTAAGTGGCTACCCGTGGATTAACACTGCTATTTCGAAATTGCAGAAATTGCAATTATCAAAATCCTCATCGTTAAAAATGGGAGGTTCTTCTGGGGAAATCTCTGTGTGTTTTCATTCGAAGGGGTTGCTGTAGCGCGGTGTGCTCGCTCGGTGAGGCGATTTAGAGGAGTAACTAACATTTTGCGGCGGCATGGCCATCGACCCAGGCACTGAGAATTGATTTACGTCCATCGTCCCACCGGACATCATTGTGCACTAAAAACTTACTAAAGCTAATTAATTGCAGCCGGCGTGCGCCCAGAGAGTAATTTGCGGCTAGCTCGATGGGCAGGACATGCAGGCTAGTCCTGTTAATCATTTCAAGTTCGAAAAATTATCAATTTACGCGAACTCTACTCGAACGCTAATGAATAAGATAGGACGGGTGGACAGATTCGATTCCGGTAGGAGAATCGAGTTTGAAAGGAATTCCCTTACTCGGCTAATTTATTTACCCCGCCACACTATGAGTTCAAACTCAAAAGCGGGGCTCAGACTCATCAGAATAAACAGAATTGACTTTAGCTTAGATTAGCGACTTTAATCCTGATTATTTTCGGCTTATCATCTATTCAAATTTATGTATAAATATAAGAGACGACAATCCAATAATTAACGCTTGAGGAACCGGGGCATAATTGACTAAAATGTTAATTGGAGCTCTTCACGCGGAAAGTGACGGGGGAAGTGTAAACAAGACAGTTTTCCCTCTCGAAAACTATAAAAAATACTACAGTAAACTCAATCCACGGCGAGTTGATATCGCACAGAGGGTCAGTTTTGCTCTAGCAACAAAAGCCTCTGTATTGTGCTGATTTGAGCAGACAATAGAGCACAAGCCGTGTGTCTCCATTCAGAACCATTAAGTATATATGGCAGGGGTTTACATAAATTCCTCACCGCGGTGAAGCTTGAACGCCTCAAGAAGTCTGCTCAGTTCAATGCAGTGTCCGAGCACCGCACCTGGTCAATTTGGTTGCGCTCGTACGACATGCCAGATCAGAACATGGTCTATCAAGGACTCGTCGCTCTTGGAAAAATTGGACTCTCTGATGTAAGTATCCTCAGACACGAAAAAGGGGCGAAAAAGATTGCAACTCGCCAGGCCCAAATTGAATTAAGAACTTGCTTGTTGCTATCAAAAACTCGCATTGAGAATCTATCCGAAAGAGCTTAAGACCCACCGACAAATTGGATGAGCCAAGGAAAGGCTATATAAAAACCAAGGGTTTATACTTGAGCCGCTCCGTCTAACAACTCTGAGCATAAAATATTCATCCCTGATTCTAAAGAGCGTCTGCCACTTCAGAACTGAATTTTAAATATTTCATAGCCAAACAAAAAAAAAGTTGTAAATAGCATCTCTATTTTCCGTATCTCGATCTCTTTTCTTCGAAAAATGTTGATAGATGAAGATTTGAAAATAAGGAGAAAAAATGATTGATTTGACATTTGTAATTGTCTCGTTTTTTGAATGAAGACTTACTGTCTATGTTTTTTTAAGAATTTTATTTTCTGCGAGATTGCTCTTTTTTTTATCTGGCTGGAGGGGCGAACGGGTCGATGCGATCGGGGAGGAGGCGTTTTTCGCCTCGGGTGCTGTGTCCAAACTCGAAATCGATTTCGTCCTGTCGGGCGGAATTTGCAGCAGGTTGGGCTCTGCCATTCTCCGCTCAGATCATCTCGGATGATCCTGTACTCACACCGCGAAGCTGTCGATAACGGTCGCTCGTATCTTCTCAACCCGGATTGTAGAATTTTTTATTACTAACAAAAGATGCTAACAAATTGATCTTGTTAAAAAATAAGTGGTTCTAACGGAGAAATTAGGCGAGAACGCGCAAAATTGTAGATTTTTTTTAATTATCCAAGTTTGGATGGAAATTCTTTCGATCGTAGAGTTCAAATTAATTAAAAAAAGCTGAACAAACGAGTGTCAACGGTAATAAAGATAACTCAATTATATAACAGCCGTTCTATCTACGACTGACCCCTGAGTATTCACTCTTACTGAAATCACTGATGAATTATTGAAAAAAAATAGATTCTGAATTAGTCAAGCAATGCTTCTTTAGCCTTGTGGGACCGTCTAAAATTTATAGCTCTTGAGTATTATTGGCAATTAACCTTTTCCAAGACAGGAGGTTACCAAGGTTCGTTACGAAATTGAAATCTTCCTTGATTCTCCATCTCTTTCGGATAATTCTCTCAACTTGAGTTTTTGTATTTTCTTGGTTGTTTATATTTCTGATCCCCATGATCTTGCCTCTCTGTCGGAGTAGACCGTGAGACTAATCAAATATTCAACCTGATTCATTGTTTAGGATCTCTATGGCGCGGAGAAGCTCTTGTCAGGAAGCGGGAATAAACAGGCTCCGAGATAATTTCCGGCTTCTCAGCGCAAAATCCATTTATTCTAACTTTCTCGCAAGTTATGGGACTCCATCAACCTCTTCCTCATAAAAACAAAGTATACGAGCTAATGGGCGTAACAACAGAACCATAAAATCGATTGAGGAAGTCGAGCATTGACTCACCAGAATGTCTATCATACTGAATGTAGAACAGTAGTGAAGACTTCTATAGAAGTCTGTCAATTTAGGGCCTATTAGGTCGTCAATTCTGAAGAGTCATTGCTTATTGCTTTTATGATTTTGTTATAGCGTAAATTTTTATACCGGATATCGTTAATTAACATCATTAAATTGGATTGCCGCCCTTGTGGATTATCGTGACCGGAGACACGGAAATTCATTTCATAAGATTACCATCCGCATTTTTCCGGCGTCGCTTGAATTTATGGAAAGATGGGAGAGTGCCACCCACGCACACCGAGCGTGTACCGGGCGGTCAAGGTTAATCCCGTCCATCAGTTCTACGCGAAGAAGTAGCCGCGCTGCCGGCGTACTCCACGATGGAATCTCCTTCAAAACGAGCTAGCCACCTCGGGGATCACATGTTCGTCTAATTACCTTACTACACGAAATAATAAAAAATGAAATAATAGAATAGGCAACAAATGAATAAAATAGCGAGCTTGTGGGTTAGAATGGATTTGGAAAATTCTGAAGATGACAAATCATTTGGATCAGCAGCAAAATCAGCTGCGGAAATCAAGCTTGGTTTCAACGAGAACAGTTTCTATGGAGAATCTTTGAATTAAAAGCCGCACGCGGCTTCTCTTTGAAAGAAAACCGCTATTCCTTCGATTCTCCATAGAAATTTCTTCGTGAAACCAACGAAAAGCGAATCTTGGACGCAGCCGTTTCTCCTACCGCTCGGCGATAGACAACTGTTTGATGATAATAATTCTCCATTTTCGATTATTTTTTCGTTTTCTGGTAAGTTTCTTTTTGAGTTTTTCTCTTTTGTACCTTTGTTTGAGAGACTTGTTAGTGTCTCTGAGCGCGTTTTCTGGGATCCGGGATGGATTGGTTTAATGCTTTCTTATCGCTTTCTTTCGGCGGTGATAAGGCAGTTTTCTTCCCACGATCGAAGCTCCTGGAAAAGCTCGACGAGCTCGGAGTGGAGGGAAAAACGCCTAGCGCAATTTTGAAAGACGATATTATTAGTCACCTACGCTGGGCCCAGCGCACCCAGCGGCCAGGAACACCGACACTGTGACTCAGACTGCGCAAATACCATGAAGTTTTACTCTTTTGGGAGAAAGCCTCTGGCCCCCTTCCCCGTATCCCGCGCAAATCAGTGTCGGGGAAGTCTAGAAAATTTCTTTAACGCTTCCTTGGCGGTTTAAAAGAATCTCGAGATTCTGAAGAACAGAATCTGGAAAGTCCGAGCCAATAACAATGGTTTGCGCGGCTTCTCCCCCAAATTAGGCGCGCCCAGAATGAGCTACTGAAAAAGTCAGTGCATTTTTCAGTAGCTCAGATTCTCGATCTCCCTTTAGAGCTCAACTCCATGGTAGAATAGTAGAATACTACAGAATCCAACCATTTCTTTCTACTACAGCGTTTTTACAAGTCCTTAGCAGGTGTAAACTTTCACGGAAGTTATTGCATATTTTGAGTTTAGGGGTCATAATGAGTCTTTTCATGAACGTAGGAGTTCAAGTTCGTACTAGCAGTTGTTATTAAAAATCGTCTATACAATAAGCCGATAATTGGCAATTTGTACTAATATTTCGTCGTTTGTGGTAATAAAAATCTTATAAAAGGGTTTACCTTCAAGCATAATTAGCTTCCCGAAACGATTTGTAGTCGTTCCTTATCTGTAATTGCCATGTTTCTAGCAAAAGGCGTCAGTTTTCTTGTCTGATTGATGGGGCTGCTGAATTTTGACGAGCTAGTGGTAAATCTTTTTGGCGCTCAATAATTCAAGCAGATTCTGGTTTCTTTTGAGAAGCTAAGGAGCGAATTCTGCTTAGAATCTTTCATCATTGATTCACAATTAAAAATTAATTAGTTTTCTATTACTCATTTCTCGCCAGAAAATTTATACGGCCATAAAGAAATAAAAAAGTGAATGGATAAATTGTAGCTGCTATAAATAGTAGTTATTACAAGAACATGTCTCTTGGACCGTTAGATTTTTAGTTTGCGGCTTTTCACTACATTTTTGTGGTGACTTGAAAATGTATCGAGTGCGCTACTTGTCGAAACGCCACCGTTACCAACTTTATCATTGTTTTTAGGATCATTAATTACATAAAAAAGTTGAAGGTCAAATTCCTTTCAGAAGTTTTTATTGTTCCATTTTGATGAAACATATTGTTCGAACAGCATTAACCGTTTTGCGTTTTATAAGACTGTGTGATGGACACAAATACGACTAGACCATATTGACAATTGCGTACGTAGAACATTTTCTAGTTTTAATATAAGCAAGGCAATTATTTTGAATGAGTCGCTGTCAACAGTGACAGCCTGTCATCAGGGGTCAATATGTCCACCGTGCATATTTCTTTTTCAAAACGCTGCAAAAATTCATTTTAGGCCCATTGGCTCTTTACCTGTCATAATATCGAGCCTTTCTTTTCAATATTCTCTTTCGAGCAAAATGAAATTTCGAAATTTTAAATCCTCAAAAAACGCAATTGATTCTTGCTTGTCAACGTATAAGACTAACGGTTATGTTTAGAAGCCCTCCGGCTGGGCCACTCCTCTACCGCATCCTCCAACAAGTCAAAGTCACGTCATAAATTTTCTTTACCTGTAGTCTACTTTTTCTTTCTTCGTTTTCCAATTTTATTCCTTGATTGCAAGTGTCCTAATCCACAATGACATGTCGTCGTTGTCCCGACAAACCCGCCAAAGAGGTTATAAATGATTATAGAACTCTACTGCCCTCGAGTTATTCTTAGAATAATGAGCGGAAAATTTTTCAGAGACACGCATGGTGTCATAGGAAAATACCCCGTTCCGACATAGTCATTTTAGAAATGCACATCAGCAGATTCCCGTATTCATCAAAAGCTTATACTACTAAGATAAGTCATCGTGGTAAATGTTATGTTTTGATATATTTGATAAATTTCAAGATCAACCTGTTTCACGATTTGTAACCTGTATCAATAAACACCGAATAAAGAACGAGTAAAAGATGACCAGCTAAAAAAAAGAGCGATTGAAATCATAGAGGAGAATCTTCTTCAAACATTTTCTCTCTAATTGCCAATTACTCAATGCGGATCATCTTTTAGGTTTAAGTTTCTGCATTTGTTTTTTATTTATTTATTTTTAGTGTGTAACAAGTAAGGCTGGAAGCAATTTAAAACGCCAGGAGCTTTTGAGTTTTAACTGGGCTGAGCGGTACTTGCAATTTAAATTTGGAAGAGCGAAGTCTTTGGTAAAAAAGTCGAATTGGTGTCTAACTAGAATTGAAACAGGCTATTATCAGTTTTAGTTCGCTTCTTGCTTATCATCTTAGGCGCTTTTCTGGGTGTGCTTGCCGATGCCCCAGCAGGTGACGATGGAGACGATCAAGATTCCCATGGCGAGGAAGGCACCTTTGATTCCGTCCGCGCGAAGGGAGTAGCAGCCGATCTTGTCATCTCCTTTCTTGTACTGAAAGCGGTTAGACAGGCAGGGAAAGAAGCAGATACCTGGGCAAGAAGAGAGGGGCATGTGCATTTGTTCGGTGCGACACAAAGACCCTTGCCGCAAAGCTTTTCATCGCAAATTGGTTCATCGCACTTCTCTCCTTTCCACCCTGAATTCACGCTAGAATTTGAAGTACTTTGATGTCTTACCTTCGGCACAGGCCTTTTCCGGGCAATTTCCAGTCGCTTCATCGCAAATAACATCATTAGCACAATTTCCACTGAGAAGAAAAATTTGAAAATTTTATGAAATGCTTTTTGATTACCAGAGTTGAAAGCAGTTTGGCGCTCCCCAGTAATTGTATTCTCCAACAGTTCGATCTTCAACAGCGCAGACGTCAGCTTGTAAAGGGATAGAAATGGAATAAAATTGTCTCTAGAAACATCTCCAATGAAAACTCCTCGAATGCGGCTTAGAATCGCGAAAATGTATCCCCTTTCCTGAAACGGATCCCAAGAAGAGGACAGCTGCGGTGATCATCTTTACAAATTTGGCCATTCTAAAAGATAGTCTCTAAAAATTATCTTCTGAATGTTGATATCACGATTTTTTTTTAATAATAAATTTGTTCATGAACTCACCTGAAAGCAAAAATCCCTGAGAGTGTGAAGAAGAAACTGGACGATTTAAAATACTTCTCTAACTGTTACAGTAGCCTAAAAAGTTATGAAATCCTAATCAAGTGTGCGAGTCCTTCATCGGCCAATAGCGGATCTTTTGTACAGGCAATCAAAATTTGCACGAGATCAGACAGCCAATCCGCGGCGAATCGACAGCCGGTCGATATTCCGTAAGGGGATTAAAACTTTCACAAAGAACAAACTCTGTTTTTACCTGGGAGGTTCTTTTGCTTTTTCCGGGACGGGATTTCTCGACAGAATGAAGAAAATGAGAGGCAAATTTTTCTTGCCCCTTCGTTTCTAGAAAGATCTTGTTGTTGAAATATCGTTTCCGAGAATTTCAGAAATGTTTCATTTCCAAAATTTATTCGTGAAATTATGCGAGACGGTAATTTAGAATTCTCTTGAACGTTTATTAAAATAGAGGTCTTTATACAACAGTTTTGAAGGGCGGGTGCGCCAAGATTGAAGTCGGACGTCTCACTGTTTAGGTAACTTGGCCGGTGCCGTTTGCAGGGCGCTTTGGGAGGTGCTGGAGCGGGTGAAAATGCGGAGGAGTTCCGCCCTGGCTCGTTTAGAAAATGAAATTTGTCGCGTCGTCCCTGTTTTCTTTTTCTTGACAACCTTCTGGCCTGTTGGAAGATTTGAAGGCTTGGTTGGAAGGGATTCTAAAGAATTTAGAGGAATTCACGCCTGAATGACTTACTGTTTATGTGTTCCAAGGAAATCGACTTCTCGGACATTGCCAGGAGATTGCCAGGAGATTGTTGAACTGTTTGCCGGTGCATTTGCTCAGGAGTCGGCCGCTGAAGAAGTGTTATTGAGCGAAAGAATTGAAGGAAAAGCTCACTTTTTCGTTCTTAGTTTAGCAGGTTTCGGGAGAGTCGATGTCGGCGTTGAAATCGGAGTAAGCGTGCTTGCTGAAATCGACGGTCTATCCGAGCTTGAGGAGGATGCTTTCTGAGGCGTTTTGATTGGTGATTTCTCGGGAACAGACTCCAGCTTTCCGATCAAGACAGGGCCCGATCCGAGCGTTCTCTTTGGTGAAACGAGTTTTGGACCTAGCATAGAGATCTTCTTGCGCATTTCTGTCTTTGTCTCCATTTGCTCTTCGTTTGCGCATTCTGTTATCGTCGGAGAATACAGAAACTGACGACTAGTCGGCTCATAATGACTTCCAGCCATTGACGCGGGAATGACGGAGGCGCGAATGGACTCTTCATCGCCAAGATATGTTCGGCAAAAGTCAGCTTCTACACTTGGCACTTCAGAGGTCGCACTCTCAGCGTAAATCATCGAGGACGTCACATTTTGTTTACTTGTTGGTGAACTCTGACGCGAATCCAGCTGACTACCTTGCTTCACTGAAGAGTAAACATTACTGTATGAGCTCAAACAAGACGGAAGAGGTACTTCAAAGTGTTGACGTTCAAACATGCGGTTTTTCACTTACTGATTTCAACTAGCTCATCGTCAAGATCATCCCCATCCGATTCCACTTGCTTTGGACTGACACTGCGCATCGACTTTTGAATTGCAACGGCTGCTGTTTGAGTTTGTTCTTCCGTTTGTGTGATTTGGTTGACGTAAATCCGGCTTGTCAGAAGAAGCAATTCCGCTTTTAGATGTGCTACCGATTCGGCCATCGATAAATAACCTGAAAGTAAAATTTCAAGCCGCGTCATTTTGTTGAAACTCTGAGTTTCTATCTCAATCCCAAAATTAAGGCCTTAGTTTACCTATAATGACAGGCTGGTTATTATCCTGCGCCATTTCACGTGGCGTTTTTCCAGCGTGGTTTTTCGTCTGAAACTTCACGTCGGACGAGATAAGAACCTGCAGGCATCTGAATAAAGACTGAATCTGTGGACGAGCTGGATTTTAAAATATTTATCCGTCTTCCGATCGGAAGCAGCGTTCCGCTTCTAATTGACGTAAATAAATCAACCGGATTTGAGTTTTATTCGCTGCGATGTCCGTTTTCAGGAAGTTTTACCTGATTGAACCATTCGCCGTCGCGATGTGAACCAGCGAGTTTCCTGAGTCATCAGTAAAATCTTAATTCTTGTAAACTTTTTGTTGAAAGAATTGGATGGTACCTAGCGACAGTCCTCGACGACTGTATTCAGAGCAAAGCCACAAGCAGATTTCTCGTTGATCGTTTATTGTTGAAATCTTTCATTGACGTTCGTAAGAGTTTTGAGGGAAATTCAAGTTACCTGTAGTAAATTAGGCTTGGTATCGTTAAGAAGTCTGTCTGAAAAATTCAGAAGCATCCATTGAAGTACCCTGTTGTTTATGGTCGCCTAGTTGTCATTCCTTGGAACACGGGGGAAACACGCTAATTTGTTTGACCTGCTTGACCAGTTCACGTTAAGTCTGACCTGTGTACAATTTTCAAAATTAAAGAGCATGTTTGTTAGACCTTTCGAGACTCTTTGAGGAATACGATAGTAACTTGTCTAAGAATGAGATAAACTGACAGCTGGAATTGGTCTTACTCAAAGAATTCAGAACTATTGACAGAGGGTCTGATCTGAGCGGATATTGACATTATCCGATAACAAAAACGACGTTATTTTGGCGTTCCAATGACGGATACGATCCTCGCATCTTTTTGGGCAAATATATATTTGACATTGTCAATCCTTAGTTGTGTTCTTATGAGACTGAAAGTACCGTTTCAGATTTACGGAAGTAAATTACATTATGTGATTACGAATTCCAAAAAAAAACTGTAACTACAAATATGCAACCACTTCCCTCAGCTTTCCATGTTTGCAGGCGAGTCCAACGGCCGTCAAACCTTCAGGATTGGTGACTTTGAAAAGCTCGGGGCAAATAAATTTGAGTTTCTCGACTATCCGCACGTGCCCGCACAAAGCGGCAACGTGTAAAACGGAATTTCCATCTGCATCGCGGATTTCCTCTAAATCGGCCTTTTCGTAACTCAGGAGGGCTTCTGTCTGCCCGACCTTGATGCTGTCGAACAAGGCGATAACGTGCATGTCCAGGGACCTAAATGGGTAGTTGTCATTTACTGATGTGTGTTGGAAGTTGAGAGGAAAGACTTCCAATAATCTAAATAATCAAATATTTATAAATATATTGATATTGCTGCTCAACTCAGAGTAAACTCCAATTCGCCACAAGTTTTGAAATAGAAACGATGCCAGAATCTTAAAAAAAGGAGCAGCAAAGTCGGCTTTCTCTTGGAGCCGCATCGCGGCTAAAACTCCCTGAGAAGGAAATTTCTAGCAAAAAAACCTGAAAACGTACCCGGTGAATAAAAATTCTCTTTTTAACAATAACGGTGAATTCTCTTACATGTTCGACATAGATCTCAGATTTGAATTTGACTGAACTTTGGCAAATACAATGTCCCCAGTGCTCAACTCCCTTTGTCTCTTTTCACTGGTCATGGTCGGATTATGCGGATAATAATTATTTCGTAAATTATTTAGGCATTCTCTTTTTTTACAACTAGCGTCGTAGTTTCTATGTTTGCAAAAAATTGTCGATCAATCCTAATGCAACGGTGATCTTCGGCAACTATGGAAACGGCATAAGTGATTTTGCCAGCCACATTATCAGAAATTAAATGACAATCGGGTCGTTTCTGATCTTTTTGAAGATCTTCGGTGGCATCGAGTTTACGATTGAAGATTAATCCCTGACCGGAAATGTTAATAGCATCGATTTACAGGGTATTCAATATTTGTTCTTTGAAAATTTCCAAAAATTCCTCACTAGAAATCATAGAAGTGGTTCAAGGAGCTTTGTTTCTTCATAAAGCATATTTCTACCGTCTTCACGGCAGCATAATACTTACAGTACTCCACTCTTCAAGTCATTCAAATAAATCTGCAAAAAAATGTCAATTCAGCTTTCCAGCAGCTTATCATTCTTGACAGAAATCTTCTGTTCATAGACATGAGAAATTATCGCCAACTAGACACTCGAAAATGCTCCATAAAATCATAAATTCTCCCACTAATTCAATATTGACTCCCTAACTTAGTCACATTAAAACGCAGTGATTCTCTTCTGTAGCTGTCACACTAGTAGTGTGTTTATCCATGATACTTCCGCGGCGGAAGTTCTACTGACCAGTTCCTTATCAATGCGACTTAGTCCAAAGTCGACGGATCTCGATCGCCTCTCTATTCCATTATTCTTTCTCTTGGAAAAGGACTCGTTCGTGCCCGAAATTTGAAATATACGCGCGTGCCCAAATGCTCGTGTTTGCGCAGGATAAAAGGCAAGCGAAATTCTTCTTGGAACTCGAGTGTCGAGCAACGTGTTCTGTGGGGCTTAATTGACCTTTTCAAGGTCAGCAAGCTTGACCAACAAAAAAGGAGCAATGCGAAAAAAAACGCGCAATGAATGGATTGCTAAGCTGGAAATTAGCGGCGCGATCAAAAGCTGCTTTCTCTTTAGCTTTTTGCTCCCAAGACTCGTCATGGAAAAGTGAAAAATTTGTTATCGATGGGTCTGAAGAAACAGTGCTCAGAAAACAATGAGCATGGATTGAGGGGAAACTTGAACTTGTGCAGTTTTCTGAGAGATAAGCGAATATGCTCTGTTTTTCTCCAAAAAATTTTTCATCAGGGCTTTTAGCAAAACTCAAAATCTCAACTTGAAGTTTCTTTTCCATTCCTTTGTGTCAGAATTAAGGCCTTGTAGTTTCTGTAAAATCGAGCCACTCGCCTTTGGTGTCCCCAAACTTTGTCGGAGAATCGGCAATGAATTCTCTCTTTTGGGCATCGTTTAAAAAGACTGTCTCAGTAGTGTCTAACTTGAGTTGGATCACTGTAGGTGTAAGGCGGTTTTTCTTTTGGATGGAAAATCTCCAGATTCAATGAGGATAAGCGCCTTTCAAAAGAGCACTTGCCACGATTCACAATTATCAAACAACAATGTATTCCAGTATACAAAAGAAGCCAGACAAAAATCACAGGCCAAGAATTAAAAGTTCCAAAACGCACACCTTGTGTAAAGAACTTACTTCCTACCCAAACTAAATCGTCTGAATACAATTTAAATCTTTTACAAATTGAAATACTGTCCGTTTTGTGTGCCGTGGATATTGGTAATCATTCGCCTCACGTTACGAGAAAACGCGGTACTTGGATATTCTTACTCCGGCGGTGGTTCACGTGAGCGCGTGGTCGGTCGCGCACTAGCGGTGGCGCTGTAACACTCTCATAAAAACGCAACGTGAAGCTACGTGTTCATCACATTTTGCAAAAAAAGATAAAGAGAAAATATGAAATTTTCAGCTTTACTTTTCGGCCTTTCCTCTGGCCTTCCCATCTACAACTACGTCCTCGCCAAGCACCTCGCCAAGAACTACAATGCTCCTTCTTTGAATATGCCAACACTCAACCTCAATCCACTCACTCCAGCCCACAAGGACTTTGCCAGCCAAGTTATCATCCCTGGAATGATTGCTGATCAGGTGAGTTTACCAGTTATTTTTGTTTTTTCCACGCTTGAATCTGCGATCTTTTACCTAATTTTTACCATTGCCCTTTTTAGACCGAAGGTTCCCAAAAGTCCAAGATGAACTGGTACTTCTGGATGAAGCAAAACGCTGCAACCGACCTCACAAACCTCGGCAACCTCGCCTTGATCCCAATGATGCAGGGAGAAATCCGAGCCGCCCCTAAGGCTGAAGAATACGTCTACGTCCCCGCCGCAAAGGACCAAAACTCCATCCTCGGCACCGGCGGCCAAGACGCGTTCTGGAATGGTCAAGGCTTCGAAGATGTTTGGTACCCAAGAGGAGATGTCAAATCCAACTGGTAAACAGAACAAAATCACCATTTAGATGATGAAAACTATCATTTCTTACCTGCGTTCCATTTTTTTCCTGCTTGACTTTTATGACGTGTAAATTTTTACTGAAACATGAAAAATTAAAATAAAAAAGTAAAAATTACAAAAAGAAAAATCTATTTCAATTGATCGAGAGCGAGGATATAAAGCTCAATTTTCTAAAAACGAGTGTTCGACAAGCTTTGGCGGCGGTTGTTTGGAACAATTAGCGCACAAAATTGCTGTTTGATTTCGGCGGATGTTAGTTTTAAGACTTTCTTATGGCCTGGTAGATGGAAGAGTATCATGTTATCGTTAGAGATCTTGCCGAGAAGTTGGAAAAGGAAGATGATCGTCTTTTCAGGTGCTTCGGGCAGCTGGGGATTCATATTTACGGTTTTAGAACGCCGAATAAATTTTGGCAAGAGGACAAGGCCTTCTTTTTCATGACGAGGGAAAATCCGGTTAGAAAGCTTTTCTTGGCAATTTCAAGCAATAAAATATTTGATAATATCATCTTAGGTAAGCCAATACCGTCATATTTTTTAATAACAAGTCCTAGTTGCCATCATTGCAAACTGCCTTCAATTAGGAAGAGTTCAATGAATTGTTCGATTCATTTTTTATGAGTCCCTGTTCTTTGACCTTTGAAAAAGCAAGTTATGAGCACCTTCCGAATGGTGACCGCGGTGAGCTTTCAGATTTCCTTGACGCGACGGAAATTTACTTCCTGTGGATTTTCATTGTTGAAATGGTTGTCAAAATTATGGCACTTGGTTTTTGCCTGCATAAGAATTCTTACTTGACGAATGGCTGGAACATCATGGATTTTGTGGTTGTTTCTACTGGTATTCTGGGTAAGAGGCAAATATTTAATTTACGAAAGGCTTCGTTAGTACCAAAAATATCGGTAAACAGATTTCGTTCTATGAAAGAACCTGTATCTTTTCCGATTATCTGGTTCAAAATCAAAGAACTACCGGTGTAAAAGGAAGGTCCTACCGAGATTCGAACTCGGATTGGTGGATTCAAAGTCCACAGTGATAGCCATTACACCATAGGACCACGGAGGTGGCGCTGCTCAAAAGCACTATTGTATACTAACCTAAGAGCCTCAGCGCGCACTGCACAGTTGTCTCTGTTTCAAACTCTGATTTAGACATGTATGGCGAGGTTTTATTTAAACTGCTTGGACTTGATCCATCATTACTGTCAAAGATGAAATTGCTGAAAATGGGGCGAGTTTTCCGCCCGCTGAAAATGATCTCTAACTCTCCTTCTTTACAAGCTTAGGTTCCTCAAAGTTTCAATAAAACAGGAAAATTAGGCTTCTGAACCTCGAATAAAGTCGTTATGTCTGCAATTCTTAAAGCTCTAGGACCCATTTTCAACATTTTCATTCTCCTCGTCTTCTTCATCGTCGTTTTCGCCATCGTTGGCGTCGAGTTCTACGCCGGAGGATACCACTCTCACTGTGTCAGGAAGGCTTTGAAATCATTTTCAATTATCTGATCAAATTATTTTTCAATCCGAAAAGTGCTGAAGGCGAGATTTACGGTGAGAACCAACTCTGTGTCGGCAACGTGAACACAACAAACGGAGTCTCGTGGTCTGCCCGTGCTCCTTACACATGTCCACCGGAGGTAAGAGTAATTTTACACATGTAAAATGCACCATCAAGGAATTCACTTTTCTTGGGAGCGCCTTTTCCGGTAAAAAAATTTTTTAGTTTTCCTGCGAAATCGATGAAACGGGCCCGTTCGACGGGATTATTAACTTTGACGATGTGCTGTTTGGAATGCTTGTAAGTTGACTTTCTAAAATCAAACGGGAGGACGTGAGCTTCGAGATAAACGCAAGCTGAAAACTTGAAGCCTAGCACTCGGAGATAAGGAAAATCCTGGTCGCACTTGAGGCTTTTAAAATAAATTTTTTTAAAAAGAAAAGTTTTGTTTCATAATTTTTCTGACTTACCAGGTCGTTTCAGACGGTTTTTCAAATTCTGACGATGGAATCGTGGACAGCAATTCTCTACTTGTCGAACGACGGAACAACGAACGGAAATGCTCTCAACTCTATAATCTTCGTCTTAATGGTAGTGATCGGCGCTCTCTTCATGCTCAATCTGGTAATTGGAGTTCTAAGTGGCGAGTTTTCGAAGGAAAGGGAGCGCGTCGAAAAGCGCAACGCGTATTTGGCTATGAGGGAAGATAAGGATGTCAACTCAGGAAAACGCGGTTTTCAGAGTCATAATTTTCCTTGATATTTTACTGCAAAAACCGACTCTTAAGCGATGAATGGTTATTTGAGGTGGATACAAGAGGGGGAAGCAATAATGAAAGCTGAAGAAGAAGCTGAAGTTCTTCAAACTCGACTTAGTCTTCGCGCAAGGCGCCGAGCTACCGCGCTACCAGCTGGCTTTGGAATTCCTGGAGAAGAAGAAGAAGAAGAAGCGGAAGAAGAAGTTTTAGATGAAATAGATGATGAGGAGCCCGAAGAATCTTGGGGAAGTAAGATTCAGCGTGGAGTAGAAGCGTTTAGGCGAGGATCGTAAAATTGCTTGTTCTAGAGCGGCTCTAGTAGAGCCGAGTTTGTTTACTCTTGCAAAAATGTGGATTAAAATGCCTGTAGGATCGGTCTCATTCTCGGATTATAGGCTATAATTTATATAATAATATATAATATAATAATAATATAATAATATATATTTAATTTATAGCGTTTAAAAGTCGTAAAAAGTTTCCTTTTTCAGATCCTCTTGTTAGGGCACAAATAAGAGCCCTAGTCAGGACACAATTCTGGTTCTGGCTCATCTTATCCCTTGTTTTGATCAATACATTGCTAAGATGTTCCATTCACTACAAGTATGTTTTAAAAACGCATTGATTCTTCACACTTCTAAATTTAGCATGCCTACCTGGTACGACAATTTACTCTCAAAGCTGGAAATAACTTTTTTGGTGTTTTTCACCGTGGAACTTTTGCTCAAATGGTTTGGCCTTGGATCAGAGGTTTACTTTCAATCATATTTCAATATTTTCGACCTGATTGTTATTGCTTTATCTTGGTTGTATTATATTATAAAGGCTTTTTTCCCGGAGTTTTCTCTCGGAATTAGTATTTTAAGAGCTCTTAGGCTTCTCAAAGGATGAGTTCACTATTTAGTTTAGCAATATCAAACGCACATTTGCGTGATGATTGTCTATTAAGATATTATCTCCAATAAACCCTAAGGAACTCTCTGATAGCCTTCAAAGTCACCTCAGGAACGGGAATTACGATGCGTGAATCAATACTTAATCCTGCAATGCAAAGAAATAAGACACAAGCAAACTCACTTTCTAAAATTGAAGAGTTTAGTAAGTAAGTTTTTTGGGAAAAATAAAAAGAATTATTCAGAATTTATTGAATGAACAGTGACTTGAACTGACCCAGCACTTTGGCTAAAGCCAGAGTAGTAATCTTCGCTCATCATCTTTAGGAGATGACGAACGAGTAAAGGCACAAGCCATAAAGCCTTGTGATTCAGTCGACTCTGGTTGTCAGAGTTTTCAGTATCCATTTCCCCTTACTGGATCAGGGTTTCTGAAAATGTAGATATAAAAATCAATAATTTATCTGAAAAACTTACAGGAGAGAAGAAGGCGACGGACCGTGTTGCTAGCATAGTGGTTCGGTGCTAACTGATGTTTTTAAGATTTTCGCGCAGAATAAGGGATGCGTTCTAGAGAGGGTCTAGAAAACATCACGCGATCGTAATTGTCAGTGATTCTTATCAGCGCTTAATTTTTATTTTTTATCAACAACAACACACTAGAAACGCTCATCATTAGTATGCAGCAATCTGATTCCTCTGTGAAAGTATGGAAAGACCTGTCAAACTTGGTTATCTCTCTGATGAGCTCCGTTAAATCGATTCTTGCTCTGATATTTTTGTTGTTTCTGATGCTCATGGTCTTTGCCTTGCTAGGAATGCAACTTTTTGGCGGTCGATCTAACTTTCCCGATGGAATTCCAAACCAGAATTATGACCGCTTTTTCCCCGCTTTTCTAACTGTCTTCCAAGTACTTACTGGTGAGGACTGGGTTTCGATTATGCACACTACTATCAATGGTATGGGTGGAGTCGATGGTGGAGGGTTCATTTATTCTGTCTATTACGTAATTGTCACTTTGATCGGTAACTTTGTACTGCTCAACGTCTTCCTTGCCATCGCTGTCGACAATCTTGCCAATGCCGCTGAACTGAGTGAAGATGAGGAGGAAGTAGAAGAAGCGCGGAAAAGTAACATAAATCGCGAGCTGGACCCGATAATCGGCGAAGATGATAGCAACGGAGAAGAGGCTGAGGCGAAGCTTCCACCGCTAATTGACGACTCTTCACTGTTCATTTTCGAGAAAACGAATCCGATCCGCGTGGCCTGCACGAAGGTCAACTCAAGCCCACTCTTCATCAACTTCATCTTGGTGATCATCGGCCTCAGCAGCCTTGCCCTAGCCGCTGATGATCCGATCGCAACAAATCCAGATTTGGTTACAGTACTCTACTACGCAGACTTGATTTTCACATGCGTTTTTATTTTTGAAACGATCGTGAAAATTATAGCGCTTGGTTTTATTTTGCATCCCGGCTCATTTATGCGGTCTATTTGGAATGTTTTGGACATTATTGTTGTGGTAGGCGCAATTCTCGGCCTCGTTCTTGTCGGTGAGCCGCCAGGGAGAGACTGCGATGATGAGCTAACTCTCTTCCTCGAACCGAATTGCAAAAATGAAGAGCAGGAGAAAGTCGAAGACGGATCAGATCTGGGCTTTATCAAGACTCTCCGTGTGTTTCGCGTACTTCGGCCGTTAAAATCTGTTCAACGCCTTCCAAAGCTGCAAGCAGTTTTCAATGGCTTCATTACGTCGATTGTCAATGTCGCACCAATTTTATCTATTTATGGACTCTTTATGCTCATCTTTTCTGTAGTTGGAATGGAGCTCTTTGGTGGCAAATTTTTCTCTTGCTCGGATCCAACAAAAATGACTGAAGCAGAATGTACAGGACACAGTATCGATGAAGTCGACAGTCTTGGCCATCCGATTAGCATTTCTGAAAATGAATGGCTCCAGCACGACTTTCACTTTGACGACTTTCCCAACGCCTTTTTGTCGCTCTACGTGTTCTCAACCGGCGCGAGCTGGCCTGATGGGCTGTGGAACTCGATAGAAACCACAAAAGTTGACCGCGGACCTGTAAAGTACAGCCGCATGGATTACGCCATATTTTATGTGGTTTTTATAATCGTCTTTCCCTTCTTTTTCGTCAACGTTTTCATCGCTTTTGTTATTCTAACGTTTCAATCTGAAGGAGATGATCAGCTTGCGGAGCAGGAAAGGGGCACAATCGTAGTTGGGATTTATTCTTTTACAATTCAAAAGAAGCCCTCGAAAAGTGTTCTCTCGAAAAAACCGTAATTCAATGCATTGACTATGCTATCAACGCAAAGCCAATAAGCAAGTATATGCCAAAGAATAAAAAGTCGTATCAGTTCATTATTTGGAAAATCGTCACCAATGAATATTTCGACAACTTTATCCTTCTACTTATTATTCTCAATACAGTAACGTTGATGATAAAACATTACTCGATGTCAATCGAGTTTGAATTCATGCTGTCTGTGACCAATGTTTGCTTTACCACGCTGTTTTCAATTGAATGTACGATGAAAATTTTTGGCTTCGGGCCGTTGAACTACTTTTCTGACGCTTGGAACTTGTTTGATTTCGTTACGGTTGTCGGCTCTTTGCTCGACACTTCTCTGGTATTTCTCCTCCCGGAAGATTCCAACGTTAACCTCGCGATTTTGCGACTTTTCCGCGCTGCCCGTTTACTGAAGCTTCTGAGACAAAGTGAAAATATCAGAATTCTGCTTTGGACCTTCATGCAATCTCTCAAGTCATTACCTTATGTGTGCTTACTTATCTTTCTTTTATTCTTTATCTATTCAATTGTCGGAATTCAAATGTTTGGCAACATCAAATTGGATGAAGAGTCAGATATTAATTACCGGAACAACTTTCAAAACTTTGGCATGGCTATGTTACTTCTCTTCAGAGTTTCAACTGGAGACGGGTGGCAAGGAATCATGCTCAGTTGCATTGATGCAGAATGCGATCCAGCGACGCTGAAAGCCGGGTCGACGAAACGATGTGGGAGTAAAGTTGCGATTCCCTTCTTTACGACTTTCATTTTTTTAGGTAAATTTCCTTGAGAGCTCATCACTTAGCCGCGCTCAAGTTTCAAGTTATTTATCTTCGTTTTCAGGCTCGTTTATCATGCTAAATCTCTTCGTGGCTGTCATCATGGATCAGTTTGAGTTTCTAACCAAAGACTCATCAGTGCTAGGGCCTCATCATTTAGACAAATTCGCTGCGGCTTGGTCAGACTACGACCCTCACGCAACGTGGAAGTGCAAGTACACCGACGTGCAAAAGATACTCACGCGACTTCATCCGCCGCTAGGAATGGGAGATAACGCGCCGCAAAGATTGGTCTATAAGCGTCTTATAGACATGGATTGCCCACTAGATGAGGATGGAAAGGTGCACTTTACGACAGTTCTTATTGCCATGATACGCTGCAGTCTGGATGTCTATCAGATTTCTAAAGAAGACTCTGATTATGCAACTTTCAAGGATAAGTTAAAACTTGACGCTGAGTTTCGGGAGCAGGTGGAAAAGCAATGGTGTCAACTTTCGAAGTCGAGAATCGACGAAATTATACCTCCGGAGAACTCGAGGAATTTAAAAACTCTGACTTTGGGAAAGATCTATGGAATATTATTAATGTTTGAGCATTGGCAGGTTTATGAAGATAGAAGGGACATGATAAGAAGGACGAAGTTTGAAATGAACAAGAAGAAGGAGATTCAAGATATGATCCAGCGCCTAAAAATGTACGAAGCGAGAGAAAAATTGGCGAATAGAGGGATTGAACTGCCAGTGATACTCCCCAAAAAAGAAGAAAAAATTCAACCTTCTTTGGCGATTTTAACGATGTCAAAAGAAGAAGTCTCCGACAAGTATATTTTGGAAGATAACTTCTCCAGACCTGAGATTGATCAGGAAGTAGAGCAAACTCAACGAAGATCGATGCCACGAATATATGTTCAAGGGTCGATAGATCAAGGAAATGGTCAAAAATGTTGGAATAAAGCGTCGTTAAGCATAATAAGACCATGTAAAACAGCCGAAGTAACATCGGAAGAAACAATGGAAGATGAAAAACTGAGTGAGCAGTCCTTTTTTCCAATTCCGAAACCAAGGCTCACTAAAACTCTATCTGTGCCTATTCCAAAGCCTCGACTATCGACATATTCTTCTTTTGTCGACTACAGAACCTCGATTGCAGATTCCTGCAGTCTCCCATCAATGAATTTTTCCGAGAGTGAGGATGACCACGACTGCTTTGAGACTGAATTACCTCTCTAAATAAACATGCCCAGCTTTTTTCAAACATTTTTTGAATTTGCTGTTTTTTATTTACTTTGTCATGAAAGTGAAAAAATGCTGGTCAGTATAGTTTGTGGGAAATTATTTGACGATGGCGAGGAGCATATCTTTGTAGTCGCCGCAGCAGTCTCCGTCGATATCGTCAGCCAAGGAGGAGCCAAAAGATTCCTCGTACTTTTCTTTAATGGTCTGGAGTCCCCACTAAAATATCTTTTAGAAACAAAAGTTTTTGGGGGAGCTTATCGAACCTCAGAAGTGAAGATAATAGCGCGCTGGAGTGCGTCATCGTCAGTTCCAAGACCCTTGAGGGCTTTGTGGGCATTGCGGGCAAAGTAGTAAGCGGGATCCAAGGCCATTCGGACGATGGATTTGTAAGCTCGCTTTAGGTCTCCGTTCACTTCGTTTTCAATGGCACCTAGGAGATCGTAGTCCTCAGAAATCTAAAAGGAAAGAATGTAAATAAAGAAGTCTCAAAAAAGTTCAAAGGCCCATGAGAACATTCGCGTTTGCTAAGTTCAAGAGAGATCATAATTTATTTTTATGATCTGGTAAATTTGCATATCGATTTGAAGTGTCCGCAGAGCGGACGTGTGTGATGTTTTTACAATTTCAAAAATTTACCTCCTGATATTTGGCGTTGATGAGTCGGATTTGCATCCAGGATCGACGAGCGCAGATTCGAGTGAAGACGGATTCGTCAGTGAAGAACCATCTGTCTTCTCCGGCCTAAATAAGAATTTGATTAAAGCATTTTTAAACGGAAATTACATCAAAGAGCTCTTGAGCATCCTCAGCAGCCTGGTCCTCGTCGATAGCATCAAGGCCTTCTTCTCGGGCGCAGCAAAGAATAGCAATCATGAATCGCTCGAACTCTCGTCGGCAGTTGTCCTGGATATCATCCATAAGAGCATTTCCATATCGCTCTTCGTAAACTTCCTTGAGCTCCTCAAGGTAGCCGTTGGGTCGAGCACAGAGGATTTCGCAGATGACATCATCATCTGATGAGCCGATGCCCTTCATGGCCTGGTTGAGGCATCGAGCATCATATTGTTTTGGAGTCAAGAGCATTCCTGAAAGGATTTGATATCAACGAGGAATACGCCGCGTCGCTCTTACCCTTGATGACGTGTCGAAGTCGATCTCGTCGAACTCGTGAATCAACTCGATCGTAGAGGGACTCGCCGAAGAGAGACATGAACTGCTCCTGGATCTCTTGTCGCTGAGCGTTCGATCTGTTCGGTAGAATATCATTGACCACGTCGTCATCTATCCTTCCTCTGCCGATGGCATCTTCAAGGGCAACGGCATCGGCTTCCGCGTCGAAGTCTTCGGCTTCAGTGCAAGTTCCTTCGAAGCCAGGGAGAAGCTCCTGGATGACGTCAATAACGTGCTCAATAAGAAGAATACCAAGAATAGCTCCCATTTTTACGTGTTACTTCTCTCTCGTTTATAGAAGTGGCGTGAGAAGCGCAAATGCCGGCGATTTTTATTACAAAGAGCGCGAGTTAATAATTTGCTCGATGATCATGCTTGAAATTTATAGCATTTGCATACGCTGAATCATGACCGGTTTACTAAATATTTAACTGGCGTGCGTGCTCTGCGTCTTGAGAGATAAATTAGTCTCGGTAAACGGAAGAATGCAAACTTGGCGATGCTTAGTCAACTTCAGACTAGTCATGCCCTTGTGATGTGCATTCCAAGTGTTTATTAAATAATTAGATTTATATATTTCAAAAATAGATACAGTGAAAATGACGATACAGAAAATTTACTTTTTGAAGAAGCTTTCCGACGGAGTGATCTTATCGCCCTTGTACATGATGTGCGAGGAACCGCTCGTCTTCGAGTTACTGTAGCTGACATCGACTTGCTGATCAAAGATGTGGTACGCTCTCTCATGGCCTTGTTCCATGAAGTAGCTCTCAGCATTGAAGCGTTCCTCCCTCGAGACTTTGATCCCATCAATGTTTTCGATGCTTGGCACGTGCCAAATCAGACAAGGACGGTGAAGCATTCTTCGCGAGACACCATTTCCAATCATTGAAATTTCTTTGAGATGCGTCAGAGGTCGAAGTTTGGTGATTTCTTCAACTTCCGCGATTCTGTTAACGCCGAGGTACAGTCTCTTGAGATTGACTAGCGCGCGCAGATGGTTCAGATCAGAAACGCGGTTGGAGTCCATGTGAAGCTCTTCCAGTCGCCACATTGATTGAAAGCTCGTCTGGTCAATGTTTTTGATTCGATTCTTGTCCAGCACCAAATGTCTCAAGTTTGAGCAGCCGTCTAATCCGTCAACTTTCATGATATCGTTCGATTCCAAGAAAAGCGATCGCAAGGAAGGAAACCTGTGAAGCTGCAAGAGCGTCATGTCTTTGATCTTATTCGAGCCCAAATGAAGAACTTCCAGACTCGGCATTATGCTTTCTGTTTCTTTGATCAAGTAGGAGTCAGCTTTGGATTGACCGGCTTGACTGTACTGAGAACGGGTCATCTGATTGCGCTGCTGCTTCGTTAGTGGGAAGACGGACTCAATGTTGTTTTTGCTCAGACAAAGCGTTTTCAACAACTTGAGTTCGACCAGACCAGAGAAGTGGACAAGCTGATTTCCGATCAAGTTTAAAGATGTCAAACTGATGAGCTGGGAGACATCCAGGTGAACTGATCGAATCTCGCATTCTTGAAGGTCCAGATCATCGATCTCTTTCAAATTCACTGTCGCTTGCCCATTTATGTAGCCAAATTTTTCGATCAAGAAATCATTTGTCAATCGTCCGCCAAAGATATCCGATGCTCTCGCGATGTCTTTGAGCCGAACAGGTAGCCCATTGAGCGACTTGAGCTGCTGAAGATGGAACAGTATAAACAAGTTACAATCTTCCTTCGATGACAGCGGATTTCCTTCAATGTCCAGAACTTCTAGCTTCTCACAGATTTTCAAGTGCGCCAACTCGTTCGCATCGCCAAGTTTGTTATGGGACAAATAGATTTCAATGACGTTTGTGAGATTTCGGAAAGATTTGATCGAAGTAAGACGATTTCCACTGGCGTTGATTGATTTCAATGCTTGAAGAGTTGACTCGACATTGATGTCCTCTACTGAATTGAATGAAATGTCGAGATCTTGAATGAACGGAAGATTATTGAGAATCTTGTTGATTGACGAGATCTCGTTGTTCCCAAGATCAATCTGACGCAATTTCGTGCAAGAAAGAAGAACTGAGACATCTGATATTTTGTTGTCGCGCGCTGAGAGAAACTTTAAGTTCGCGAGATTCCGAAGCATTGAAATGTTAACTAAGCCCAGTTCGTCTATACATAGCGAGGTGATCTTCGTTCCAATATTTTCTGGGTGTCCGAAATCTCTCAAGAACCTTGCTGCATTCGCCAGATCTGCGTAACTATTCATTTCACCGCTTCTTCCCAGGCGCTGGACCATTTCAGAGGAGAGGATGAGCTTCTGTGCCGCGGCTCTATTCTCTGAAGTGATTCTCTTTCCATTGAAAATGCTCAGCTGCGTGAGTTTAGTGAGCGCATGCACAAGAATCGCATCGTCGTAAGTTATCGCGTTCCAGTCGAGTGAAAGAGATTCTAAGCACGGCGTCTTCTTTCTCAGATGATTGATAAGAGATGCATACTGGCGAAGGCGATTCCAGCTCAGGTCAAGCATCGTTACATTTTTCAGCTCAGGAAGATCCACGGAAGTGATTTCGTTTACAGAGAGGTTCAAGCTTCGCAAATGTCGTAAGTTTCTGATGCTCTTTCCAATGCTCGTCAATTTGTTGCACGCTAGATTGAGTACATGTAGATTCGGCACAGTGGTCAAGTTCGGTAACTCCGACAAGTTTAATCCGACCAGGGACAGATCAGTAAGCGCAGACGTCTCGAATGGAATAAGCTCAAGTATCGTTGGAGCATTGTCCAGTGTTATTGGAGCGCAGCTCAACGCGGACAGGTCTTTATCTTCGTCCTGGAGTGTTCTGACGGGTGTCTCGGCGTACGTTTGCTTCTCTGCTTCTGTCAGTGGTATTGATTTGATTAAATGTGACTGAATATTTTGGTAAGCACCGGCGTAACTGATGATTATATTACCTGGTTAACATACTCAATATCGATGAGATACTCTGGACATAAATAGTTGGAGTCAAAGAGCGTAAATTTTCTCCCGCTTTTCGTATCTTCATAGACCGAGTCGCTGTGTGAAAAATGCCTTGGATTGACTTTTTCGTTTGTAGAAGTTGTCATTGGAGTGCTCTTGCCCATATAAGCGCGGCAAACGATGAGTTGTGCGGTCGAGATGGCTTCTGATTTATTGTAGTTTTTATGAAAGCGGACATCAGCGTCGAATGGTGAAGTGCAGAGAACAAGGTTGTCTTTTGAGCAGCCGTTCTCAATGAGTTCGGTGGTCTTTTCGATGTCGCTCGGATCAGATTGGACGAAGGCGTAAGTCTAAATTAGTGTGATTATTTTTTCTCATTATGTTGGATATTTTACCTGAGGAATGACAAACTGAGAAGTCTCATTGACCTCATCAAGCTCTTCATCAAAAGCAAGCCTCTTTGGCCGATGGAAAATTTTCGTGATTCTATTCAGCTTGAAGTTTTCAACGCCCAAAGCTGACTTTCTTTTATCCATGCGTACTTCGCTCACTGTTTTAGTCAGAAGATTTTCCATCTGATTCCAAATTTGTTTGACCTGACTCGGTTCTTTTCCGTCCTCTTCTTCCGGCTCATAAATATCCTCAAATCGTAAGTTCCCGCCGGACTGCAGCTCCAGTCTCAGTAATTCTTCGTCCACTTGGAATTTATCTCTCACTGACTGTATCGCACGTTTTTCTTCGAATTTTATCCTTTTGTAGACGTTCTCCCAGTGCTCCAGCCGATCGGTAAGATGCTTAATTTTGTTTTTGATTCGCGCTTCGTAGACAGTGTTCTCTTCGTTGTTTTCAATAAAGATGCTCTCAAGGCGATAAAGCTCGGCTTGCAACTCGCGGCGTGAGGAAAGCGGGACCGCGAGTCTTTTCTGTGCAATTTTTTGTATACCTAAAGGATGTTAAAAATAACAATTGTTATTGCATTTGCAATAAAACTCTACCTTTTATAATACTGGGAAGAGTCCTCCTGAGAATGCGTTTCTTCATTCGATAGAAAGAATGTTTTCTGCTTAAAATCTTGACCGCTTCTGCTGTCATATCTTTCGGAATTTCTTCTCCATTGAGGAATCTTAAATATAATTTACCTTTAAGAAACTTTAAAAAGATCAACCTGAGTGATTGTAATGTGTAAAATATCTGAAGCTGATAATTCTGCTGTCGACAGAGCGGCGATTGTGGATACAGTGGGTTGCTTATGTTGAGTTCTTGCAGGTTGAGATATGCTAGGGGACTCAATTGGACAACGCTCTCGATCGGATTCCCGGAAATGTCCAGCTTCGAAAGTTTCTTGTTTAACCTAATTTCTTCTCCAATAACTAAAAATCGTTATTACGTTGTTTACAAAAGGGCGTTACATTTTATGTCGTTCGCTCCAATGTTTAGGTCGCTGAGTTCCGCGAGCTTTTCAAAGCCCCTCGTTGATGTGAGCTGATTTTGAGCGAGGGACAAGAATTCAAGGCGCGAGAGATGATCCAAATTTTCCACTCGGCTGATCTGGTTTCCGTAAACATACAAAACCTGGAGCGACTCGCAGTTTGTCAATTTGGGGATGCGCTTGAGGCGTGACTCGCAAAGCCACAACTCGTTGAGGCTCGGGTTGAAATCGATTTTGTCCATGTGAGAAATGTCTACAAAAGGTGAGGGGAAAGTCTTGACCTAATTTTACCTGTTCCGAAGAAAATCACTTGCGAAAGATTTGAAAATTGCGCCAAGTGCGGCAAACAATTGACTTCATTAAAGAAAAGCTCCAATCGCAAAACCTCTTCTTTCTTGTTCTTGAGCGTTTCCTTTGACAGGCCGTTCGAGCTAATAGCGCATAACTTTAACCTGCACGCGAAAGAGCTTACCTCGATAATTCAGCGAAGACGGCCTGATTTGGGTCTTGCCTCTCGGCGCATCGCGACATATTTTCAATGTTGAACATCTTTAGGCGTTGACGGTCTTCGCAGCGGTTTAGTTCATGTGGGGTGTGACCACAAAAATGATCTTTGAGCAACTAACCTTCCCTCCGAAAACAAATCCCCATCCAGGGGATGTTCTAGAAATTGTCAAAAGAGTGAATTCGAGATTTCTCTTCGCGTTGCTATGTTACGATGAAATCCAGATTTGATTGGGGACTCTACAATTTGATAAATTTCGTCGGAGCCTTACACCGAACTTATCATTATAACACTAATAAGTATTTTGGAACTTCCGATTTGCAAGGAAAACTATCTTTTTGACCAAAAGCCAATAAGATTGAGTCCGCCTCCTCAATATTTAACACCGGCTTATGATTCGCCAGCAAAATGACGTAATTCTTTCAAACATCAGTACGCGTCGCGTAATGATTGGTCTACCCGGCCGCGAGAATCAAATTGGCTTCAAGGAACCGCGGGGGCGACGCGTAGCCAATGAAGCGCATTGCGCCGCAACACTAAAAAGGAGCCTGTCAGGTCGGCGCGCACCACAGCCACTTTTCAACGAGAGATATGGAAAAAAAGACTCTGAACGAAGACTTCGAGCGCGGAATTCGCGAGGCGAAAAACAATTGGAGTCAAGTAGGGCGGAGTCTTGACATGTTAATAAAATCTGAATCTTCGAAGACTCCTAAAATCCAGGCTATGGTAAGGAATATGATCACAATAATTTACATTAAAATATTTAATTATTTATAACTGGGGTAATCTAAAAATATTCAATAACAAAAAAAAGTAATCATCAATAGCAATCAGCGATAAGTGACTATCCCATCGCGCATCAGTGATTGGCTGGTGCTCACGCGCCAATCAATGACAACAGCGCAGGCGTTTCCCAACAAATCAAAAGTTTATATGCAAAGTTTTCATGAAGTATGTAGGCTGAGAAATTATTTAAGATTCGAAGACTGCAATTCTTAACTCGAAAACAAGCAAACATGAGCGACATTGAATATCACTGGGATTCAATGATGCGTCTTGATGACTCAAAAAAATCGCCCCACGTGGTCAAACAATTGACGATCGCGCTATCTGATTGCGCCATTGTTGATAATGTTACGCCTACGCACAATGCGATTACTCCTGATGAATCAGCGGCTAGCGATGCCATCCCCGAAAAGCGAAAACGATGCCCACCTACCCGCTTGATCAATGGCACGAGAAAAATAAAACAAATGTCACCGCAGTGTGATCATTGCGGGCATATCGCTGACGATTCTCACCGTCTATTGGAGCACCTCGACCTTTATAAAAACTGCCTCGATTACTATGCGTCTAAAAGAATGCATTGCTTGATTTGCGATAAATCTTTCAAGCAGCTACGAAGACATCTTCTGGACACTATCAAGCGTGGAAATAAAGATGAAACGCAGAATCAAATTCTACACGAGAAATACGCCACTCTTCTGAAAAAGCATGAGAAGCCAACGAAAAAGAGGTAAGAGAATCAAGTGCAGTAAATACTGCTGCCCTGAGATGATCTTTGTGAACCCAAGCACTCCAAACCAGCAGGACTTTATTTTTCTCTTCTCGGGCGCTACTTTTGCTTTCGGGGTAAGGCGGTCATCCGATCCGCCGGATCATGCATTGTTGGCATAAATGTCGTCGGGACCGAACTACATTTCCATGTTTTGTTTGGTCGGTCAACTTTAAAGGAGGCAGAATTTTTGGTCGGTAAGGTAGGTCGGATCGGCTTTTTTGGTCGGTTTTCTTGGTCGGTCGGTGGTCGGATCGATCAAATTTTTAAATAAAAAAATCAAGATTTTTAACGCTTTTCAGCGCCCTGAATGAGAATATTGGAAAGAGATTTCGCGCGCAAACTTCGTCCATCTTTTCTTTTGTGACTGGAGCGAAATTCGCTCAATTGCGTTGGTTTAAACCGACCGAATACAAAAAGAAACTAACCAATAAGCGACCTCCAACCTTCCGAGCCCAATCGACCAGCTCGGTTTGTCGGTCGGGTCGATGACGACCCTACTGATGGCGGATTTTAATCAGAACGCAGTGACCAATCAGAGCACCTCTTTTTGCTATCTAACACCCCTAGAGTAGGTTATAGCCTATAACTTATAGGTCCCTATGCGCGTTTAACCTCATTGATGAAGTATTTACGAGTCTACTTAGGAGAATTTGGTTTTCAACCCAACTAGATAAAATTCTGGCATGTATTCTGGCGGATTAAACAGAGGAGCTTGCCAGGTCGTCGAGGACATTCTATCTTAGGTTCGCACCACAGGCGCGGGGATTATTCCCACCTTATACCACCCTAGCTGGGGACCAGCACACTTGTTATCCTCTAAGATGCAGAGGAGGGCGCTAAACCATAAAAAAAGTAATCATCGGTAGCAATCAGCGTCCCAAGCATGGCGTTATATCGCGGGTGATCGGACTGGGAGAGCGTGCTGTCTCCTACGCACTGGTCCCAGCAGCGGTGGGAGTGCCTGCGCGCATTTTGAACGGAGAGGGAGCGCTCACAAAATCACCGTGATGGCGCTAGTCCCTGTGCGCGTGCTACCACCTGGGAGCAGATTTGAATGAACAAATTCGCCTCATTGTTCCGTTTAAACCTTAGACGCCTTGACTTTTCTTCCTAGGCGCCGCGCTCACTGTCCGTTCAAAAAGCGCGCGAGCACTCCCACCGCTGCTGGAAGCGGTGCGTTGGCGAGAGCACGCACTCCAAGTCTGATTACCCCCGATTTGACGCCCTGGTCCCAAGAAGGATTCCATAGAAACCTTTTGACCTTGATCGGGATTAACGTAAATCGGTATTCTCGGCCCCGTAGAGAGAGAGTATGCATTTTGCGGATGTCCAAGCGTTGTAAGCCAATAGAAAGACAGTTTCTCGAGCATCGGGGCAGTTCTTTGCAGCCTGGCTACCACACTCCGCAACGGGTTGGTGCGCCAAGAGGATCGTTATGATTCATGAGTCATGACTGCAGAATTTTTCATATAAAAAGCATTATCGCTTAGGAGTCATGGAATACGAGGGATGTATCAGCTTGTTCTTGCTAATCAAAAAATGAAATTTTCAGAGTCGCAGCGAAGTTAGTCATCCCGCCCACGATTACTAATAAACGATCTTCTCTCGTCACCCAGATTCCGATTATCAAGTCCGAACCATTCATCGAGGATTTTATCGAAGAAAGTAAGTATCAAGTTTCAAAATAGTATTAAGTATTAATTATGATTGAAAGTCACCATAAAATTCATTTTAGTTAATTCCGGCGATGAAGATGTCACGCACTTTCAAGATCTCCTCGAAGAAGAAAAAGAAAACGAGTCCAATATCGAGGCTGCTGCAGGGCCTGTTAATGATGATCACACTTCTTCAGACGACGATCCAGTCATAGAAAAGGTTCGTTAGTTGTTCCCTTCGAGTCCCTTGACCCACCCTCGGCCGTACCCAGAGACTTATATTTTCTCGCGAAAATGTCAATTCGCGATTTTTCGCAATTGCAGAGGGGATACCCTTAAGGCACTCCGTCGACCCAGCTCCATGCGCGCGTCTTGCGATTTTTCACTATCATTTTTGGTGATTTTAGGTTTTCTCGATTCACATGAATCTTAGTAAATAAATTAACCTTCTTTGTCTACTATCATTACTATTTCGTTAAATTTTCATATCTTGTTTTTGCGCTGAATTTTGTCGTAAACTTAGAAGCTCGATTGCAAGTGTACAATGTACACTGTACATAAGTACTCGAAATACTCGAATTCACACTTTGAAACTCGACTCATTGGAAAGCCCATAGTCTCCTCTTCAAAGGTTACGCTAAGAGATTTTTTAAATAATAAATATATTTTCTATAATTGAGCTGATAAATCGAGTGAAGAATCGCGAGACGCGGAGCTGGATCGGCGGAATTTATATGGAGGCTATATGTTACATTTAATATGTATGAGGGAAATTACGACCATCCCTGAAGAATTCTCGTTGTCCTTTATCTGTTTTCTATAGAAGCCAAAATATAAAATTTTGAAAAAAATTGTTGAAGATCACGTACTAACATGGGCGACCCTTTGTTACTCGATAAAACGCTGGCGCTTTTTAACTAGTTACTCAATAAAACTGTGGCGGGCGGCCCTCTGTTAATCGGTAAAACGATGGCGCGGCGAAAAAATTTAATCGATAAAACGATGGCACCCTTGTTAATCGAGGCGCGGGGCTCTCTGGCGTGACGTCATCGGAGGACTCTCTTGCAGGAAGATAGATAAGTTGAAGACATGCACTTTGAATACACGGAAATGCTCCTAGCCCAGGCTGGGGACATGAAGCTCTTGGGGAGATAGGCTATTGGGCTGATTGATTTTCTTGGCAATTGATTCTTGACTTCAAATCTTAAGGTATATAATGAGTAAAAGTGACTTCGTAACATATGGGTTAAAAGTAAGTAAGTAGTAATAACCTCAAAGCATCACTTTCACTTTATTAAAATAGAATTGGTTAACTTCTCAATACACGTGGTCGGTTCAACCGACCACGGCGACTTTGAGCCGCCGTTATTTCTCTTGTGATAATCCGTTTGACCTGATTTTTGTTATGTGAGCTAAGATGACTAAAACGAACCATTTTGTGAAATTTTGGATGTTTTCTCAAAAGTGGTGGCGTTTTGCACCGGATTTATCTTTCACTCTGCAGCTGAAAATCCAGAAAGTGTTTTTCAAAAGTAATTGTAAATCCTGATAGGTTAGTGTTCAAGCTTTCCAGCGATATGAGTTGTAACCTTTTTCCTCGCCGGAAACGCAAGTTAGAGCTAAAAGTCTTGAGCGCTCTTCCTGACAATCCGAATTTTGCGCGCCGCGCGGGGCTGAATAATGCATTGTGGTCCCCTCACCCGACCCCGTGTTTTGAGCGCTTAGTTGCGCGGCCGTGTATTGAGAAGTTAAGTAAACCGGCATGTCTTTAGTCAGGGACAGAAACAGGGTTTCGAGATTTTAATCCCAATTTTGGACAGCTACACAGGACAGGGCCAAAAAACAGGAAACAGGTCCTGTCTAAGGTTTTTAGACAGGTCAGGATGCCGAGCCCAGCACAGCTCAGTTTGCCGAGCCAAGAGCTCACGTCAGTGATTTCTGAAATGTCCTGCTCAGCTCAGCTCAATTCAATGATTTTCTGAGAGAACCATTTCAGCTCCCATGTGAGAAAATGTAACAATAAACCCTTGTAAATGTGAGTCTTTTAACATACTAGTCCAGCTGAGTGGTTAGTGCTACCCCTTTTTTACTAAAGTGAGTGGCGGGCGCGAGCTCGAATTCCCTTTTCCATTATTTTTTTCAGCAAGAGTCCTCCGATGACGTCATGCAGGAGAGCCCCGCGCCTCGATTAACAAGGGTGCCATCGTTTTACCGATTAAATTTTTTTTTGCTGCGCCATCGTTTTATTGAGTAACTAACCCAAAAGCGCCAGCGTTTTATCGAGTAACAAAGGGTCGCCCATGTTACTCACTTTAACGACAATTGCAGTTACAAGATTTGCATTGAAGCACTTCAAAATCTCAAGAAATCTGATTTTTTGGCTTGCATAGGAAATAGATAATTGCCCGAATTGTCTTGCGAGCATGAAAAATTAAGACTTACTATTTTAAAAAATGGAAACAATACTGCAGGAAAATTCTATTCTTGATGTCCACCCCCTTTAGGCAGCCCCCTATTTATAAGGTTGAAATAACTTAATGGTCATTATTAGCCTATTTATAAATATTTTTAGATTGAATCAATGCCATCGAACTCCCAGATATACGAAGATGATGATATGAGCCTTACGATCAAAGTCGATCCGGATCATCAAGAAACCTTGCTTCCTAATCACAACAAGCCCAAACTTATTGCTCACAAGACCAACGCAAAAAAAATCTCAGCTGATCTTGGTCTTAACTATGGAACTTTGCGGCAGTCTTCGTTTATTCCACCACATCCAAAACGACGAGTTGTTCCTGTTCGAGAGCGGCAAAACAAGATCAACTATGGCGCCCAGTCGCTTAATATTGCTCCTACTCCGCTAATCGCCATTCCTATCTCATCGAGCACAAGGTTTCAACATCAAAGTCTTACTTGCAATTACAACTTATCTAGCGCACCAATCCCGCAACAGATCCAACTCAACGGACAAAACGTGAATGTTATCCAGCTCCCATCCAATGTCACAACTGTACCCGCGGCCTCTCTCTCTAGTGCCATGCAAACATCAAATGGACTTCAGCAACCTACACTCATCTCTATTGCCGGGCAAAATGGTCCGATGACTCTCAACGGAAACGTCCAAGTAATCAACGTCCCACCTAACCAGTCGAAGACAATGTCAGAACTTGTCCGACTTTTTCCCTGAAACACAATTTCCAGCTCATTGAACGCAAGAGCTTCTGAAACGCTTTTCACCTGCTGCCCATTTCCTCACTACTGACAATGCCGATTATCACAAATAAAACACTAGTTTTATGCAGAAACAAGAGATTTTGCTATTTTCAAGCTTCTTTTTTTTCTTTTTCGGTTACGGAAGAGAATTTTTTTATACCTTGAAGGAGCGTTTTCTCCTCGAATTTCAAAGATCTCGAAAATTTGATTCTTTGAAAAAAGTTGAAGGGTGGGGGGATCCTTAAGACTTTTAGGGGGTCCCTTAAGGACCCCCCATCAAGAATCGTGAAAATGAGCCATTTTAGTGAAAGTTTTTCTCAGAAACTATCTTCGGTAGATCCTTATTTTCACTTGCTACCTTTAGATCCAACCATCGGCTGCAACCGTTCCCCTTATGATAATCTCTCGATTACAAATTTAAGGGTATACAGGCCCTTAAAGGTAAAGTTGCTAAGTGAAAGTTTTTTTTAGGATTTTAGTTGAGGTATACCCTTAATTTTTTACAGGATATAGTTAAGGCCCTAAGCTACGACCGTTCCTCTTTTGAGAGTTTTTCGTCAATGAACTTAAGGAGGACACCCCCTTTAAAAATTTATAAGTCGAATATAAGGCAAATTTACAGATTTCAATTTTAAGTTTTTCTTTAAAAAACTGCCTTCGATTATGTTTTTCGATTTGTTTTTGTGATTGAAATGCATTTTAAGATGGGTATACCCTTAATTATAATGAAAATATAGCAAACCATGGATTTTCATAAAAATATATAGCAAATTTGCATTTTTTAAAGCCAATTTTAGCCAAAAATTTCTATAGCAGCGAAAAAATTTTCAACATGAAAGTTTCTCCTCGTTGTCTAAAGATCCAAAATAACCAAAAAATACAGAAAATTTGAACCAAATCCATCTTGATGGGGGGGGGGGTCCTTAAGACTTTTTACTGTGCACTAAATACAGAGAATTAAGTTTCAATAATTCACCGCCCGGTGATTCCGAGCGGTACTATTTATTATGTACAGTCATATACGCTGTAATTCAGCGTAATCATCTTTCTTCAAAAAAATTTTATGAACAGTATATACAGAAGTTTTTTGCAGCTTACAGCACACTTGAAGATAAACTGTTTTGCGAATGGTGTTCGTGGATATGATTTTCACGCCTGCAGTCTTCATCGATTGGAACGACCACTCCGACTTCTTCGCAGCATTTGGCCTCATCGTGGTCGTAAAGCTGTCTATTGAGACAACACGATGTAACCTAAAAGGAACCGTTAGAAAGAACACGATTAACGCTTTGTTTGACAAACAAATTTTTGCGGTTTCATAGTGGGTCAACAATTATTTTTAACAAACACGTGTAGGCACTTACGACATCATTATACGGTCGTTGACCGCAACAAGCGTTAGGCTGGATCCAATCCGGCCGGATGCGATTTGTGTGGATATAGTCTTTCTTTTGACATTCAGGCCACTGCACGAATGGGCCTTGTCGAAGGTACCCGAACACAGCTGTTGTCGTTGTCGGAGCCTCTGTTGTTGTTGGTTCTGCAGTCGTTGTTGTCGTCGTCGTTGGGGTTGTCTTAGCCGGTTTTGTTCTCTTCTTCTTATTTCGATTCTTCTTGGTTGTTGGTCTGGCAGTCGTCAAAGTTGGAATTGTGATCTTTCTCACACTTGGCCAACATTTTTCAATTCCGTCTTCGACATCGCACTCGTCACACGCGTTCGGCTTACACTTAACATCATTAACACCCGAACACTTACATTCCTCCGAGCAGCCGCGTCGTAGGAAGCTCTCGCCGATCTGGTAGGTGTTGTCGCCATCTACACAACCGCATTGGTCGTTTTTAACGCACTTGAGTCCATTCCAGAGATATCCCTTCAAATCATACTGTGATCAAAGTCATTAAATGAAATTCCGGAAATTCCGGAAATCATAAATAAGAGAGCATTACCGTTCAATGATTATAAATGCTCATATTTTTGATTCTTTACAAATGATTATACAGATTTATGTTTCCGTTTCTGAAATTATAAACTAACCTTATTACAGTAGCAACCCTCGAAGCAACCTGCATCCATATCATTGCACTTCGGCTTTGGATCACCACAACTTGCCACGCACTGGCTACCACAATGCTCGTAGTGCGAGTTTGCCGGGCACTGAGCGGGGCACAAGTATTTGTTTCTCCAGTTAATCGGAACTTTCTTGTCGGCGCACGCGCGGCCATAAGCAGCTTGATTTCGGATTTTCAGAGCAAGTCGCATGATCCGCCAAGAACATGTTGTTTCTAAAGCTACCTTCGGTAGCGCGCAGGTTATTAATAAGGTACGTATCTAAATGCTAAAAAAGAAGGTCACTCGTCAAAAAATCCGTTCCTAAAGAATCGCAAAAAGCTCCGTCCGCGAGTTTTGTAGCACATTGATCCCAAATGCAGTTTTCGTAGAATTTCTGAGGCGGAACATTGTCAAAGCATTGTTGAAAATTTGCCATGTCATCAATAAGAATACTGCATCGGTCAATGGCGGCGTTGAACTGTTGCTCAGTACAGTGAGGCATTGTACCGTTTGGTCGCTGCTCAAGCTCTTCAACCCATTTCATCCACTAAAAATGATCATTTCTTAGAACTTTGTGGTTATATTTACCGGTCGGGTACGGGGTTGAAGTTCGCTCAAATCTGCGCCACATCCATCACGGTTATCCAATCCGGGTCGTTTCCACGACTTTCCGAATGCCTCTACTGACATTTCATTGTAGGTAACATCATCTGATCCCTTGAAATCATCATTGAAGTCACCATTGTAGTTTCCCAACAATCCGCAGAGCTTGTCGAACCAATCGCAAGACGCTTTGATTTCGCTATTTCCCTCGCCATCGTAGAAAATTTGAATTCCAAAAAAGGTGGAAATGGAGACGTAATTGCCACTTTTATCAATTTTTGTTCCGTCAGGAAGTAGAGTGGGCGTATAAGCCCGCTCATTGTTTAACATTACTTTGCCTCCCTTGAGAAGCTCGATTTTTATGTTTTTATACATGAGGATGATGTCCTTTGTCCAAGACATGTCCATGTTACCATATCGGTTTTCGTTTCGACCAAAGATTTTAAAATCGACTAAAGAAAAATATTTAAGGCTTACTGTAATTCGCAAAGATTTCTGTTATCTTTTCTATTTTTACCTGGTCCCTCTTTGCAGTTTTTACTCAGCAAGTATGTGCAGTTGCCCTGAAAGTGAATGACTTTTTCATCAAAAGTCATGTAATGTGGGTCTCCATTAGCTCTGGCCGTCCCTGTTCCTTTGCAAGTCTTCTTCGGGGTCCCTTAACAATTGTTATTTGTTGTATAAAAGGAAGTTGAAAAGGATGATCTGCAAAAGATTGATCCATTCAGTTCCGGGTCTAGAAGGCAACGTGCATAATCCCAGACGCGGCCACCGTGTCTTCCAAACACTCACCGAGCATATGACTACACGTATCTTCATAATCGGAGCAACAATCGTTCTGCCGGACACAGCCCTGATCACAAGAGCACACCGAGTTCGGCGGCTGACAATTCCAATCTTCTCCTGCGCAGCACTGATTTCCTAGCGGGCGATCTTTGCAGAGCATGCTTGTTTCCGATTTCCCCACGAAGAGATTTCTAAAAACAGATTTTTAATCCTCTGAAATCGGGAAAAACGTGTGAGTACCGTGGTGTTAGTAGCGGATTTTTCGCTTCTTGCCGTATCTTCTTGCTCACCACTTTTTCATGGAAAGTCATCGCATTTACTGTACTCGCTAGTAAATACGTACTTAGCGGCAGGAGCATCTGAAATAAGAATGTTGAAATATTTTCTGGAGCCCTGATTTAGAAATCGGACATTTCCGAGCTGTCAGATTTGAAAGCGAAAAGATTATTGAATTAAAACTTTTTTGTTCATGAATTTTATCACCCGCCATCTATGGACGTAAGATTGGCTCCTCGAGGACAAGACGTGTGCCTGTCAAAGTTCTCATTTCTAAACGGGATCGAGAATATTCAGGGAGCTATTGAAAGTCGCTGGGGTTGAACAAGGGATTAGAATATTTTGGTAAATTGTTTCAGTGGTGTAATCTGTTTATGAGTAGCATTTGTCTTGGCGGTCAATTAAATTTATCACTTTGAAATTAATTTGATATTTTGACCTCTGAAAATGAAAGAAAAGCCTATCAGGCAAAAATATTGCATTTAGGAAAAAACACTGCCTATGTAAGTTTCATCTCAATAAAGCCTTCCAAAATCCACTCCTAATTTCAACCCTTTATGAAAATCTCTTGCAACGTGTTTTATCAGTCTGTAGGATTACCCAAATCTCTAGAAAATAGCTACCTTTATTCGATTGAACCCTTTTCCGGGGCTTACGGAAAAATCCGCTCACCTGGCCAGGTGCCACAAAGAAAGCTCCAACCACAATTGAACCTACCGGAAACCAAACAGCGTGTTTCCCACCGTGATTCTAAGTGAGAGGGATACTTGTTACTCAATAATTGTCCGCTGGAAAGTGTCCGCTACCAAGTGACACTTTTGACAGAAAGCGAAGCAACGAGGTGGTGAAATAATTGCTACTCTTGATTCACGTTCAATTTGGACTTTTCAAACTTTTCTGACCACACACTTTTGAAACTGATCGGAATTATAACAGACGTATGTATTGTTACGGCTCACGTTTTTGGACAGAAAAAAATTGATAAATGCTTTGGACGGAAAAAATCCAAATTTAAAAAAAACTTTTTTTTTGGAACTTCAATTTTTTATTGCTACCATCGAATTCCCCATATTTGAAAACCTAGAAAAAAATTATTTGTTTAGACAGGAGGTCTTCTAAATCTTTTCTAACTATCATCTGAAAGAGCAAAAATGCCCTTCAGGAAAAGCTACTTTTAGGAGGGTTGCCGGATTTTTTCTTTTGATTTCTTTGTTGGATCATCAAGAGACAAGTCTAGGGCAGTCGGCAAACGAAAGAAAATAAGAAAGTTTTGATGTCTTCATGTTTAAAATAGGCATTTAAAAACGTGAAATTCATCAAAAACAACGAGAAACGTGAAAAAACGCTCGACGGTCAATAATCGGCATACTAATGAGCTAAAAAAGTGGAGCAAGTCAAAGGGAAGATATTTCGAAATAAATGCCTATCGAAATATATTTATATATATTAATCTTTCAGATCTCCTCTTTCAATACACACAGATTCGACTATTTCGCTTCTTTTCAATCAAATAAATTATCAAGGCTTCTTCGAAACGCAGCACGACTAATTTTTCGAGAAAATTATTATTTTTGAATGCTTAAAAATAACCCTTTATTTTAAAGATGGTCGAAATCTTCGGGCCTCCAGTCTGATTTTTCTCGAGCTGGTTCAAATAGAGTCACTTATCATGTGTACAAAATTTCACGCGTTTTGAAGTGCAGCGCGACCATTTTTACTATAAATTATTAGATAAGCTTTTATCAGCTCTAGAATCTGATTTTTCGAGCCTCCAAGCTAATTCCTCTTGACTGAAGTTTGGTTACCGTTAGGTACCCGCATGCAAAATTTCAAACAATTTGAGACGCAGCGCGACCCTTTTTGACTTAATTGTATCGAAATTTTATTAAAATAGCCATTTATAAGTAAGTTTTGGCCCTAGAATCCAATTTTCTTGGGCCTCCAATCTCATTTTTCGAAAGCGAAATTAACCGAGTGCATTCTATCATATTGCGAAATTTCAATCGATTTGATGCGCAGCGCGACCATTTTTTAAATAAATTTAAAGAAATAGGCATTTATTATGTAATTTTTACCCCAGAATCAAAATTTAGAGGGCTTCCAACCCAATTTCTCTCAAGCGAGCTAAAATGGGTGTTTTCTATCTGTCAACAAAATTTCAATCGATTTGAGACGCAGCGCCACCAATTTTCTTCGATAACTTACTTTATAGTGGTTATAATTGTTATTTTTGTAAAAATAGTCGCGCTGCGCATCAAATCGATTGAAATTTCGCAATATGATAGAATGCACTCGGTTAATTTCGCTTTCGAAAAATGAGATTGGAGGGGCAACCGGGAGAATAATTCTGTGCACAGAACTATTCTGTAAAAACAGAATTATTCTCACGATAACACCCCCGTTTCCGGGAGAATAATTCTGTGAAAAAATTTTTTTGGCGAAAACAACTATTATTCTGCGAATGCAGGAGTTGTTTGCTGCCAAAAATGAGTCCCAGCGGTAGAAAAGACTGCCCCTGCCAACCCAATGAGTTCTCTATCAGAAAATGCGCGCAAGGGCCGTAGGCCCGTAGCGTGCTTCATAGCCTCTTCGGTTCAGCTTCTACTAACAGACTATCATTGTTATAGATTGTATTTGGCTGCAAGATTAAAAGACCGACTGAAGTCAATCCTTTTCCACTCTTAGACATGTGTTCCAGAGTATTATAGGCTATCTACGACATAATCAAAGTGAATTCTGCTAAGCTCGACACAGAATAGTTCTGTTTCAAACAGAATGGTTCTGTTTCAAACAGAATAGTTCTGTTTTTTCACAGAATAGTTCTGTTTCCACAGAATAGTTCTGTCCACAGAATTATTCTCCCGCCCAGCCGATTGGAGGCCCAAGAAAATTGGATTCTAGGGCCAAAACTTACTTATAAATGGCTATTTTAATAAAATTTCGATACAATTAATTCAAAAAGGGTCGCGCTGCGTCTCAAATTGTTTGAAATTTTGCATGCGGGTACCTAACGGTAACCAAACTTCAGTCAAGAGGAATTAGCTTGGAGGCTCGAAAAATCAGATTCTAGAGCTGATAAAAGCTTATCTAATAATTTATAGTAAAAATGGTCGCGCTGCACTTCAAAACGCGTGAAATTTTGTACACATGATAAGTGACTCTATTTGAACCAGCTCGAGAAAAATCAGACTGGAGGCCCGAAGATTTCGACCATCTTTAAAATAAAGGGTTATTTTTAAGCATTCAAAAATAATAATTTTCTCGAAAAATTAGTCGTGCTGCGTTTCGAAGAAGCCTTGATAATTTATTTGATTGAAAAGAAGCGAAATAGTCGAATCTGTGTGTATTGAAAGAGGAGATCTGAAAGATTAATATATATAAATATATTTCGATAGGCATTTATTTCGAAATATCTTCCCTTTGACTTGCTCCACTTTTTTAGCTCATTAGTATGCCGATTATTGACCGTCGAGCGTTTTTTCACGTTTCTCGTTGTTTTTGATGAATTTCACGTTTTTAAATGCCTATTTTAAACATGAAGACATCAAAACTTTCTTATTTTCTTTCGTTTGCCGACTGCCCTAGACTTGTCTCTTGATGATCCAACAAAGAAATCAAAAGAAAAAATCCGGCAACCCTCCTAAAAGTAGCTTTTCCTGAAGGGCATTTTTGCTCTTTCAGATGATAGTTAGAAAAGATTTAGAAGACCTCCTGTCTAAACAAATAATTTTTTTCTAGGTTTTCAAATATGGGGAATTCGATGGTAGCAATAAAAAATTGAAGTTCCAAAAAAAAAGTTTTTTTTAAATTTGGATTTTTTCCGTCCTTTGTTGCTCATAAGAATTAGACCCACTCCCGTCTTGCCGTCTTTATTTATCGGTAATAATTTGACCCCATATTATCTCAAGTTTTTCAGTCTAAATGATGGTCTAATGGTGCAGGTTTCTGAAAAATAAAATAAAATTTGCAGGACTTGATGCCTTTTGAAGTTGCGCTCCCCTTTTTTGATCTAGCTCATCGACGAGTGGTGATAGAGGAAAACGGAAAACTGAATGAGAAAGCTGAAAACCTGTAGATATCATTTGCAAAAAGAAAATCAGAAAAATTTCATTTACAAGAATAACGGCGAGCGCTTGAAATTCGGCGCGCCGCTACCTAACCGGGTCCCTTAACAACGATTGTAAATTTCAGAAAAAAAAAATTAAAAAGGTTGACTCTTGGAGTTATGTGAAAGTCCCCTGACATATTCCCTTGATAAATCTGGTTTTAAAGTAATTCTCTGAACTTACCTTCATTTTTGTAGATTTTTATCTTTTGTAGTTTTGGCGAAATCTGTTCTGGGTATTGTACAATAAAAATATATATATAAAATAGTTTTCTTTGATTTGCCGCAACCAGGAGGTGCTTCTCCGTCGATTTGATCCCAGCTTTGCTTCCATTTTCGATATCTATCGAGGAATGATTGGAATAGGTGGCGCTGTCATTTTAGCGCGGCGGTGGACGCTAGCGCTCCCGAATGCGGCGATGAGTCCGCGGCGCGGAGTGACTAGGATAATAAGGAGGAAGTAGTAGCAGTTGTTGACAGTAAACAAACGTGGAAAATGGTGATCGATGGAAGGCCCGATTGCCTGCTAGAATTTTGTAACAAGACAAGAAGTGACAAAATAGGAATGGAAAGAAACGTGAGCAAGGAGACGGCTACTTTTTTAAAGTACGGAGATGTTACCTCAGTCAAGAATTTAAAATTTAGGGGCTTCGATTCGATTTCAAGGCTGCATCAAAACGTTTTCAGATGATATTATGCAACGTTTTTATTGAGAAATTATTAATCAAAAATCACGGCTGTTCAGAAAACTGCGAGACAAGTTGATAAAAATAAAGAAGCCACATTTCGCATAAGGCGGATGTTCCTTATCTATTATTTTCATGCTGTTTATCTATTATTAATTTTCAGAAGGGCCCTTTTTATCTCTGACCTTTGCTCTATTTTAGCTTCTCCTGTCTGAAATAAAAAGTTTTCGCATATCTGCATAGACCTCATCCTCGCTGTACTAGATACTTGCGGTGAGCTGAGAAATTCATCACCAAGGATTCATAAGAAAAATAAAAAGAACCCTCAAGCCACAAAAGTGTTAGCTAAGCCTGCTTTGACATTCTGGTACAGCTCTGAAAGACATTCCTGTAGACTCGCAGCCGGGGCACGCCTTTCTACCCTTTGGCCTAACAGTTCCAGAAAGTAGATTCCTATGTTAATTTCTTCCTGCCTCGACGATTCCTTTATCGTCAAGAATTTCCTCTCTACGTGAAGATACACCCTTAACGCACTTCTTCTGGGTTTGATAAGTCAGAAAAAGATTCATCTAATTGACTAAAAACAGTTTGCATCGGTAACTTCTGGCGAATAATCTCGTCTCCCGGGCGGAGTCTTTTACCCGCTCCTTGGGCTCACTTCTGTTTTGCCTTTCGTCAAATTCGGGGATTTCCATTTAGCGTCATTTTAGTCTTCTTTTGAAAGCTGAACTATTTCTTAATAATTCCGTCAAAAAAGCTTTTTTCTTCCAAATTTTCTTATGAACAAATTCGTGAATCACAACATTCTGCGGCTGATGACCCCTCTGATAACATTTTCTAGAGGTAAACTTGTAAAATGACTAAGCAATGATTAGGTTAACAATCGGAAACGCCAGTCTCCTGCTCTTCAATCAGTGTCTTGTGAATCGAGCGGACATTCAAAGCAAGCCTTTACCAAATTCTAGAGCGGTCCAAAAAAGCGCTAGGGATTCACGTTAGCGGAAATACTAAAATTTAGACGCACTTTATCGGGGCCGAGCGCATTCCGAAGCACTAACCGGTTGGCTCAATTATCACCGCGATAAAAGGCGACGGGAAGAGTGTTACATGCGAAAAAAGAGAATTTTGAGCAAAACCATTTCTTGGTGAAAGGGAGCTAGAAAGACACCGCAAAAGTGAATTGACGCTGCTTCTGAATTATCACACCTTAGATCACTCCCGAATTTCAAATACAGTCGTGAAAGATTTCAGAAGTAACTTCTGAATTGAACGACAAATTTAGATAACACAAACGGTTCATTTCACTGGATAAGAAAAACTTTCTCTGGAGAGCTCGAATTCTCAAGGTGCCCATTGGAAATCGGAAATGCAGCTTTAGAGCGCACGGAGAGTCCCAATATCCGCCGCCCGGATCTTGATAAAACACAATTTTCACCTTTTCGGAAGAGCCGTTATGAAATTTTTCGCCGCTTTCTTAAGTGAACCATACTTGGAAACATTTACAATAGGTAATTGTCAATAACCATTAAAATAACCATCACTCGATTCTAGTGACTCTCACGTGGAACGCAAGGCGGCATAACAACAACTTTCCTAATAAAAAAGATATTCTCTATCAGGCCGCAATATCCACCTGGACCTCGGTCGTGTTTCTTCTTATAGCGCAATGCAAAGATTTTTTTAGAAAACTTTCACGATAGCCCTTACTTATCATTTAAGAGTTGACATTTAACTATTGACTGTCATTACATTTATCAACCTTGCTAGGGCTCGGGCTGTTAAAAATGTTTCAAGGAGAAAATGAGATTTCGAGAAAAAACCCTTCGTGAATTCTTGGAGATAAATGCCAGCTCATAAGGGTGTCCCTATCATAATAATTACCCCCGTTATGCGTACGTACCAATATTTATCGCCAGTGTTGGTCGACGATTTTGGTCCGATTGCGGTTCACAAAATCTACGTCGCCTGTGACTAATAACTTTTCATGTCGCGGCGGGTTATCAAACGCGAAAGGGGACCAGCAACGAATACCGATAAGAAGTACATCAACACTTTGACATCCATTTCTGCCATCATTTTCAGGGAATTTCTATTTAGTATTCAATTAGACAGTTGTGCCCACAACTGAATCAAAAGATAAGCAAAGCAATTATCGAACAATTTTAAAAATAGATTAAAAGCTTTCTTCCTAGAACATTGAATACATCTTCAACTTCGCAGAAGTAAAAGTGATGTAAGCAAATGAACAAATAAAACATGAAACGACATTGCATGAAAACAAGATGCTGGCTTGACATGAACATCAGTCGTTCTAAATTTGCCAATAGCGATTAAATCCAACATGGGTCAACTAATGTTTAGAAAAGAAATGCCAGCGATATTATCACATTGAGCCGACTTTAGCTGCTCGCACGTGACGCCGCTAAATTGAGAAAATCCCTATTTTGAATTTTTTTTTTCGATCGTAGTTTATTTTTTTCTGTTGTCAAAAATGTGGATACAATAGCAAAAAAAGTAGGAAAAACGAAAATAGAAAACAACTTTTTAGAAATTATTGATTTGAATCTTACGTTAAAAATCATATTCCAAAAATTGTGACGTGAATTTCTGGATTTGAAAAACCGCCAAGCCTTAGACAAGTGCCAGTTTTATTCCGGCTCCGCGCGTGAAAAGCGGAAGTCTTCTGGTGATTCAGTTGAGCGCGGCTAAGATTGTGTAACACAGTGTAAGTACTTGCTGGAGCGATTTTCTAAAATCATTACGATGCCGCCGGAAATCAACACTTTGCAAGACGCGACCTCTAAAACTTTGTTTTTGTGGCCGAATCAGCTAAATTAAATCATCGACAGGTCATACTGTATAATGTTCAGTGTACATTATTTATTGCTTTTACATGTCAGGAACCATAAAAATGGGCGTCTTAAAAGACTAATGAATTGTCAGATCAAGAAGATAAGCAATCGCAATAAGAAAAAATTCTGTGCATCTTGAATTTTTTGCACAAGAACTACTCCTTTGCTTGATTTCGCCGAATTCTCCAGAATTTAAACGGTTAATAATCATTTGGACATCTTCAAAGTTTTCCTGCTGATTTCGAGATAACATCGTCAATCTTTCACTATTTTCAGTCTAAAGCTGAAATCTTTATCTTATATTTAAGAAAGTGATACCTCTTTTCTTTTTAATATATCAACGTAGGTCTGAATATTTTTCAGTGAGGACTTCTGTTCCATGTAGTCGCCAGAAATATCTTTGAAAATTCTGCCCAGCCGTTCGATATCGTCCCGTACTTTTTCCATTTGAACTTCTTGATCGCCAAATTTTATTTGTATTGCTGCAGAGATTGATGAGGGATTAAATGCAGTAAGGTCACTTTCAGATTCTTGAATACTGCCAGGAAGCTCTCTTTCATTATTTACAGCAAGGTCAACGGATTTTGGATTTACATCTACCCCACTGGTTTTTTCTGAGGTTTCAACATTAGGCTTCGTATTTACCAGCTTTTTGACGATGTCTTTCAGATCACCAATCTCTTTTTCAAGCTCTATGAAAATGATTTAATTGAATAATAAGACAAAATACCGCCAATTCTCTTCTTGTTATTTTCATTTTCTTTTATTAAATTCCAGTTATTGAATTTTAAACTGTCTATCTAAATATTATTAGAAACATTTTAAAACCGCTGTATCACCTCTAACTTTGTGGTTGTTTGTTCTCTCTCTATATCACTAGGAAATTGTAAATCTCTATTGACAGAAAGATAATCGTAAGCAGATTCATCGATCACTTCGCTCCTGTAGTCCCCAAGTGATGAAGATGACAAACTTCGAGGAGAATCGTCTGACATCTTGTGACAAACTCAAATCATTTTACACAAGGAAAGCAGAGACATCGTAAAATGAAAATTTGGACAATGAGTAATGAATCAGACTTCTCAAATAATGAGCTTCTAAGGAGAATCTTCAGAAAAGTTACGCTTTTCTTCTTTTGCAAAGTTGCAGGGTGCGCGTCAGTTAAGGCGTTTTTGCCATTTGCGTCTTTTAAGGCATTGCGTCTTTTAAGGCACTTGCGTCAGTTAAGGCGCTGAAAAATGACTGGTGGAATTCTGATATCAACTAGGGTCTGCTAAATTACCTCGATTGTAACTATCCTTGAAATTCTCCTTATTTCAATCTCAAATTTAACAGCGTATTCAAAATACTTAAATTTCAGATAATTTCAAATACATTGAAAACGATCTGAGAAAATTAACTAAAATTTTAGTGTCGAACCTTTATATTTACAAATAATAAATTTATTCTATCACGAAAAACTTCAAATTCAATCATAAACCAGCGGTTCAGCTTATAACTGAATATAAAAAGATTTTCTTGAGAAAATATTAACTCTGGCTTTACCCTAGGAATTGGTAAAGTAATATTTTATCAAGAAATCTAGCAGACCCTAGTTGATATCAGAATTCCACAAGTCATTTTTCAGGGCCTTAACTGACGCAAGTGCCTTAAAAGACGCAATGCCTTAAAAGACGCAAATGGCAAAAACGCCTTAACTGACGCGCACCCAAAGTTGCAGCAATATGCTTGTTTAGACTTCCTGATAATGCTAAATCCAAGTGTAGCCAGATTTTTGTTCCTTATCGAAATAGGATTACTGCAGTTTTGAGCTATCAAATAGGCTTTGCGAAAAGAGAGGCGTCTTAACCTTCTTTATCCAGAAAAGCGTACGTAAATGCATGCACAACTGTAGGTACTGTAGCTCTCGAAATTCCAAAAAGATTGAAAAAGAATGGCCAGTACGGGGATCGAACCCGCGACATTCGCGTTATTAGCACGACGCTCTAACCAACTGAGCTAACCGGCCTTGTAAGGGCGGCCGAAACGGCTATCTATCAAGAGCTTGAAATCTTCAATCGTGCCATAAAAAGAGCGATCATTGGCTCGCTCCCTAAGGGTGGAGTCTCCAAAAGACATATTTGCATTGTTACCGCCATGTCCGTAATCCTCCGGTGAGAAAACAAAGAAAACCCTCGAGAATATCCGTTTTTAGAAGCTCTAAGAGATTTGTTTCGTCAAAAATGCGCGCCGTTGTAGTTGATCAATTCGGAGACGAGTCCGTTTTGAATGTCAAAGAGATCGCTAATCCTGAGCCCGGGCCAAGTCAAATTCTTGTTTCAGTCAAAGCAGCTGGAATAAACCCAGTCGATACCTACATTCGCTCTGGAAACTATCTTCCGTCTAGACTTCCGAAGCTTCCGTACACTCCAGGCGGGGATGTATGTGGAGTAGTCGAAGCTGTAGGCGCTGATGTCAATGATTTCAAAGTCGGAGACAAGGTTTACTCGCTTCTTGTGACTGCCTCAGGGGCGTACGCGGAAAAAGCTACAGTCGAAGAGACTTTTGCCGTGAAACTGCATCAAGGATTGAGTTTTGAAGAAGGATCAGCTTTGGGAGTTCCATACTTTACCGCTTTTCGAGCTATTAAGTAAGATTTACTAAGCGGAGAGATAAGTAAGGCGTGTTAAAAAGGGGAAAGAAATACTTATAACGTTATTTTTGCAAATTTTCGTATAGACTATACTTTATAGTGACACCCTTATTTTCCGTATTAAATGAAGTGAAAAAATGAAATTTATAACTCAGATATGTATCACTTATTTTTAGAACGATTGGTGGAGCACAAAAAGGCGAAAAACTTCTAGTTCACGGCGCATCTGGCGGCGTTGGTCTAGGAGACGATCATAAAAATAATTATGCTTAGCTCGAATATGACAAAAATTATGATCCCAGAACAGCATGTCTTCAAATTGGCAAACATCTAGGGTTAGAAGTTATCGGCACAGCTGGATCTGTGAATGGAGCAGCTCTTGTTGAATCTCAAGGAGTCAGATGTTATCGCCACGATGATCCAGACTATCTTCAGAAAATGAAGGAAGCAGAGGGCGGCTTCGATTTGATTGTGGAAATGCTCGCGAACAAAAACTTGGAAAACGATCTTACTATGCTCAATACTGGATCTGGTCGTGTAATGGTAATGAAAATAGTTTTTGATACAGTAAGAGGCTATTACTAAGAGCGGCATTTTAGATCGTCGGATGCCGAGGAGAAATAACAATTAACCCTCGTTTACTGATGGGCCCAGAAACTCAAATCAGAGGCATCGGACTTACAGGTAGCGCCTTCAATCTCTAAAATTGCTTTGAATAAGATTTCTAGCTTTTTGGGATTTCAATGAAAAAGACGAGGCCATGCTAGAAACGATCAAGTGTTTGGATGAAATGGCTTCTCAGAATTTGGTGAAGCCGATTCTTGGAAAGAGCTACTCACTTGATGATGTTCAAAAAAGCGCATGCTGAAATTATCAGCAATTCGTACGGAGGGTCGTATGGAAAGAACTATTTCAAAATCGATAACTGACAATAAAACTTTTCTTCCAAAAGTCCAACTTGTGCGAATTTTTAAAAGTTCACGGCGCATAGCAGTAGATCAGTTCCTTCCGCAGGTTCCGCCGCGCCATTTTAAACCAAATAGTACTTCTTGCAAAATCGCCAGGGCAGCTTCAGTCGAGAAAGTTTCGCGCTATGCGGTTGAAGTTTTTCGCAGCTCTACTCTCCGTGGCGAGTGCATTTACTTGTCATAACTGTTATGTCAAATACGACCACGTTGGAAACCTTATTGAAGGACAAGAGAATTGCTGGTCCGCGAATGACACTTTGATCGATCTTTCTACAACAGAAGTCTCTTGTCCTGAAAATCAAAATTTCTGTAAAACAGAAGTTACCGTTGAGTGGGAAGCGACGGGTGAACAGACAATCACATTTGTTCGTGGGTGCGCAGTGACTGAGATAACAGAAGAAATAGCATGCTTTGAAAGTACTATTAGTGGTAATCGATACAAGGACTGTAAGCTTACTTGTAATGAACTTTCAAACTGCAATACTGACTCTGATGTTCTCGATCTACTCGGAAGAACTGGTGAAGATGGTGATCCTGTTGAGCGAGTCTGCGCTCAGTGCAGTTCACTTCGTGATGACGATGACTCCGAAGACTATTGCAAAGACGATGGCCCAACAGATTTATGCCCTTTTTATGCTAATCAAGGATGTTTTAATGCTCACGAGATCATTCAGACCCAAGCTGGGAATGTTTCTGAAGAATATTTCAAGGGATGCTCATTTTTTGAAATCAAGGAAGAGTCGACAGGTGAAAATGATTGTTCTACTTTCAACCTCAACGGACAAATGACGCAAACATGCAAGAGCGAATGTGATGCAAACAAATGTAATATTGGTTCAATAGAAAATAGCAAAGTATGCTATGTCTGCGAATATGCTTTTGATCATTATGGGAAGCAGCTGAGCATTGGCGACCCCGACTGCTGGGATAGCTTGAAGCAAAGACATCTTCAAACATGCAGAGAAGGAGTTACAACTTGTGTGACTGAACTCGATGCTGTGTGGGGTTTTAATGGAAAACAAGAATTTGCGCTTCGAAGAGGTTGTGGACCAATTGAAAAACCAGATGATGGACTAATGAAGGACTGTCTAACTGCAAACGCCAACTCCCAATTTCATGCTAAACAGTGTATTGACCACTGTAAGAATGATGGTCTTGCATGCAATACAGATCTAAGAGTCCTAGAAGAATTTAATTACGGAGGTGAAGCTATTAAATCCTGTCGAGTCTGCGAGTCCACGTCTGATGACCCAGAAATTGAGGACGATTGTTCAGTAAACTCGACTACATCACAACTTTGCCCAAAGTACGCAAATGCGGGATGTTTTAGCTCTCGTGTCGCCGAAGATACTCTTATGGGATATAAAGAAACAACGCACCATGGATGCTCTGCTTTCAGAACAACAAGCAATGACCTTTTCTGTTTTAACGCAGAATACGAAATGCCAAGCTTTGGAAATCCTAGCGGCGAAATAGAAACAACGAATGTATGCAAGGAAACGTGCCAAACTCCCGACTGTAATATTAATCTTTCAAAACCTGTTGAAACTGCCCATTTTTGCTATGTCTGCGAAGTAACAGTCGATCATCTCAACCAAACTGTTGGCCTCGGTGACTTTCATTGTCTCGATGATCCTCCATCAACATATGAAATCGAGTGCGCTGAGACACAGACTTACTGTGTCACTGAGCTTGAAGTTGATTGGATGCCAAATGGTGATCAAGAAACAACAGTCCGTCGATCTTGCTCGGCAACACCGGCTCCGACATTCTGCACAATCGGGAATCCTTACGGATCAATTTACCAGCGAAAAGATTGCGCATCAACTTGCACAAACAACTTACTATCTGGCTGCAATAACGATCTGATGGAAGTCGGGCAGAAATTTGCTGATGAACTTACTGGGGAACCGATTCAATCTTGCTTCAATTGCGAAACACATCCAGGTGACGAAGGCTGCCGTCTTGATCAAGAATTGGGAGACTTGACGGTTGTTGAGTAAGTTTTATTCTTAGATACAAATGATCCCAGCAAATTTTAGCTGTCCACTTTATGCAAACGCTGGTTGTTTCACTTCCTCTTCTCGACTTCGCGAAGGTGACGAGAGTGCCCTTGACATCATCAGAGGCTGCAGCACTTTCAGCCAGGGTTCGAAATCGCCTAGGCGAATTCGCCTAGAAGGCTAGGCTAGGCGAGGTTAGGCGAATTCGCCTAGACAACCTAGCCTTGGTATGAAAATTTCCAAGGCGAAAAATTTCGCCTAGCCTAGCCTCAAGGCGAAAAATATTGGCGACTTAGGCGAATTTAGGCGAAAAGGCTGGAGCCTTTTTTCGCCTAGCCTAGCCTTGAAGGCGAATTTTAGGCGAAAATTAGGCGAAATTAGGCGAATTTAGGCGAAATCAGGGCGAAAAAATGTTTTCTTCTAGACATCAATAGTTTATTTTTAGCTTGTTTTACAGAAGGGAATAGCCTCACCTGCCTTTGTAATCGAAAACCTGTCGCAGGTCCTGTTTCCTGTTAGTAGCGAACCTGTCTGAGTACCTGTCCAAAATGGGAAACGGTCGGACTCATTACCAATTGGTAACCCATTACCAATTGTGGTAACCCATTACCAATTTTGGTAATGCATTACCAAATTCGTCAAAAAAGTGTCGATTTTTTTCATTCACAGAACGAGTGTGCGCTCCGCGCCTGTGTTATAGAAAACTTTTGGGGTGTTTTATTCATTAACTTGGCGAAAAAGTAAAAATAAATTGATAATCGACTACCGAGAATTGGTAATGGGTTACCAAAAATTTTGGTAATGAGTCCGACCGTTCCCGTCCAAAATCGGGTCATAATTTGGGCCTGTCCTGTGTACCTGTGTAAAATTAGGGAAAAAAAATTCCTTTTTCTGACTAAAACAGGCCTGTTTTTCCCGTTCAGGTCCTGACTTCTATGGTCAGGGACTACATAAGAGTTTTAATGAAATCAAAAGTGAAAGACGTAAAAAGAATTAACCAATCAAAAAACCAGAAAAAAAATTCGTGTCATTTTGTATTTTTTGATATATTTTTCACTGAAATATCCTATTTTCCCCATATTAAAAGCTTTCTTTTTGCCTTTTTCGACTTTTCGCCTTCTTTCGCCTTTTCGCCTTGTTTTCGCCTTTTCGCCTAGAAATTTCAGAATTTTCGAATTTTTTCGCCTTTTCGCCTAAACTCGCCTTAGGCGAATTCGCCTAGCCTAGCCTAGCCTTGAATATTGAGCTAGAGCCTTCGCCTAGCCTTTTTTCGCCTTGAAGGCGAAAAATTCAGAAAACCTAGCCTAGCCTAGCCTTTTGATTTTTCGCTCCGATTTCGAACCCTGCTTTCAGCGGCAACTATATCTGCTACGATCAGAACTTCCTTTCTTGGGATGATGAAGAAAACACTCAAATTGAGAACAAATATACGACTTGTAAAGAAACATGCTCAGAGGACAACTGCAATTCTGAAAAGGCAGTAATCAAGAGCGGCAATTACTGTCACGTGTGCAGAGTCGTCATTGATCATAATGGTGATGTCATTGGTACTGGCAGCACGGACTGTCTCTATCTTGATTCTGCTGTTGACTACGATGTTGTCGATTGTGGCGAAGAATCTTCTTGTGCTACTCATATGGAAATTGCATGGCTGCCATTTGGACAGCAAGAAGTTCTTGTCGAGAGAAAATGTGACGTTCCAAATGCGATCGACAATTTGTGCACTGAAAGAGTAACCAACGGGTGGCTCGAAAAGGACTGCTGGGAACACTGCTACGACGGTTAATAAGATTATTAATGCATTTTAGTTTAAAAATTATATAAGACATGTGCAATGACAACCTAAATATCGCTAAAAACTTCGCACCTGAAGATGGAACCGAAGCAGTCACGGAATGCTACACCTGCTCGTACGAATCTATCGGAACCAATAATCCTCTTGATGATGAAATTGGCTGTCTTGAAAACCCGATCGAAGATTCCATTCAAAAGTGCCCCGAGTGGGCTCAGCTCGGTTGTTTTGTCGGAGATGGAGTGCAAAAGAACGTCGAAGGAGATGAGTCCGTCAATGTTCATCGAGGCTGCTCTAGTTTTGTCCTTCAGGAGCAGCTATGTGGATCTCTCACTATTGACACGTATGTTTTGATGCAAAAAATTTTTTATAACTTTTCAGAAATGTGACTGAAGACGTTGACCGATCACGAATTTCCGTTTGCAAGCTAACCTGCACCGGTGCTGATGACTGTAACACCTTCCGATACCCAGACTGGGTCGATCCGCCAAGCAATGAATGTCCTCCAGAACTCTGCGGAGAGACCACAACTCAGTCTACATCTACAGCGTCTTCTTCATCGAGTACAGAAAGCACACAAAGCTCTAGCACTGTCTCTAGCTCCACCATCAGTAGTTCAAGCACGCTCTCAACTGAAAGCTCGTCAAGCTCAAGTTCGTCTACTGTAACTAGCAGCACTGAAAGCTCAGCAGCCTCTACTGATATATCAAGCACAGTCACGAGCTCAACTAGCTCAGGTCATTTATCTATGAATTGAAGTTAGAATCCGGATTTTGACAGTTAAATATTTTGCTTCACCATTTTTATTTCCATTTTCCTTAATTCACGCGTGTGTATTTAGGCTCTTCGACCGAATCGAGCTCAACTGACACTTCAAGCACCGAATCTTCAAGTACTGAATCTTCTACACAGGAATCAACAACGAAAACTGATGGGGACGAACCCGAAGATAAAGAAGCGGACGTCGGGCTTATTCTCGGAGCAACTGCTCTTGCTGTCTCACTTACAGCTGTTGGCGGAGCCGGAGTTTATTTTATCTTCAAAAAATTCTCCAAACCCTCGAAAACCAGTCCAAATCACATTTAAATAAATCTCCACTGATTTCTCTGCAATACTCTATCGATGATAAACAGTGTTCAAATTTTGACCATCATTAGATAAAAATGATGAAAAAGTTTATTATGAAGTTAATCAGCGACTTTGAGTAGATCAGCCAAAATCTCGCCCAAGGTGTGAGGTTGTGTCTTAGCGCGCTAGAAGAAATTCATAAAGAGTGATGAGTAAAGCTGTAGGAAAAACTTTCAGGCCTGGAGAGAAATCCGGTTCTTCTAAGGTTTGAGGTCTTTCTTAGCGAAAAAGAAAATATTTAACTAGGAGTCCAAGCTCGGGCCATGCCCAGCTGCGGACTGGTCGCAAAAAGTTGATTGGAAACAGTACTTAGATGGGCTAAGACAACATTGTTCTCAAATCACCGCTGGGGGAATTTTTCTGATCAACGGAGATACTCTTGCAGTTGATAATATTCCAGGTGAGATGATTAAAAATAAGTTTCCTATAAGATTTGAAGATATTCCGACTTACAAAGAAATCAAAAAAGAAGTCGTCCCTCTTTTCAAAAACCCAGTTACTTTGGATCACAGGCCCGAGTTAACTCAATTACAGTATCTTATATAACAGGAACAGTAGCAGAAATAACTCGGACGGAGCGAATTCCACTTCTTCAATTTCAACAGCGTCAGATACCGGCTCGATCGAGTCGAGAAAAAGTCGATCTTGCGAGCTGAAACGGAAAACGAGGATATTCCAATGACAGTAATGAAGACTCCCAGAGGCGTCGTAGTTCTAGCGATCGGAAACGAGGACTCCCTCGACGACAGCGGCGAGAAAGTAGCAACTGCTGTGATCAGAATTACCAATTTCTTGGAAATGTGCGGCTACTAGAAAACCAAAGAATAAAAAACTATCTGATTCCATTGAAAAATTTATTCAGGCAGTATTTACAGGTTTCTGGTAAGCGCAATGTAGTGCTCATTGTTGAGGTGACCGAGATTGATCGTTCGCCCTTGGCTACTGTCGAGTTCTTTCGGTTTCAAAAAGACGAGCTCATTATCTTTGTCCGAGTTGATGAGTAAAATTGGCCACCCGAGCAGTTCCGCGACGACTTGGATGATCACGTGGTCCGCCCATTCGCCGTCCTGGGCCATGGCCTGAATATCGTAATATCTGAATACGTAAGTGCCCACCTCGAGGTATTCATATGGATCTCGGTCTATGAAATTCAGATACTGGCCGATATTTTTTCTCAGTTCTTCACAAGCATGTTTACGTAGGCTCTTGTGCGTCAATCCATTCTAAAAAAATAATTCAACCTTGTATAATAATAATTCGTTATCAACTTGCCTTATTCACTTGCAAAGCGTTGAGAATATACACAACAGAGTGAAAAAAGCAATTGCCATCTGCTTCTACATCTTTCCAAACTTTGAAACCATGTTTTCGAATGTTTTCTTCGAATTGGAGGTGCATGCTCTTATCACCGCCATCTGCGATAGAAAATTTCAGTCCTTGATTTTTCAATTCTTTTGTCGCATTTCGGCGCAATTTTCGTTGTTTCTTCCAAGGTAACTTCGCTGGAGTCTTTATTTTAGCTCCAAACTTGTATTAAATAAAATATATGCTCGCTAGTTTTAGAAGCCGTGTCTTGTTTCTAAACTCGTCTATCAATTGACGTAAAGAGTGCTGGCAAATTTCTTCATCAAGCCAAAGGTTCTTGTAATCGTTCGCTAATTTGACTTGGTATTGAGTGCCCCCATCAATTCGCGTCCGAGAAGCAGTGATGCACTCTGCGTTCTTGAGATACTCTTCTGTAGTCTTGTTCTCTGAAAAATATATCAGAAAACTTTATTAGAAAATAATTTTAACGAGAGGAGTTTTATTTGATCCCGCATTGATTTTTATTAATGAAAAATCATATTTTTTAACTATTGTTAGGTTAATAAATCAATTTATCTTAGTTAATGACATAAAACAAACGATTAGAGGCTCACGGTATAATAATCTTTCGAAAAATCGGGTGAACTGTTGATCATAATCGCGTGAAGTACGACTTCGTAAAGTGCGTTTGCGATGATGAACTGGACACCCTAGCGGTTTAGAAGACGCGCTGGTGGCCCCGGGCAGTTTTGTTTCCGTAGAGCTAGAATCATAGAAGTCGACTCCAGTCGCTGCGTTCAAGTTCCCCCTCAAAAGCCACAGGAAAGAACTTTTTATTATTTAACAAAAGAAAAAGAAAATATTAGAGAAAATATTCACGAAAACTGAACACGTCAAGCTCTGAAAGATTGAAACGTTATATTTTATGTTTACACAAAATATTTTCAGAGATTAAAAATCAGTTCAACAATTCTCAACGACACCATAAATTCCCTTTTGACATCATAAAATTCTCAAAATGAGATGCTTCTTCCAGAATTCTGTTTGTGTCTTAGACTCTAAGACTCTTAAAGGGTGTCTCTAAGAATGGTTTTTCATAAATTAACTTTCTTATTACTCAAAATTTTTGATGCTTGATTCCGATCTCAATATATTTTAAAATATAATTCAGAGGGATGAAGCTGCTACTCACGTTGTTGCTTGGGCTCGCTCGGGCCCAAGAAGAAACTACTTTTGAGCCCACGACCCGCGCTTTCACCGTCGACTGGGATTTCGAAGAAGCAGCCACAGCCGTGCCAACGCAAGATCCCGAAGAGGTGGCTAGGATCATCGCGAAAGAGCTCGAAGCAGAAAACGACAATACGAAAGATGGTCGATCAGCCAACAAGGGCAAAAGAAACTTCCCCAGTCGAGGGCCTCCAAGTCGAGGACCTCCAGTTCGTGGACCGCCCGTTCGAGGTCCACCTCAGAGAGGCCCTCCAGCTGCCTTTGGCAGACGATTTTCAACTGCGGTGCCAACAGAGCCGCCAACCGAACAACCGACTACAATTCTACAGACAACAACTTTCACCGCAGAAAAGCCACAGGAAATCAAAGAAGCTGGACAGTATCAAGCAGATGAGCGTCTACTGACCTCAAGTGGACTTGACCGTTCCGGACCTCGTCGACTTGGAGTCGGGGGTCGTCCGATCTCGATTCCTGGCCGTGATTTCGGACCGATGCCCGTTGAACCTAAGCCTGTCGAGTCTAAACCTGTTGAGTCTAAGCCCGTTGAGTCTAAGCCTGTGGAGTCCAAGCCGGTCAAGTCCAAGCCCGTTTCTACCAAACCTGTTCAGTCGAATCGAGTAGTAGACAGAGGCTTGCAGTCTCCTAATCAGCTCATGGCTGAGAAACTCGGACTCACTCTCGGAGAAGAGCGACGATGCTGGATTTGCAATAACGCCAGGTCAATGAACGACTGTCTTTCCAACGGAACCTACAATGTTTGCCGCAATCACGAGGTACGGTGAAAAAATGAAAAACACCACTAACTCGTTCAGTCGTGTCAAACCGAAACTCGTTGGGAAAATGGACTGATCAAGATCAACTCACAATGCAAGCAGCGAAATGCTTGTACTGTTGCGACCAAGTAAGTTGCAAAAAATCTATTTTTTTATATAAAAAATCTTTTATAAAAGTTTCGTTTTTAAAAAATTTTTTCTTTTCAGGCAAACAAGCCAGTGTGACAAAATGAAGGGTAAGTCTGGACGAACGTGCTGGCGATGCTGCCACAATGATCTTTGCAACATCAACGACATTGATCCATCAACTTACTAACAAACGAACAAAAAACGAAACGAACGAAAAACCGACGAACTGAAGGACGAAAGGCTCCCCACCCTGTTCGTCCTGTCGGCTGTTCTAAACCTCTTTTTTCTGTCTCGCCTTTTTCGAAAATCCCCAAAGTTCGAAAAACACTTTTTTTTATCTGATGTGACTTTTGGTGTCGAATATTTTTGTGTAATAAAGGTGGATTCCAGTTGTTACTCGTCACGTGCTTTTGTAACGAGCTCTTTCTAAAAGGGACTCCTCGAGGGCAGTTAATCGCCCCGTGCTATTTCCGGAAGAATTCCAAAACCTGCTTCCAAAAGAGTCGACAAGTAGAGATCCGCGGGGATGTCATCTGGATCCAGCAGACTCACAACCACCTGGCAGTTTCTTGGATCTTTGAATCCGTTAACACCTTATTTTGAAATTGAGTCTCTTTATTTATATTTGATTGCTTACTGATTCTATTTCGCTGAACTTGTCGAATGATTTTTTGATGGTTTCTTCGCTGCGTTACACTTGGTCGCTCTGAAATTTCGCTTTTAGAAAAAATTTATAAAAAAAAATTCAGTACGTTTCTTTTTCTCTTTCTTTGGAATATTCATTGCCGCGATTTTCATCTCTCCGCTTGCTCGTTTTGCTGATTTCCTTTCTGGCACAATAAGAGCGAGCTAAAAGCTCAAAATCAAAAGCACATTAGGAAAAAGCAAGTTCTTACGATTTCATTTGCATCCATCATTTTCGAGGCGGATCAGCTTCGATTAAAAATTAAAGGCAAACGTAGATTCTGAAGGATGAGAGGATAGTTGTAGTTTTGGAATTAAAATTAATCCGTGATGAATAATAAAGCGCCGAGGCTGCTTCTTCCATGATCACAAATGCATTAGACAGAGAGAGAGAGAGTGATGAGCAAAGGTAGGTCTTGAGGAGAGTAAATGAAGTTTATGAGTTGTTTTTAGAGCAGTTGCATGCAGTTCTTACTGAGTTTCAGTGCAGAAGCGGACTTTTCTTGAGGAAAATTGAATAAAAAAATATAATTTTAGCTGTAAAAAATCTACTTTAGCCCTTTTGCCTGGGCTTGGCAACCCGTGTACAAAACCTGAGTCAGGTTTTCTACGTATATAGTTGCCGAGCTTTGGCAAGCGCTAGAATATATGACCACTATCTATTCAATTGAATCAAGCGTCGATGCGGAGTCTCAAGTAGGCGAGTTAGGGAAGAAAGTAAAAGCTTTCGAGAAAAATGCCGACAAGGAGGAAAACGTTTCCAAATTCGAATGGGTCCTCCTCCCAGTTGGGCTAAGAGTTGTGGCGATTCGACACAATGCGACGAATCTCTACGTTGCGATGAATAGTTCGGGCCAGATTTATGCGACAGAACAGTTCGGAAAAGAGTGCAAGTTTAAAGAAAACGTGTTTGAAAACTACTGGTGCATTTACTCGTCGATAGAGTTCAAAGACCCAGAATCGAATGTAAGGAAAAATTGATAAAGATAGAAAATAAGGAGTCTCTTCAGAAACTTTACTATTTCGGGATGAACAAAAAAGGCAACCCTATTCGAGGAAAGGTTCTCTCTGAAATCTATGGATTCTGGATCTCTATCTTCCTCTGGACGCAATTCTAGAGAATCTCTGAAGGAAAAAAGAGCAAAAAAACAAAACCGTCGTGCCACTTCATTCCTCGGCCAAAGAAAAGTGAGTCGAAAAATGTTTTCTCTTCTCTTATTGGCCTTTTTTAAAAACAAGTGGTGATGATGAAGGTGCCCTCGATCTGGGATTTCCCAGCTATCGGCGACGATAGCCACAAATCTGGCTTGGCGACTGGTCGGGCGAGCATCAGGTAAAATGATGAGTGAATCATCTATCAGCATTTTCTTGTTTTTGAATTTGTTGATAAGAGCATTCGATTGATTCAATTGAAATGATGCTTTGTATTTTCGTTGTGTCGGAAAAAAACGAGCAATTTCGAAACAACTCAAGCTACAGTAAAATACAGTCACTTTTTTTGGAAAGTTAATTACGATCAACGGCGTGTAATAGAATACACAGCTCGTCTGTGACCGCCCGGTGATTAATCCGCCGGTGAATTTCCAAATCGGAAATTTTAATTTCCTAAAAGAACCTACCGAATTCTATTTTGGAATAAACGGACTTTAGTCAATTTATTCTAGTGCTTTGAAACAAGAAAAGGCTGAGCCAAGGGCGATTGAAGGCACATCAGGAAATGATTATTATTACAGTTCATTTGTACAGTAGAAATTGCCAAAACCGAATAGGCTATTTGAAATAGCTACTGTAAATTACAGTCTGTAATTATAAGCCTATTCCAGCGAGCGACATGGCATGAAGATTTTCCGATGAGTACAGTGATCATCGATCTACAGTCAGACTGTTTCCAAAATAAATCTATTTTCGAAATCTTCGTAATTCCATCTTCTCCCCATTTCCTTATTTTCCAAGAGCGCCCGTGTTGATTTCACCAGACGAGCGTATAAAAGCGGCGAGGATGCTTTTTCGAATCCAGATTTCGGTCTCACAAAAATCACAGAAGTCGCTTAGAGGATCTTCAGTAGGAAAGGATGCTGCTTTCTTTGCTTGTTCTCTCTTGTGTCTCCTTCGCCGCCCCTGTTACAGTCGAAGAGCCTGAAGTAGAAATACTCAGTCGCAGCGGTCGAGACCTAATCGGCTACAATCGCATGCAGAACAACGTCAACAAGTTCTACTCCAGCCACGCCGGTTACCACAAGCATGCTTACCGCCACCAGCCTTCGTTCGTCAACCAACTCTTGCACAAGGCTAAACCGGAGACGAAAAAATACCTGAAGCAGTACATCCGATCCTTGGCAAAGTAGACCGATAAGAATCTCTTCTCTTTATCTCCCTTTGCATGAAATCAATCAACCGTGTTTAATAATTAATCTTTTAGTTAATAAGATTATTAAAAAAAGAGTAATTATTAATTGAAACAGTTAATTTATCTTCTTTGATAGTTTGCATGCAATGCTTATTTTCTCTGTTTACTGTTTATTCTTTGAGGATGCACTTGCTTAAAACTATATTTAAAGCGCTACTATTTAAACTATTTATTATTCTGTGATAGGAATAAACTACTGAACTCTGAATGTTCGATCTTATGATTTCAAGAAAAACAAAAGACGGGCTCAACCGGGATTTGAACCCGGGACCTCTCGCACCCAAAGCGAGAATCATACCCCTAGACCATTGAGCCGTTGGGAAGCGATCCGAGAAAAATGATTATATATATAATTGATTTAAAAGTCTAATAAATTCCAGTTTGCAGCAGGGCTGTTGATTTCGAGTCCTTTAAAATTACCCGCAATTTTTCTCCGGGTAACCCGCAGATTTTTCAACGGGTTACTCGCGCGGAGAGTCTTTTCGCGGGCTACCCCCGCTACGATTTTTCTCCTTGCCGCCGAGTAGCTCACGATCATCCGCTACCCTTTTACCCGTTTCTACTCGCGCGGCGGGTTACTCGAAATTACCCGTACACCTTTTTTCCTCACGTTAAGCGACAAACTGAAATCCATTTTCAAATTTCAAGTTCAAAATTTTCGAAAATTTTCGATTTTTTTATCTTTGCAAAATTAAGCCTAGAAGACCATTTTATAAGCCCAAAAATAATTTTTTCGATTCAAAAAAAATCAAAGTAAGATAATTAATCCCCAAAATTTGGGGCCCAAATAAAAAAATCAATTTTAGAAATGTAAAAACCATAATTCAGCGAAAAAGCCCCTTAAATTAAATAATCAAGGAACTGGGCTTAGACGGCCCGAAGAGCCGTCAAGCCCCTTAAATTAAATAATCAAGGAACTGGGCTGAGACGGCCCGAAGGGCCGTCATGCCCCTTAAATTAAATAATCAAGGAACTGGGCTGAGACGGCCCGAAGGGCCGTCAAGCCCCTTAAATTAAATAATCAAGGAACTGGGCTGAGACGGCCCGAAGTGCCGTCCAGCCCCTTAAATTAAATAATCAAGGAACTGGGCTGAGACGGCCCGAAGGGCCGTCAAGCCCCTTAAATTAAATAATCAAGGAACTGGGCTGAGACGGCCCGAAGGGCCGTCAAGCCCCTTAAATTAAATAATCAAGGAACTGGGCTGAGACGGCCCGAAGGGCCGTCAAGCCCCTTAAATTAAATAATCAAGGAACTGGGCTGAGACGGCCCGAAGGGCCGTCAAGCCTCTTAAATTATATAATCAAGGAACTGGGCTGAGACGGCCCGAAGGGCCGTCAAGCCCCTTAAATTAAATAATCAAGGAACTGGGCTGAGACGGCCCGAAGGGCCGTCAAGCCCCGTAAATTAAATAATCAAGGAACTGGGCTGAGACGGCCCGAAGGGCCGTCATGCCCCTTAAATTAAATAATCAAGGAACTGGGCTGAGACGGCCCGAAGGGCCGTCAAGCCCCTTAAATTAAATAATCAAGGAACTGGGCTGAGACGGCCCGAAGGGCCGTCAAGCCCTTAAATTAAATAATCAAGGAACTGGGCTGAGACGGCCCGAAGGGCCGTCAAGCCCCTAAATTAAATAATCAAGGAACTGGGCTGAGACGGCCCGAAGGGCCGTCATGCCCTTAAATTAAATAATCAAGGAACTGGGCTGAGACGGCCCGAAGGGCCGTCATGCCCTAAATTAAATAATCAAGGAACTGGGCTGAGACGGCCCGAAGGGCCGTCAAGCCCTTAAATTAAATAATCAAGGAACTGGGCTGAGACGGCCCGAAGGGCCGTCAAGCCCCTAAATTAAATAATCAAGGAACTGGGCTGAGACGGCCCGAAGGGCCGTCAAGCCCCTTAAATTAAATAATCAAGGAACTGGGCTGAGACGGCCCGAAGGGCCGTCAAGCCCCTTAAGGGTGTCCCCAACGATTTTTTTAAAACAGGCTATACTTTGAGCTATTTTTTATAGGACTTCCTGAACGCTTTTCGGCTAAAAGAAATATACTCATTATTATTTAGACCCTTTTCTATGCCATAAATTTGGCAGAATTTTGAAATTGTAATCTTTTAATCCCCTACTTCAAAGAGTTCTGATTTTTCTATTTTGACCAATCTTTGAGGTCGTTTTTCTCGAGTTCTACAAATTTAATTTTTAAATTTCGACCAGATCCTGATTCTTTGAACGCTAATCTATGCCATTAATTTGACGGATTTTTAAAATTTCTCTGTATGCATCAGATACGATGCATTCTTTGGAGTAACGATTTTGCTGAAGCTTGAGCTCGATTCTAGCGCTGTTCCTGAAATTCAATTTTTCTCATTTTTACAGGGATAATAGTTTGATCTATTTTCAATCTCACGGTACGCTTAGATTTTGCGTTGATAAGACCCTTAATCCCTTTTTCCGGCGCCAAAGTGCAGGTGTTTGCGACTTTTGGCGCACTGTTTGTAAGTGAAAAATTTGTGCTATCGTATTGATATAGGTATCATTGAATAGAGAATTTTTCAAGCTATCAGAAAATATACAGGTCGATATATAAAATCGAAAGTTTGGAAATGACCCTTTTTACAATGCATTTCTATCGAGCCGTAATGCATTAGCGCTGTCATAGAAACAGTAATATCTCGAGAATCAGATGAGATATTTCAGATCTGAAAAAAGCTCTAGAATCAGCTTCCTTTAATTAACTCAAAAAAATTTGGTCATCAGACTAAGATTAGTCGAATCCGATCGTTGGGGACACCCTTAAATTAAATAATCAAGGAACTGGGCTGAGACGGCCCGAAGGGCCGTCAAGCCCTAAATTAAATAATCAAGGAACTGGGCTGAGACGGCCCGAAGGGCCGTCAAGCCTCTTAAATTAAATAATCAAGGAACTGGGCTGAGACGGCCCGAAGGGCCGTCAAGCCCTTAAATTAAATAATCAAGGAACTGGGCTGAGACGGCCCGAAGGGCCGTCAAGCCCCTTAAATTAAATAATCAAGGAACTGGGCTGAGACGGCCCGAAGGGCCGTCAAGCCCCTTAAATTAAATAATCAAGGAACTGGGCTGAGACGGCCCGAAGGGCCGTCAAGCCCCTAAATTAAATAATCAAGGAACTGGGCTGAGACGGCCCGAAGGGCCGTCAAGCCCTTAAATTAAATAATCAAGGAACTGGGCTGAGACGGCCTGAAGGGCCGTCAAGCCCCTTAAATTAAATAATCAAGGAACTGGGCTGAGACGGCCCGAAGGGCCGTCAAGCCCCTTAAATTAAATAATCAAGGAACTGGGCTGAGACGGCCTGAAGGGCCGTCAAGCCCCTTAAATTAAATAATCAAGGAACTGGGCTGAGACGGCCCGAAGGGCCGTCAAGCCCCTTAAATTAAATAATCAAGGAACTGGGCTGAGACGGCCTGAAGGGCCGTCAAGCCCCTTAAATTAAATAATCAAGGAACTGGGCTGAGACGGCCCGAAGGGCCGTCAAGCCCCTTAAATTAAATAATCAAGGAACTGGGCTGAGACGGCCCGAAGGGCCGTCAAGCCCCTTAAATTAAATATTCAAGGAACTGGGCTGAGACGGCCTGAAGGGCCGTCAAGCCCCTTAAATTAAATAATCAAGGAACTGGGCTGAGACGGCCCGAAGGGCCGTCAAGCCCTTAAATTAAATAATCAAGGAACTGGGCTGAGACGGCCTGAAGGGCCGTCAAGCCCTTAAATTAAATAATCAAGGAACTGGGCTGAGACGGCCCGAAGGGCCGTCAAGCCCCTTAAATTAAATAATCAAGGAACTGGGCTGAGACGGCCCGAAGGGCCGTCAAGCCCCTTAAATTAAATAATCAAGGAACTGGGCTGAGACGGCCCGAAGGAACTTTCCGTTAAAGGGCACTACCGCACGAGGTAACAATGTGTCTATAGAGAGCATCGTCTGCACTTCCTTTTGGTGGTCTTGGTTCGGTTGTGGGTCGTTGTGGTTTCGAGTTATTCGACCAAATGTCCGAAACTTGTGGTATTTTTCCGAAAAATATCGCTATTCTACCATCAAAAATCAAAAATTTTTAATTTCCACTCATTTTTAAGATTCCCTTCTATTTATGTATATGGTCACTTGGTTTCAGCGTTTTTTAACAACACGTTTCTGGCCGAATTCCCACCAGCGCAACCCCATTCATACACAATCGTGTCGTATGTTTCCGCGAGTAATCCGGGATTCTCCGCTACCCTTTTCTCCGATTCTACTCGCGTCGCGGGCTACTCGCGATTTTCCTTTACTCATTTACCCGATTTACACGCACGGGTCTCCGCGCGAGTAACCCTTGTAAAAAACTGCGGGTTACCCGGAGAAAAATTGCGGGTAATTTCGAAGGACTCGAAATCAACAGCCATGGTTTGCAGTTCAAATATAAGTAAGGGTGGTCAAATTTTCGACATTCAGGAGTGGGAAAAAGGGTTTTAACGTTCAATTCTAGATTCTAGAACCGAGATTCTAGAAAAATTCGCCGTCTGTTCGGCGTGAAAGTTTCAAACGAAGCAAGAATCGAAATTTGACTACTGTCACTCAGAGAGATACATGAAAATGACTTTTTCGGAGCAAAATTCTACCCCCCATGTTTCTTGTGCTCATCTGAAAGAGCAACTCCCGAGTAGTCGATTCATATAGTTTTGAGGGTCTGAGTCATCATAAATGACGTCATAGGCTCCCCTAAAGAAAAAATCCTTTGACGCCCTCTATCTCCGAAAATTTTCGAAAAAGTATGGTGATTTTGGTATCATTCGAAAGCCCAGCTCAAACTGTGGTTGCGCACCCGGTTCGCAGCCGAAAATTCTAAGCAAAAGAATATATTTATAAGCGTGAACTTTTTAGTAAAATTTTTTTTTTCGTCGTTTTCTCTTGCGCACCAACTGCGCAACCACAGTTTTGGCTGGGCTTTCGAATGATACCCATATCTTCATACTTTTTCCGAAGATTTCTGGACATACAGGGCGTCAAAACTTGTCATTTTCAGGTACTTGAGGCGCTAGAATCGGACATTTTTCAAAGCTTTGACGCATAAAAATCGTACAATTCGACTCCTCAGAACCTGCGCTACAAGTTGAGCACAAAAAATATTGAGGTCCCGATTTTGCTCCGCAAAAGTCATTTTCATCTATCCTCTCTTTATGGGACATTTAGGGGGTAAATTCTTTCAAATTAAATGAGTAAAGAAGAGGGGTTTCTCTATCTTATTCCTTGTAGAAAAGTTTTTTCGGAAATCAAGATCATAATTCCTTTAAATTTATGAAGAGTTCCCTTTATCAGAGTTTGAAAAAATGGCGAGCGCGAGCGAGTGAGCGAGCGCTCATGCTCACTCGCTCACCATAAAATTCCGGGCCGCCGCTCCCGCTCACTCGCGCTCGCCAATAGTCATTTTTAGTTTATTCATCCTAGAGACAAAGTATTACTATATTTGACAAATTTTTCTTTATTTTATCTAAGATAAGTAAAAGACTCTTTTACTCGCATTAGAATGCTCTTTTTTGTCTTCTATAATTAATTATGCGTTAAAATTTGAAATTAATAGGATTTTCGAACAAATATTCGCTAAAAAGTTCCCCAAAAAGCTGCGAGTGAGCGCGAGCGAGCGAGCGAGCGCTCATGCTCGCTTACTCACCGGAAATTCCTGGGGTCTGCGCTCACGCTCGCTCACTTACGAAATAATTGAAGAGTGTCTGCTCGCGCTCGCTCACTCACGAGAGTCATGATTATTTTTTCAAACACTGCACTTTATAAAGAGTATGGAAGTCTGACCCTTATCATTTGGAATGAGGAAAACCGATCCATCATTTTTCTCCGGATACGCCCCTCTTTGATAGCCAGGCGCACTTTCATCCCTTCTTTACACTTGCTCCGGTCTCCCGCGGAGTCTCTTCTTTCGCGGTGCGCCTTCTGGTGATCTTTTCCAATCGTAATGCAATTTGCTCAAGCTTTTTTCTTCATCGCACTTTTCTAACTCGTTTATCCTTTTCTCCATTTTCCACTAGAGGCGGTTCTCCTCGTTGATTGCAGCTCCCCGAGAATTGGGGCCGAGATTTGATTTATATTTTTTCTTTCTTCATTTGAAAAGAATTTAAAAATGGAATTTCATTACGACGCCGACTATCAATATCAGGTAATTTGAAATTTAATTTTACACCAGGCGGAGAGAGAGAGGTAGAGCTAAATTAATTTTGTATAATATGATCACTTTGATAACTTGATAAGATAGAGAAGAATGAGATTATTTTCAGGCAGAGATACAGAATGCAGCTATTTGGCCCTCGCAGCTGATTTACAGACCACAAGACGAGTCCTCTGCACTACAGGTTTGATAAAAAGGCTTTTCGAAAGTGGAGCAAGAATTAAGATTCCCGGACTGAATGAAATTGACCCTCGGAGTGATCAGAGTTTCTGCTCGACAGCTTCATCAAATTCTACTTCAAGTCGAGAGAATCTTGCGCTTGAGCGTCGAAAACAACGAAGAATAAGGTATGAAAGCGTCGATATAAAATCTAAATTGCCGCCTAAGATGACTGAAAGTCCATCATTTATGGGCTTGCTAGTCTGAATTCGCCTTTCTCTTATTTCGTATTCGTAGAACGACATTTTCAACCGCTCAGCTGAGAGAATTGGAAAGAGTATTTCACGAGACGCACTATCCAGACATCTACACAAGAGAAGATTTAGCCAGCAGAATTGATCTAACTGAAGCTCGAGTTCAAGGTATGATTTAAAAAATGAAGGAGTAAAAAGAAAAGGGTTAAGTTTGGTTTCAAAACCGCCGCGCAAAGTTCCGGAAGCAGGAGAAACTTTCAAAAGCGAAATCGCCCAGCGAAAAAACAGGCGGCGGTGCGTTGATGAGCGAAGCTGGCGCCGCGGGCGATGCCGCTGCCGCTACAGGGGCACTCGCCGGAAGCGGTGCGAGTGCCGCCTCGAGTGATGCCCAAGTCAAGCTCAGGTCAGTGCGAGCTAATTGAGATTGATTGCTTCGGCAAAACGCGTGAGAGCGTAATTGGGTTAGCATTGGCGGAGCAAGGCTTTTGTTAATATTTCAAGTCCCGTCGAGAGTATTGTTTTTAACTTGCGATATTCAGTCCGAAAACGCCAAAGTCATCATCGCCAAAGACTGAAGCTTCAACGATTCCAACTCCTCCCACAGCTGGTATTTTTATTTTTCCATTTCAGCTTCGCCATTTTCAGATCATGTCTCATTCGCCTCTCCCTACAGCATCTACTCATCCTACGATCCGTTTTCCATGACTTCAGCTGCTTATGGAACTTCTAGACATCTTTACGAAGAGCATATGCGCCAAGTAAAATGATCATTTTATCATTTGTGATTCAATACTTTTAGTATTCGTCACCATCTTCTCTAAAAACTGAGCTTCCACCTGATCTACCCGTTCAAAGTCCTGTCTATCGTGATGAAAATTGAGTAGCAAAAGTGTTTAATGTTCTATTTTATTGTAAATAAAAATTTCTTAAAAATTATTCGTTAACAATAAGCTAAACATAAGTAACGTTTTTCAAAGTTTTCAAATAAAACAAACAATTGACCGCCTATGAGTCGAGCAAGTTATACGACTTTGTGTCTTTTTACGATCAACTGGCCATGACGGGCGGCTAAAATAACGGTGAATCATTTATGAAAGAATTGTGTATTTTTCAAAACGAGTCAGAAAAAAATGAGAGTTCCAGTTTCTTTGTTGTCTCTTATCGGCCTTTCTAGCGGCCAGACTTGTACGGATCTTCCGACAAAGTCTTCTTCTGAGTTTAGCACAGAATTCTACGAGTATGCCTGTACGATTATTGCGAGAGTAGAAGAGAATCAAATAGCTGACCCAGCAACAGTATGTGCGACTGTAAAGACGCGATGGGAGGCTACAGTCACAAGCACAAAGATGTATTTTACTAAGGACTTTGAGAACACCGTCGCGCCAAGTATTGACGCTAACAGTAAGTAATTCTGAAGAAGAGGGGTTATAATACATTGTTTCAGATAGAAACGTTGTTCCGTATTCTGTAAAAATGCAACTGATTGACGCTGATTTCAATTACGACAAATCTCCAACAGAGTCTGATTTCCAAGATAAACTAAATGAGCACTTAGAAGACTACTACATCAATAGCGACTTCTTCGATAGAATTTATGTTGAGTCTGGCGGCTGTACTCAAACAGGTATTGCTCGTTTTATCATAACTTAGTAACTTTATTTATTCGGTATGTCTTCTACTGTAGTGTTTTAGATTTCAAACCGTTGAAGCCTTCCGATGTTACTCCTGTAACAACCGAGCTTGATAAATTCCAAGATTCTGCGAAGGTTTCTGGGCAAGTGAAACTCGACAAGGCTTTTGCAACCGAACCCAAGCCTCTTTTTATCTACGACGAAGCAAAAGTTGGCCCGGACGCTTCTTCATACGAAAAAAGTTTGATTGTTTCAAAACTCAATGACGAGGTTGTACCAGATGTATTCCAACAGGTTAAAAATGCCCTTCTTCCTTGATTTCAAACATACGTTCAGCCGGATGACGCGGAATTCAAATACTACGAATATACACTTAGCAAAGACATAGCCGATCCTGAGGTTATCCTGCTGGATTACACAGCTTATTACGCCCCAATCGGAAACACAACACTCAGTGAGGCACAGACAGAACAAATAAGGTACTGAACTTTTCGTGAAATTTCAAGTTTTGGAACGCGAACGATTATTCAGATTGGATGTCGAATCAAAATTTAACGATTACGTAAATCGGGGCGATACATTTATTTCGTCGATATCGGAAGCTCCAACTGCAGAATATGGTAAAAACTTATGTGTGAACTCTCTTGCAATATTCTTTTTAGTTCCGCGACAATTGAAAGCAAACGAAATCTACCGGGCGAATATAATTACTCTGTGTGTAACCCTAGCCGTGGCAGCTCTGCTCGTGATCCTCATCGGGGCCGTCGTTGGCGTCGCTTACAAAGATATTCAGAAACGTAAGACTCTCCTGTTTAATCCTCTGACAAACTTAAATTCTCAGAAGTTCGTCCGCCAGTGGGCGTTGGTCCTTCTGGGCTCACAGTCAAGCCGCTGGAATCAATGTACACAGTGGATACAACTAGAACCGCTACGAATACAATGCGCTTTTGAGACTGTAAATTTGTTAAAACTCTGCATCAATACATTCCAATCAGCATTTTATTCACATTTCTTTTACAAAATTATACAGCAGGAATCTTCAGAATTAGCTTCAGGGTTTTTCTGAAGTTCATTTCGAGCTCTATCTTCCTTTTTGTGATACAATTTCAAAATATACATGGTCAGGAGCACCAAAATGACCGATACGATGACAGATGCAAATGCTGGGGCCCAGGATAATGGCTAAATAAAACGTCAAGTTTGCTGTTCTTGTGTTAAAAATACCTCTGAGCATCCGATTTTGACCCCGTTCAGAGCTTTTACAAGGTCATTCGATTTCGTGCAATCATTGTTGTCCAAAAACGTGCAGGTTTTCGGAAGAGTTAGAAATTTTCCTTCCATACAATTGTACGAAACACTCTTCTCTTCCTTGGTCATTTTTTCAAGGTAGACTGGCTCGTAGTATTTTGCCTTGTAAGCATCAATCTGAGGCCAACCTTGAATAGTCGAATTCGGATGTTTCAAGTGAACGGCAAGGACGAACAAGAGTTCTTGTTCATCGAAAAAAGCTTTGCTCATGTTGGTTTTCAACATCACATTTATTCAAAACAAACATATGTTAAATGTCTCAATCCATTCCTTATCACGTCATATCCGTCTTTTTCCCGCGGTTCCTCTTGCCACCCTTCTTTTTGCCAGGCATTGATGTACCAAGATTCAAAAAGGACCGGATAATCGGCATTAATCTCGTAGTGAGGGTATGAGTAAAGCAAGCCAGAGGGCGTCACAGCAACGACTCTGTATTGACCAGGACAAGTTTCTGATTTTCTCAAAATTTCTTGCAGTCCATCGAATCGGTAAATATCGACGAGAGCCTGAGTCGTCAGACAGCTTTTCTGAAAAAATGATGTTTTCTTTTTCTACAGAACTTACATAATCTTCCCAGCATTCCTTCATTGTTGCTTTTCCACAGTTTACGTTCAAATTGATATATTCGTCCCCCACATCAAACGCATCGAGCATCTCATCTCTTGACTCGAACTCATTGAATCCATCACTGAATCTAAGTTCCTCGCCTCCGGGTATTTTCTCGACCGCATCCATGAGGAGAACTGGTGAGTTTTTCTCTCCGAAGCAGACTTTTTGATCCATAATCAAACTGCACTCTGATTCCTCAATGTTAAAAAGAGGATCGGCGCCCGATTCATAAAGTTGTGCCCACTCATCTAATACAGCTTTTTCGCCCTCATGATACTTTACAACCATGAGTAGAAAACTAGCAGCTGAGTTAACTTTGAATATCTCGTAGTCATCGTTCGATTTAGTGTCTTCAGATCCCTCAGATATCATTTCTTCAACGTCCTTCGCAAAATCTGAAGAGTCCCAATTTTCATAGAAAAAATCCATGTCATCGTATGATAAACTTCCGCAATTATCTGTCTCCTCTGTTTTATTCTTTAATTTCTCTTCGTATTGCGGTGTGAGAGTCTTTGGATGGTAAACGAAATTGCCAAAGGAGTCCAGGAAGAAGATTTCTGATTTGAATTTCGAGTCAAAAATGCCCTTGAACAGTGGATTCTTCAATCTTGGGCCTCTAGTCAAGATATCGATGTCCAGCCCTATGATACCCGTTTCCATCAATCGAGAGACTGTATTTATTTCCCCGAATCTAAATGCATCGTTGTATTGAAGACCGAGCACCGAGGTGCTGTTTTCTTCACTCGGCTTCTTTGTCAATTTACTGAATTTGAGATCCCACAAAGTCGCGTTCAGAGAATTAAACTCTTCTAGCGTCTCCTTGAAGCTCCAATCTTCTCCTAAACGAAGATCATCGTCTTCGCAGGTTAAACAAGCAGCTGAGCCATCGCAGGTTTCAATTTCTTCCGTAAAGTTGCACTTGTGAAGATCTTCCAAAACTTCGAAAATTCTCGTCCCCTCGAACCCGCTAAAGCTCTTTTCTTTGCAGTCTTCTCTGAACTGAACTTTTTTGTTTCTTCCTTCTTGGGCGTCAAGGAACCACGGTCGAATTCGGGGGTCATAAGCATTGCACGAAGTGGGAGTAGACTCACAGGGGTAGACGTAGTGATAACCGTCGAATGTGCCAAAATATATTCCTTTTAAAGCATCACCAATTGTTGCAGAAGCATTTTCAAATGCATCGCGAATAGGAGATATTAAGGTTTCGTCATCACAACTGAAATAAGGATCGAACTTTTTGAGACGGAAAAATCTGCATCTACGCTTTTGGATCCCTTCCTGTACGTAGGAATGTACGAATTAAACTGGTCAAAGGTCCGTGGCGAATTTGGCGAAACTAGTTCACACAAAAGCTCTCTTTCCGGAAGAATCGCTTCACGGCCATTTTTAAAATCAAGAGCGCCAGAATTCGAATCTGGATCAACTTCGAAGTTTTGCCTTTGATTTCCGCTAATTGAGCAGGACGACTGCCACTGTACTTTTACTTGCTTACAGTTACCCGTAGGCGTCCGCTCAAATGCTTTCACCACGTCGTCGAGCGCGTCGTAAACTTTCATAAAATTTCTTTCGACGTCATCTTTTATTTGTTCGACGATTCTTTTTGAATCCACTGGTTTCTTTGAACCTTCATTTCTTTACGCGTTTTTAAAAAGTGCTTTTTTACTCAATTGTTCTTGAAGAAAAAAAACGAGTCCTGAACTGCTCAGCAAAATTCGTTGGAAACTGTTTTTCAATTATCTTTCTACAAGTCTCTAATCTTGAATCCGACATTTTCATCGATTAAATTCAAAAAATAAAGAAGATGGACAGGAGTAGTGATTGAATTCGCGGATTAGAAAAGCGTAACAAAGAATTTACGATCTTCTTTCCGCGACGAATAAAAGACAGGTGTTTTGAAAGGGAAAATGTTTTTTATTATTTTCTGGATGATTGGCAAAGATGAGTCTTCAGGACTCAGACGAACGGAAAATTAATATGCTAATTCGGGATCTAAAAATCACTCGCGCGGAAAATCTGAATCGCAAAAAGAAAAAGAATCAATAAAGGAACCCCTTGACGCGCTTTAATTTTAGGGAGATACCGCTTTAACCTATTTTTGCATCGATCCGCGATTCCGGCATCAAACGCGGATTGATATTTACAGGGGAAATAATGCATATTTGAGCGATTTTAAGGATATAACAGCGAAAAGAGCTGAGTATTGACAAATAGTTGTTATATTTAAATCATAAATTCTGATTATCAGACGCCTTTAATAAGAATTTCTATCATTCACTTAGAGTTATTAATTAATTACTAATTAAAAATCTAAGCCTGAGATTGCTAAAAATTCCAATATATTATCAAATAAATTCATGTCTGGCTGGCTTTCTGTCAAAAGTTCCCTGTGGCCTGAATTTCCCCGAAAAACTGCTTTTCTCAGCAAAATCAGCCAATTCTAAGGCACTCTGTCGCCTCCTGGCGGTTCTGCTTGCCTGGGGAAGTGGCTGTGGGCGAGGCCGCGCGCGCCGCTGATTGGCTCCCGCGAACTGGTCCGTCTGCTCGGCCGTCGCTTTTCTCTTTCAACGCTCTTTCTCCCCTTTCTCACCCGTGCGAGTTTACGTATCTCTTTTTTGAATCTTTCTTTTTTCGAGAAATTTCAAAGCCTCAAATTTCGACGCGAAACACTAGTAGCCCTGAAATTTGAACTTTCAACGAAAAATCTCAAAAAACTCATTTTCTTTTTCAAGTTTTTATTCAAATCGTTTGAATAAAAATAGAAGAAAGAAGAGTCACGAGAAGATTCATCCAAAAGAATCAACTGCCAGAAATAATCAGAGCATTACTTTACGCAAACTTACTTTTTCGACGGAAAATCACTAGAAGCGACCTCATCTTCAATATGGGTGAGTCATTATTGATCATTATACTGTAGTTAAAATTTATACAAAATCAATTTTGTTGATAGAATCGTTGTCAAATGCTATCTCTAGAACTCAAAAAAAAAATAATTCTGAGCTTGAAAAATTTATAAAAAGAGTTTACAAAAATGAGTCTTTCAAAACACAAAATTGGTTAGTAAATCAATTATTGTACTTCTATTTTTATTAAATAAATTGAGTGGGGAACATTTTTTAAAACCAATAGTGCGAAATATTTTTGCTGTTTATTTAGTGTTGAAATAAGTTTATTTATCGATTATTTTCAGGTATGCAAAAAGGAAACAAAGGACGAAGCTCCCCCTCGCGATCATCTCCGATCAGCTCGGTCGGGTCTGGCTCCGAGTGCGATTCATTCGCCCGCGGCCAAGTGATGTTTGTCTCGACGCCCCGCAGCCGCAAGTTTTCCTCGCGCTCCGGAACGCCGAACGGGAAAGTCCAGTTCCGGAACCGAGTGAACTCAGCCTCCGATTCTGACGGCTCGGCCGAGCGTTTCGCCGGCGCGCGCTTCAACTCACCCCCGAGTCCCGCCGCCGTTCCCCTTCCACCGATGGAGTGGCTCCAGTCCGTCCAACCCAAACCAACCAAACCTGCTTCTAACGATGAGCTCTGCCAAGCGCTGGCCAACAATCTGAAAGAGATGCTTAACTTCAAGGCGTAATCGACGCCTCATCAGTTCAACCTTTTACATCCCAACAATTTTCAAACAAAATGCAAACTGTATCGACCCGATGAAAAATCAACCATTGAAGAGTGTCAACCCTCCCAGTCAATGTAAGAAATTAATTTATCTCTTCAATTAATTAATTCACTAAGCGTTTCTCTTTGCAAAAATCACGTCGTAGATGATATTGATTTATTCTTTTAGATTTCACATGTGGACTGGCAGGGCCGCTTTTATTCTTCACCAACTTTTTTCTCATCTTGGATACAACTTTCTTCAAACGAGAGTGTCCCTGTGTTCCAGCAAAAAATACTTCCTTTGCGTTCAAGTTCACGTCGCGCCTCTCTCACTCTCTATCAAGCCCGCTCACGTGGCTGTGGATCACCGCAAGCCCCTTGACAGTGACCGCCGCCTGTGATGGGTATGACGATTCGATTCAAGACAAGCAAGTCGACACTAACAGCTTACTCTTCCCCTAACTACCCTTTCGAGAAACTCTCCCCACGCACAAAAAGGCAGATGCGTTCAAAATCTTACATTTAAACTCCTCCAAAGTTCCATTGTAAAATCGTCTTTTCTCAAATTTCCATGTAATCATATGTTTCCTATAATTCCTAAAACGCAATGTAAGATAAAATTTAATCATCGATACACATTAAAATATCCAGACCTTCGGGTCTAGAGAACCTGCTGCCAATTTTTGCCCGTTTTTTTCTTACCACTCATCACATGCTGCTAACCTCAAAACTAGCTCGACGGGATCCTGTGACCAGCTGGCCAGAGTCCCGCTCGTCGCGCAACACCCGAGTTCGAGATCGAACTCTGGAGCCCTGTTCCCAGCCAGTTTTCATGTGTCCAAACCCGCGAACCACAAATTTAATCAAGTGCGAATGCAAATTCACACGTCTGTGTCGACCCTTGACTCAATGTCGAAGTTTTACTCTTTTTCCGTGCTCTTTGGATCTCCCTCGGAGCTTTTTTCAAAGCTTCGATGCAAATCTTGATTGCTCGGTAAATTTATATACTGCCCGTTTTCACTAAATCCCTGGGACTTTGTCTACCCACGCGATAGTTTTTCTAGCGCTTGGCTGTACCTAAACCTTTGTAACATAAAGCAACGGCTTCAAGTTTAAACAGTGCCTGGGTAAACAAGATTCTAGGGTTTTCTTCCTCCCCCCACCCCGCACCCCGGTCGTGTTGACAAAACGAGAGTCGACCTAAGACCAACATTGATCCAGGTTAACGCCCCAGCCACGTGCTATTAACAAACAATCACATGTCTCAATGGCGCACACCACGTTTCCTTTTTTCCTTTTTGTGTATTTCGTTTAAACGAGCTGTGTAACGCTGTGCGCTACGCATTTTTCGTCCGCGATTCAGACATGTCTATTTCATTTCGACCATTATATTTGATTTTTTAAATATATTTTAACCAAAAATTGCCCGTGACGCCAAAACAAAACCTGTCAAAAAGTGTTGGTTTTATGTCCACTTTTTCAACGCGTCCAAAAAAGCCCCCAACCAACTTCACACACGTTTTAAACTGCGATATTTTTTAGCTTCATTTAGCAAAAGTTGTTAGAAAATTCGATTTTCGCCACAAACACTGACTCACAAGTGAAGCCTGAAAGCCTTGCTATCGCAAGTTGCCCAGTTCTTTTAATTTCTGTCGAGTTAACACAACAACTTCCTCCAGAAAGTAATCCCAAGACTCTCTGATAAAATCATTTTAAGAGAATATTTTATTTGAGAGTTTTACGACCACTTACCAATTCGAACTTCTTTCTGATGTTCTACCTCTTCCAAAAACTACTTTGGCTCTTCAATAAAGAACCTCTGTTCTGGTTCTTAACCTGATCAAATTAATTTATTTATGACGATCTGCTCCTCTGTTCAAGACCATACTCCACCTATTACCTTTCATACTCTCCGTTAATTCACAAAAAAAAACTTCAAATTACTTCAAATTCTCCTTTTATAAGCTTTAGGATGCTTATCATTCGACTGATATCTAATTTAATTACGACTTTATTATTATACTCTTCCGTTTCTTTTTCCGCTCCCTCAGTTGCCTTGTTAGGATAGAAAATTCAAATTTGGAAAAATGAAATAAATTATTTGGAAATATTACTCTCAATGGTATTTTTCGCAGTTGGAAAAACACACAAAAAAGCATTCACAAAATTCGTCTTTATTGCAAATGGTCAAAAATAGACCGTAACGGGTCAATAAATTTGACGATAAAGGACCTCCGAACGGCGCTAACCATATGTTTTCAACGCTTGTTTTCTCCAAACAAAAAGTTAAAAAGCTAATTTTTTGTTGTTCTAAGCTCTAAATATTGCCAAATAGTCGGAACATGGTATTCAGCTTTATAGCCAGCGCTTTTATAAATTTTATCAGATTTCGTGCATCATGAAGTCGAAAAGGCTGCTATATTTCTTTTTTCTTGTAGAGATTACAGAAGCACTGGACGAATGTAATGACCCAGCTCTCAATGGATGTAATGATCGTGCTCCACATTTTTTAATTTCTTAGTGAGATGTTCTCTTTTAGTATATTTTCTCTTAAAATTTAGCAAATAAGAGCATGTCAAAAGACGGATTTTCCTGGCAATTCATGCACAGAAAATGATGACACTGTGCCACTTGATTATACCTGCACTTGTGATGAAGTTTCTTTTACCGGTACTGGCTCGATTTTTTGTACAGATGTTGATGAGTGTAATCGCTTTCCGTATCCGTGTGGTGACGCAAGTTGTTTTAACACTCTTGGTTCTTACGAATGTGAATGTAGTAATCCTGATAGAAATGCGCTTATTGGAACATCACCATGGCAGGAGTGTATAAGCATGTGTGAGACAGGAATCCACTACTGCAGTCACGCTGGATGCAACTGTGTTCACGATATTAACGGTCTCACGTTTTCCTGTAATTCTGGATACGAGCTATCTGGTACTTATGATTGCGAAGATATTGATGAATGTCAGACGGGAGATCATGATTGCGGAAACGATCCTGGCATGACCTGTTATAATAATGTGGGCAGTTTCGATTGCATGTGCGACGGTGGATATGACTACACCGCTAATCCTACGCCAACCTGCACTGATCAGAACGAGTGCACCCTTGGAACACATCAGTGCTGCGAAATCGGCTGCGATTGCAACAATATCAGCGGAGGATACACTTGTTCCTGTCAAGCTGGTTTTGAAACAGACAACACTCTCTACGGATGCAAGGATGTTGATGAATGTGCGACCGGAGTTCATGACTGTGGAACCGATCCTGGAATGAATTGCGTCAATAATGTCGGCTCTTTCGATTGCATTTGCGATGAAGAATACAGTAATGCCTACAGTTTTCAAACCGGAAAAACTTGTGTCAACGTTGATGAATGCACTCTTAATACTCACAACTGCTGCACTCATGCGGGTTGTTCCGGATGTACTGATACAGATCCGGGATTCACTTGTGCATGTGATGCTGGTTACCAAGGAGACGGAACTTCTTGCGCTGAAATCGACGAATGTGCGACCGGAGCTCATAACTGCGGAACGGATCCTGGTATGAATTGTGTAAATAATGACGGATCCTTCGATTGTATTTGCGATGAAGAATACAGTAATGCCTACAGTTTTGTAACCGGAAAAACTTGCGTCAACGTTGATGAATGCACTCTTAATACTCACAACTGCTGCACTCATGCAGGTTGTTCTGGGTGTACTGATACAGATCCTGGATTTACTTGTGCATGTGATGTTGGTTACCAAGGAGACGGAACTTCTTGCGCTGAAATCGACGAATGTGCGACCGGAGCTCATAACTGCGGAACGGATCCTGGTATGAATTGTGTAAATAATGACGGATCCTTCGATTGTATTTGCGATGAAGAATACAGTAATGCCTACAGTTTTGTAACCGGAAAAACTTGCGTCAACGTTGATGAATGCACTCTTAATACTCACAACTGCTGCACTCATGCAGGTTGTTCTGGGTGTACTGATACAGATCCTGGATTTACTTGTGCATGTGATGTTGGTTACCAAGGAGACGGAACTTCTTGCGCTGAAATCGACGAATGTGCGACCGGAGCACATAATTGCGGAACGGATCCTGGTATGAATTGTGTCAACAATGACGGATCTTTCGACTGCATTTGCGATGAAGAATATAGTAATGCCTACAGTTTTGTAACCGGAAAAACTTGTGTCAACGTTGATGAATGCACTCTCAATACTCACAACTGCTGCACTCATGCGGGTTGTTCCGGATGTACTGATACAGATCCGGGATTTACTTGTGCATGTGATGTTGGTTATCGAGGAGACGGGACCTCTTGCGTTGACATCGACGAGTGTGATGAAGATACAGTAGCTAATCTCTGCGGTGCTGATTCGCTTCTTTCCTGCATAAATAATATTGGCTCTTATGACTGTAGCTGTCTCGACGGCTATGATATGGTCTTCGATAGTGGCCTCGGTGAAGAAACGTGTGTTCAAGTCGACGAATGCGTCGATGACAATCTTCACGACTGCGTCACCGGCTTTACGGGAATCTGCACTGATAAGGATCCTAATGTTGATGGTATAAAATTTGAGTGTGGATGCATTGAAGGTTTTTATGGAAGTGGTTTCGCCAATGGACAGGGTTGCATTCAGGAGCTCGACGAGTGTACAATGGGAACCCACAATTGTGCTGCTGATGCTGATTGCTTCGACACACAGGCTGCCTTTATTTGTACATGTCACCCTGGTTTTACTGATGATAATCTTGACGGAACAAGTTGCACGAATATTAATGAATGTACAGATGGAACTCACAATTGTGCACCTGATGTAGATGGCGGCGTTTGCACTGACAACCCAGGAAGCTTCGAATGCTCTTGTGACAACTCAATTGCTTATGGAGATGGACTCGCTGCTGGAACTGGGTGTACACTCAAAGTTGACGAATGCGCTGATAACACTCATACTTGCGACGCCAATGCTGCCTGTACGGACACCCAGGAAGCGTACACATGCACTTGCAACGCTGGATATGACGGTCCTGGATTCATTTGTTACCAAGTCGACGAATGCGCAGAAAAAGGACTTGATATCTTGGGCACTGCTGGTGTTCTTGTTGGCACAGAAACCAACTATGCTGATTTCGTTGCCCAGCTTGATACGATGTCAGGAATGGTCAACGGAGTCGTAGGTTCATTCCATGGAGCACTTGAAGATCAATTCAATATTGAATCAACATTCACTATTGGAAATACAGGCGGTGCCGAGAAAGTTCTCTTCAGCTTGACTGGTGCGACCAACCAGTTTATTCCAGATCTACCAGTCGACACCAGAGACTATTTTATGAGCTTTGAAGTCGTCCAAGACGCCTGCTCCGATCCTGCACAAGATGCGTCGAGTACTTGCACTCTGACCGTAGCTTATGAGACATTCTTGGGTGGATCAGAAAAGAGCGCAACGATACCGTACACTCTCAATAATACTTGTACGGACTATACTGTGGCGGACGGATGTCCAATGTCAGTCATGATTTTGATCAATCGCCAGGGCATAGCTATTAATGGTACCGTTACTTATTCCATGGTTGTTGATTTGATCACTCCTGACGGAAACGTCGCCTCAACTGCTTTTGTCGACAATAACGACCACAGAATGACCGAGTTCCGATTCGTCAGAGAAGGTGATTCAGCCGCGCTTATCAGTTCTTTCTATATTAATCAAGCTGGGTAAGACACATTTTGCTTCCTATTTGTGAAATTTTCCTAGATCTGAAACCAACAACTGCGATGATGACGGTGGAATCTGCACAGATACAATAGGCTCTTTTACATGTGATTGTGATCTCAGCACACATTTTGACAACAACAGTGACGAGCCCGGAACCGACTGTGTTGGCCTTGTCGACGAATGTACTGTTGGTGGACATGATTGCCACCCGACCGGTGGAGTGTGCACCGATTTGGACGATGGTTGGTCCTGCACCTGCGCCACGACACACTTCGATCTTAATCCTGATGATCCTGGAAAACAGTGTGATCAATTACTACCTTGCGATGCTCGACTTATTGGCGACGTTTTTGATGATTCCGCCCTCAGTCCACGGGGCTTTTGGGATTGCAAGTAAATAGAAGTGTAAAGTAAGTCAGCCTTATGTAAAATTTATAGCCGAGGAAGCAAGAAAACAACTTGTAATTATATCTGCCCTGTTTCTGAAGCAGTCGGTGTTACAGCTTCATGCAAGCACAAAAGCGGGTTGTGGAGAGATCCTACTCGTCCATTGACCTGTAATTTGCCACCAACATGCGATCTTGCTGCTCTTGAGACTGAAATCACCGATTTCTTGGGCCGCATCGGATCAAGTCAGTGCTAAATTGATTCAACACAATCTCATGTTTTAAGCTTATGTTTTCAACGAAAACGACTGGCAGATTGATGGACTTCAGGAGGACAATTTCCTTAGAGGAAGATGGAATTGTGGAAATTCCTTCTTTACCAAGAAGATTCAATTCAGCGTTAGAACCAATTTATAAGTGCCACTTCTTTATAAGTATTTAGTGCAACCGAAAAGATGGAGGTACTCGAGCTGTATGGAAATTCAAGGGTGATCCGAGTGATCATCCAGACGTCTGTCAAGGAATCTTCCGAAGCGAAGGCCTTGAAGTTCGATCGAAATACGTCAAAAAAGCTTGAAAAGTCCTTTATACTGTTCAAGCCAAGGTAAAAAAAATACAATTATTCGATTTTTCGTTTTTTTATTCAATTTATGAATGAAGGACGATATCGCAAAAATATTTACAATAATAAAAAGTGAATAATAAAATGTTCGGAAGAAGTATTTACACTGCTCAATCTGGAAATATAAGATTCTAGGCAAAACTGGATTCGTGGGCGAGCACTGGTTCTAGTCACGATACAAAGCTAGCACCGGAGCTGAGCAGCGTCTGTCCGCTTGAAGTGTAGTCGATGAATCGATGTGGATCACGGTTGAAGTGTTTTCTGTTTTCGTAACGCGTATTCATCCGATTTTCCGAGTTCAAGGGTCCCCAGTGAGAAGTGGGCTCGCAAGCAGCCTATAAATATTGATAGAAATGAGCGAAACCTTGAAAATTTATACCTTGATGGATCCTTTTTTGATGATATGATGAACGGCCATTATAGGGATGAAAAGAACAGAAAAGAGGATGAGCCCAATCGCTGGGTAATTAGTCCAGCTTGGATAGACGTAGTTTCCAAGACTGCTCACCTTCCAGTTTGCAAGCACAGCGATGAAAACTCCCTAAATACGCACAATAGAAAAATGAATATTTGCGAATATTTCTTACAGTAAGAAGGGTTGGCGAAACGAACTTCCAACACACTCGCCAAAACATTCCAATAGGTCGCTTGATCATGATTTGAATATCGCTGCAGAAGTTGTCAAGACCGTAGATGTAGCAAATCGAAATCATCTCGACGACGGAAATAACCAAGAGTGCTAGAAATTTTCTTTATATTCAAAAGCGTAAAAAATCTTACCATAAGATCCTCCAAAGTCATCAAAAAGCGTGAGAATGTAAAGACCACCTCTTGTCGTCATTGGGAGTCCAAGAAGGAAAAGGAAAACGCAAAGAACCCCAGTAAATGAAGCTTGTTTTTCTCGAAGCTAGAATCAATGATGAAATCAATTACATAGAAAGACTTCTACCTGTGGAAACGCATCAGAGCAGCAAGTGATGATTGTGTTCAATGTTGCGAACATAGTTGAAAGACCGAGCATGAGCAACATTGTGAAGAAAAGCACGCTCCAGATGATTGATCCCGCAGAAATCTTAAGAAATACGTCAGACAATCAGCAGAGCATGAATTTATCAAACCTGTGTAAGTGCTTCTGGATAGGCGATAAAAGCGAGTCCTGGCCCTTGACGAGCGACGTCTTCAACTTCCACGCCCATGCTGTGCGCCATGAAGCCAAGATATGAAAAGATCGTTAACCCGGCGAAAATTGATGTTCCTGAGTTGGTCAGGACGACAATTAGGGTGTCCCTAGAAATTATAATTCATATCAATATATTCCAAGATCATTTTACCGGACAATGTTGTTATGGAAGTCATTGTAGCTGGCCAGAGTAATTAATCCACCCCAGCTAGCGGAAAGCGAAAAGAAAATTTGAGTAGCCGCATCTTTCCAAACCGACATATCCTTCAATCGTTCCCACTCGGGTGTCAAAAAGTACTTGATGCCGTTCAAAGAACCCTCTTTTGTGAGACCAACAATAAGCAAAGTTGTGAGGACAACGTAAGGAAAGGTTGATGTCACATAAACTGCCTTTCCAGTTGACTGGATTCCTAAAAAAAGCAGGGATAGAGTTCCATTTTCTGTAAAGAAAAGCTAACCTTTTGCTAGGCAAATGAAAAGAATGATGTAAGATATCAGGAGGTAGACGACGAGATCTGTCTTTGGGAGTCCAATGTCTTCAATAGAATCCGACATATCCAGGATGTGATTTTCGAAGTATTGCTGAGACGGAGCTTCCCGATTCGTGTGGTTTAATTGACACATTGATGGAACTAAATGTAACTCATAATACCAAATCTCTCATAACTCAAGTTTATGATTTCCCTAAATTTATGTGAAATGGTGACTTACCTTCAAGAGTTTTATTCGCTTGTATACTTCTGCATTTATTCAACTTCTCCACATCCATGCATTTTTCATCGTTCCACGGATTGTCGCAATTTGCCCAAGGAAGCTCTCCAGTAGTGAAAGACTGAAGCGACTCGAAGAGGTATCGGAGTGTGTAGGAGATGATCACGTTGTAATAGCATCCGATGATAGTCGAGACGGCGACCATGGCATATCCGATGCCCTTGAAGATGGGGACGCCGTTGAAGGCCTTGATGGGTCCTTGCGAGCAGAATTGTCCCAGTGCAACTTCAAAGAGGAATATTGGCAAGCCACATATCAGCAAGCATATCAAGTACGGTATCAAAAACGCTCCACCACCGTTTTTGTAAGTCAAATACGGAAATCTCCAAATGTTGCCTAGGCCGACAGCGTAGCCAACCATCGAGAGCATGAACTCGATCTTGTTGCCCCAGCTTTGGCGGCTAGGCAGAGACTAAAATATCATGTGAGTAAATGATTGAGTTTACGTGTTTTTTTAAAAATATAAATTGAGAGAGCGCGGCGGAAAATCCAGTCTTCTGATCGATTTTGCCCGAGAGGGAGAGTGTCAGTGCCAGTGCATAAAGGGCCAGACTGGCCATGGTTCTGCTGACATGGCCAGAAATCACTATCTAAGCGCGGGATTAGCTCAAACCAAGGCGAACCTTGACACTAAATTAATGAAGCCGTTGTATAGGTCAATAGATGTGTCAGTCCTCAATCAAGGTCGGTAGAAATTAATGATAAGGACAAACGTTCAATTACAATTTCAATCAAAACTTATTTTGTATCCTGGTGGATTATTCTGAGCCCAGTAAATCCCAAGGGATAAAAAAGAAGAGCTCGCTTAAAAATGCATAAGAAATTATAATGCTTGGACTGACCCTCCCTCTCGCGAGTTTGAGCTTGTATTTTTTGTTCTGAAAGATTTACGAAATTATTATATTCGCAAATTCTTACGTTAATTCATTTTTTGAATTGCCTCGATCAAGCGCACGCTTTTTGGAATTACAGATCGATCCGAAAATCGATCGTAAATCCGCTAAGCAACCCCACTCTAGCAAGTTGGTTGGTGGTACTCTTGGTAAACCAGAGTAGTCATCTCTTCTCTAACTAAGCGTTTCTCTTGGTGTCTCTAGTGGATGTACCTTTTCTGATAGACTCTCTTCCGGATCATTGTCGGCAGCGGAAGCCATTCGATTCGGCAGATTGCTGCTTTTTACCTAAAAACGCATTTAGCTTTGGTGAATTTTGCCGTTGAGGGAGTTGCGGGGAAGTGGCTGAAAACTCACAATAGAACCGGAAGAATAAGAGTCAAAAGACGAAGATGGCATTGCCAGTCCGTTTTTCAGCCCTTTCTGCATTTTTGCTCTTTTAGGTTTTATGTTTATTTTCGTCGATTGAAATAAAGAATTCAGAGTTGTGTGCTGTTCTTCGTTTTTCAATACACTGATATAGAACCAGCGCAGAGCCGCAGCTTTTTTATAGGCGCTCGCACGCCATCCAGTGAATCACTCAGCGAGTAAAGGAATTTTTTTGGGTTTCGGAAATTTCCCCATGATGCTATTAGAATTAAGGGCCTATTCAGCTAATGTTTGTTTAGTCATCGCGTCAATTAGTAGCGCCTCACGCGCACAATTAAATAAATAGTTATCACATGACCTCACAAATACACGGAATTCCTATGGAGAATCAAGCTTCGTAATAAAAAAGTGAGCAAGCTATAATAATAAGCGGAAAGTTTTGAAGTCTGCAGAATGATAAAAATAAATTCTTCATCGTTGAATGTTCGAATTCTTACCGCTATTCACAGAAAACTACTGATCATGAAGGAATTAACCGATACTTTTAGCGAGTTCTTAAAAGTCTAGAAACTTCTCTAGACCTTCTGGTAGAAATCGTGTTGACCTTACATTGACATAGGGCAGCTACGTTTCATGATCATGCTCAACCCTCGTTTTCCGCGGTAAAAGCGCGAACCGACAATCTGCCAAAATCAAGCCAAGTAATTTCAGAATCAGAATTACCTGAAGACGCATGGCTTCGACAATTTGACCCTCTCTCAATGTTCTCTTTTCTTCCATGATTGCAGAAATCTGTCCCTTCCTTCTCTGTGAAACATGTATTTATACAGACGCTTGACGAATGTATAAGGGGCAATAAAGAGTTAAATTATAAAATGCAATAAACTGCAATTATCTGCGGTTCAATTCAGACACGCGAAAATCAGCACACGAACGCGTGAAAAAAACTTATTTAGCTGGAATAAATCACGGCCGAGGAATGAAAAAAATTGACATGGAATTTATTGAGTAACTGTAAAACTGTATAAAGGAATAAAAAATGGTACTTTTCACACTGAACGCGTAGTCGTCATCGTTTTTCAATTTCGAATTCAAGAAAAGTCGATATCGCATGGAACGCCTTCCAACATCACTTGTCCATCTTAAAATAATTATCGAAGGAACGATCGAGACTTTTTTGAACCTGGACAGCATTTCTGACCGCGGCGAATTTGTTTCAACGCGGGTGCACTTCCGCAACAACCGATGACGTCGCCCAGCTTCAGAGCGTCCTAAATCCACTTTTTACTGTTGTTCTAGTTTATATGGCCGAAAAATTAGGATCATTAAAAGAAACAGTGCATTCTGATCGAATTACTGCTAGTTCTTTTCTGCTTTTTTTCGCTATTTCGTTACTTGGAATGTTTTGCTGACCTTGAAACTGAGACCTTGACCAAGACGGCTATCATCTGATGCTTCGACAAAATCATCCTCAAAGAGCCCGACATCAATTCGGGGATCATTGTTGATCGCTTCTTTCTTTCCAGCGCGACACATGTCTGACAAGAACCAAAATTAATAATAAAGGCTAGACTTGATCTTCACCTGGGCTGGGATTTTCCCCGAATTCGCGATGGTAGTCAGCATTCCAGACTTTTTCACGACTTGCAATTTTCTTTGCGAGCTGAAGATCACACTCACATCGATTCCTCTTGCAACTTCCGATCGGGTCCACTGAAAAATAAATAAAAATTGTCCAAAAAATTAATCAGAAAAGTTCATCTTTGATAAAAGAAACTTACTGCAAAGAAGATATCTCTCCCCATTGTCCAACTTCCCGGTCATCTTGTAAAGCTCCTCGTCGCAGCTTTCTTGTTTATGAACACAATTGAAGCAAGTCGTGTACTCCTTACAGGCAGCATCAATGCCATCTACTGGCTTTCCATAGCCTACTGTACCTGAGTCCTCTGGCAAACACCAACAACCATAATTACAAAATTTAACAAATGAATCTTGGTTTCGAAGGAGGAACATGAGTGCGTACTTTAACTGAATATACCTCGTCATCTGTTGTCTGGCAGACATGACTGCTTTTGAACCCGTTCGGAAGCCAATTTTTTCTTTATCGAAATTTTTCATTTGAGGATAAAATTTCTTACTGTCGAGAATCTGTGCTGCGATCATTGTCAATTGCTTATTTCTAAATTCTCCTTGACCCTAAAGGACCTTTTGATTATCCAGTTTTAAATTGAACTTGGCAACGAGCAGCAGATTACATGTTTGTATAAAAAACGAAAGCTCAGTAAATAAAATCGGCGCCGAGCGGATTTAAACAATCTCGTCAGATTTCGCGCAAATCGCATTAAAAAATTATCATTTGAAAAATTTCCTTCTGGCATGTTTTCCGTGATTTTGCTCCAAGTTTCGGCCCAATCTCCTTCAGTGAAACCCTCAAAGTCCATCTCTTTCTGGATCCTTTCGTACGGCTTGAGTTCTGCGCCGAAGCTGACTGTGGCTGACAATAGAGCGAAAGTGTTTGAAAATTTCATGGTTTTAATGAACTTGCTTGCTTTAAAAAATAAAACGTCTCTGATAGTTTATTTCACGGCTTTTTCTATCCAACGATTTAATGACTCTCACAAAGACGATGCTGTGGCCAGTTGATGCTCAAAATCGGTCACGCTCAATTTTCACCGATTTCGAGAGTTTGGCGCCAACGAGCTTGCTCGCGGGAAACAGGAACTTGTTACAAGCCTCGTAAAGCAAATTTCGCGCTGGGTTCTTGAAAAATAAAATTGTCTCGCCACTTGTTCAAATCAATTAGAAGCCTTTTTGTTCAGAATTAGCTAATCTTATTTCCAAATGAATAAGAAATTTTGTGTGTTTAAATTTATTACAGTCATTCCGACTCGGATCTTATCTTCATCTGTTTCTGCACTCGTGTCATTTTGAAGCTGAAGGAAAATAAACACATTAATATGCAAAAAAATGAAAATAGAGTACCTTCCATGATCGATCCGTCTCTGCGGTTGGAGGAGCTTTTTAGAACCACTCTTCGATTTCGACTTTTTCGAGACTTTTTCTTCTTCCTCTATAACCGTCTTCGCGCGCTGAGAATATTTTTAACGCCTTCTATTTTCAAACTCTATTTTTACCTGCATCGTCGCTTGAATTCGCTGGTACCTCGCGGGATTGATGAAGCGTTCTTTGTCTGGACACGTGACTCGTGGCAGCTGGACTGGATCGTTTAGGTTGTCGCACTTGATTGTCGATAAACTTGAAGATTATGATTTTAAAGAAGTAGTAGAATCAAACCTTTGCAAATTTTCATTTCTCGTGACTTTGAAGTAGCTAAACGTTAATTTTTCTTTGCAATTTTGGCAGAAACAGGTTGCCCTAAAATTTCTATTCTTGCGTAGGAAAATTAGTTTTAGTACCTGAAACCATGTCTCATAATTCAAAGTTTACTTTATTTTATTCTTTCCTATTTTTTCTGATTCTTCAAGTCCTTCTCTATCTCTCTTTTGCAGCAGTTCTAAAAACTGGAGTGTTAAACCAAAGTGAAAGAAAAGTAGATCAATTATTCACATTCGCTGCGAAAGGAAATCTGGCATCACCTGTAGCTTGACTCGTACTGTAGTGTAGAAGGTTTATTCGTAGAGACTGCTAAAGCGTATTAGCTAAAGTAAATATATAAAGAGTCGCTTTTCTGTTTTGAGCGGGTCGAATAATTTATAAACGCGCTCGTTCTTTCGATGAAGAGTTATGTACTGAGCTCGGGAACAGACAGGATACAGATAGACACTAATGGGTACAGGCACATTCACGCGCCTCTCCGGGTCTTGAAGGACGAGCAGAATCAATTATTTATCATAGTTCATTTAAGAAGAATGCAAACTTGTATAACTGCATATTTTTTTACTCAATCAATGTTGACTGACGATTTTCTCTATTTTTGTGGAGAAATAAACTCTGTCCAGACTTCATTTGGCTGTCTGAACCCTTGGCATAATTAATGTGGATTATCCCTTATCTTCTTTTAAGCGACGCCGAAAGCGAAAACCTTTTAGCGCACTGAACTAAGCCCAACTTACGCCTAAACCCCTGTCAAATACAGTTTAACAAACAAGCAGTACAAGGTGATTTTGAAGAAATAATGCATAGCAACTATTAATAGAAAGAACTTTTTTGGAGCGGTTTTATCTAGGTAGACTAGGGAAAATTCTGATACTAAAAATAAACGCAACAAGCTCCAAATTGAGAGTCTCGATTTCACGTCTCGTTTTCACTTTCATTCTTCAAAAAAAAAAAATTGAAAGGAAAAAAGAGATGAAATTATTTATTTTTTGTCTATTCCGCAAAAACTTGGCACAACTCGTTCACCAGTGTGAGATAGCAGATTTAGGAGAGAATCAGAATAATGGAACATACGAGTGCGATCATTTCACGTGCGAGCTCAAATGTCCACATGGGTTTTACCCGAATGGCGGAACAGGTAAGATAGTTTCCTTGCTAGAAAATATTTACATGGGGATTGAGGCCACTCGACCTGCGTCCCTCGCCCAGGAGGCTGGGGCTGGTCCCGTCGAATCGGAAAGTGCTCGACTTGTTCTGACTTAGCTCTCCCCGACGAGCTACAGTCCTCATGCGTCACTACCAATAACGGGCAACGAGTCTGTAATGTCTCATGCAAAAACAAGCAAGCAATAAAACCGCGAAACAACGACAAGACGATCGTCGCGTGTAAATGCAATGTCGGTCGGCGCAGCGGCTGCCACTGGGTCAGCCCGGGGAACGTCATCGTCGACGACAGGGAAAGAGACGAGCAGAATTTTATTGGCAATTGGTATTGCAACAATTTACCGCTGATGGACGATCTCCAAGACTCGAACATAAAGTCGGAAGAGAATGAAGATGGACATCCTGTTTTTAGGATTCCTCCGAATTTGAAATGCCCGAGCTCGAATCCAGAAATAGGCGAAATTGACAGAATCTACGGAGGTGTATCGGCGATTCCTCACTCATGGGAACGTGGGTCAAAATAGATTTTCCTGAAGTTTTTGCTTTGATATCGATAGCGCAAGATTAACTAGAAAATTTTTTTGACTCTAAACAGCCTTGGATGGCTTCTCTTTGGTTTGGAAGATTCGGATGTGGAGGAACAATAATTGGCGACAAAACAGTATTAACAGCAGCCCACTGTTGTGATGGATACAAACGAAAACTCAAGAAAATCCGGTGGGATCATTTTAAACGTTCTTCTAATAGAATAATTCGAATCATTCAGGGTCAAGTCAGGAGACCACAAATACTTCGAACACGACACCGGGGAAGAAGAACATCGCGTTAAACGAGTTTTTGTTCATCCAGGATATTCGAGACGAACCATGCAAAATGACATTTGCATCTTGGCCGTGGAGGACATGGGTCTTGATCGAAAACCGACTGCCGATCGAGCTTGTCTTCCTGAGCCTGGTTGGCTTCCGGCTGCAGGAACTCGCTGTTGGGCGGCTGGCTGGGGAGTGACCGAGAAGGGCACCTTTCCGACGGATTTGCAGGAAGTCGACCTGGATATTCTAACAAATGAAGAATGCGCAAACGGCGGAAATCATGGGAAGATAGATGAAAAGACCATGTTTTGCGCTGGTAAAAAAAATGTTAATTTAGTTCGTCTTATATTGATTTCAAGGTGGAGAAGGAGGTAAGGATGGCTGCCAAGGAGACTCTGGTGGACCCCTAATCTGCAAAGATGAAACTGGGAAGATCCCGATCATCACCGGCGTCACATCCTGGGGATTGGCATGCGGCGTTGCCGAAACCCCCGGTGTCTGGACAAAAGTCAGCTCATATCTTGACTGGATAGGCAAAGTTCAAAATTTCGTCGATCGTGCGCTGTAATACCAATTAATCTCTGTGTTTGTGTTTCCACGTTTTTCATTGTGTCCACTACGTTGCAAATTGAATAAAAAACAGCGTCTTGCGTGAATTTGAAGTGCACCTGAATTCCAGCGCCGGGCGAACTTGATTGTGGTGGTTAATGACAATCGAATTTTGGGGTTTGACAGTTTCGAGCGATGAAAAGTGAGCTAGGTGTGATACGAGTTTAGAGTATTCTAGGTTTCAAAAATACAATCTCATTATTCGATTAATGTGGTTTACTATTTGTCATAAAAAGATTTAAAGAAGAGAGAGGCTTAAGAGGATTACACTCAAAAACATTGAGTAAGCGCTGGAATCTTCCGCTTTATCTTTCTTCTTCTTTTTCTTTTTGTCATTTTCGACTTCTTTAATCGCGTCTTCTATGTCTTCTATCATATCTGGACTGGGAGTGGTCATTTCAAAGAGATCTTCATAGGCAGCTGTTGTTCCGATGAAATCTTCATTATCTTAAAAAAATATTGGTGTAATATATCTACATTGAGCTTACTGTCACCAGGTCTTGCGAAAATTGGCGGTGGGGTCTCTTTCTTCGCTGGCATTGTTGGTTTAGGAGCTTTTTCTTTTTTAGGCTCATTGTCTTGTTGACTTTCAGTAGACGTGGAGAAAGTTGTCGGGATCGGAGTTGTCGTTGTTTGCTCTTCTTCTTCCTCCATTTTCTTTTCAGGTTTGCTCTTTTTGGGCTCTTTCGTTGTCTTTTTCGGCGCTTTTGTTGTTTTCACGAATTCTGGTAGACTTGCCTTTGTCTAAAACTGGATAAGAAGGAATTTTAAAGTCACTCTTACTGTAGTAGTTGTTCGTTTAATCGTTTCGACTTTCTTATTTTCTTCCTCAGATCCAAGTTGTTTTGGTGGCGAGAAATTTTCAATCCTTCTTTTTTCATCCACAGTCAGTTTACTTTCCGGAATCTTTTTGCATGAAATTTCGTCGAGTTCAACTACACGGTCAGTATAAGCTCCACTAGATGCTTTCAGCTGTCTCCATTCGTCACCGATGCAAGCCATCAGCTGAGGAGATTGACGCTCATATCCTGGTAGGCAACGGAGCTCGCAGCTTCCACCTAGAAAAATTTAAAAGAAAGAAGAAAAGAGAGATACTCGCCTTCCGTGATGATTCCAATGTTTTGATTTTTCTCGTCGGTGCATCCGAAGAACCAGATACCTTCAGGATCAGGCTTCGGGAAAGTACAGTAGTTCTTCTGGCAACTGATCTGCCCTGGGTCATCTGACCATCCGCCGAACATACCATCTTCGCTACAACGATTAATAGGTTCGTAACCAGGAGTGACCATGTATCCTTCCATACAAATTAAATTGCACGTAGATCCCATGTAGAATGAGTCTGAACAGTTCCAAAATCCAACCGGAATGCCGCCTCGAAAAGGGTTCTTCAGAGTTCTAGCGCAGCCGAGAAATGGGGTTTTGTCCGAACATTCGCCACGGAACCATGTGATGTCATCCAGAGCAAAATCGCCCTGGGGTGAGCGCCCACGGACAGCTTTGAAGATGATGGATGCTTTGACAGCAGAAGCAGGGATATTTTTGATTGGGTACTAAAAAATGTGAAGAATATATTTCGAGAATTCTGAACCTGGAAAGGAAGCCAATCATCCACAGGAGGTTGTGGAACTGACTCTTGATTGATCATGCCAATTGAAACCATTTCAATTCGTTCATCATTTTCATCATAATACTGAATAAAAGTCTCCATCTGGCCGAATTCATCGCCATACAAAACAGCATAGAACTGCAGGCAGTAATCGTCTTCTGGGGCAATTCTAATAAAATAATAAAATAAAATAAAGTTAAAGACCCCTACCCGTGCGGCAGAATTGAAAATACAGCTGTATCACCCTTTCGACGAGGCTCTGATGTATCGAAGTAAGCATAAGTTCCATATACAGACATTGTCGTGCGATCTCGTCTTGGTCCAGTTCCTGAAAAATTAAGCAGAGGATTCGTTATCGATTGTTACCGATAGAAGTAGTATAGCCACGACCAAGCATCCATTCAAAAGTTTCTGGAAAAGCTTCGTCTCCTTAAAACTTTAAAAAATATAAATTCATCGTCTAAAACTACCAGTATGATCAATTTGCGAACCCCAACCATCCTCAAAGTCGATAAAAATCTCGTCGAACTGGTCTTCGGCTAACTGCACGAGTTCTTCCTTCTTGTCATGGATTTTCCAGTTGATGACAGCTCCTCTGCCATGTTCGTAATCATCAGATACGAAATGAATTTTTATCTCATTCGAATTTGTTTCAGTAAAGCCCATCGGCCGCATTGCTCCACAATATCGTCGCCAGAGAAAACTGGGATCTTGTTGTGTTACGAATTCTCCATCGATTTTCTTTTCTACTTCGATATAGTCAAACGGGCAAAAAGGCGGACCTGGCTCAAGATCGAGGTAAGCGATTTCGTATGCGATCGTGTACTTTTCATCGGTGGAAATGATCCAAGTACAGTCAGAGTCGTTACTGTAATAGTGATTCTCGAAGTTCGGGGTCGCAATCTGGCCGGTCACTGGATCGGAAAATACGATTTCTTCATTGCAGGTGCCTTCAACTTCTGCCTGAAAATTCTTTCTCTGCAAAGGATCCTCTTTTGGATGATTATGCTGCCACTTGAAGCTTCTTGCGGGCAGATTATCTTGTGCATCCGTCCTCTGCAAAAAGAATAGTATCGGAAAAATCATTGTATTAAATTTCAAATCATTCAGAAATATTTTTGGACATAAATCTGTTTAAACTTGCCAAGAGGCAGGAAGGACGTAAACAGGAGGAGAACCAACGCTTCCATGACAAATTTGTCGGTGAAAAGTCGGATCAAAGGGATAAAGGCGGAAAATAATGCTAGAAGCTTCTTGCTGGCTTCTTTCAACGTAACTGAAGACTCATGGGCTGGGCAGAATTATTATTTGAAATAATTTGTCTCCAAATTTAAGTTTATTTTTAAGTTTACAAATGTCTCTAGAATCAAACTTGTTGTTCACCGAAATTCTCTGAAACGGTTATTCTTCGAAAGAAAATTTCAAGAAAAAAAGGAACCCTCGTTTGAGAAGAGAGAATCCCGTAAGTAGTACTTACTAAGTACAGTTGCAACCTTTCGATTTTTTTTCTTTACAAATGTTTAAAAGGTACTCGATCTTTGTAAACGCAAACATCGAATGGGCTCAAAGCCCTCAAAATCAGTAGGTCCGCTTGAACACTTCAACATAGCCGAGATTCAAGCAATCGAGGACGAAAATGAATCTGCTCGAGCCAAACAGGTACGAAATTATCTTTGTCAATGATTTTCATCAGTTTAATAAGCTTTTGGTAATCAGACAAAGGAACCTCAGGCCAGAGTTCCAAAACACGCGTGCGTGCGTGCGCACGCGTGCGCGTGTTTGCGTGCGTGCGCACGCGCACGCACGCGCACTCGGATTTTGTGATTTGCTGCGCACGCGCACGCACGCGCACGCGAAGATTAAGATTGCGCACGCGTGCTTGATCGTGCGCGTGCGAAAAAAATTTTAAAAATCTTTTTTTATCTCTAGAATATTTATTTTTTTCTCCCCTGAGGCGTGTTTACATCGATTTGTGGAGACTTGAAGCATATTCGTGTCTCTAGAATTCAATTCTAGCTGTTTTTAATTGTGCTGATAGAGTCATTTTAAAATGGACACTCCTTGTTCATCATCAAAGAGAGCTCGATTGGACCGAGAAGAGATAAGAGATGCAAAACTTGAAAAGCTTGTCAAAGATTTTCAGGAACGCGTTTTTTTTGGTTAATTTTTTGGGATCCCCAATAAAAGCAAACTATATTTTTTTTTAAGTAATTTCAATTGGGGGCCCCAAAAATCTTTTTATTTTTAATCGTTGAATTGAGAACCCCAAAAATTACAAACACTTTTGTCAGGCGGACGGATTTCTTATCTCCGGATTCGAATATGAGCCTGCTGCCAAAGACGGATATTTTTACTGCATCGGAAAACGATGTGCTATTGGAAAAGTAAAAGCCTTACGCAACGGAAATGATCCAGTCACAAAATGGACGAAATCATCAATTGATCGTCATATTACCTCATGTCACAAGCCAGAAGCAACGAACCAACCAGATATACTGACTGCATTGAAAAATCCGAAAAAAGAACTTGACCACTCGCGCGACGAAAAAAACCGAGTAGCTCAGCAAGTGACGTATCTATGTTCGGATTTGTATATGCCCCTGAGCAGCGTTGAAAAGTAAGAGAATTTTCTTTGGGTCCCCCAAATTGGGGGCCCCAATTTTTTTTTCAGGATAATTAATTGGGGGCCCCAATAATGATTATTTTCAGGGATCGCTTTAGAGAAGTATGCCGCACGTTTTACGAACTTGGAGCGCAGAAAAAAAACGTCGAATCTCTTCTCGTGTCAACTTATTTCCTGGAAAAACAACTTGAATTTTCGGCGTGTGAGATTACGTCGAAAATTGCGTCAAAAATGGACTATCTTGTTGAAAAAGGTCTTATTCATGCTGAAATCGATGCTAAATGTGTTGGCGACAAGACAAAGGAAACACAAGAATCAGCTCATGGAGTACTCCTTGGTAATTCAGATATTTGGGAATCCCAATAATTTTTTTAGGATTCTTACGCCAAGATGGTTCCAGAATATATTATTTGAGCGCGTTCGATGCGTTGGATATAAAAGCTAACAAAGATTACAGCGAAGTGATAGCTGGTAACTTAAAATAACATTATTTTTTGGGACTCCCAAATTGGGAGCCCCAATTTTTGGGACTCCCAAATTGGGGGCCCCAATTTTTGGGAACCCCAAATTGGGAGCCCCAAGTTTTCCGGAGCACGACTAACATAAATATTGTTAAGCTCATGCTAGAAAGACTCTTCAAAAATATGGCATTCCGGAGGAGCAAGTCGAACTTATACCACTGAGCACAGATGCTGGTGAGGTCAAGGTTGGAAAGCTCATCTCGGATTTATCGTGCATTTGTATTTCGCATACATACAATCGTCTTGCGGAACATTATGTCGAATACGCACAGAAGTATTTCAATTTGGATACAAGATACGAAATAACATTAAAAAATTCGCGGAATCATCCGAAAAGCGATGTTCGAAAGAAGTTGCCGCTATCCACCCTCCAGAATGCCTTCGAAGTCTCTCTGATTATTTCTATGGACGACCGCTTAATCAGCAAGACAAAATTCTGTACGAATCGATCGATTACAAATCAAGAAAACATAAAACGTATCCAATTCTTCATGTAAAATAATTAACATCTATTGGGTCTCCCAATATTGGGAGACCCATTTTTTTTTGTAAGCTTCATATTTGGGGCCCCAAAATAAAACGTATTTCTAGCGAACATCGGCCATCAGATGGGAGAAAAATCTCTATAATCTAAATGCAATGTTGGTATGGGAATCTACTGTCAGAGAATTCTCGTTGCCTCATCATCCCTATAACTATCTTTTGCCTTCGCCATTGCCAAGCTTCAATTACATAAGAGCCAAACGACTTATCGGAAACGAAATAATGCGTCTAAATCTTGCTCTTCAAAAACTTCGTCATCAGTTGTGGACCAAGTTCACTCTTTCTCAATCCTGACAAAGTTCCTAGCATCCTGCGCCGAAGGCATAACAGACACAGATTATCAGGTAACTTAAAATAACATTATTTGTTGGGACTCCCAAATTGGGAGCCCCAATTTTGGGAGCCCCAAATTGGGGGCCCCAAGTTTTCCGGAGCACGACTAACATAAATATTTTTAAGCTCATCGTCGGCAAACTTGCGAGAGGAGCCTATTCCAAACTCTCAGCACTTATGTTTCAAGAATTCTGGCTTGACGGAAAGAGTATTACGAAAACAGATCCTTGCAGAATCGCCAATGTTAATCTCAGTGGAGAATATCTGTTCCCGCGTCGCCAAAAACTAACCTTCGGATTCTTTACGAAGCATTTGAATGGGTCAAAAGATGGATTTTTCAAAGAACAAGCAAAATATGTTACAGAAAGATGCAAGGACTTTCAAAAATATGCCCGCGAATACATCACTATGATTGACCGAAAAATGCCAGGAGACATCGCGGAGCCTGTGTTTCAGCAGTCTAATGGAAATGATTCCTCTGATGAGGATGATTTATCAAGCAGTCAAAGTCAATCATCTTCTCTCTCAACAAGCGTTGAGAATCTCACACTCTCTCCAGTGGAAAGAGAAATGCTCAGGTACAATTAATTTTATTCGACAATAAAAAAATTAAATATTGGGACTCCCAAATTGGGGGCCCCAAAGTTAACAATAAAAAAATTAATATTGGGATTCCCAAATTGGGGGCCCCAAAGTTAACAATAAAAAAATTAATATTGGGACTCCCAAATTGGGCGCCCCAAATTTGACAATAAAATAATTAAATTTTGGGACTCCCAAATTGGGGGCCCCAAATACAACCTTCAAAAAAAAATAATTATTGGGAGCCCCAATTAAATGAGATAACTTCTTATCTTTCCAGATATGAAGCCCTGACAACGGAAGAGTATAACCGCACACAGGTGAACATCAGAGTGAAGAAGGACGATGTTAACTATGTTTCGATATCAATGAAAGCTTTTTGGAATGACGAGAAAATTGCTTCGGAGTTTCCTCGACTACGAAAAATAGCAGTCAAAGTGAGTTTTTAAAATTCTGTTATGATAATTCAAAATCAAAGGTTCTTTCATGCCCGGCAGGGACTCAAGAGCTGGAGAGAAGGTTCGGAGGAACTTCGGAGTATATAAGAAATCCGAAAAGAAATAGAATCAGCTGTGGACGAGTGCTTGAGCTTGCTCAGTATCAACAATACGAATCTGTTCTAAGTTATCTTGATAATTTGCCTTAATTTGAAAAAAAAAATGTCTCTTCTAATTTATAAATAAAGTATATTATTTTTCACAAATTGACTTTCGCACGCGCACGCACGCGCACGCGAAATTTTGGATTTTGACGCACGCGCACGCACGCGCACGCGAAAAATTTTCGTTTTTTGGAACTCTGCCTCAGGCATAGGAGTATCATTTCTCGGCGGACACTAGGACACAGGAAGACGATCAGGTCATCGATTTTTGAGGATGTTGCCCTTGAAGACTTGTGTGAAGCGGTAAGACCAGTTGGCACTCGCATCAATGCTTATTTTCTCTTCAGTCTGGATTAGAGTGCGATGAGGTCGAAAAAACTGGCCGCGTAAAAGCAAAATGCAAAGAAGAAACTCTCAGAAGACTAACAACTCATGAAGCTACTAAAGAAGTTTTTCAGGTAATAAGGCTCGCTAAATTTAATATCTACCAATGTCATTTTTAGAATAAAGAGTCGTTTCAAAAATTCATGGACAGTAGAATGGGAACAAAAGAAGAAAACCCAGCAGGAGGAGGAGGAATGCTGCTGAACCCAAATTTTAGACTCGATATCACAAGATCAAACTTGTCGTTTACAAGATCAAACTTAAGCCTTTCATATGTAAGTACAAATGTAAAAATTAGTTAACTAAGGTTTATCTTTGCAGTCAAAGAGCAACACAGAAGTTGCAGAACAAAGTCATGAATCATCAGAATATAAACGAGCAAATACAATAAACAACCCGCTAAAGCCGTGGAGAGAATATGAAATAATGCCAAGCATAAGAGACATGACAAGCGAACACACACTTGACGATTGTAGGAATGGGGTAAAACGAACATTTCTGCCAAATTGGTTCTACTAAAATTTCAGACTGAAATAGTAAAATCCCAAAAAAAAGCAAAAGACGAGTATCAAAGATCATGGAACCTATGAAACAAAAACCATTATCCGAAGAGTTTTATACGTAAGTTTATAAATATCTTTTATTTTAAAAGATAGTATATCTTTTTACTTGTTACTGATAGTTTTTAGACCAAATTTTGGACGGACTTCAATAGGGCCAATGATGGAGAGTGGCATTTCCATCACTCGAACCGACACGAACAACAAGAGTCATTCTATCCAACGCGGTCGGAGTAGCTACATAGGGCCAGCTGGGCGCAAATCGGTGCTTACGAACCATGTGACGGGCAGATCAAGTGTGATAACGGATAGGAGTAGAAGACAAAGTATCGCGATAGACGCTCTCAAGGACCGCCGGACAAGCAAGAAAAAGAGAAAATCAACGATGGAGCCGAAGACGATCTACTCGCTCGATCAGGACTTTAAAAGCACTCTTTATACGACCATCAGGTATAGAAGTGTAAGTATTTGCTAGCAACTTTTTATTTAGTCCCGAAAACCGGAAAAAAGTGTCGATCGCATGTCGCGTGAATGAAGAAACACTGATGATGGCTGAGTCCATGACGAAATCTAAAGAAAAGAAGAAAAAAATATGTCCGTTCTTCTAACCCAAGCTTTGCCGTGAAAGTTTTTCGACTGCCATTTATCGAATTTTTGATATTTTTAATAAAATAATGTTTTTTTTAACATTCGGTTTGTTTTCTGGAGCGGTCGGTAGTTTTTGATGAATAGGACATCCGCAATAAACGAAAATTTCTGACAATTTAGAAATGACGGACCGGTTTACGAGGGGGCAATGGGCCGGAAAGAAAGTGTGGCTTTCGTGCGAAGCTGCTGTCAGTCCGCTAGGCAAATCCAAATTTCGAGAAAATGGCTTGTAGAGGATACGTGTGCATTTTAACAACGCTCTGTAGTATCCAGCTTGCTTTAGCAGTGGCAGTTCTGGGCATGTCAATCTATGCGTTTGCTCAAGCACCTGTACCAGAGAATACCGCGCCCATCGTTGGATTGTGCGTTTCTTGCCTTGCAGCTGGGACCAGTATTTTCGGAATCCTCGGAACAATTTGTGGCAAACGACTGATGGTTATTTCACATGGCCTGTGCACGATTTTTGTCATCGTTGTAGCTGCTGTTGGCCTTGTTCTTTCTTCGCTCGCTGCTGCTCAAGTCAGCTATTTCCAAGGACTCGTCCTCAAAATTCAGGTATTTCGAAAACCCATGTCACCTTGATAATTTTGGCTATTTAGGAAAATCTGATCGACAATGCTGTTATCCCGGATCAAATGAACGCGATCGAGATTGACAAGGACTCTGATCAAGAAGATCGAGCTGGACTATTTTATGATGGCTTTGACGTTCCAGATCAGTACTTTTATTTAGGAAAGGGTTGAAGAATTTAACATATTTTCATATAAAAAAAGAAGAGTGGATTAAAACCCTTTTTCAAAGACGAGTTTTACTACAACCAAATGTTCGAAAACATCACCGTCGACTTGAAGTCAACTGACCCCGAAGATCTGGACCCTGAACCAATTGAAATTATTCTTCTCTCTCCTACTCAACGGCAGTATACGATCTTAGCAGCTATCGTCTTCGCTTTTACTTTCATTATCTACGCCTTATCTGGCTATTGTGCATTTTCATATGTTCGAAACTTTGGTGAACTTATCGTACTGTAAATAAATTGTGGACAATCAAGTGCTGAAGAGAGTTTATTCTTAGTAAAGATAATAATAATCAAAAGTTTCGATAGGACAAAGTTCCGTTTCACATGGTTCGCTTGTATGAATTTTGTAAAAAGTATTCGTGAGTTTCCAGCTTGCGAAGTCACCAACCGGCACTCTCTCTCGTGAACGGGAGGATTGACCACAAGTTGCGCTAAAAAATGACGAAAAATAACATTCCCTATTTCGAACCTGCATTCGCCCCATTCTGTCCAACTTGAAAAGGCACATTTAGGAATCGGCGGAATCGCCAGCCACTCTGCGGCAGTATCTTTGCGGGTCATCGGAACAACTCTGATGGACCCTCTTGCTGACAAGTAAAAATTACCACCAGGGACGAGAATTCGCGTCCATGGAATATCCCCAACGTCTTCGATCAACATTTCGAACATCGTCAACTCTTCTTCTCGGGGACCGAATCCTTCCATCCCATACATTGTAAGATGCTTTTTGTAATCATCACTGTATCCCATGTAAAATTCGCCCGAATTAGTTGTGAACTTTAACCGAACATTTTGGAAATCAGATGATTCTGGCGTGTCAAAACAAGTGAGGGTAAGAGTGGAGTCAATATCGTCGTAGAAACGCATTGTGTCAACCATGTCTGTTATACCATTTTGCATACCTAGACGAAAATGTTATCAATAAATCTATAAAAATGTGAAAAACCTAGAAAAGCTGTTTCTTTGATTGAATAAAGCATAATGTCAGTGCCACAAAGATCTTTCATTGACGGCTGAGAAGTTTTGACACAATATTCTGGCTCAATGTACTCCTTTGTTGTCGTCGTTGTCGAGGTAGTTGTTGTTGTTGATGTTGTGGAAGTGGAAGTAGTGCTGGTAGAAGTAGTCGTAGTTGTTGTAGATGTTGTTGTTGTGGTACTCGTTGTTGATGTTGTCGTTGTGGTCGTTGTAGTACTTGATGTTGATGTAGTCGATGTTGTAGTTGTCGTTGAGGTCGTCGATGTCGTAGTTGTTGTGGTTGTGGTGGTGGTTGTAGTTGTCGAGGTAGTTGAAGTAGATGTTGTAGTAGATGTTGTACTTGTCGTAGTTGTAGTCGTAGTTGTAGTCGTTGTCGTAGGCCAATTTCAATAAGAAGTTGAAAACTTAAAACCAAAAACCCCCCTTATTTTAGCTCATTGGAAAGAGCATGAAAAGTTATTCCAGAAAAAGTAGTCTTGTATGCTGAGTCATGTCCGATGACGTCACAGACATTGATTGAAGTTCCAAAAGTCCCAAAACTTTCGGACGCTCTCATTTTTATTCTACTGAAGGAAAATTAGAGCTCGAAGATGAAAAATGATCGTCTTACGCTCCTTTATGCAGGCCTGCAGAAATATATCTTATCAATAATGTAAAACTATTTTTTCTAGAGATGTAAAAATTTTTTCGACTCAAATTTTTTTCATTTATGGTTGCCTGCGTAGAGTGGCCTAAGACGGTCAAAACCCTGTATCTAATGTTTTTTTCCGAAAAATATTTTAGGAATAAGAGCGTCCGAAAGTTTAGAAAATCTGGGACTTAAGTCATCGATAATGACGTCATAATCTATGACTAAGTCACTTTACCTAATGTTTTCTAGTGTAACTTTTTATGGGGATTCCAATCAGACAATAAAAAGGGGGGCTTAGGATTTGAAATTTCTACTCCTTATTAAAATTGGCCGTAGTCGTAGTTGTAGTTGTGCTTGTGGTGGTCGTTGTTGTTGATGTGGATGTCGTCGTGGAGGTTGTAGTTGTCGGTTCTACAGTTGCTTCTGTAGTCTCGTTTGTAGGAGAACGTCCAAAATCTTGTGGCTTTGGTGCGAATGCAATCGTTTCATTGGTGCATTCGTCCTCGGAACAAGTTATATTTCGTTTTCGCTCGCCTTCGCATTCTCCGTCCAGAATGCCACAGATAATGATACAATCTCGCTCCTCTACTGCCTCACAGCTCTCATCGCAATCGGTCGTTTGCCTCCAATCACTCCATACAGTGTACGCTTGTTGATTGCAAGGCCTTGAGATGGAGTGAAAATCAAGGAATATAACTTACTTACTTTGTTTCCACATCATTTATTCTATTGCCAGTGCACGTTTGAATACGCTGACTTTCTCCGCCACAACTTGAAGCAGAACATTCCGTCCAATCAGACCAAACACAGTCCTCTCAAAAGACTCTTTAGTAAACGTAGACTTACTCTAAGTACCGCATAATATCTCGTCCCCATAATTATCTAATGCAATACAGGGCTCGTTGTCTTCCTCAAGCATTCCGTAGCAGAACCTTCTTCTCTGTCTGAATCCATTTCCACAAACAGCGTCACAAGCATCCCATTCCGTCCAATCTGACTCACATCGAGTCGATTTGAAAGCATGGCAGTTTGCATCTCTAATGATATTTACTCCCAAAGTAGTTCGCTTTTTCACATTTTCGCGTGAACTGGCTGACCGAGGAACTTTCATCAATTGTGGATAAGAAAATCCATCAATGAATCTTCTGTGCTTAGCTTCATACTCGATTCTTGCTTCAGATTTACTCGGAAAATCATGAATTTTCCATAAATCTCTACCAACGCAAGGGCTACTCTCGCGGCAATGCGAACCAATAAGGCGATCCGATTCGTGATCCTGCAGTTCCTGTTAACTAGAATGCTTTCTTGGCTACCTTGATAAGTTTGAGATTGTAAGGCTCATTGTACAGAACGGCTACGTTTTCTCCATCCTCTGGGTTGCAGCAAATGGTCCACAGAGAGTCATCCGAGGGTTCGATGTTGTGCGATATGGAACGATATGTGACTTTACTATCGTTCTCATTCTGAAAAAAATTTTGTTGCTTTATTCTCAACAAGCAAACCTTGTTTCTTTTTAATGTAAGGGCCCTTCTACGGTGATTAGTCAGCTGGACGACTTTATTGCAAATTGTCGCTTTCCATCGGATTTTTAAATGATATTTCATTCGATATAATTTCTTTTATCCGCTTCCTGATGAACATGCAACTTCTTTTTCCGCCTTCCCCACGCACTCTCTGTTACACGAAGGATCCTGGTTCTCCAAAACAATGCACTGTCTTATAAGTTTGCATCCCGAATCGTCTCTCTGCCAGTCAGACCATTCAGGTGGAGTACAAGCAGTACAATCAGCCGATTCTGAAGTCTGCTCGCTTATGTGATAGTTGGGATGTTTGTCAAGGAAATACATGTCGCATTTTGAAGATACGTGCCGACTTCGAGTTCGTTTGCCATTTTCTTTGCACGACGACCAACTGTTCCAATCGTGGTTTTTAATGGTTTCGACCAAAGGACAAGTTTGATACTCAATGAGTGGTTCAACGCAGTTGGCGTCGTTTTTGCACTCTCGTCTACGGCTTTGATTGCATATTCCTTCATGACATGTGCCCCAGCTCGACCACTCCGACTGACCAAGATTTAAAATCAGCGATCATTTCATTAACACTAAGAGATCATCAAATCTTTGTAGCCCTAAATATGCATCTTCAGTATTCATCATCTCGAATTTGAACCCAGTTCCTCTGTTATATTTGCAAGGTGCTGTCGTAAGTATTCCTCCGGCGATCCACTCTGTCATACAGTGAAGACTCGTTGATCTTCAGTTTGTTGAAGTTTATATTTTTTTATGTTTAATGCTTCTTACTTGGTTTTCTGGGCAGAAGAGATAACGTAAAGACCGGAATCAGCTCCGGCGTCGTCTTCGATGATTTTCCAGTAAGAATTTTTTGAAATATGGTCTTCAGATTTCAACTCGACGCCACTTTTTTGGACTAAGCGCAAGATTTTCGCTGCCATTTAAAACAAAAACTCAAAGACGATTTATTACTCCATTCCCATAGTTCTTCCAACGCAGATTTCTATTATTTTCTGACGTGAATATAAACTTTGTGGTGCTGCCTTGTTTGTCAGTCTTGCAGTTGACATACCATTTGAATCCTGGGCCGACATTTTGCTTGAAAATAAAACATGGAGAATCTACCTAGGCTTAAAAACTCACATCAATCAGTCGCGGACGCGTCCCGCCGAGATCGCCATTTAGGTATTTTTCCGAGTCTGTCTTTATAAATATCTCTTAATTTCTCGTATATTTGTTGGTTATTTCTCTAAAATTCTCTACCTTTATTACATAAATATGTCACATCAAAAGCTTTGCAAGTCTCTATAAAAAACCAAGACGAGAAAAGTCTCATTTTCAGGTTCAGGGTTGAGAAAAGGGACCTAGCGGAGAAATTAGAACTCAATGTTTGTTTAGATCAGAGAATGGAAAAGCCTAGAGAAGTCGAAGACTGAGATACGGTAATTTTTTTCGTTTCGAAATTTTATCCTGCGTAACGAAATAAATCTCTTTAAATCTATTTCAGCAATAAAATTGAAATAGTTTTGGAAGGTGTTGTGGTCTGAGAAACTTTAAGTTTATTTGTTTTGCATCAAATATGTTCTTTGTTTGTATTAAAAGCTTATACAGAAATGCTTTAGTCGACAGCTACATAGTTGCATTCTGTCTTTGGCGTGAAGTGTCGGTTCACCGCGGTCATTGGTTTCTTTGGAGGGTCCATCAAGGCAAGGAGGTTTTTGTAAGGACAAACTCGAAGAGCTGAATTATTTTAGCAATATTTCTTTTCGGAGAAAACTTACGTATACTCTGATATCGACGCACAAGAGGTTCGGGAGCAATGAGTTCGTGAGTGACTGGGAAAGTTGTAAGCAAAACAACGAACCAGACGATTTCGTTTTTCTTAATAAATTTTAATAAAAATCTAAGAGGACCATATCACCTCCTCTCGTCGCTCAATATTGATGACAGCAACAACTCCTTGAATTTCCAATAAAATTTTCTCCAATTTGTCTTTCTGGAGCCACTGAATTCAAATTTCTGATACTGAAATCAAGGAAGAGCACAGACCTCGAATTTTCTTCCTTCTACATTTCGCTCAAAAATTTGCGTTAAAAAGTATCCCCTTGCATTTCTATTCCGGTCCTCAAGTTGCAATAGTACTTTCAGTCTTTGCAAAAGTAGTTCTTTTTCACCATCTACCGGCATTCCTCTATAATTATTGAGTTATGAATACATAATATTTTGATGCCGTTACCGTATACGCATGTTGAATTGAAGATCTTCGTAGGTTAATATTGGCAAATTTTCAAAGTTCCCTCGTTTCAAAGCATTATTAAGACGATCAGGAGTGTTCGGATTATCATAACGCGGTCGCACAGCCCGTGCGGACGAGAACTGTCTCGGAGGTGGATTTCTATCTGTAAATTGTCTTGGCGGTGGTGGTCCAAGTTCTATGGCCACTGGCCTTGGCCCTCTAGGATCTACTTGTTGACCATATTTCGGAACCATTGGTTGCGGTGTGTGCCTATTAGCGATAAAAATTGTCATAAAATTCAGGTATACCGTTGAATAAATCGATTATCTGGTGTCCATTCTCTCTTGACTGGCCTCTCTGCTTTTGAGGGAGAAACTAGTGGAGCAGGACGATTTACAAAAGCAGGTGGCGGGGGCAAGTACGGAGCTGGTACTTCAGCGTTTACTTCTTGTTTGACATCCGCAGAGGGGGCGGTGAACGATTCAGGGGGAGAACGAGTTGCAGTGCCGCGAAGCCGCCTTGCCACTTGTTCATAATGTTCTCTTTTAAAGAGTTTTCTAACCATAAGATTTATTCTTAAAATGGCACGTCTTGTTCTGTCTCTGTTTTCAGCCAATACAGACGCTTGAATTCGAAACTCTGCCTTGAAGAACTATGCCTCTTTTTAGGCTCTTCGTCTTCGCAGAAGAACATATCACACACCTTACAGTAATATCCCTGCACATTAACTATCAGATGTTGAGCGAATGGCTCTTGATTGTATCCATTCAATTCAAGATCTAGTTCATCAGGTTTAATTGCCAATTCGCTCGGCATTGTCATTTTTGGACGCATAAAAGCAGCAAGCTGGTCAGCTACAGTGAAAGGATTGACGATGCCAGTCGATGAGCTCGGAGCCTCCTCATCGATTTCCCCTGGGATTTTGAATGTTTCACGATAATGAGTTGATTTGTTTGTAGACCTACAGATTGTAAATGCAGGTAAAGAAACAGATAAACTTACGAGAAGTCACTGATAATTCCTATCAAATCACCATCTTCATCAAAGTTTTCATCATCCAGGTTAACATCATCCGCAAAAGGATGGACAACCGTCTTCGTGACTTCCTGCTTCATTTCAAAAGGAGCAGGAGCGAATATGCGCTTCTGCATTCTTGGATGGGCCTTTCGGAAAAGAAATTCTTCTTTCGGTGCAGGCTTTACCGGCCGATTCACTTGTGGAGAAATCGTTCTTTTTGCTCTCGGATCGCGAGGGTCCATAGGTTTGCCTTCCTTCCGCTTCCTCCTTGAAAAGTGATCAAAAATGGAACAAAAAGAGAAAAGGGGACCTTCGTTCAGATTCGACTCTCTTAGCCTCATCTTCACTTTCCATTTTTTGTAGCTGTTGATTAAGGAAATTCAGCCTTTCCTTGATAGGATCCCTGCGCATCGATAACAAACAGTGAAATCATAAAGGAGTACAGCATCCTCAAAATCCGCTTCATGAAGTCTTTCTCGCGCAGAAGTAGAGAGGCTACCAATTTCACCGAAAATGTGTGAATAGAAGGTGACATAAAACGCCTGTTCAACGTCAGATGCCTGCGCGATCTCGGCCATTTCTGATTATTCAAGTGGGGCCATCTCTACTCGAGGATACTTCGAGGGTTGATGGACCCACTTTTCAGTATTTTCGGGTGCCTTTGCGGTAATTTTGAGTTGCTTTGAAAAAAGAAATATGGTTTGCGGAAAAATATTTTCTATCGATGTTCCTGACACTCATGATCTCAATGATCTAAGAACAGAAATACTCTGAAAGAATAAGAATTGATAGAAAAAGTTCTTTCAAGAGTTCATTAAGCTCGACGCAGTTTAGTTTTATATTCTACAGATGTAAAGGGGCACAGGAATAAAGCAGTGAAAGCAACTTTGGCACTTGAAAATTTTTTCTGAAATTCGGCGGAATTCTTCACGGACGGATTTCTCTGAATGCAGAAGTGGCTGGTCAAGAGGCCGCGGCAAATCAACAAATTAGACCTTCGAGTTGTTCATTTCACTTTGACTTTGCTCGATGAAGATTGCGAGGAGTATATTTCGCAGTATTCTTTTTTTCCAGCTCGTTGAGTCGCAAGAGAGAAGGTTCGGTGATCATCTAAAATGCATATTTTACTTCTTAGAACGTCTTTATTCACTGAGGAGCAAGCTCAGAGGCTGGTTGATGAGCACAATTACTATCGGCGATTTCAGAATGCTTCAGACATGGAAATGATGATTTGGGATCAGGACTTGGGTAAGTTTTTTTAAGAACTGAGTAATTCACCGTTAACTTTAGCGGATGCGGCTCAAGAATGGGTAGAGAGCTGCGAGTGCTCCGCATTATGTGAACATGGCTTTTCTCCTGATACTAGTGGTCGATACGGAAACAAGCCTTGGTTTCATCTTGGGTTCAATGACGAGCAAAGATTTGGACAAAATTTGTATTTTTCTTTTATGGACAACGAAACTATCACAAGTGACCCGATACGCCAGTGGCACGGGGAGATAAGAGCGTATAGTTATGGATCGCGAACTTTTTTAGGTAGTATAAATTTCATTCAAATTTGAATTTATTATTCTGTAAGCGCCTGAGCTTGGAAGGCAAACTGACGAACAGTGCCGACCTGGTGCAGTTTGTGGCCACTACACGGCACTTGTGTGGTCGACCTCGACTCGCGTCGGTTGCGGGTACACTTTTTGCGTGCGGAGAGCACTTTATGGTAAAAATAAACTAAGGTATCATGTTTGCGAGGGAATGACGAATGTCAATTGTCATTATGGCCCGCCTGGTAATAAGGGAATAATGCCCGTCGGAATTGGAAGGAAACCGTTTCGCAAAGGTGGGCAATCTTGTGAGGACTGTGAATCTGGCCATGGATGGGTAAGGAAAATCATCGAAGTGCTTGTTGTCTATTTTTAGTGTGATGATGGTCTTTGCATTGAATGTCCCGATGGAAATTGCGACTGCCCGATAGAATGCAAAAACTGTGGAATTCTGGACGAGGACACCTGTCAATGCATTTGTGCACCAGGATGGGATGGAATTGCGTGCCAAAGACCTTGCGATAATATGGAAGAATCCTGTGGAGCTAGCCCTGGAGTACCGCTTAGGTAAAGAATAGTGATAGACAATCTTTAATTTTCCAAGCATGGCTTGCACAACCGATGAATACCCACGATTCCCGAATTTTCTCTGCCGCCACGCTTGTGATTATTGTCAGTCTGTTGACCGTAAGAAACAAAGCTTACTGTGAGTTTTACATTTTATAGAGGCAACAACTGTGTCGTCACTTTGTTGTGGTGGAAAATTGTGCTATAATGAGGGCTACTTGGACGAAGAAAATTGTGAATGTGTTTGTCCGTATGGAGGGCGTTCTGAAGGTATTGATAGGTTTAAACTTGACCGAGGACAACTTAACTAAGACTGCAAGACTGAAGAAATGCTAACCACGAAAGCACCAGAACCTGATCGACAAAACAACTCCGAAAAAGGAGGAAAGTCAGTAGCTTCTCAACAAGCACATGATGATCCCGAGTCACAAAAACAGATCAGCGGCTGTAATGGGATGAAGTTCTCAGTTTTCATGGTCACTGTATCTTATTTGTTCGCATAGTCTGTTATAACTTATAAGTTATGACTCAATAAATTCTATTTTTCTATGAATTGGACTCATGAAAACGAATCGATGGCTGAACACGCCCTCCATTTTAGCTTGATTGAATCTCAACTTTGATGTTACTTTCAATTTCTTAATTGCGCCAAAGGCGCGGGATGAAGTCATTACAGAGTCCAAAAACGTAGGGCGAAAGAGAAATAACTTGGAATTATCATGTACACACCTTCGAGTTTCTCGACTTTTGGAAAATACGAAGATGATAAATATGAATCCGGAGGAGGTAAAACTAACTAAAACCCAATGATAGAAAGGCGGAATTCAGTTTCTGATTCGATGTACAGCTCGATGGGAGGTGATGTAAAAAGACCTTATGCTCCGCCAAGACCTCGACAAAAATTCACAAGCGTCTCTCAAAGCCACTATGAAAGCGATTACACGGACGACGGAGAATTCTACGCAGAAAACGATCCCTACGCTGGACATGAACGGTACATTCATTAATTAGTCTGAAATAACTTTTTGTCGCGTGGTAATCATCTCTTGAATATTTAATCACTAGCGGCATTATATCATATCATCCCGATGAGTACTACGACGAAGTATACAGCGATTCTCATTATCAGGTCAATTATGACATAATATAAACTTTTCGTTAAGAGCGCTAGAGAGCGGCAGAAAAATCAGACGGTATTCGACTTTTCAATTTTTATATTTAGGGCGGATTGCCGCCGCCACAAGCTGCGCACCCGAACCTTCACCACCAGTTATTGTTGTTAAAACTTTCATTTTTGTGACAGGCGGGCACACTCGACTAAGCGAACCGACATGACAGTCCATGTTGGAAATCAGCAGAGCTACGACAGGGAGAGTCTAAGGTTTGATCCAGAACGCAGAATGCGCGAAATATAGTAAGAGGTTTATTTCAGATCGCTCGAAATAAGAATCAACCCTGATAGAGAAAATTCTATTTATGCGAAAGCTTCTCAGCTGAGAACTCACATGTTTGAAGGGTTCGCAGTCCCTTCGCCTTTTGGCTTCGGGACTAGGTATAAAAGAGTTATCAACAATAGTCAGCACGTGTCATTTAATTCAACGAAGAATGCTTTCTCCCAAACTGTGTCTGAATCGAAAACCCGAAAACCAGCTCCTCAAACAGGTAAGAACATTATCATCATTTATTCTACCGCTGTTTAGGAGGAGCTATGGTGGCAACCGGAAACTTTATCATCATACTGATTATTCTCCTTTTACTATTGGTTGGATCATTAGTCGCCCTAACATTCATGACAATCCGATACAAAAAAGTACTCGAGAAAGGGCCGAAGATCACCAAAGAAGTAGTGAACAAGGTCAGATACAAAACGCTAATCGATGAAACCTGCGAGAACAAAGGTAACGCGCTACACACTTTTAAAGGCTTTAAAACGCACTATGCAGATTGCATTCGGACAGCGAACCACATTGTCTCCAATATTGACGCCGCTGTCGACCCGTGTGAGGATTTTTACGAGTATGCCTGCGGCGAGTGGTTTGAAAATAATCGAATTAGGAAAGGGTTTAACTTTTGAAAAGTCTTAAATTTATGATATTCAATTATTTTCTCCTTTGAAAGTGCGGGTGACTACAAATACTCAGTTTGGACGAAGATAGAACAAGCTAATGAAAAGCTGTTACACGAGCTTCTCATCCAGCCTGGCCCAGAACCAGAAGAGGACATGGCAATGGTTCGGAAGGCAAAGCAGCTTTATGAAGATTGCCGCCAAGAAAACGAGCTAACTCGAATTGGGCTCGACCCATTGGTACTCGATATAATGGCTCTGGGCGGGTGGCAGCCATTAGGGAACTGGGATAAGAGTCGCTGGGATTTTCAGAAACTCTTACTTGAAGTTATTGGTCTTCATTCCTCCAGTGCGCTCTTTCTGATCACGACGATGAGAGATCCGATTTTGACTGACCGATATTCCCTGGTTATCCGCCCTGGTGGTCTCACTTTGCCAGGGCTTAACTTTTACCTTCAATCCCACACTGATTCTGGCTACGCTCGGGGCAATGAAAAAGGACTGGACCAGTACACTATCGCATACAGAAAAGCTGTTGACTCGGTAATAAAACTTCTTGGAGGAAAAGGAGAACAAGATGTTGTTGACCAGATAGTATTCTTTGAAAGAGAGTTGGCAAATTTAACGGCGAGGGTTCCGTATGATACACAAAGGTTATCAGCTCAAAATTTGAACGAGATTCTTCCGTCAATTGGTAATTTAATTTATTCGTTTTGCCTTTAATAGTTATTCAGACTGGCCTTGGTTCATGAGAGAGCTAGTGGAGCTTGGAGGAATAAGCTTCGAAAATCTGGGCGAGCTAAAGATTTTAGTGAGCTCTGTGACCTACTTGAAGAAATTATCCATTCTGATCAGCGAGACTCCGGTGGAGACACTGCATAATTATCTTATTTGGAGAATCGTGGTGTCTAAAACTCCGTATCTGACCATGGATTTTCGTCATATCTTCGATAAGACGAGCTATGCCATTATGAGAGGCAATTTTACGGTAAGAAGTTAATGCGTTCCAAATTTACTTATACATATACTGACTTTGAAAATGGCATCTCTTGTTAAATGATGATTTTATAAGTGATATAAAAATAAAAACAGATACATATATTATGCATAAAGAGACATTGTCTGTTAGAATATTTTGATCTCGAAAGTCCTAAGCTATCAATCAAAAATAAGTTCGTCCGCCAACAAATTCTCTTCATTAAAATTAAATTCAGCCAAACCCACGATGGAAAACCTGTGTTAACGAAGTCGTCAGCCATTTTCCGCATACTATCGGATACATGTTCACACAAAAAACCTTCCCAAAAAGTGCGAAAAATAATGTCAAGTCAATTATCCAGATGCTGAAAGATTCATTTATTGAAAACCTGAAGAACATCACCTGGATGGACCCTCAATCGAAAAATTCTACTATTGATAAGCTGAACGCGATCAACTTTAAAATTGGGTACCCAGATTTTTATGACGAGTTTCCTGAGAAACTAGCAAGTCTGGTCGAGTTCGACGTCATCCCTGGGGATTATTACACGAACATAAGAAGATCTAACGAACATCGTGTGATGCTGAATATGAGACGCTTGCAAAGGTAAGCATCATCTATAATTATCTCTGCGAACTTTCTTAATCCAGTCCAATCGGTAAAGATGACTGGGAGTCGTCGCCTTACACTCGTGATGCTTACTACGCGGTCCGTGCGAACGAAGTCATCTTCCCCGCTGGTGTTCTTCAGCCCCCTCTCTACAGTCACAACAGCCCTTCAGCAGTCAACTTTGGAGCAGTTGGATCACTACTCGCGCATGAAATTTTCCACGCATTTGATAGCTACGGTGCGGGCTTCGATGCAGAGGGGAATTCGAAAAACTTGTGGACCGATGATACAACGAAAAAATTTCAAATCGATTCTTCATGCGTGAAAACTTCGTATCAAGACTATCTGCTTGAAACTGAACAGGTAAAATTGTTCAAAATCGCCAGTAGAAATGAAAGTTTCAGTCATTTGAAACGCAAGTATTGCAGACAACCCTTTTCGAGAACCTGGCGGACATGGGTGGCGTCCACATATCGAAAATGGCCTTCGATGAGTACAAGCGAATAAACAACATAAAAAATGAGATCGGTCTGCCAGGATTGAATGAGACAACGCAAGACCAGGTGTTTTTCATCTCCTTTGGGCAAGCTTGGTGCTCAAAAATGCCGTATCCAACTTATTTGGAACTGCAAATGAGACAGGATCCTCATGCGCAAGAAAGATTTAGGGTGGTTAGTTCGCTGAAACACGCAACGGACTTTTCGGATGCTTTTAAGGTTTGAAATTTACTCGAAAAAAGATCATGACAAATTAAGTGCCCTGCGGAATCGCGAATGAATGTGCCAGATGAAAAAAAATGTCGGATTTGGGGCTAGAAAATCTATTTCTTTCCATAAAAGACTGTAAAAATTAAAACAGGTTCCGAAATAAATTGAAATTCCAAAATAACTGGGTGTTGTAGTTATAAAATCACGTGATGTTTTTGAGGATGCATGAAATTCTCTAGAACAGGGATGGGATGAGCATATTTTGAAGATGAATACGATCAGTTAGGAAAAGTTCTTAAATGGACAGGGGTACATGGAACAAACGCGTTCGATATCAAGGAGGACCTAACGTAAGTGTACTCTGAATTTTTTTTTGCACAATACCATTTATTAGCGGTCTCAGCCGAGTAGTTCCACTACAAGGCCGCTGGTCAATACCGCCGGTCCAAGCAGACCGTCGTCTCACACAACACCCGGATCAAGTACCGCCACCGCGCCGCCCCAACGCCGAGTCCCTCCAGCAAGTGCCCGGCCTTTTGTTCCAAAAGATAGACCCCGACAATGGGCAAGCTCGATTCGCTCCGAAGCTGGATCCGCTGCTTCCTCAAGTAATTCTGATACACTGATTCCAAAGCAAGCTCCCTTGTCGAAAGCTGCTCAAATCAGAAAGTTCCTGGAGTCGCGAGGAATCATTATCGAAAATACGAGAAAATCACTTGGAGAGGGTTCTTTTAGCAAGGTAATATTGAAAACAAGAATCCTTCCGTTTACACAAAATTTAGGTCTACAAAGCTGTCCGTAATCGTACCAGCGAAATGGGCGATGTCAAAACTCCCGTAGCCGTCAAGATCATCGGTAAGGCATAACAAACTGTTCAAATCTTAACCGATTTTAGATCGAGCAAATCTAGCTGAAAACATGCGAGAACACTTTCTCCCGCGCGAGCTTGAGATCATTCGCGCTGTCCGCCACTCGAACATATGCCGCTTACATTTCATCATGAGCATGACTGACAAAAACACCGATAAAATTTTTATCGTAAGTACCCAACTCTTGATTATTCTCTGATAGCGCTTTCAGATATCAGACTTATACGGTGGCGGTGACCTCCTTGACTATATAATGGCCAAGGGGAAGTTCAGTGAGCCGAGATGCAGAAAGCTTTTCAAGGACATAACGAGAGCAGTTGCTTACTTGCACAAGAATGGAATCGCACATCGAGATCTCAAAGGCGAAAACGTTCTTCTCAGATTCAACGAAAAGGTAAACGATAGTGGCCGACAAAAAATCATATATTTTCTAGGAGAAACCTGACAAAGCAGTAATTACTGACTTTGGCTTCGCGCGACGTGTGGATCCCCAAACACGCTCATCAACCTTCTGTGGTTCCACAGCATACGTGCCTCCGGAAATTCTGGAGAACACGCCCTACCATCCCTTTATCTCAGACTGCTGGAGCCTGGGCGTCATTTTGTACATTATGATCTGCGCGTTTATGCCCTACGACACGAAGGATACACGAAAAATGATCAAGTGCCAACGCGGAAAGATGAACTTCTATCACATGCAGGGACAGATCATGCCCGTCATTGAAAATCTCATCTGGTAAGGAACTTTGGGAAAGAAAAAAATTCATAAAAACTAAGCCGACTGATGAACCCAGACATCAATACGCGAATCACCGCTGAAAAAGCTCTTGAATCGCCCTGGCTGAACGGAGTCCGGCCCCCACGAGCGAAACGCCCAAGAATTGAAAATGCAACCAATAACATTCAAATTGGTTAAATAACCCTTCCTATCATTCTTTCACTCTATTTTTCATTCTATATCTTCAATTCTGTACTCGATTCTATTTTCATATTTACCTCAATTCTATTCTGATGGACGATGTTCTTCATGAATCTTCTTCGTAATATATTCTAAAAAATAAAGTTTCAATTCATTTGATCCGCGCGTTTTGTGTTGATTTTTGCAATGGAGAGGAAATGCAACTGAATTTAGTGCAAGCAGGCTTTAGAAAATGAGACCTTACATCCGGATGAGTCATGTGTTGAAGACATAGAAGACTCACACGAATAGTTAGTCCGGGAATGTTATCGTAAATGAGGAATTTCTTTATTCACAAAATTAAGGAGACATGTAATTGGGCAGTTGAAGATTTTTGTTTCAATGAACTTATAAATGATGGTCAGTGTCAGGAAGACGGAACTCAGAGAGAACTTTACTTTCAATTTTCTTGCAGCCAAAAGCCGAGAAGATCGGCGTATCTTCAGGGAAGAAGATTACTTCTTTCTCAATTACGTCGATCATTTCGTCGAGGTCGTCGTACCCGAGCATAGAAGGGTTGCCGCCTTTGTTCAGGTAGTTAGAGTAGATGGAGTCAGCGATGCATTTTCGCACGTGTTTTCGTTCCAAAGGCAGAAGTGGAAGGTGGTAGTCAATTAAGCCTCGTTTAACAAGAAGAGAATCGTGCATCTGTAAGAGGATAAACAAAGATTCAACGATTAACATCTAGAATCGCTATTTTAAATTGTTTCATCCTTTCATCGATCCATCTTCGCTCAAAATATACGGCATAAGAACCTCGTCCGCTCTGCGCAAGCTGATCGTTTCGCGATCCTCTCCATTCTCGTATAAATCTTGCGCCCAGTCGACCACTGGCTCATCGCCTTCGTACAGAAAAACGAAGATACTTCTTCCGATTTTCTTCGCCGCAGGACTTCCGTGCGCCATGAAGTGCATCAATCCGTCTAGAAGTCCTGGCGGAAATCGACGCGCTTCATCGAAAACGAACAAATTTTCGCCGCATAAAGTCGAGTTCCCTAAGCATCTCTTTACTCATCCTGATAAAAATAAAAAGCTACCTTCGATCCATGATTGCATGTCTGCAATATGCAATTTCAAATTGTCCTCACTCGTGAAATGATACGCGCTCGTCATATAATGAACAAAAACCGATTTCGTTCCAGCAGTAAACATCGAGTTCGCCAGTGTTCTGGTTATATAATTCTTTCCTACTCCTGTTGGTCCGTGAAGCATCATTACTAGTGGCTTGTCGTACTCTTTTTGAGGGTCACTCCAGCGATTTCCAATAGCGTTTAGCAAAATTCGCGTGGCGAAAGGCTGCCCATAAATGCTATCTCTGAGATTTTCGCGGAGCTCAGTCTTATTTCGCTTTATCCACCTTAACGTCTTCTTAAATTCTGTTCACTGTCATTTTTTCACCTATCGTTGCAACACTCATAAGATGTACACTCCATGTACTCGTATAAAAGAAGACCAGCAGGAGCCAGCGCGGCTACTCCAAATTTTACCGCGAAAGGAATAGCCGGCAATAGCGCCGAACAAAACCCTAATAATCCCAAAATAACCGCTCCGATTTTCATTCTATAAATTTCAATGAAAATAGCAAATTATAATCAGGCGAGTAATTGATTATCAGTAGTAATCAGAATATTAGTTAGAAATTGATGGTTTGACTCTCTTTTTTCTCTCGATCTATGCAGCAAGTTGAGTGAGCGGTCGGCGCGGAGAAAAAGCAAGGGCCGTTTGACCGGTACTCCTATTGGGTAACGGCACGAACGGTTGGAGAGGTTACACAGGTCAAAAACAAGATCGAACCATCAAAATCTAGGAGGCTTGGCCCTGTTTCTTTTCCCATTGCGCAGGTGTGTATGATTTTTGGGAGAAGGCATGGAGACGAGCAATCTGCTCGGAGAGAGCTTCATTGACGATCTTATGCTTTTCTAGGGTTTTCTTTCCTTCGAAGATATCCTAAAAATAATTAATATTAAGCATGGCGGTGGAGATATCTACAGAAACAATGATGACTTGATAAGATGTTCCACATGTTCCCAGATCATCCACTTCGCAATGGACAGGATTGAACTTTTCCATGATCACTTTTCTCATATCATCTGAACTAAACATCAATAGAAGGCTCTTCTTCGAGAAAAAAACCTTGAGTTATCTCTGTCTCCACGGCGCCACATGATTTCGTCGCACACTTTTCGCTCATTCTTAGATAGAATGTGTCAACTTAAAAGTTTGTTACTTGTATTTTACTTCGGTGAGGAGACAATTACACTAAATGTTTTAAAAAAGGAAGATTGCACGGACAAATTCATAAAATCAAAGTCATTGTTAGCAAGAAACTATCAGCTACTATTGAACTCAAAAGAGTGCGAAATCTACTTGGCGCCCCATCCGAGCCAGCCGCCAAGTCTTCCTGTGATTCCTTTAGCTTCGGCGGACTGTTTCTTCTCCACTTTATCTTCGAGATTCGGGAAGTCAAAGACTAAATTGACGGTGAGACGCATTCTAGAGGTAAAAGAAGCGAACCTTTGTCTCCGGCGATGTCAAAAAGTGTCGCTTTCGCGGGAATCGGCTTCAACGCAGGAGGGAATTCAATTGTCCCGAATTGAGCGCCGAAATCGCTGAGATTCTTGAGCACGTTTTCTTTGTCGAATGAGCTGTCTGAAATTTTTCGGTGAGGGGAGAAGGCTCCTGTTCCCGAATACCTTTTTGAGTAGACTGAGTTGCGGGGAGTACAAGCGCAGCTTGAATTGAAGAAGAGAATGATTGAACTTGAGAGGAGATCGATGAGTGAAGAGTTCTGGTTGCTTCGCGTTTCGGCTCCGACGCTTCAAGACATTGACGAGCTTTGAGAGTCAATGCGCCTGCTTCTTTTAGTTTTCCCATTTCAAACGCCTTTCAAAATCGTTGAGCATCCGTGATCTACTTAAGATTTTACCTGTTGGGATTGGTAGTATCTACAGGCAGCCAAATACGTGTTCTTTTCTGAGTCGAGCTCATCTCCAAGCTCAGAGTTATCAGCTTCGTAGCATTTCTTGATGAATTCAGAAATATACTGGACAGTTTGCTCGTAAACACGAGAGAGCTCGTTCATTTTCGATGCGTTTGAGGCAATGATTCCATATCGACCTGAAACATGTTAAAAAGAGTGCGTCGAAAAACGCCTTACCGAGTGTAACTTCCAACTTGATATGGTTCAAATAAAGGAAAAGATCATTCTGCGGTGTCTGACCCTTTTCAATTACAGTTCTATGAGCAGCATCAAGTCTAAGCTCCCCTTTGACTGTGTCGATCGCTTCTCCAGCTTCCATCAGCATTTCTACGTATTTATCCTGAAGCTCTTCCGCAGCAATATCGCCGATCCCATCCATGAACTCGCGATAATTGAGCAAAAAGACCCGGACGGACTCGTTTTTCACTGCAATCTTTCTTCCACGCCACTCGGTTACGTTCAAATTTTCCGATTCTTCTATTTTCAACTTGGCCAAGTGCTCCGAAACTTTTCCATCGATCAGCTGGTTGCCTTTGCCGATAAAGTCCTGCATCTTTGCTCCATCGGATGACTCGTTCAAATTGTACTGGCAGTAGCGGAGAGAAGGCTCGATCTCTTGCGACGCCTTGGAGTACACTTCTGCTTCATCAGCTGCTAAAGTTCCAGCGAGAGAATTGTAAATCGTTTGCGCGGATTTGAACTTGGCAAAGCAGACAGGCCAGTCTTGCTGCTCGAACGCCCAAGTGGCGGTGATAAATGCACAGTAAGCTTGGACTTCGAGTGTTGTTCGCGAGTCGCATTGATCAGCAATAGATTCGAGGAGGGATGTAAGTTCGTTAGCTTTCTTGGAAGCTTTTCGGAGCTTGTTGCGCATGTGATGCCGAGAGCGAGCTCCGTCGTCGTGCTAGAAAAAAAAGGTGTAAAAATTCATGACTGCTGTTCGTTTACCTTGAGCTCCATCGAGTAGGCCCAATCCTGCTCGATTCCCATGATGCATAAGTGGACGAAAAGAGCATTCTGCTTCGCTTCATATTCAGTGACTTTTCGAGGCACAACGCGTTTCTTTTCGCCCTGGCGAAATTTCAGAAACTTGCGAATTCGTCGGCAACGGTTGTTGCAGTAACGACGGTAGCGCTGATAATCGCGGTGACGGAGACCATGTTCTTGCTGAGCGGCTTTGAGCATTTGGAGGACTAGCGGTAATTTATCAGCGAGAGAACAAAATTTAAGAAGTTACCTGGAATATTGTAGAGTTGAATTTCCTCAGCTTCTGCATCTTCAACGACTTGCACCTTCTCCGCTGTCATTCTAAAGGACAGAGATAAGGATTTTTCAGCAGATTTACCGATAGATCCTCAAGTTCGAGCGTAATCTTTCCCGTTATCGCGAACGGTTTTGATAAAATCTAAGGCGCCCTTGAGTTCGGTGGCAGAGTAAGTTCGAAAATTTGTTTCAATCATTACTGAGCATTAAAAATGAATTACGGAGCATTAAAAAGAGACTCGAGAAGCCGAAAAGAGTACAGTATGATCTTGAAGATGCAAGCTCTTTTGGCCGAGCTCGGCCAGAATCGTCAAAATGGAGATGTTTTCTACTTCTCCAGAGATTATCCCGGATTCCGAAGATATGCTCGAAAAGAAAACGACGTTTCGATTTTGATGACAGACTACGTATTTGCTGCTAAATTTCTCTCAATTTTGTACAGAAAACAAAGTCCACCCGCTATTGGAACGAGGTTCATCACTGACAACCGGATGAAAATCTTTATAAAACACCTTGAACAGCTCAAGAAAATTTCGACTATTATCGGCCGAAGCAAAGAAAAACTCCAAAATTTTGGCGAAAAAGTGGAAAATTTGATCAAAACCAAGTTGCCCAAAGAAAGCACTAAAATTTGCCCAATTTGCTTAGCGACCTACGATAGTGAAAATAAGCAGCATTTCTGCTTGTCATCTTGTGGTCATCTCTTTTATACTCCGTGCTTCAACAGGCTGGAAACTCTGAGGCGACCGATTGGCAAGAAAGATGTTACAAAAAGAAATAGTGTCAAACCTTATCTTGAAACTCATTTCTAAAAGCTCAGGTATTTTTCGTATAAAATCAGTGAATTAATTCGTAAAATTAAGTATGCGAGTCAACTTCAAATCGTCTCACCAGAAATGGATTTTCAATCGACATGGCATAGACTGCACATAAATACCCTCCTGTAAAAATTTATTTAACTTAAAAATGTACATTTTCTATCTAAACATTGTGAATATTACTGTTTTGTATATCCTTCTAAATGTAACCGAAATAATATATGACATGTCCACTTGATAAGTTGTTTTGGCACTTATTCGTAAAAAAGGGGTCAATTTCAATAAATATTAATTTATTTGAATGAAGGCACACGCTTGTTTTTTGTAGCAGCAATTATACAAAAAAGAAAAGCTTGAAACTGATAACTGAAGGTTTTTGAAGTTAAAGATGAACGTAATTGAAGAATAAGGATTTGAGCAGTGAGAAGTGCGTCTGTTGGAGGCCAGATAAATTTGGAGATACTTTGAAGTCGGGTATTTCTCGTAGCTCTTCGAGTTTTGAATTGAAAATATCGTAAGATAATAGAAGACTGTCCCCTCCCCAGCGAGGCGTTCCGAGGAAGTTTAGGGTAGGAGTTTTCGCATTGCTAGAATGTCTTTTATTTACGATTCGGACTTGAAACTTACCTTAGACTTGGAAAGACAAATGCTTCAAGAGGGAATGTAACTTGCTTCAAAAAAGCATATTCTGCGAGTAAGCAAACATCCGTCTTAGAGACACAATCCTGTGACGATTCTTGAGATGTAGCCAAGGGTTGAGGGAAGAATTTCGAGGCTCTTTTCATTTTTCCATTTTCTCTCGTAATCGGCAAGTTTCCAGTCAGCACCAATTGCTCCAAGCTGAGGTCAAGCTTTGTCGCCGTTGAGATTGAGAATAAACTGCTGTCACTTCTGTTCGAATAGAGGTTTAAACCTTGTTGGACGTCGGAGAATGTTTGGAATGATAATTTCATCGTTTGTGGCAAGATTCGCGAGGTCATCCTTTTTGTGCGTTCCAAGTGGTACAAGTGTGATCAACTCGTCTGGTTCCAGGGATGAGATTTTGCAAGCGTTTCGATGTGGATATTTCCCGCCAATTACGAGCAAGTAGAGGGCATCTGAACTGATATGTGTGCGTATGGTTCTTTGGCGCCTCTCAACCGATTTTCGCGAAAAGAGATCCACCAGGCACAAGTTCGCGCCCGTGTGATGCTCTGCTCTGATAATTGGACAGCTGAAGTGCTCCCAGCTGTCTGAGTTCTTGCTGTGTCGGCAACTGTAGAAGTCAGAAATATATTCATTCCAATCGATTTTAGAACATGAGAAGCGGATAAAGTCCATACCCTTGGCTGGCCCTTCCTCACCCGCGGAGTACTTGCCGTAACCGCCAATGATGTAGATAAAATCTCCGGCGCTCTGGAGTTAGGTGGCGAATTTGTTCAAGGTTTGAACAAAATTATCTTCATAAACGAGCAATCGAAAATATTGCCACCTTTCCTGATGATGAACTGTTTGAACTCCCGCATTCCACACCCTTCTTGGCAAAGCAGGGAGCGAAAACCACACAGCATACGTAACAGAATATGCCCAAACTGACTTTTTGAGCTCTCCTCCGAAAAATATCAGCATGGTCCCGAAATCTGACTGTAAAGGCACCATATGGCCAGCATCGCCGGGAAAGTTCATGTCGGGAATTTCAGTAATGAAGTTGAAATCTTGGTAATAAGGGCTTTGTTGATAGATACACGGCTTGTTTATTGAATTTCGCGCGACCAAAAAGATTTTTTCGGGAAATCGCGGGTTCGATCTGAAACCATTCTCACCAGAAAAGAGTGCATCCCAGCACTTCACCGTTTCAAGACCAAGTTCATCCATGAGCCAGGACCAGTGCTCATCATTTTTCCAATTTTTCGGGGGCGTTTCAGTCACATAAGTCGACATTGACGTGACAAGGCGTGAGTAGTTCTCGTCGTCGTCACTCATATTTGCGTCAAGCCACTTTTTAACGCCGGAAATGATCGCACGGTCGTCAAGAATATAGAGGGTAGTCCTTCTAATGATCCTGCGGAGAAGAGTCTCGCTCAGCTGCACCCATAAACGAGATTCGATTGCTGAGGTGAAATGAACATCTATGAAGTCGTAGAGGCGATCAGTGTTGAATACGGGCAGTTCGAAGATTTCCTTCATGCCGATAATATATAGGGCAAAGTCAGGATCGGTTTCGTTTTCGCAAAAGGTCTCAATTACTTTTTCCATAACCCTCGGCTCCAGTAGAAATACTCCAAGACTAAAGACCTGTAGATAATCATGAATCGTTTCTGGAATGCGACCTTCTTTTATGTCAACAGCTACTTTGACCGCCTGGCTGTCAAAAAGTGGCAGTTCGACTTCCGTTTCGTTCCAACATCTCCTTGCCCAATTGAAATATTGAATTCCAGTGAGCGATTCATTCGGCAGCGATAAAACGCAATCGGAACAAATGACAAACGTGGTTTGGACTTCCCCCTCTACGTCTTCGTAAATATCGGAAACGCAATCAGAGAAGGTATCTCCGTCTGAGTCATATTCTAGCAACTGTTTCTTTTCAACTTCTTCAACCCTGTCGATGTGTCTATAAATTCGTTCGTTAACTTTCGCGACATTAGAGATATCCTCATTGTTGATTTCAACATAAAGGATGCCTGCTTCATTTTCATTCCTCTCTCCTCTCTTTTCCTCAAGTGCTGGAGTCGGACAGTAGTAATTTTCATAATTCAACGGCCAAACAGCAAACGAGCCATTCATTGACTCATCGAACGCGCACCACCAGGTTCCGATCAGCACGGCGCCTCGAAAACTTCCCTTATACTCGATGGTAAGGCCTGTGCTGAGGTAGTTTTGCGAGAAACGGAAGTTTTCACGTCGGAAGGCAGTGCGAGGGTGTATTGAGAACGGCTGGTCTGCATCAATTCCCAGGCCGATTACTGAAGGGATGAACTGGAATCTAAAACCAACGGTTGAAAGATAGAACTTCAAGTGAGTTTACCTGGCTTTTATCTCTGAGTGCCCAACATCAATCATTTCTCCATTATCCAACGACCTACCAAGCGCAAATCCCTTGTATTCAATAAAATCCTGATAAGCAAGCAGCGCCATTTCAAATGGAACGAAAAACGCTTTTGGCGGAATTTCAAGCGCCGCTGATTTCACTTCATTTTTACACAAACTTCTAAAGCCAGGGAGCATTCGTGTTCGATAAGCAGCAATGATATTGATGACGTTGAGGTCGTAGTTTTTCAGATTATAGTTGAGGAGGAAATTAAGGGTGTCTTTCACTTCGGTTGGCAGCGAAAATAGTCTTTTTACTTCTGCCTTGACTTTTTCAACAGCAGCATCAGGTGGAATAGCGGGATCGAGAAGCTTGTCTACTAATTTTCCAGCGGCTAAAAGAGAATTAAGTCGAAAGAAATAAGCTTTTCCAAACCTAAATTAGATCTTTTTAAAAATTCGAATCGTTTTCCAAAATACTCCAATACTGTCAACATAAACGCGTCGTGTCCGTAATCATAGCTCGTTTTAGCCGGCTCATTTGGATCTGGCAGCTTTTTCCTCACAGACAGAATCAAGGTGCTCATTTTGATAAAGTAATCTGCCGGGTCGTCCATGGTCAGCATCATTCGCTGCTCATATCTGTTCGCTTCTCGTCGAGGAAACTTTGTTCCGATGCATGAGAGGAGATAAGAGAGCTCATTTTTAAATCGGTCTCGGATCCCAGAGTCGATTGATTGCCGCATTCTAGGTGAAGAAATACCATTCCATGAGAAAATGACACTGAGGTTCTTGATCTAACAAGAACTCATAAGGACAGAATTCGTATTTGAACAAGAGGCAAATTCCCTGTCAATCAGGATTACAGTCTTAAGCTCTTTGCTCGTACGAACTTGAGAAGTTTCTCAAGAAGCTGTAAATCAACAAATAATTCTGGAAGTTCCAACTTTTGAAGCATCTTTCCCAACCCTTTTCGCAGTCAATAAAAATCGAAAAGCCAGTTCTATCGGTATCGAAGAAACAGTACACTAAGCGGAAAGTAGGTTTATTTGATCGGCAGCCGTCGTAATTCGACAAGATTGGCAAAGTCACCGCGTTGTTAGTTTAATACCTACTACCTTTCTTCTATTCCGGAAGTTGCAAAAAAGCGCAGCCACCAAAGATCGCGCGTGAGTTGAAAGGTAGCTCAAACTTCACTCAGTGCGCTCCAGTCGTATTTGGTGTTCACACGTCGCGCACGCGTTTTTTACTTTTTTCAAAATTACACTTCCTCAAAACACAACCGTGCCATAATTTTCAGAGCTTTTTACGAAACAGAGTCACATCATACACTGGTAAGAGCTTTCAGAGAAACCCCAACCGATAGATACCTAACCCTTTAATCTAATCTCGGACTTATATCGTGAAAAGGCTCCTTTACAATCGTAAACCCTCCACCTGATGATATTCCAAGCAAGAAAACTATTGTACAGCAAATACAGCACTTCAAAGAAAATGAATTTTGTAGAAAAAAAAGGAAAATCAATAAAGTCCGACTGCAATTAGAACAGTCGTCTCTAAATTAAAAAGAAAACACGGCCCGTCCATAAAGTAAATCAAAGATAATTAGCCCTGCAAGTGATTAAATCACTCCTTCAGACAAACCTGGACTTATAATTATCCCTCAATTTATAGGGCCATTTGAAGATGAATCTTTCTGGAATTCGCATTTTGAGAAAGTAGACGGTTTTTCCTGATTTTGAGCGGCAACTACGCTTGAATCAGTCCCTGTTATTGTTTCCGAAATATCTTAGATGCACCTGTCAAGACATATCAAATGGATATGCAGTTTAAAGTGCTTATGCTTATCGCTTGATTGCTCCGATCAAAATAAGCAGAATCTAATGCGCGTGTTGAGTGTGTGTTCCAGACGAGAAATTACTCCTTTCCTCCCCTTTATTTTCATTCATTTTCAATTTAGAGAGAAAATTGAACGGAGCGAAAAAACGAGTTTTTCATACGAGAAGAAAGAAAGGAAACAGTTGAAATCATGGAAGAGAACGACTTTCAAATCGACTCGCTTACAGCCCTTGAAAATTTGGTTCAAGAAGTTGGGTAAGATTCTGGATCAAAATTTGCTCAGGGCTAATCTCCTTTCTTCAGTAAGGACCAAAATCATCCCTGGCACAAGATCGAGGAGGTGTTTGAAGACTTCCCAGATTACTAGGCTCAGTTAACTGATCTAATCGTGATCTTCATTCTTGGGGCTCAAGAAAGATTGAAGATGCAAATTCTCTCGATGAAAAAATAAAATAACTCTCTGCTCAAGCGTACCTCAATCATTCCCTCCCTATAATTGTAAATCTACTGTATTCACCCCGAGAAAAATAAAAACAAAACTGTTCACGTTCTTGTTCGTTCTCGAGTTTATGAATTGCACCTTTTTTGGAAACAAGGGAAAAATGAATAAATTATCACAAGAATGAGCAGTAAGGTAAGATACAGTTACAGTAACGAAAGGAGAATTTGTTCACAATGTTGTAGGCTGCGGCATTTGAAAAATTTTCTGCGTGTCGTAAGGTAAACAATCTAGCATAATAGTGAATGATTTTAGATCACTAAAAGCTACCTTTTAAATGTTCCATTTGCAAGATAACACCATTTTTCAATCTAAAAAGCTTAAGCTGTTCCAGATCTTTGACTTTCTGCTTCATTTGTAAGAGTAAATCCATTATTTCAACTTCAGTCTTGTCCTCTGCCCAGCCGAGAACGTCTGCTTCAGACGTTGCTTCTGCGTGTAATTCCTAAAGCAAGTTACAATCTGTCCACTAGAAACAGTCTCTTTACCAATATCTTGTCTCTCATTTCAATTTTCTTTCGCTCCAACCATCCGAAGAAATTCGGTCTTCTGAAAAACTCCCGATACAGTGATGTCCAGTCGCCAGTTATTGACGATGTCAATTGGGGTCCCGATCGACTCAAGCTTTGTAGAAATGTTTTCACCTAAAAGAATTGATAGGAAAGGGGAAAGTAAAGAGGGGGAACTTCGAAAGGATGAGGCGGAGGAGGAGGTTTAAAAGGGTCGATTTGCTTTTTCAATGGCATAAGCGAGGAGATGTATCTTTCCAGGGGAAACTCAAAGCTTCTCGTCAGCGTTGCGAAATATCTAAAATTCGTGAACAGAGGGCCCTTGGATTAGACAACAAACCTTCTGATCATTGCAGAAGCAACTTCAGGTGGCCTTCTGGTGTTACTTAAAACATTCTTCACGACTTTTTCTATGCTGGCCTTGTCCTTGTCCAAATAGCCAGTATGTTTTGAAAAGAAGCCAGGATTGAGTTCGAGCGTTTTGATCTTGTCCAGAGATTTAGTCTTCTTGGACATCTTGTCGTTCAAACCACCGCATTTCAAAACGTGTGGCCACTAGAAAAAATGTGTGGGTTTGAGAGAGTGAAATAGTCTTTTACCTTGGTAAGAGTTTTGCAGAAAAATGGATTCGTGACGCCAAGCATAAGCCCTTGGCGCCGTTTATTTTGATCGGTTGAACTGTCGGAATTATTGGTGAATGGCTGCGTCAGATCTTTGAAGTCAGAGTCGTGGATAGTAAAGTAAGGCCGCATTTCGTTACAGTAATGAAACGGCCTTATGAGTGAGGTAAGCCCTAGAACAGCTTGAGAGCACTGCTCAGGCGTCGCAGAGACGACCAGAAGTGGCTCACCAAGAAGAGTTAGCTCCCAAAGAACACCAAGATGATAGAAGGCGGTGTAGAGAGGACGGTAGAGATCGAGATCGGATATTTGAGGAATAAGAGTTGTTCCGCGGCTTGGAGCCATTGTCGGAAGGAGTTGATTGGACTCGACGGAGCTGTAGATTCGATTTTATTTTTCGAAATCAAGGAAGATAATATCTCACCGAACAGTTTGCGCCTCTCCGTACGCTGGCAATCTGACTCGCAGAACACTTCCTAAAAAGGGCAACTCCATCGTTTCACCCGCGATGGGACTGGGCCATCTATTAACCGCAGCCGCCATAGATTCTAGTGCCGCTTCTCCTTTGGAAAAGAACTCGGGCGCGGTGAGATCGATAATGTGTCGGAACAAGTTGTGGAATGGTAATTGAGATAGGATGATAACTGCTTTTTGATAAAAGCCACGGTGGATGCTTGCATCGCGTACTTGGCGGAAAAAGGCAATGCCGGAGAAATGACGAGTTTCTGGCTCGAGGTAACGCTCGGACTCGTTGCGTAAACGCTTGTGGATTTTTAACACGGTTGGATTTGTTTCTTTGCTGTGAAAGGGGTTTATTTTCAGAATTAATGAGGTAGCATCAGCTCTCGCTATGAAACATTTGCAAGGAATGTCTAAGAAGCATTTTATATACTAAATTTTGAAAACTGAACAGGCTATTTAGAATACAGTCGGAGTCCAAAATAAGGGACACCAAGATAAGGGACTTTTTGGCTCAAAATGCCGAAAATCAGCGGCAGAAAAAAATCCAATTTAAGGGACTTTCTGAGATTAGTAAGCTCTTTCGGTTAGCTGAGAGCCAATAAATGGTATCAATAACCTTGATTTCAATCAGTTTTGCCGCAAACTGAAGTGATTTCCCTTTCAGTATATGGTTTCCTCTTTCAAAAATGTCATAAAAGCCACAAAAACAATGACTTCAGCTTATTTTGCCGCAAAAAATATATTTTGAAAAAATTTGGCAGCGACATATTTTTTGCTTTGATGACCCAATTTAAGGGACTTTTTTCAAAAATTTTGGAGCAAAAAAAGTCCCTTATTTTGGACTCCGACTGTAGCTGTAAAAATTTTGGCCTTCCGGACCCATATATATGCCCAAAACATCTAAGAAATTGTGATAAGAATCGAACCTTTTCTTATTTGATAAAAACTGGTTTGTTCCCGATTATTTCAACCCTTTCCTTTGACGAATAGCAAGTCTTATAAATAGGGTCCACGCTCAAAAAATAAAACTTTTTAAATATTGCTTTTGAGGTCTTTTCATCAACATAAAAGATGAAGATCTCGAAGAGCTGAGTAAAACAAGCTAAATTTCAACCCGAAATGAAAAAGGGTTGAGGAGTTATGAAGAAAAAACACCCAAAAAACCATGAAGAACGGCTCTTATAAAATTTTAATTAACACAGGCGAAATCGTAGCCCTTTTTTAACCCCAAATCGACCAATTTATTTTTGGAGGATGAAGTTTTTTCCCAGCAATCCCGTAAAAATGGCCCTAAAAAGGCAAAAATCAGCGGCGCGCAGCTCGCTCAGCGCGCGATGGCCTAGGGGCATCGCAAGGGTGGCCACGTCGAAACTTCTTTAAAAATCCATTATTTTACAAATAAGGATAATTACACTAATGAAATTAAATAAAATCTTAACTAGAAATCAAATGAATAAAAAATAAACTCATAATAAAAATTTTTGAAAAATAAAAAAAGAAGTATTTCTTTATTTTTGTAAAGACCATAATTATATAAAATAAATGAACGATAGGTCTAACGTAAAATACGGGTGTGGGTGGGGTTGGGGACAAAGCTTGACTTAATGAAATGAGCTAGGTAGAGGCCCCGGCCTAAGTCAAGCCCATTTAAATTTAAAAGCCAGGGATGGGGCTGAGACGGCCCGAAGGGCCGTCAAGCCCATTTAAATTTAAAAGCCAGGGATGGGGCTGAGACGGCCCGAAGGGCCGTCAAGCCCATTTAAATTTAAAAGCCAGGGATGGGGCTGAGACGGCCCGAAGGGCCGTCAAGCCCATTTAAATTTAAAAGCCAGGGATGGGGCTGAGACGGCCCGAAGGGCCGTCAAGCCCATTTAAATTTAAAAGCCAGGGATGGGGCTGAGACGGCCCGAAGGGCCGTCAAGCCCATTTAAATTTAAAAGCCAGGGATGGGGCTGAGACGGCCCGAAGGGCCGTCAAGCCCATTTAAATTTAAAAGCCAGGGATGGGGCTGAGACGGCCCGAAGGGCCGTCAAGCCCATTTAAATTTAAAAGCCAGGGATGGGGCTGAGACGGCCCGAAGGGCCGTCAAGCCCATTTAAATTTAAAAGCCAGGGATGGGGCTGAGACGGCCCGAAGGGCCGTCAAGCCCATTTAAATTTAAAAGCCAGGGATGGGGCTGAGACGGCCCGAAGGGCCGTCAAGCCCATTTAAATTTAAAAGCCAGGGATGGGGCTGAGACGGCCCGAAGGGCCGTCAAGCCCATTTAAATTTAAAAGCCAGGGATGGGGCTGAGACGGCCCGAAGGGCCGTCAAGCCCATTTAAATTTAAAAGCCAGGGATGGGGCTGAGACGGCCCGAAGGGCCGTCAAGCCCATTTAAATTTAAAAGCCAGGGATGGGGCTGAGACGGCCCGAAGGGCCGTCAAGCCCATTTAAATTTAAAAGCCAGGGATGGGGCTGAGACGGCCCGAAGGGCCGTCAAGCCATTTAAATTTAAAAGCCAGGGATGGGGCTGAGACGGCCCGAAGGGCCGTCAAGCCCATTTAAATTTAAAAGCCAGGGATGGGGCTGAGACGGCCCGAAGGGCCGTCAAGCCCATTTAAATTTAAAAGCCAGGGATGGGGCTGAGACGGCCCGAAGGGCCGTCAAGCCCATTTAAATTTAAAAGCCAGGGATGGGGCTGAGACGGCCCGAAGGGCCGTCAAGCCCATTTAAATTTAAAAGCCAGGGATGGGGCTGAGACGGCCCGAAGGGCCGTCAAGCCCATTTAAATTTAAAAGCCAGGGATGGGGCTGAGACGGCCCGAAGGGCCGTCAAGCCCATTTAAATTTAAAAGCCAGGGATGGGGCTGAGACGGCCCGAAGGGCCGTCAAGCCCATTTAAATTTAAAAGCCAGGGATGGGGCTGAGACGGCCCGAAGGGCCGTCAAGCCCATTTAAATTTAAAAGCCAGGGATGGGGCTGAGACGGCCCGAAGGGCCGTCAAGCCCATTTAAATTTAAAAGCCAGGGATGGGGCTGAGACGGCCCGAAGGGCCGTCAAGCCCATTTAAATTTAAAAGCCAGGGATGGGGCTGAGACGGCCCGAAGGGCCGTCAAGCCATTTAAATTTAAAAGCCAGGGATGGGGCTGAGACGGCCCGAAGGGCCGTCAAGCCCATTTAAATTTAAAAGCCAGGGATGGGGCTGAGACGGCCCGAAGGGCCGTCAAGCCCATTTAAATTTAAAAGCCAGGGATGGGGCTGAGACGGCCCGAAGGGCCGTCAAGCCCATTTAAATTTAAAAGCCAGGGATGGGGCTGAGACGGCCCGAAGGGCCGTCAAGCCCATTTAAATTTAAAAGCCAGGGATGGGGCTTTTCTCCTTGTTTTCCTAAAATGGTCATTTTGCCGACATCCGGAGGTTTTTAAAGCCTGAGAATTCTTTATTTTTGACTTCCATAGGAAAGAGATAATTGTCTGAAATAAATTAATAAATTGATCGAGTTTTTTTGAAAAATTTAAAATTTTGACCCTTGTCTAAATTTCTAACGTGTAGTTTTAAATTGATTCTTAGTATTTATTATTCTAGAGCCATTTGTATGAAGCTTACCTGAGTTAGCTGAAGCGCCAGACAGCGCTCTGCTTTGTTTTCTTTGTGGACACCCTTGGACCGCCTGAGGCATCGCGCCGCGCGCTCTTTGAAAATGGCTCAGAATTTACGGAAAATTGTCGATTTCGTAAAATTTAGGCCATCCTCCAAAAAAAGGATTTTAGTTTCGAATTAAGAATTCAAAATAACATATTTTTACAATTTTAAATTTAAAAAAACACGCGTTCTTGGGTGATTTTGCATTTTTGCCCACTTTGAGGCATCATTATTTCTCAACTCTTTTATAGATTTTTTTTGAAAAAGGGTCAAAATGCTTGTTTTTTATAGTTGTTTTACATATCTAATTTTGAGAATTATAGGAGCTCTATTTCGGGTACCTATTTTTTGAGCGTGGACCCTACTTATAAAGAACCTTTCATCAATCTCCGGCTCGCTGCTCGAGTTTGAGTCTGGAAACGCCATGTAGCAGACATCAGAAGTCTCCTTCTCCCCGAGCTTGACATCTGGAGGAAAACAGTACTCAAGCTTTTGCCCAAGTTCCAGGTCAAAGGTGACCACGCCGACGCATTTCATCCACTCGTGGAACCGACCCCATTCTTCAGACATTTCGAAAACGCTTTTTATAACATTATCTGAAGAGATTTTCTCAATTTTTGTTGAATGATTAATTAGATATCTTTGAAATGGGAGTTCGAAAAAGGAGTTGGCGAACAGAAAGGATGAAGGAAGAATGTTTTCAAAAGCTTGTTTTCAATCTTGAGACATGAGCTCTTCCGAAGCAGCGACAAAAGAAGGAGTGCTCAGGATCGTTCCGTGTTGGTAAAATGGATTGGCAGAGGCTTTGATATAGTTTGTATGAAGAGTTCGCAGTTTCGCTTTCACCTACGATGAATTAATGAGTTGTCGACGATGAATTAACCCTTCATATTTTTTCTCACCTGATTTTCTACAATTTGATTGCTCGTCTTGTATAGTGCTAAAAACTTCATCCTGCTCGGGGGGCAGTAGCCGTACACCCGATGTGTTTCATTTTCATACAGTGTGCCCAAGAAAATATCCTGCGTTTCCGTGGTTTTCTCGTCCATGACGTCCAGTGAGCTGTAGGCGCAGAATGAGAGCTCCAGCTCGTTTGCTCCTTCTTTGAAGCCTAAAAGGTAAATATGAAAAGTGGGTCAGCAAATAAACGGGTAGAAGCCGCGGTGGTTTAGCCCATATTGAAACCACAAAAGTAGTTTTCCCAACAGAAAAATTTCCAGAAAAGTGTGAGTATTATGGGGAAAAGAGAAAAAATATAAAGATAAAATGAAAACAATAGCAATTCTATCAAAGATAACTGTCCCAACATCATTCAAAAGTTAACAGATTACTTCACCCTGAAATGAAGTGCCTAAATTTTCTTATCTACATATCGATAATAAGCCTTACCTTGATAAATTGGCGTATTATTCGCAGCTATCACCATCAAACTGTCACACATATTCTCCCTATTCTGAAAACAATCCTCTGTTTTAATACTTTCCTCAAGAATAAAATCAAATTCAAATTTGAGAGAGACAAGCAGGAGCAGTTTATTTTTGACACTCTTGTCACACTTAAAATGTGAAACAATAACTTTCGATAGACTATTTTTTCGAATTCCGAATTTCAATAGCTTTGAGCTATTATAATGAAAAATTGAAAAATGAAAAAATAGTTTGCGTGCGTGGATTTTTTTCTTTTCAAACAAAACGCGCGTGGAACGTGAAAATGCGCAAAGTAGGGAACAGTGATTTTGGAACAGGAACATTTTCACTTAAATCTCGGAACTATTCTTTTTGATGTTTTTTTTTCTTTGAGAAGGTAGAAGACGGGAGAGAAGAAGTGTGTACAATAAATATTTTTTTCGTAATAAATAAAAGAAAAACAGACAGAAGAAAGGTGTAGTTTGGTACTAGCTGTCTGTTGACTCGGGATTAGGATTCGCGCTGTCCGTGCCAAAGACCTTTGTCATGTCCATTCGCCCTGGAAGGGTGAGCTTTGTGTTGTTGTTTTCACGTTTCCTTTTTTCTTGCCTTCGTTATTGTTAAATTTTAGACTTTTCAGGGTAGACAGTACCTGGCAGCTTTCTTCGCCGCATTTTCCTGTCGTTCCCTCTTGCGGGTTTGTTTCAATTCCTCTTTCTTTTCAATTTCTGCGTGGAACTCGACATCTGCTTCTCGCAATCTAGTCAGATCCCAGTCGCTCTCGCCCGAGGCGTGTACTTTCAAAAGCGCATCTATCTTAGCTGGATCAGCCTTGTTTTCCCGGATGAACTTTCGCTTGATTTCGCTGGCTGATCGGCCAATGAATGCTCCCGAAAGAGCCTCAAAATCATTTCCTAGAATGGTTCAATCAATCTTTTTGATAATTATGACTCGATTAAAACGTACCAACAATCGTCAAAGCTTCATAAAACCTATCAGTTTCGTCATCATGCCAATTCTTGCTTCTTCTCGCGAGCTTTCTCTTCCTATACGACAACGAGTTCACATTCTCGGCGAACAAGTCGAAGTCTTCTACAATTTCATCCGTGTTCAATGTTGTTTCCGACGCCTGCACTTTTTGGAAGAGTGAATCTTGATCCAAAACCATCTTTCCGTTTATAACTCTGAAATGAAGATGAAAATCAACTTAGATAGAGAAGCGAGTGTACCTGATCTTTGGCATGATTCTTTGCGGCGTAGGAGCAGTTTCCTGCTTTGACTTGACCGTCTGAACGGTGGCGTTGCTCTTGCTAGAGAGTTGGGAAGCAGTAGTCGCCCGTTCTTTAGCTTCCCGCTGCTCTCGAAGCTTCTTGGAGAAGTTCATCTCGAAAGTGCCACACTTGCCGCCGACATGGATCAAGTCCGACATCGACACTTCGGTCTTGTCGATGATGCCGTCCTCTACGGATTTACATGGTTAGACAGAAGCTTTCCCAGCACAATTCAATATCTAGCACCCGTGGTTTCTTATCAACACTCTCCCGAATTATAAATTTCAACAAGAAGGATAAAAGACTAATTTAAAATGACGGTTCCCGATTCTACTAGCGAATGTAATCTATGATGATTTCAGTATATTTTTCAATATTGAATAATTATTTCCGCAATTCAGCTTGTCCAATATTGAAAAATAGATATTATGGCCTTTTCAAAAGTGAATTTCCAGGTCTTAAAAAATCTATTTCCCGCCTTATCCGTTTACCGATTTTTCTTATATTATCGAGCTCTTCTAAAAGTTTGCTTTTTCACAAAACAATCAACACATATCAACACAAAAGAGAATCAAGATGATACCTGCTGTGTGTTTCTTTATTGTATCTTCGGCACGTTTCTTCCTAGCGATCGATTCTGCCCTCGAAGACTTGCCAGTAGAAACACTCATAGCTAAGACCTGATTCTTGGGGGTTTTCTTGGCCCGTTTTGTTGGGTTTTCAATCTCTGGCGGAGGTACTTTGAATTGAAACAACGCGTCTTGGACGGATTCCTTCTGAACAACTGGAGCGTCAGGTGGATCCATTGGCGCTCCATTTTCCGGCACTGCAACTTCTACACAGATAGTTTGTTATAGGGAAAGAAGCAGGCAGTACCTTTTAAGATTAAATCAGCGGCAGAACTGCTGGTAGAAACTTCAGGGGCAGAAGAAGTGTTAACGAGCACGGGGGGAGTCTGTAGCTGATGATCTGCAACTACGGGAGTTGTTGGTAACGCTGATACTTTCTCAAGGTTGAAAATTGAACCGATGGTCGTGCAATCTTTAATCTAAGATTAGACCTTTTCCTGAGAGAGACAAATTCAACGCCGGCGCTCTTGAAGGACTCGAGCTTTTACCCGAGGGGCGGAACTTTGTCTTTGCCCGACGAGCAGAGGGTTTTGGCGACTCTGGTTTCTTGATCAACGGTGGTGGAGGTGAGAGAAGTCGTGGTGGTTGAAGTTCTGCTTGTAGAATAGGTTTAATGTCAGGTGTCACTGGTTTCACGTCGGGAAGAGATGGAGTACTGCTGATAATCGCAGTGGGAGGCGTTTCATTTAGAGCTTGTTCTGTTTTGATAGAAGGATTGGACAGGGTCGAGATGGAAGTTTGAGAAACGCTGGGAGATAGAGTGGGCGCGATCGACAGGGGTTCTTTGGAGGGTTCATTTGATTTTGGCTTCGTACCAACACTCGGGCGAAATTTGGTTTTCGACCGGCGCATATTTACATCGGTTTCCGATCAAATCGGGGAGGACAATTTCTGAAAGTGAGCAAATTTAATTAATTGCGAGTAATTTATAATTGACCATTTCGTCTAATTAGAACTTGAAGGATACATTTCACGAGCTTCCGCAGAATTAGTACAAGTAGCGCTACTTTGAGTATACGACGGTAGCTGACGATATCTGTAATAAGTTTCGTCTCGCCACCATCTTGATGTGTAGCGCTTTTTAGTTGGGTCACGGCGGAGGAAATCGACGTAGAATTCGCGCTGCCGGCGGCCCCAGAAGTCGTTTTGAATGCCGCAAACGCCCTCGTTGTAATCAATAAGCAAACGCATTGGTTGACGCTGTAAATAGAAGCTGTAAATAAAACTGACAAGGGTTCAAAAAAGGTTCGCTAAAAGAAGAGGTTTTCTATGTGGCGCTAGTTGATGTTTTTGGCAGGTTTTTTCTATTGAAAGAGTTTCATCTAGTGGCGTGAGAATGGAATGAAATGATGACAGACTGTTCATCATTTTCAGTAAAAATTAATTTTCAAATGATAGCAAAACAAAAGTAGTGGCATATAAAAATAATTGTTACGTACCTTTATGCCAAATCTTGGCCTGAGATTTCCGCCATGTCTTCCATGAATTCTGCAAATAATCGTCGACGGATCCTTATCCAGCTTCTTCAACTGTCTAAATCGACCATTATTCATCATCCATGAAAACTCTTGCGCCTGTCTTCTGAACACTTTCGGCAACACTTTATTCTGAATAAATAAAAAACATGAGACTCGAAAACACGAAAACACTCTCTTACATCGTGGAGGGCTTTAAGTCTGATTAAGTGCATTTGATATTGAAGTTGAATACGCTTTCGATGGGCAAATCGCTGCGCAACGTTCTTTTTGTATCTAAGGATCGGGCCATCAACGGCGCCTGCTCGGGCCGGGTTTTCGAAGCCACGATCGTACATTGCCCGGCGCCAGGTGTTCATATCATCAGAATCGTGAATAATGTCTCCTGTTGGTTTACCAGCTGATTGAAGGTGTTGTGGATTCTTCGGAGCTACGTCTTTGTCGCCAGGCTTGACCTGGTCCATCATCCAGAACATGGGAAGTGTATCCAGGTCTTTTGTAAGACTTGGTCTGTGGGCGAATTCTGAAAGAATGAGTGAAATTCATACTTGAATGCTTTTATACCTTTTTGACGAAGCCATGGCTCCTCCTTCCTAATTCTTCTGTAGTAACCCTTGTTCATTCCATTCCCATTTCTCCAGTGATACTTTCCCATTTTCGAAAAACCATCTCTAAAGTTCCACGGGCCCTTCCACTGATCCACCGACGTCGTAGCCAAACTTCTCTTTGCCACTTGCACCGGAGTCGGGGCCAGAGCCAATTTCGAAAACGAGCCCAAAAGGGCGTTCATGTCTGAAAGACTCGTGCGTAAGAGACTGATGAGCAATTTGGCAGTTATGTTGCAGTAAATTTGACTAATTTCACATCTCCCCGCATTGCGTGATCACAACAGGAACTCGAGGCTTGTTTTGTCCGTCAGTGGGGATGTTTTCGATCTTTCTTACGATCAGCATTCCGTCTTCAATCACCTAGAAAATAGTCTATCACAAGACTATGTAAGGATGTCTCACTTTTCCGAAGACGACGTGTTTATTGTCGAGAAAATCGCATTTTGTGCAGGTGAGGAAAAACTGGCAGCCGTTCGTGTCCTTCCCAGAGTTCGCTAGAATTTCATCAATACCTAAACTTCTACAGAAAGTTTTACCCATGGACAGAACACCAGCAGTCTCGTGTTTTTTCACGAAGTTCTCATCTTTAAATTTTCCACCGTAAATACTTGTCAGGCCCGTTCCATCCGAGTTAATAAAATCACCTCCTTGGATCATGAAATCCTAAAATCTCTTGAAAACGACGGAAATTTCTCAGTTGTACCTTGATAACTCGATGAAAGAGGCAACCTTTGTAGCCAACGGGGATTCCATCCTTTTTATGCTCTCCGGTGCAAAACTGACGAAAGTTTTCGGCAGTTTTTGGACACACATCACGAAACAGCTGATTTTAGAGTTAAAACTTGGTTCGGCTTTTGCCAGAATCTCAAGAACGAACCTCCATTTTTAGCCTGCCAATTTCTTTGCCTCCAACAGAAATGTCAAAAAACACGATGGGATTGTCGCGATTCGAGACTTTGATTCCACTCGACATATCTTTTTCTGCAGTCTATGTGAAATCATGTCAACAGAAGCGGCTTATTTCCGATAAATAAGTTGTTCTTTTGAAGGAAATTTCAGTCAGTTTTGCGAGTTATTTTTTTTTAATCATGATTGATTGTTTCTTGATTTTTGAGAAGAATGCAGTTTTAGATTAATTTTAATCAAAAGAAATGATGCACACTTGGTTGATTTTCTTTTCTGTATTTAGTTATTCAATAAATTATTCTTTAGCAATGATCAGGGGTCCGAGGTTGTCGCCGGTCTCCTTGTTGTACTTGTTATGAGCACCATCGCAGTAGGGGAACTTGGCGGACTTCCAGCATCGGCAGTAGACAGCCTTGCCGTCGATGTTCTCAGTCCTGTAAAAAATTCGAATAAATTTAAAGTTCACAAGGGTTACACAAAACTTGCTTTGTAAAAACAGATGAATATTTCATTTCAAATAACTGACCACCCAGAATCTTGGGCCACTTTAAATGAGTTCGCTAAGAAGTTCAATAAAGATAGATTGTTGATAAGAGCTTTAATTCCCGCTGTAATAAAACGATTCAGAGGCCACAATCAAAGTTGAAATATTGACTTACTTGAAAGTATCGACGACCTTATCGCTTCCAAGCTTCACAGTCGTGTTTTGTCGGTGAGGAGTTGTCAACTTCTCGGCCAAATACCACGCACCAGCTTAACTCTTATGAACTAACAAGAAAAGAAAACATGCTAACCTCCAGTAGTTCCGAAAAAGAGGGTAAGATGCAAGACATCTTTCGCGGACAAATTCGCAACATCGGCGAAAGATCTTGGAATTGGCAGACTGTTGAGGTATCCGGCAAGACCGTCCTGGATCACCCAAGCAAGTGGCATGTTTTCTAAATTCTATAATGATTTAAAAAAAGAGCTGGGAAATATGAATGAAGAAACATGTGAATAGGTCGGTACAGGTTCAAGATTGAAATTTTGATATTCTACTCAAATAATATCCTTTTCTAATTGGATCTATTTCAATGAGCTCTTGGAGGATTAACTTTGATGATGCTTCCCAGTTTGCATTTTTCAGTCGACTGATGATTTCAAGCAAAGAAAGGGAGATGGAGCGAAGGGTTGAGACGTTGTTGTCTTCTTCTTTTTCCAACTCAAGGAGCTCGTTGAGGGATTCTTCGTGACTCTTGAGGATGTTTGTTAATGCTGAGAGAGGGTTAGATGGGAAAGAATTTATTGCTTTTACTTGATGAGTCAGGGGCGTTGGAAATCAAATGCCTGTGATAAATCCAGCTCGATGCATCACTTGGGTCCGTGAAGACAGCGTTAAGGACTAGATCCATTTCGTTTTCAACCACTCCTTCTTCCTCTAAAGGACAAGTTATCTTCCCATTCTAGAGAGTTGAACTCACCAAGATTCAATAATTTGGAGCGATAATGCCACGCAGAAAAGTTGGAGAAAGAGGTTTGAATCAACTTCGTCGTCAGCTGAATTTCTGTCAAGGCGTCTTGCGGGAGTGCGTTGAGTATGAGCCTTCGATGGTCCCAGCAATGAAAGTTTCTGCCCTGGTTTTCGACTTGGTCTTCGGTCCTGCTCATCAGCATCCTTTCCGTCAGCCCAACTTCTGTTTTCAAAATTTCTAGGCCTTTTTCTTCGTCAAATTGCCGGATAAGTTTGAGAATGTTTCGCCTATGCGCCCAGGTCGAATATGACTTTGGACTGTCTACAAGACAATTGAAGGTAAGATCTAGTTCTTGTTCAAGCGTCTCCAAGGATTTTTCTTGTTTTGAAGTGGCCATTCGCCGGAGGGCCGTGAGCCGAAGCTGCCACAAAATCGGCCAGTCCTTCATGTAATACGCCAGAGTCGAACTCTGGCTCAAATAATCTGCCATTGGCGGGAGAAATTCATTAGTGCTTTCCAAAAGTTGTTTGAACGTGGGAACCTTGGACTCTGAGGGCTCGTAGAGCTTCTTCTTTATCTTCTGGAATTCTTGAAGCTTTCGCGCTCGCTCAGCTTCTTTTTCCGCCGCTTTTTGGGCTGAAGTTTTGACTTTTACGCGACCATGCATTGCTCAATCTTAAATCGCGAGAATTAGGGATTTTTAAAAACAAAAAATTTATAGTTTTAAAATTGGCAGGAAGAAAAATCATTGACAGGCATGTTTTACATGCGAAATAGTCTCGGAACACTCCTTGATCAGCGCTAGAAGCTCTCTAGTCGCAGTTGGGGAGGTTGTGGTGTTGAGTTCTTCAGCGAGGGCGACCATTTTAGCGCCAATGAGTTGTTGGACTCGGTCCATAGATGTCCAATCACGAGGTTTAACATTTTCAACATCTTCTGTCTTGGCGACAGGGGCGACTTCTGAAACTGTCAAGATCGGCGTTGAGGATTTGACGAGCGTCGCCTTCGAATACAGTTCATTTCATACTTTAGGGACAGGAAAACTACCTTTGGTTTGGATTTAGGTTGAACATACGCGGCTTTTGGCTGCTTTTTCGTTTGAGCCGCGGCTTCTTCTGCGGCTACGTCGACGCAACTAACGCAGTAATTGACTCCTCCTTGAGCTTGAGGAGTTTGGAGAAGGATTGACGAGCAGACTGGGCAATAGATGATTTCAAAAAACTTTTTGTGGGGCCGGAAATCGTAAAAAAACTGCAAGTGCAGTTTTCTTCAGCTCCTCGAGACGAGTTGAATGATGGGTCTAACTCATGATAACTCTATGGATTTACCGGTTTACCGGCTGGTTACCGGAAAATACGTTGTCACCGGCCGTTTTTGTTCTAGAAGTGGTAAACAGATGCTCGACCCAGGAAACTGTTCCTTATAGTCAGTTCTATTGCAGGCTAAAAGATGAAAGTCGTATCATTACTCAGAAGATAGTTATCACTAAAAAACTATTTTTGGCGGAAATGGGACTAAAAATCAGGAACGTGCAGCGACAACAAAATTTATGCAAAATTTACTGTTTTTATGATAACTCTCTTCGGAGTAATGATACGACTTTCATCTTTTAGCCTGCAATAGAACTGACTATAAGGAACAGTTTCCTGGGTCGAGCATCTGTTTACCACTTCTAGAACAAAAACGGCCGGTGACAACGTATTTTCCGGTAACCAGCCGGTAAACCGGTAAATCCATAGAGTTATCATGAGTTAGACCCATCATTCAATTCGTCTCGAGGAGCTGAAGAAAACTGCACTTGCAGTTTTTTTACGATTTCCGGCCCCACAAAAAGTTTTTTGAAATCATCAATATTTGTCCAACTAAAAAGCAAGTTTTTCTCGGAAAATCGTTTAGAATTTAATACCGAATAGAGAATTTATATAAAGAAATTTCGAATAAGTACCATTCGGTATCCTTTGAGCATGTATTGGCCCATAAGGGCGGAAACACGGTCCGATCGCTTTCGTTTTTGCTTCAAGATTTCTAGCTCTGCCTCGCTAGGCGGTGTCCAATCAGAATCGTCCATTCTACGGAAAATAATGTGTTTAATTTAATCTATTTAATACTTTCAAAAATTAATAAAAGATAGGAAAAACAGTGATTCCCGAATGAAATATTATTCTCTCCAATAATAAACAAACAAAAGCCCCCTTCAGAATCAATAAACCATAACAATTATCTCTTCTAATCTCTCTGTTCTCTCAGAATCTCCATTGATAAGAATTTCACGCCTTTTGATCTTCATTTTTTGCAATTTTCCTCCAATCGGGAGTGCGAGCTCGATCGAACCACTTTTTTACTACACTTCTTTGAACAGCCCGCCTACTCGCTTCTGATTGGCCCGTTTCTTCCTGCATCTTTCAATTACCGTTTCAAACCCGTCATTCCTCCTCGATCGCCTCAGTCGCAATCAGCAAAGAGTACTACCGAAACAGGAATCGTATTTTCGATCGATTTTTCAAGCAGCAAGAAAAAATGAGCACCACTTCCCAGAAACACGCAAACTTCGTAGCCGAGCCGATGGGCGAAAAAGAAGTGACCGAGTGCGCTGGAATTGGACCCACTTATGCCAAGAGACTTGAAGAGAAAGGATACACCAAGGCCTACCAACTGCTGGCTCAGTACCTTCTCTTCACCAAGGACGAAGAGATGTTTCAAGAATGGCTCAAGGTAAGACTAAATCTATCAGATTTTTATGAATCTAAATCCATCGATTCGCACGAGAGCTTTTTCTTCCCGCTTTCTTATTCTCTATGATCAGATACCGATAACAAAAGTTCTTCAGGACGAAATCTCGATGAAAGGAAAGCACCTCAAGGACTGCTCCACCTGCATCTCCGAATGGTCTCGAGCCTTCATGTAAAAAAATCCTCTCTCTCCAACTCATGAGCTCACAATAACCCATAACCAGAACCGTATATCCTGTAACATACTGTAATAGTTAAGAAATACCGTACTGGGTAGTGGTAAAATATCTCTAGTTTGCCGCTAACTGCCTAAAACACGCACAAAAACTGTAGGTCATTCCAAAATAAAACAAAAAAAAAAATTGAAATCATGGAAGAAATATTGTTCAATAAGCAACTTTTCTTTCAACTTGAGAATATTGATGAAGAATGAAATTGATGAACTCATAAATTAAATATCTTGACGTAGCTAGGAGGAAACGAAAGTGCGCGAAAAGTCTGTGTGTGCCTAATCCTCGCTGTGTGATTAGGTTCAAGTTGGACCAGGGATCACTCTGCCCGAGGTGACTCAAACCAGATCAAGGCTCAGGCTCGAGAGTAGCTCATAAAAGTGCCACGCGGGGACCATTCCGCCTTCAGATTGATTCTTTTGGTACTAATTATTTTTCACACTAGTTTTTCTTAGAGATATTCAAAGAAAGGGAACATGTCAGGTAACGCTTCGTAAATATTTTGAACATAACAAATTTTAACATTTTTGTCACTCTGTTTGGTAATTGAGGGTTTAGCAATTTTCTGCCTCAGGGGAAAGGGAAAACGAAAAGATTAATAATTTTTCTACCAAAATTATAACTGTAAGTTCAAATTCGGAACTACTCAAACTGCGAATTTCTTTTGTTTTCTTCAGCTTCCACACTTTCTTTCTATTTTACCAGCTTATTCGCTTAGAATTCAGAAAATTGTCTAATTCTGATTGAAAGAAATTAAATGCATGCAATGAAAATCTTAGTCATTATGTCAACTTTAGCACAAATAGCCGTATTTCTATAAAATCTCTTTCAATTCGCCCATAAATGTACCACCTTGAGAAAAAACTGCTGCGTGCTAGCCTTAAACTTTTCGTAGACAATCCATTCGGCGATGATGACACTGAAAAATCCCAACAAGCGACTCCGCAACAAACCCAAAAGCAAGATTTTCAAGTAGCTCAGGAGACATCATTCTCGCCCGAAAGTCAATCTATTTCCCGATTGACAGCGGCCACCCGCTTCTACATTCGCCGACCGCGAGAGCCCGATCAAGTTCTCGTTTCACATGATGTCACCAAGAAGTTCGAAGGTACCTAATAGCTTCACTAAATCACCAGAGGTGGTTGTTTTATTGCCGCGATCGAAGCTCAGAAATCAGCGCTCTGGGTCGATGCCTGGGCCACGCGCCAAGTTCGCTACTCATCCTTGATTTCAGTGCTCGATCAAAATGGCGCGCCGATGTATTATCTCGTCCAGGAGGATTCTTGCTGCAGCAGAACCTTCTGCTGCATGGGAAAATGGTTCTCCGTCGATGTCTACGATCTCGATGAAGTTCACGTCGGCCACTTAGAAAAATCGATCGGATGTCTAACATGCTGGTGCGGCTGCTGCCCGCAAAACATGGACATTCACTTTCCTCCGACAAAGAAGATTGGACAGATTTCGCAGACTTGGAATTTCTTCGGCTCGCCCGAGTTTAGGTACAATTTGAGGTTGATTTACTGCTTCCTTCACTTTTTACGATAGGACGGTGAATGATAAACGCGACTTGGTATTTTTGTTCTCAGGAAGTGGATTGTGCGGAGTCAAGAAGATCTCTATTTCTAGTGGAACTGTGAGTCACTTGAAAGATTCGATTTGAAGACGGTTTGTTTTTAGAAAGAGCGAGTTGGAAAGATGAAGAATCAGTGGGATGGTTTACCAGCAGGAAAAGATTGAAAATATTCAATTCAATTTATGAATAATAGACTTATTCATCATAAACTTTAGTCAGAAAAAGAGTACTCACTTCTAAATTAAGATGAATTATTTTCAATCTAAAAAAGCACAATTCGGCAGTCAAATTTGCTTCGGAGTTGATTTTGAAAAGTCAAAGACAAAGCTCGATTTAGAACATTTATATCTTCTTCTTGGCAGCTCATTTCTAATGGTAACTTTATACACTTTAAATTATATATTCATCTTAATATCATTCTAGGCCTACAATTACTTTGGCGCCAACAAAAAAGTGAAGCACGAAGAACTCATCGGTCTGAAATCATCCTGATTCCTTTTTTCCAATTCAGCATAAATCCTTTCTTCAAAATATGTTTTCTGTGAATTTTGAATAAAACGTAAGAATGCCAAGATTTCATTTCCAAAACCGCTCTTTGCGCAATGAAGAAATGTCTAATGCCAATTTTGAAATTGTGGTGGGGAAAATGCACCACCACCGTGCCTGAGAAATGTCACAGCACGAAAAAGTCCACAGCGTATTTTGCTCTGAAATGTCGCCGCATAATTTCGCCGTTTTCCGTGCCATTTAGCAGCTGCATCAGACTTACCCTTGCACCAAACAAACTCTTCTTCCATCGCTTTTTCGTTGACCAAAAACTAGCAATTTTGATACGTAGAATTCATGTCCCGAAACATTCTTCGTTGCTGAGAATCTCGAGTAGGTATTTTCACACCTTTCAGGCGATAAGAATAATTCTTATCAAAGACTACCTTGATTCCGGACTCATGGCAAGATTTGCGTCTCAACAACGAGCAAGCAGGCCACACACGTTTTCAGTATTCTGTTCGTTTGCACTTTGCGAATGAAATGGTTTTCCTCTCTGTAGAGGGATTTAGTCCAATTTTGCCTTTCTTTCCCGCTAGAATCTGGATAATAAGCCTGCGATACCTGTAATCAGTGAGGAAAGCTGTAGCCATCTGCTCGGTGGAAGTGAGTGTTTTTCAAATAACGGATTATCCTCGATTTAGCTGAAGACTTCAAAAACTATTCCGGCCGGCGAATCAGTCTTTATCTTCGAGAATTAGAAAGAATTATATTGAATTTGACCAGTGCGAAATTCAAACTCTGAATTTTCAAATTCTATGCATAAAGTTGCATTCGAAAAAAAAATTTCAAAGTATTTTATTTCAAAAAATAAAGCACGCAAAAAGAGGTAAATTGATTGAATTTTGAGACAGTTTTTTTTTGAATGAGTAAGTTTCCTCTCTCGAAGATGTTACCAGTGAGTGTCAATGGATTCACCGTTGATGTGAGATAGCAGATAGTAAAGTCCGACGAAAGCAGCAGCAAGTATTGCCAAAGCACAAATGCTTCGCATGTCTATTGTGCATTTTACTCTAAAGCAGGTCTTTTTTTATTTCAACTACAGGTTTCTTACGGTTTCGATTGGATCAGTGGCGTGTTTTCCACTTGGATTTGAACCTGCTTGAAATTGGGAGTCTCCGGCCGTGAAACGAGCGGGCAAAGATCTAAAAAATGATGAATTTTTGAAAGGAACTTGATAGTTTTACTAACCTGATGTGCTCGAGTAGGAGTCAATTTTTTTGAGCAATGGAAGGTGTCTCTTTGGAAATCTACTTTCGAACTCGACTCTGTCTGTAATTGCTTGTATTCTTGACATTTTCGGGCGGAGTTGTTTTTAAATTTTAAAAATTTTTTTTGAAATTTGAAATTTTGAGCAGCGCGATTTCGCTGGTCTGATTTTATACCGAAAACTGGGATTAGAAGCCTATATAACTTGACTCCCGATGTTTTTCGACCTTATCTAACTAGAGCAGCTAATCAGCTGTTTAGCAGTCTTCTGTATATTTCCGCTGTAGACAGGTATCGGTCTGAACCCCTCACGACCGCGTCTTTTGTGCTGAAGAGCTGGAACAAAAGCGAGCGCCAGGTCCGGTTGAAATATATTCTAGTGTTCTCGGACACTTCCCGTAGCCTCCTTAGCTCAGTGGTTAGAGCACTGGTCTTGTAAACCAGGGGTCGGTGGTTCGATTCCGCTAGGAGGCATATTTTGAACCGCGTGGTTATTTTTAACCGCGTTGACCTTTCTTAAAAATATAGAAAATATATCGCCGTATGCAATCTTTGTTTGATCATTACATCTTTCATGATTGTTGAATAAATATAAAATTCTAGGAAGCTGTAGGAGCCCCTTTTTCAAAAACGAAAAAAAAATAAAAAGTCGAAAGAGTTTCCGTGTGCTGATAAGGTTGTTGCCCAAACGCGGCTCGATAAACGACCAACTCTGCCCGAAACAGTGGTGTAAACTTAGTGTTTCACACGCAGTGCGTCAGGTGCAGCCTTATCAGCGGTTTATCAAGGTAATGCAAGTGCTCATCCCGGCTACCAATCTTAAAGCCTCGTTTCCGAATCTATAGAGAGCTTGCTTGTTGACAAAATTTGCAATTTTGCATTTCATCTTCGAAAATGAAAATACACAACTAACGTCCTCCATTAGTTTTCATATCGGCATATTTGCGTTATTTTCTTCAACAATTTTTTCTGTAGGGTTAATGAAGCCCTAATAATCCTGTAGAGCAATAATTCTAGCTCCCATTTTGTTTTCTCATGGGCGCTGATCCTTGTTCTTTAGCCCTTGTTTCTTCAAAAATTGAAATTCAGAGGCATGAAATCGAGAACACAGCACCTCCATATTCCAACACGCAAAAGCATGCAGCAACTTTCCCTTTGATCACTACACAGTATCCCGATTTGTTGGCCTTTGAAGCTGAGCGCCGAATTAGGCAGATCAACTCGAGTTGATTTATTTAAATGCCTCTCGCTAATTTATACAAAAATAATATACACCCCGCGCCACGGCCGATTACCGAGGTTAGAGGTACCCAAACAATCGAAATGTCACACAACCACTCCCATGATCACAATTTCGAAAACGTAATGAGACAGCTCAATTAGGAAATTTGAATTCTAAGATGTTATCGGGTCATAGAGGTTAATATTGAGACCTATTCGCAAAGATTTAAGAAAACAAGGAGAAGCGGAAAAAAATAAATTTAGGAAAAAAATGACTGTTTATTCATCGAAAAGTTTTTCGTCGCCGACTGGTAGATTCTGTCTCCTCGACTGTGAGAATAGGACCTGGGAGCGGTTTATTACTCCCCTCGGATGTTCTTTTACGAGCTTGTTTTGCTCAAACTAACTGTATAGATTGAGACACTCAGCAAAGTCTGCCAGAAACTTTTTTCGCCGTCGCATTTTTTTTCTTTCGTTTTATAGCTTGATTGATAGCTGGTGACCTTCACTCATTCTCGTCATCGGTGTTGCGCCAGTGCTCCACTACTGGTGTAATTTGTTTTAGTAAGCTCTTCTCCCTGCGCGGTCTTTTGTTTGGCCCTTGTTTAAACGAACTGTAAACAATACCCAGCACCAGCACCAGCAAATGATTTACTCTCGGCCCATAACTTTTTCATTTTCAAGCGTCGGTAAAAGACGTAAATTCAACGGATTTACCGTATACAAATCGGCCATTAGACCGAAACGCATCTCATTTAACCATCCAGAACTAAAATTTAAGGGTCTATTCGTAAAATTTCTTCAACGAAAATGGAGATAGAACGATTTGGCTACTAGTGAAAAGATTTTCGCCGGAAGTTCTGTCCGTGAAATTCTCCTAGCGGAATGATTCTAGTGCTGTGGTCAAGAAAATCGTGTAGTAGAAGAAAGACAATTTTCTTGCTCTCGTTTCGTCCGTGAAAAATTCCAATTGTTGTAATATCGTTGCATTGCGGGCGAAGATGTTCCCAGGGCAGCGTTTCGCGTGTGTCAGTGCTGCTGATGCGTATACTGTCAAGCCGTACATAAACCACAAAATTTAGCTGAATTTGCGACAACGAGCTGAGAAAATTCAGTACGGAGATGGGAGAGCCAAGAATCATAGAAACTAGGTACTCTTGTGAGAGAAGGACTGTATTTTGATTCTGGGCAGTAAGCCAGTTGAACCCATACTGGCAGATTTGCCCAGCTGGGGTTGCGCCTCCAGCTGAGCGCAGTTTTCTGAAAGTCGGGTATTTCAAGTTTGAATACGCCAATTATATATTTATACAAGCTCAGGGCTTATGAGCTGCTAATAAGGCCAGCTGCTTTTGTACCGGATGTCTCCAAATTGGGCGATCAATAAGAGTCAGTAAATGAGATTATCATAACTGTTACCTAACTGTACAACTCTACGTCAAATACGGTTAACTTTGAGTTAGAAAACACTGTCCGCGGACTTTGAAGTAGACGGACTGTAAGAAGAATCGTCAAAAGTGGATAAACTAATAACGCGAGCGGGGGTAATTAGTATTTACGCTAAGCATGGGAAGATAAGCTGTCGCTTCGCTGTATTTTTTATCAGTACTTGTCACTGTCCAGCACCTGCCGAGTGCGCAAAACCCCACCCAGCATTATTTTACTGGCTCTTTTGATGGTAACTTTATGATGCTTACTTTTTGATTGTAAATTGAAACATGTAAAAAGCGGAAAGAAACTTGGTGGACAAGACAAATACTAACTTGCAAATCAAAGCGGATACACACAAAAGGGAGTGTGAATTGAGAATGAAGGAGGTAGCCTACGTTTCCTCGTCGAAAAAACGTAGGTACCCGTCTTTGAGGCGTCAAGACAGTTAGAAGAAGCCGATAAGCAAAGCAATAAGATTCACAGTCACACACACAGTATCTAAACGAGACAACATTCCATGCATCCTACTAGCCATCTCGAGTCTACTTTTTTGTATTCCTCAAAAGTCCTCACCGTTGGATTTATTTTCCATCCGCTTTGTTGAACGTTGAATTCCGGCTTATCAGGCTATTTCCACATTTGGCGGCGGGAGTTTGTAGCTTCTGTCAGTCGGCCCCACTTCCGCTGGGCTTATCACGCCGCTACCGTGTTTCTTATCGCCAAGTACATTGTGCTGCTTAGTCAACAAACCGTTTTTTATTGCGTTTTGATACTGGCAGTACCTTCAAAAGACTTTACCCGCGCGATAGGCCTAGCTACTATCGAGTGCCTTCTTTCCCAGACTTGCTTTTATACGTAACGCATAGACGGGACAGAACTATGGTATTAGTAAATAGTCTGATAAGAAATGCGAAGCACACCTGGAGAATGGGCTGGGAGATATTTGGCCGCGATAATTTACAAACTGCGGATTACACAGTGTTCGTATTAGCCGAAAAGTGTGTATTCCCGTCGAGGTTATTTTTTCAATTAGCGTCAGATACGCGTGGCATCTCCCAGTTGATTATTTTTACAGAAATTGTAAGCCTTTTCTGGGGCTCACTAGTAGTGTCGATTCTTTTGCAGAAATTATTCTCTAGGCAAAAGTAGTTTATTAGTATTAAAACTGAATAATAAATCAACTGCAGTACTTGCTGTTTCTTTTCATCACTCGAGAGTACCCTTAATTAAATCTTTATCGCTTCTTTGGTAAAATATTGGTTGTGCACTTGGACAAGTGCTCTTCCAAGATTCAATCCGTACTCAATTTCATTGATCGATAATCTTCGCTTCCGGATAATCCTTTCTTTCCCGCCTCGGATGCTGAAAAGTCTGCAACAGCGCCACCAAGAAATTAGTACCCTGGCTGTACCCGGGACGGTGATTGGCTGTCGCGTACTGTGCTCAGAGTACAGCGAGTCTCATCGGCCGACTCTCTCGGGTGGCGCTCATCGGAGTGCGCGGCGCTCGGGAGCAATTCTAAACCCGTCCCTGCAAAAAATAGGCGGCGGACGGGACAACTACAACTGTACCAAAGAGAGGCACACACATAAGTTCCCTCCAATACAAAAATATAGAAACAGATATTGAAAAACAACAGAGCTTTGATTGAACACACAGACACCACTCAACATGGCAGATACACAGGTAAGAGTAAGGTAGTTTTGTTTTTGTCTCTAGAACTGTTTATAAAATTACGGGATTTCCAGGAAATCGGTCAGTTACCGGGAAACTCTCTCTAGACCGAAAGTAAAAGTTTGTTTTCGTACCCAAAGTTTAAAATAACGTGCTTTTTAGCCGGCGAACATATCAATGTATCAAGACTTTTTAATGAAGTTTGCGCAGCAGCAACAATCTCCGCTGCAGAAGAACTTGCTACAGACAAATCCACTTCTTCATCAGGTAAATAAAAGAGTTCATAATTAGTATTCGAGTCGAAATCGAACCAAAAGAGTGTTTTTTGAGTGCGACTCTTTTTGATTAATCTCAAAATTATCGCCATCGCATACCATCCCAGTGGTCACGTGTAACTAAAAGTAAGTTCCTGGATGATGTGCGATGGCGAAAACGCGGATTGAAAAATTGAAATTGGAGCATTTGAGTTGAAAAACTGCTGTCCGACAATTTCAGATTCGCCAGTCGCCCAGGCGGCGCGAAAATTTACGTTTCGATGTACTTTCTTACATTATTTTTCACAATAAGGAGGCCCCGCTCACTTTTTTTCAATTTTAGATGCAGCAGCAAATGCAAAGAGATCGTGCTACAAATGAGCGAAATTCGGTCGGTGAAAACTCGGCTGAATCGGTTTCACCGGTTTCGTCCGGTGCTCCTGCTACGTCCAGAGATTTGCTCAATGCCCTGGCTGAACAAAAGCTCCCGACTTTGATGAAACAAGAGACGCCAAAGACTCCCAGACGAAGTAAGTACCAAGCATTAGATAAACACATAAAATTAATTTGGAAGCTAATTTATTATCGCCTGTTAAACATGTTCTCAGCTTATCATTTCCTGATGCGTTTTGCTTTTTGGCGAAATCGGTTCCACGCTATTTGACAAGAATTCTCATACCTTTTTATTCAACTACAATCACAGACACAGTAATCAGTAGTCTCGCCAAGAACAACATTATTTCGAAATCAATTTTGAAAAACCGGAAATTCAGAAATTAGCGTTCACCTAGCGCGGAACTGAAGGGTGTCCCACTTAAGGATATAGCCGTTCTCAAGGCACTTTCGTAGCGCCAAAAGGGGACGATAAAATTTTTTCATTTCAAAAGGAACCCTACCTAAAATTGCCTAAGAAACCCGATTCTAGTGTTCTTTTTAATTTTTTAATGGAAAAATTTCTCTTTAGAGCAATTTTAAATCTTACGATCACTTTTTCTCGAGAATTTTCCATTAAATCGGTCGAGTTTTTTTGATAAATTAAAAATTTGGACCTTTCTCTACATTCCTAGGGCTTAAGTTTTAATAGATTCCAAATATTTATGATTCTAGAGCCATTTTTATGAGGCTTACTTGAGTGAGCCGAAGCGTCAGACAGCGCTCTGGTTTGCTGCGCTGGGCGCCCTCCTCCATCGCGCGGTGAGGCGCGCATGTGAAAGGGCGCGCTGATTGGTCGAGCGCCCTGAACGCAGCATTTATGAAAAAGAAAAGCAAAAAAGAAGAAGACGCTAGAATGAAAATTTGCCCGAGTTTTCAAATTTTGAAGCCCTAAGAAGCTAGATTAGCAGTTATTTATAATAAAACACGGTTTCGTTTTAGCGATTTAATTGAAAAATTTCGAGAAAAAGTGATCGTAAGATTTCAAATCGCTCCAGAGAGAAATTTTCTTTGAAAAAAATATTAAAAAACATCAGAATCGAATTCTAGACAAAATTTTAGGTAGGACCTGTCTTGAAATGAAAAACTTTTATCGCCCCATTTCGGCGCTACGAAAGTGCCTTGAGAACGGCTATATCCTTAACCTTTCGACCCCTTTCCCTGACGCTCATTTCTTCATTTAGATGATCAAAAAGAGCAGCACAAGTGTCCCAAATGCGACTACATGACCCCGTGGAAGTCGTCCATTGCCACGCACATGAAGCTCAAGCATTCCAGTAAGTAACAATACAGTAGACAATAGAGAAGTAGACCCGGAGATACTTTTATAAGTGTAACTCTAGTCTGACGCACTTGAAAATCGAATGATCAGAATCCGGGAAGGGATCTCAGTACGGAATCCCGGACATTGATTAACTCCGCGTACGGGGCACTTAAGGAGCCTAGCTTGATTATCAAACCTAGCGTAAGAATCTCGCTAGAACAAAGTTGCTCTCCGAAAAACGACGATAATCGAAAACTAAGTACTTTCAAAGTAATTTTACCCGAGCTCCGCCATTCTACTGAAATCGGAGAGGCGAGTTCCCAGCGTGTTCGGCCATTAGCGGCATTGTGCACCTGCCAATTTGGAACCGTTACTCCCCTCCCACAGTTGTACCTAAGCAAATTAGCCGTAACAAACGAAGGAAGCAAGCATGTTTCCGACAACTTTGCATTTTTGAAATTTGAAATTTTTAGACGAGCGACCTTGGCGATGCGACATTTGCTCCAAAGCGTATAAACTCAAGCACCATCTCAAAGCGCACATGGAAGGATCTCATGCTTCAGAAAAACCCTATCAATGCAAACTTTGTGTTTTCAGGTAAGAAAAACTTTGAACTTTGATGAGATCGGTTTATGGATACAAATCGGTTCATTAACGGGTTGTAAATCTGAGCCAGAATGTCAAAGTGTATATCGCGCCGTGGGGGATGATTAATTTCTTATCAAGTGTGCCCAAGTCCGCCTTTTGATCGCGCTCATCCGAGCGTACCTCCAGCTCGCCCCAGGGCCAGATGCGCCCACACAATCTCTATTAACTAGTGCCCAAAAATAAAGAGTCCCGCACAGCGTGAAGCGAAATCGATTCATTTTATATCGCTTCTCTAATTATATAATTTAGCTGCATCGATTCGCGCACGCTGAATAAACACATGTTCAACAAGCATGGTCGTCAGAATCCGCTCAAGCACGGCTCTGGAATGCTCGGTGGAGCCGGAGGGCCAATGCGAGGCCGCGTCCTCCCCAATATGCTTCCAATGAGTCGACCTTACGATCCAACTGGTTTTACGAACCCATGGGCCCGTAAAGACATGGGACTTGGTCGCTTGCCCAACCATCTTGCTGGACTCAACCCTGGTCTTATGGGAAATCCCATGGACAATCCAATGGTCAACCCGATTTCATCTGACCCCGCAGCGCTGATGGCTCAGATTCAGAAGAACCAAGAAATGTTTGCGGCCGCACAGGCGCAAGAAAACGCGCTCAACAATCCCATGCTCACACCTAACTCGATGCTTCTTCAACTGGCTGCTTCTATGCAGCGACAACTTCAAAATAGACTTCAACAACAGGCTCAAACCTCTATTGCTGGCCCAATCCCCACTACATCGCCACTTCCAATGCCGTTCTCAGCCGGTCAAATGCAGCCCCAGCCAGTTGCAAGTCCTCCTACCCAGGCAATCGTCCAGGAAGTTGTTTCCAATACTGGCACTCCTGCTGGATCCCGACCTGGCTCCGTTGTCGGCTCCAACCCAGAAGAAGCTCAAGTTATTGTAAAGACAGAATCTGTCGATGAAGATGGTCCCTCTACCAGCCCAGCAATCGTCACTCCTGAAAACAACGACATCAACGGAAACACTGAGATCCCGCCACCAGCACTCACTCCCCGGAGCACCGCCTCCGGCCAGGAAGTCGTCGTCGAGCCAGCTTCACCTCTGGGAGAAGACTCTGGTCTTCAGATCGCTGATCAGACTATCGCCACAGAGGCTTCCGAAGCTCGTTCCGCTTCAGTCAAGTCTGAGAAAATCGACGACGGTGCTAAATCCACCCACTCCGTTCACTCAAACGCTTCTGCTTCACGAAAACGCAAGCTCGAAGATCCAGGAATTGGACACATGATGTCGGAGCAGTTGTTACAGCAGCGACTTGCACAGGCGGCTCGGCCAAACATACCATTCCCATTCGGCTTATCCCAATTCCAGGTAGCTCATCTCGCTTTATTGCAGTTCATAACACATCTTCTTAGGCACGCGAGCGACGCCCCTCAGGCGGATCATCCGACGAGTTGAGCCCGCCAGCCGCCAGAGCAGCACTTGGCGCCCAAATGCACGCATCTATGGCATTACAAAGGTAAATGATAACAAGCTGAATATGTATTCGCGCCGGGTGGTCTGTAATACCGCTCCCATGATTTACTAATGTACTGGAACTCAGCTAACCCTCTTCTTTAGAATGCAAGGCGGCGATTTCTTCAGCCAGCTCGCTCAGCTCCAGCAACTCATGGGAGCCAACCAGAACGCTCCAATGCAGCCTTCGCGATGTGAACAATGTCAGATCACCTTCCCTGATCCAATTATGTACATGGCACATGTAGACATGCACAAGAATCCCGCCATTCATGTAAGTTGAGCACAAGAAGTCATGCGTGCCTAATTTTCACAAAAGGCAACCTTTTTATCAAGTGGAATACTAAATCGGCGGCCTATTCCCCGATCCGTGTTCGACCTTTTTGACTACTACCACGTGACACGGCAGTACCTTAACATTCTCCTTCAGCCCTTTCAATGCTCGCGATGCAATCACATGTGCAAAGACCGAACCGAGTTCTTCCTTCACTTCAGAAACAACGAGCACCAAGAACACTAAATTCTTAAACTAGAAGAAAAAATTAATCAAAAAGAAGCTGTACTGTTAATTATTGCATTCTTTCAAATTTGCAAATTACTTTCAATTTTTCACACATTCATTTATCTGCTGTTTATTTTGTAAAAATATAAATAACTTATTCAACACACAAAAACTGGTCCAGACTCATATTATTGCATTTTTCAGTACTGAAAACTTGGTAGTAAGTTCAAGGGAGTTGAGGTTGAGTAATACGGTGTTTATCTAAGGTAGTTAATCCTGTCAGTTTGGCGCGTGTTTGGTGTTGAAATTTTAACACCCAAAAAACACCAATTTCCTCAATTTCTGGCGTAAATCCTTCACACCTTGTCAGCCAAACTCCGCTTAGGGAATTTTCTAGTTTGTAACTTATAGCACGCATTGAATAATATAATATGCCCGCTGTCAGTGAGCATTTGTTCCGCCTGTCGTACGGGTCGTACCGAACGGTAGCCAATTCGGTGCCTTAATTACCCGTAGACCAAAAGTAGACGCAAATTTATTCGGGTCTGTCAGGCGAACGCGAGATCCAATTCGTAAAGGGGCAGTATGCAGCGCAGCCGCAACAGTCTTCTTATAAATTTGTGAGAGACTCATTTACATAACTCAATTTAAAGAAAGGAAGAATATATTTTTGTCGTATAAGCTAAAAGTCATCTTAGAGCGCCAAAATGGCTGCTAATTCAGTTAGGGAGACAAAAACGTAAATTATGATGGCATCTGCGGTGGTATATTATTCCAATCTGTGAGGACTAAGACGGATGAAAGGAAGTATCGCAAGCTGTAGCATGTGATTTGTGCAGGACGGAAATACTGACTTCCGGGCAGAGAACGGTGAGTTCGTGTTTGGACGCACCTGCCACGAAGGGAAACTAACACTCCCAGTGCTGCAGCTCCCGCGACTAATCCCTTTTGATTCAGTCCTTTCAGTCGAGTCTTCTTATGATTTCTTATTCTAATTTGCCAATTTTAGCGAGCTTGCAATTTTGGCTTGTATATTTTTCTTGTGTTCAAGTGTTTTCAAGGACACTATCGCGGCAAGAGTACTCGTGTTTGATTAACCGACTGATTAATTAATTGAGTGATTGGATATCAACCAACACGGTTAATTTTTAAGGGGGTCCCCCACGATTTTGCGATTTTGCGAATTAGATTTTTTTCTCTTCAGATCTGAATTCCTCGTGCAAAAAGCTGCAAAAAAGGTCTCTAGCTTTTTTCGATTTTTGTAGAAAAAAGTGTCTAAAATCGACCTTGAAGTTACCAATTTTGCTTCATCTTCATAAAAATTGAAAAATCAACCCTTTTTTATAGTTGTCTAAAGGTCGCACATAGCACCTTTTTAGAAAGGCTATGAGCTAAGCTTTCTGAAAATGCCCGAAAATATGGGTTTGGGTTATGCCCAGAGGGCAATTTACATGATTGAAATTTCCGAAATCGTACATTTTTTTGATCGTCTTTGTTACATACACATTTTCTGGAAATAGAAAAAACTGAGAGACGCTTCACTAGATTAGTGTTAGAGCTTTAAGAAACAGCAGAAAAAAAATTTTTTGTAACCTAAATTTTTGGAGTAATCTCAGGTGAAAAAATGGCCAAAAACGCGATTATCTGCGAGATGCTTTCCTTCTCGGCGCCGTTGCGCAAGATGTGGTTGAATTTTAAAGAATCTGAGATACGCTTCACAAGATCTAGGTTTGACCTACTTGTACGTGAAAAAATTTTTGAAAAATATAAGTCTGTGTCGGCGTGAGCGCCGGTCGAAAATGGCCAATTTCGGAAAAATCGTTGGGGACCCCCTTAATGCGTTGGGCCAACTTATACTCAAAAATGCAGCCGTAAAAATGGGGAAAATGGTTAGTATGCAAGGGATAAGCATCTGTGGAAGGTAGTTTGACAATATCTTCGGGCGCTGCCTGTCAAAGTACAAAGGCCACAGCAGCGCAAAGCAAACCTTGTTACCCATTTTACATAAAACACACACGAAACACCACAAGAAACACCTCACCTGCTTATTACACCAAACACGTTTTTTTTTCAAAATTTGAAAAAAAATGCTCTTCGGAAACATTTTTTTTGCGAAAATTTTCCAATCGCTGCGCAAAGTCGAAAAGTAAGCCCTATCTTTATCGCGACTGAGCGATTGTAATTATCAGATACCGGTAGGCAAGTGTGCTTTTCCGTAATGATACGAAACCCAATCCCTAATCGTCCAACAATTCTACTTTTCAAATTGCGCTGGCTACACTAGAATTATTGATTTCTTAATCCCAAGTGATACTTCTCGGTTGGTTCTTTGATGCGCACTTGGAGAATCAAGTACCAAAGATATTGGATAGCCTCAATTCAAATTGAGCAAATTTTAGACTTGTATATTCGATTCAAGGCGAATTAAAAATTTGTATACCGAATTGACTAAAATCAACGAAAAGGTGCAATCGATCCGTCCCTTCTTTCTGGCGAGTAGCTAGTGTATCAAATATTGTTTTGCAAAATAAATGAGCTACATGGACCACAGAATGCGGTAACTTTGAAGTATGTTTTTCTTGCGCTTCCGTAAATTATTGACCAAACATCAACAGAAATTGAGTGAATAATTCCAATGAATTGTTTGCCGAAATAATATCTTACTGGATAATGTACAAGAGTGAGAGCATCACTTATTCAGCCCCTCTTCCTCTGAGAAGATAGCCAAAGTGGGCGGTCGGATATCGCCTCCGCCAGTTTTGGCACTTTTTTGTTTCTAGTGCTTCAAATGTGTGATACTCGCTGTTTGCCAAACAGATACCAAACAGGAATGCTCCTTATCGCACGAGAACACAAAACTCACTGAAACGCCTTATCAACTCTCCTGCTGCGTTTCATTACTGAACATTTCTCTTTGTAATAGAATGTCACGACTTTTTTCTGGCACGAGAATGAGAATTATAAATCTTCAAAAACGACGATAACGATTTCAAAATTGAGAAAAAATAAATCTTCTAAAAAATAAATCCCGAAAAAACGCAGCTTCTTTACTTTGAGATAAGAAAAAGAATTAATTCTCCATTTCTTTCTATGCCCGATTACAATTGAAAGAAAAGGCTCCTGGAGCGGATTATTGCACCTGCAGATGGAGAGACACGGAAAGACCGATTGAAGAAGTTGCGATTAGCGCGGTATTATCCGGCAATATCACAAATCGCCGGTTTCCTGCTGTGAGCCGCACGTGGCGCTGTGGCGGGCAGCCGATTGGTCGAGCGGGCAGAGTACGGGAAACTGTACTCTCGCGAGCGCCGCTTATCGAGCTCAGAATAATGAATCATCATTTTCTGAGGATTGATGACTCTTTTAAGCACCTAAGAAAGCATGAAAAGGAAGAACTCGAATATAATGGCCAATTAATTCAAGTTCTTTTTCTCAATCACTAATTCGATACGAAAATAATTATATCTCGGTGAGGGTATTTGAGAAAGTTTAGTTCTCGTTTGAAGTGCGATCTGACAGGGATCTAATTTATTAAAACGACTTTTGTATAAGGCGCTAGTCTAAATAGTAAAAGATCCGTCTGGCAGGTCCGCCGTTCTCACGGAATCGTAAAAGTCCGCTGTTTTCAAAGACAATTTTGCCGGACTGGAAGTTAATTCGAATTCAGAAAAGTGAGCCTCTCGGAGCTCAAGTGGGTAACGTTTCGTTATCAGGGCGTATTTAGTATCTCTAGGTAAGATAGAATCAAATTTTCGACCCTCGATACTTTACGCGTAAGCCCCTGTTTGCTCCAAAACAGAAGCTACTCCCGTGTTCTTTCCTTGAGAACCATTATCTGGGATTAGAATTATGTTCTTTTGTAAATAGAGCAGGTGGACAGCGGAACAAAAACTTGCCCTTTGACAATTTTCCGCTGGGCGAAGTCCGATAATTTGGGGATATGGGAAATATGGGATTTTCTTTTTATCTTGACATGTGGTCCCCACCCACTTGCGGTCAGATGGGCGAAATTCGCTTTTCCGGGAATTTCGAACTGTTCTATCCTTAAGGGGGTAGACCTTTTTTTTGGTTGGCAAGAGCTTGATGTTCGGAAAGGTTCTAACTCAATTTTCAGAGCGTGAAATGCGGAACATAAGTGAATCATTTATTCGAGGTAGATTTCTGTCCGTGCCAGTTTGACCAGGTTAGTTGTCCTCTTTTCCGTTACGAATTTGTCCCCGGCGCTCATTTGCCACCACAAATACAATGTAGATTCTGCACGCTCCTCAACCGCGCGGTTTTTACCTCCATCCTGGCACCACCGGGCCCGTAGACGGACATTAATGCAATTCATAATTTTACGCTGCACTTTTGGGGCATTATGAACATTTTAAACTTCGTCTGCAAAGGCAGGTTAAATGAATCAAAGAATGAAAAAATTCAATTCCTGTCATTTAAAAAACGTAAATCCGCTTGCTAACCGCCACTTCCGCTAATTCGCGCTAGAAATCGGATTCGGGTAAAACTCTTGTAAACATTGTTTCATCGGGCAGTAAGTATAATGTCCTTTGATCCTTAGTTCTAAAATATTCAAAGTATCTGAGCGACAGGAGCAGATCCTCTTTGCGACGCAAATATTTACGATGGAAGGGACAACCCTAATTAGATGAAAATCTCCTCTGCAAAATATACTTCCACAGGCGAACCTGCATAAATTAACACAAAACATGCGTCGGTTATGAATACCGAAAGAAAAAGGCCCTTTATTTTGTTGACCAGAATAAGGGGGTCAGTAAGCTAACTCTTCGAAAATTTAACTTGAAAATCACTTTGCACATCTTTAGTTTTGAGAATTTTCGGTAGTTTGAAAATGGCAACAAAAAGAAAGAAAACCCGACAGATTGGAAAAGTGAGATCTCTGTGGCTTTTCGATTATTTGCTTATTTTCATTGTCGGCAGGTGAGTAACCGTCATTGTGGTGGTAAATCTATGTCGAGTGGTTATGCTTTAAAAAAAAAGAACTCGGCGTGGCTTTCAATTGTCCGATAATATTGTCCGATGCTTCGAAACATGGCGGTAGTGCAGATACGATAAAATAGATACCGACACCACCAACACCACAAATCAACCTGCGCCCGTGATGCTACAAATGTATGAGAGCCGAACATGTAGAAACATTCGAAGATAAGGGCCCGCGACGCTTTCCAAACCACAATTCTCTCGATGAGATAACGATTCCAAATTTAAACCCGATCACGGATAATTTTCTGAGATTTCGTATAAGGACCTCAAATGTTAGTTTTGTTCCAAAGGTAACTCAGCAGGGACTGTCGCCGACGGATAATCGCGTTAACTCGTTCCACTAACTCACAAAAATCAAAGGGTGCGTTTTACACCTAGTTGCGAGGAGGGAGCACCTAAACAAATTATAAATACAACTCCGATGTGCCGATTCTCTCCAGTCACTCCTACAGTAACCAAATCAGAGAGGCACAATGTTTTACGAGTGGAATCCGCGAGTTCCGAATGCTGTTTTTGACGTTGACTTTCGAAAAATCTGGGTGTACGGATCGGATAAATGGAGAAAAGAATTTGAGATGGTTCAAGCTAGGGACAAGGTAAAACCTTCATATGATGAGTAACTCAAACGTATCTAGGAAACACTTTATCAAGTACTCCAAGAAATCCGAAAAGAGATCGGCATGGTCCATGCCGCATGGACGAGCAACCTCGACGAACTCCTCCTTCTGGCTACCTATGCCACCTGTGTTTCGGCCCTGGCCATTTCATCAAAGACTGTCCATCAAGCAAGCCAAAGGGGGAAGGACTTACTCCCTACCAAGGGAAAAAGAGATGTTTCGGAGAGTTTAAATGTCCAAAATGCAAGAGAAAGTGGCTCTCTGGCAACTCATGGTGCAACATGGGACAAGAATGCATCAAATGTAGAATCAATGTCTACCCATCTAAGCAGGTAACCATAGGTAGAGTTGTTCATTTATAACGCTTTCTAGCGACCCCTGAACAAGCAAGAAGCAGCTGCTGTAGCCCAACGGGAGCACCCAAAAGAACTCTGCGAGAAATGTCAGCAGCTCGGCCGATATTGCCGAAACGATTCACCAGACTTTATGTAACTCATCATTTTTTACTTTTGATCTACTCTGTACATTTTCGAAACCATTTCATTTTTTGCATGATTTTTCTTCTAATAAACCTTCAATCATTTTTTCTCTTTTTACGGGTTATTTTTACGATAAGTAATATTTATCCGGATTTAGCGAAGGCGAAGCTCTCGATCCACTTGTGCCTCTCAGTGGAAGAAGTATCAAAGCGGCGAGAACCTGTATAAACCTTTCCTCAATAGGGCACTTGTTTGATTCCTCGCCATTAGCCCGTGCTAATACTCGGACGTCACTTACCACTCGGTAAGTGAGAGAGCCACCTAACTAAATTTTCACCCTCCTCGAAAGGTTGGAAAACCGGCAGAAATGTCCGACAATCAAGATTTTAGAAACTATTTTCGTCAATTTTGAACCCTCCAGCTAATTATGAGAATAATTGTAAGTCAGCAAATCCATTCTGTCGACCACAAATGCATTGGACTTTTTGTCAGTTTCTTTGCTTTTTATAGCCACAAAACAGAACCGTCAAAATTACCACTGGACTGGAGTCTGACCACAAAGCAGGTCCATTTGTGACCGCAGTTTTCACTACTTATGATGTGAAAAGACTCGATAAACATGAATATAATATGCAATAATGTATAATGGCATTTTTTACTCGCTGCGTATTCTGACAGCAGACTGATGCATTATTCAAAGAGCATCTGTAAGTGTCTCTCTTGCTCAATTTGTGCATCATCAATTCGCAAACCGCGAAGAGTTGTGAGTTCTCCTCCGATATACTAAGAAATCGATTTTGAACTCGCGCTCGTTGTCTGTCTGAAATCATAGAAGATAAACTATTTTATTTTTCAGGATTTCTGGGTAAATAAGTCAGGAGAGGCGTAATCGACAAAGAACTCATTAGAAATGATCACTGTCGAAGCAGAACTCTTCGCAGCTATTGAGGCAGATGTCAGCTTGAACTTCGTAGAAAACGGCATTGTCAAGGACTGGATCGAGCTCAGCAAGTTCAACGACGTCGTAAGGAGGGAGGAGATTCATTCTTTGGATTTCAGCGCCGGCTAGGAGAACCTCACTTCCCAGTAGAACAGCGGATCCTTCATGGAGAGGCTAAATGAGATTTAATATTTGCTCGACATTTGGATTCCGACCTTGAGGAGTCGCTGACGGAACTGGAATCGGAAACTCTGAGTTTGGGAGTCTTCCATCATTTCGTAGACATCAGATTGCAAGTCGTTGCTATCATAGCCGCCAAAAAGGAAGGCTTGATCAGTGTCGAGGACGGAAACAATTGTCATATCCGCGATTCCGCTGATGAAAAAATATAATTGATTTCTTTTATGAAAGTATTTCTACCTATTCTTAGGGAAATCTTCATATTCAGTCCAACCGTTTCGTCCGAGGAACTCGAGTTTACTGTTAAATGTATCGCTTTTTTGGGTTTATGATTGAATTGAACTTGAAAATTGTTGACGTGCTCAATGACAGTAAATCCGATCCTGTTCATAGCTCCGCCTCCAATGGCAAAAACTTGTTTCTTATAGATTCCCAAGCCACCTCTAGAGTGATCATTTTTGGTCGATGCAAGAATAGGGTTGCTGTTTACGCCGTCAAACTCAAAGCAACTTTTGCTAGATGAACCGAAGCAAAAGTTCATCACTAAAAATCAATAAATTTTATAGTTTTGACATTTTCCTTACTGTCATCTTCGAATCCAATGTTGTTTTCAATGATCGCGCATTTTCCGTGATAGGAATCAAACGAGTATCCGAGCTGGACTCCAGTGTCTTCAATCGCACAACCTTCAATTTTAGCAACTTGGCGCTTCTTAGTCATACCACCGAACATCAAGTGTTCGCCCTTGAAAAACGCATAACAAGCCGCGTCGAGCTCGACATCCAAGAATGGACCGTATCGACGCTGCTCGAAGACACTTCCATCTCGACTGATGATTTTACCAACGAGTCGCATCTCTTCATCAAGAAGCACTGCGTATCGTTGGCAAGTAAAGTTGTCGCAAGGACAGCCGCCTGGGCAATTGCTTCGGCATGGACACTCGGCAACTTTTGTCTGTAGCTCCATGCTACAGTCCGCGATGCATGAATCATCTGGGCACGCCTAGAGACTAATTTTAAAACAGCGATATAGAAGATCTTACCTTCATACAAGCTGCATGCTCATCCGAAAACTTGTCCACACAGAACTCGTGCTCGCCGTTGAGATGCAGATCCTTGCAGCTGCAAACTGGGTTGCCACAGCCAGCACAGCCGTCTGGGCACTCGTCATTGCAGGGACAGGCAGCCCCGCAACGAGCGGCTTCTCCCAAACATTCATACTGACAAGAGCTGTTCGAGCAATTGGCGTAGCACTCTGCAAGATCAGCGTTGCAGAAATCTTCGCATCGCTTTTGAAGATCCTCATCTGGGCAAGTTTGCCCGAAAGAGGATCCAATGAGAAAAGTTGACAATAGCTTCATACTCGAGAATTTTCCGGTCTCTTGTGAAATATTGAAGAGGGGAAAATCGAACGGCAGATTTTAATGATTGTTGGTCAAATATCAGAGGGAAGAAGGAGACGGATTGTGTAAATTTCAGACTGCAGCCTTGATTACAGTCGTTACGCACAATTCCGTAACGCACAATTCCGGACATTTAGAGGAAAACGGAAAAAATTAAAAAACGCACAATTCCGGACAATTCGACAAAAAATATTAACTGAAATTTATATCGTATAAGTTGACCAAGATTGAATGTTTCTCTTTGGATTTTATTGTGACATGTTTCGATCTTTGTAAGAGTCATTTTCAAACTAAAGAACAGCTACAGTAAGTCACAAGTAGTAGGAGAAAAGAATACCCTTGAGTCGTTATGAATTTACGAAAAACGCAACTGAACAGAAAAAGCGAGGAGCTGCTCCATCTCAAAAACAACTGCACCTCGCTTTTTCTGTTCAATTGCGTTTTTCCTATTTAAAATTCATAACAACTCAAAGGTATTCTTTTCTCCTATTATTTGTGACTTACTGTAGCTGTTCTTTAGTTTGAAAATGATCTAACAAAGATCGAAACATGTCACAATAAAATCCAAGGAGAAACATTAACTGAAATTTATTTTACTTGATCATTTTCTTGCAAAAAAACTAAGAATGCTTGCTTGTTTCTTCGGCTTTTCTGGCTTCTGCTTTTTTCTCGATATTTTACGTTTTGAATAAAAAACAAGCATTTTGAAAACAAAAATTTTTTCCATCTAGAATCCGCACAATTCCGGACATTTGGCCCTTTTTGCTGAAAAAAAAAGTGTCCGGAATTGTGCGTAACGACTGTATACAGTAAAAATGGCGATCATGCGAAGTTTCTAGCTGATTTTGAGAAAAAAAGTCTCTAGATGAATTACAAACAAAAAAGTTTTCAATCAAAATCTTCAGTTTCCCGATCAAATTCCTCCTAAACGGACATTTTCAGAATGAGTCTTCGTATCGGAACTATCCCGCGTGTCTTCAACCTTGAAATAACACCGGATTTCGGGGGCCCGATTCTCCTCGTTGTTCTCTATCTTGAGGCGTTGGCCCCGGATCAAAATGGACGGCGACTTCGAGCCGCTCTTTTCGACGGAAAGTACGAGCAGCAGATGATTGTAATTCGTACGAAAAGAAACATCGCTAGAGGAGACCTGATTAAAATTCCTAGCTGGAAAATGGTCGGTTGGGAACATGGAAAACACATGCTAGGTTGAAAAAAGTTCCAATTTTATTGTCTTCATAAATACAATATTTTTCAACACAAAAACAGACCATCATGGAGATTGACGACAATTTTGAAGTCTTGCAACGAAGAATCGATGTTCGACCACACGTTCCTTTCCTCAGAAATAAGATTCTTTGGACGAATGGCGATCCCTATCCGAACATGTTTACTAACAACCTTCAACTTGCGCTTCTCAATGATGATTTCCGAAAATCCCTTCATGGATTTTTCTAACTTTATCGACATCTGCCTTTATCATTCCATTCAACTGAAACAATTTATCAGAATAAAAAATACACCATAAATTGAGATTCTCATTATTTTGATGGAATCATAAAAATAGCCATTTTGCCCAGAAAAAAGTTTTACGAGCGATTTCGAATTGAAATCAAAAACATAAAGAGAAATGATTTCCCTCAGAAACATTTTAATTTTCCTTTTCTGCTTTCAAAACGCATCCGGCGAGTGTACTGAGTCAAGCTGCAGGAAAAAAGTTTCAACCAAGTGCATATCCTCATCGAAATTCTTTTCTATCGAATTTTAGTGGCGGATTGAAGGAGAATTACGAAGTGAAGTTCAAAAATCACCTGCGCGAAGGCCAAGCTTCAGAGCTTATTCTGATGCGGGACATAGTAGTCAAGCGAAATGGCAAATTTGTCACTCAAACTGCGACGCCTCTCATTGTTGCTACGCGCATCGCCAATGGACAAGTCGTTGTTGATGTCATTCAGAAGAATAGAGGACGAAAAAGTACGCTGGGAACAGGAATGGATGAAAATTGACTGTTTTCTGAAAAATTATTTTTCGCTTTCAATGTTATTTTTATCTAGTGAAGCTCGCGGATTCCGAAAACTAAGAAATGGGAGCTTCACCGTCGGCGTTTCAGTTCGAAGTTGTAATAATGACAACTGCCAGCTTCGCGTTAAACTCAACGGAAAAGATGCAAAGAAGAAATTTGGTCGAAACACCCAGCGAAAAAACTATCCGTTCAAGGTTTCAAGATTGACGCTTTCGAAGGTTAATTTTGTCGCATGCAAGAATATCGATCGAATCCCAGGTAAAGGTTGACTTCAGAGCGTTCATGATCATTTTTAGTGACGGAATGTTCTGTCCAGCCAAGAATGATTCGGCGACAGTTTTGGAAGAGCTTGTCGGAGCCTAACTGTGGCAGGACGTTTAAAGTCACACCAGAAGAAATGCACGCGATTCCGAGCTTCATCAGAACGACTTTGAAAGATGACGCTGTTGACAAACATCTAAATGTACTTTTTGATTTCTCTCTCATGTCAATCACTTTTCAAGGAATGTCTTTACGCAAGTGAAAAGCTCAGAATCTCAAGAGAACATGTCGTTGGCGGAGTGAACGCATACCCTGGTCTCTCTCCTTGGACAGCATCCATCCGTGCGTTGATAAATGATAACCATCGAACTTGCGAGGCAAATGTTGGCACTGCAACGCTGATTGACAAGTGCTGGCTTCTAACTGCTGAGCACGTGGTTGGAATCGGAAGTAAACTCAGTTCCTTCAAAGTTCGTCTCGGTGATTATTTTAACCGCGGTTCTTCGACAATGCGACAAACTGCCAACTGCGATCAAAACGACGAAAGAATGAATGGATTCTTTGGGCGAGTAGAGAGCGAGCATGAAAGTGAAATCGAACATTTTATCCGACATCCGGACATTGACGGAGAGCATATCGATGTGGCGCTTATAAAGATGAAAAACTGCGTTGAGGATTATACAAAATATATTCAACCGGTTTGTCTCCCGGAATCTCTGAATGAGTTTAGTGATGATATTTGTGGAGTTGTTTCTGGATGGGGAAAGAGCAGCCCGACACAGGAAAGAATACCGGAAGTACAAAGTTGATGTCGCAAGAAAAATTAGTATTCGTATAAGGGCCCGTTGGAAACCCCTGCAGTTCTTCAAATTACTTCTATTGCGCATATTTCAGAAAAGCAGTGTAAAGAAGAGTTTGATAAACAAAACACAAGAATCGATCATAAATTTAAATCTGGGGTAAATATTTGACCCCCAAATTCGGGGCCCGAGTGAAGTTCACTTTGTTCTAGGTTATTTTTTGCGCGGGAACACCAGACTCTAGTCCAACAACTCGTGACACTTGCAGTGGCGACAGCGGCGGTCCTTTTGTTTCTTATGGGTTCAGGGAAGAAGATGAGTTCACTGAAATCAAGGAAGACTACGCGCGAGATGATAGAGCTGTTTTGCTCGGAATAACTTCCAGCGGCGCGAAGGTAAAAAACCTGCACGCAAACTGATCATAATTTTTAGAATTGCAATGTCTATGGTTTCTACAGTCGCGTTACAAGCATTATGGATTGGATTTACGAAGTCAAAATGAACGCTAAATACAATTGACTGTAATGAATTTCATCAACGGAAGAACTGTATTGTGAAAATAGCCTTCGAGATGCCTGAAAGCGACATTGACCAAGTGCATCGGAAATGTGAAACACATCCTTGTGTCTGTTTGCTCGAAAGGCCAAACAGGAAATACTTCCGCCGCTCGCAACTTTGGTCGGACAATGTGACCGCCAGATTACGCCAATTGTACTTATGCAAAGTCAAAAGTCAAATTCGCATATTTTTCAATTTCCCATCAATGCAACGAACTTATTTGTGTTTCATTTTGGCACTTTTACAACGTGTTCCTTTCCTGCCAAGATGTTGAAACTCGGTAGACTAGGGGAGCAGGGTTTTATGAAAAATCAAATAAGAAGGGTCTACCGTAGCGGCTGATAAGTACCACTGACCTTTTTCAATATCATCGGAACTGGTATTTTTTGAGATTTCCGAGAGCAGTAAAAGCTTATCGAAAATCAAGCCACCGAAAACATCAAAAAATCATCGAAAAAGATAAGCACGTATTCATTCTCGTTCGAGTCAGCGTAGCGCGCGCACGAAAATAATATTTTTCGATTTTTCTTCGGAAATTTCGTTGCGCCCTTTCTTTCACTGCTTGAGCCGAGAACCTGTTCTTTTCTAGCGATCCTCGCTCCATTAGACAGGCAGTCTGGTTAACTTAACCCTAAACCTTTCTCTTTGTATTAAGGTAAGAGTCGCCTTAAAGACTCTGGCAGTTTCTCTTTGAATTACTCTAATCTTTCACGTCCACCACTGCTTGGTACAGTCGCCATAACGACTGATCTCTTCTTATTGATCTTCAGCAAGGAGGAGGAGGCTATTTCCTCCTCCTTCTTCTACTTGACGTTAAGGCTGCGGCCCCGCTACTCGCATTCGCGCCAAAAAGCGTTACTTTCTCACAAATACCCAACGGTCGCATTTGTTTCGCGCGTTCAGCTGCGCCGGACCCTGTCGCTCGGTCCTTGTTTCACTCTCTCAAAAGAGATTTTGAGAGATTGAACTGCCCGCACTGAATGAATTCCTTCTCTTTCGGCGATGGACCGCCATCACCCAGTCGACGAAACGATAAAAAGCGTAACCGAGAGGAGGATGGTATGGCATCCTCCTCCAAAAACTCAAGAATCTCTCCAGGGCCTAGTGGAGACACTCCCCGGCCCCGTGGCACGTCGGACTTTAACCGTCGAAGATCCAACGGAAATGGTCGCTACTTCAACCCCCGCAACCGACAAAGTTTCGGTCAGCGAAAGCAAAACAAAGGTACTCCCTCCGAATAATACTGTAGTGACTTTATGCTCAGGGAATAACGGCGGAAACAACAGCGGCCCGTCGGGGCAAGCGAATAAACCGCCCAGAAAGCTATTCCAAGGGCTTAACGTCCTAACTACAGAAATTGGAGATACCCAACAAATGATTGACCATCGGTGCGACCTTGCGCGCCAGTCAGCTGTTCACCTTGCTGATCTGGATCTCAATGCTCATTCGGATATCGTTATGAACTACGACCTCTTCGACGAGAAACGTGGCTTTTTGAAAAAGGAGGATGGCTTCGACTATCTCCAATCAAGCGCATCGGAACTCACTGACTGCGGTTACACGTCTAATAACCACGTTGTACACCGTAACGCCCCGTTCGTATCAGCAAACCACTACGAGGACATCCTCAGCACTGCCCTCCCTGTTTACAACAACCTTGTGCTCAGCTTCAGTTGGGTGCCAGAAGACTGGAAGGGTGACAAATATCAGTTTCACCTGTTCACTCGTGTCACTGTCCAAATCATGGAAGAAACACTCACAAAGTTGCACATCAGCTGGGATGAGATCCGATCCTTAATCGTCGTTAATAACAACGGTGAAATAATCCAGCCCACGTCCGATAATCTCACTCGCAATAACAGAGCCACAGTGAAAGGAATTCGCTTTCGTAGCCTTTTCCCAACGCTAAAGTTCATTATCCTAGCCAATGGGGCTCTCTCGCCGGTTGACCCATTTCATCATGCCTATCAGATCCCACGCTGGGCAATGCTTTTCACCTTCACTGAACGCCTGAGCGGAGGAAGAGGCTTCACCGTCGTCCCAAACAACGGAGTCAAGATTCTGTCCGTACTTCGTGCAGTTCTTGAGAGATGGTTCCACTATGTGCTGAATTACCCGGGATCGTTTACCTTTCATCAAAAGTCAAACGTCCTTAACGTTCTCCCCATTGCAGCAATCTTCAACACTACCATCAGCAGTATGAATGTTGAGACCCTCTCTCCGAATGCGGCTGAATTTGACGAATGGATCTCCCGCCTAGATCCGCTCATCTTCGACAAAAGATTTCACACGATGTCCAGGACCATCCCGCGATTTTATCATGACATCAGCAGAGCGATCATTGTGCTCCAAGAATATTTCAAAGCAGGTACTCGCTCCCACTGGTTCTCCATGACATCAGTAGAGCTCTTCATCTCAAAACTGGAACTACAGCGATCCTCCGCCAATCTAGCTGACACCAAGCTAACCGTCAAGATGCTTCAGGACCCAGATGTAATGACCTCCAAGGCCGAACTCGCTAAACGTACAAACCATCTGGCCAATGACCTCTCTAGGTCAAAGGATGATGGTCGAATTACATCCTCCGTGGACCACATTGTTAGAAATACTACCATGGGCAAGACAGTCGCGGAAGCCGAGTCCCAGCTCATCAAAGCTCATGAAGAACGATGCCGTGCTGCCTCGGCCATTCAGAACGTTGCTCTTTATACACACTCAACCAACCGCATCCAGAACCACCAGATAATTGAGATCAGAAAAGAACTGGTTGCGTCTGCTACTACTCCTGAAGAAAGAGAAAGGAGGCAGCGTGCTCTCGACAAAGACCTGGCCTTTAATCTGCATCACGACAGGCACTTTAATACTGACGGTACGCTTTTTGGCTCTCTCACCATCTTGAAGGACAAAAACTCGGCTCCTGCTGTGGTCAGCCTCAAAGACGATTCCAAAGTCTCTCTTACTGGCTACATGTCCGATACTCCAAATGATCAACTTGCTCGCCTGCACGAAGCGGCCTTCCACAAGAAGGAACTCTCCACCTCGCATTACTACTACAAAGCTGGCTTGCCTGAGGGTAGTCGTTCGTTGCAAGTAAACACTAATCCCTTCACCGCCGTCCAAAACGAGGTGCCGAGCGAGATATCCTTCCAAAACGCTTCTCCCTTGGACAACTCAATCACGGAAGCTGAAATGCCCTCAAATGAGAACATTCGTCAGGATGATGATCGTTCTTCAACTTACTCCTCCGATCTTCAAGCCGAGGAACTCACTCAGCGCCTCAATGAGTCCAAGGTAAAGACCACTAAACACTTTCTCTTCCAAAAGACGCTGTTGGATCACAACATTGCGATTGAACAGTTCAGCGATGATGAAAGAAGTGAGGTATCGGCCATTATTCAATCCGTCCAGCCTCCAGCTCCTGAAAATCAAGCTGAAATCTCTGCCCCGACAATTGTACAAGTGAAAACCATTGACCCCCAAAAGGGCCAAGTCGATCACGAGCTAACTGATCAATTTGCGACAGGGACAGATGCGAAATGGAACGCCATCAGCAAGATTGAGGAGCAAAACAGCTGGATTAACACTGTAGAAACATTTGACAACTCTGAGGATTTCATATTGAAGAAGAAGCCTGTTGTATTCTCCTCGGTGGAAATGTTCAACAACGTCAAGGATAAGGCCAGTGTCCGAACCCTGAAGATCGAAAATGCAATCAGCAGATTCACTGGAATCAGCAACAAGAAAGAACTCGGAGTTCTTGTTAGAACATGGCACTCAAATATATATGAGCTCAGGGGCATCCTCGTTAACAACCTCCGTGATACAATCAACACGGACGATAAACGCAAAATTGAGAGTATGGAGCTTGATGATGCTGCATCTCTTGAAAATTGGAACAACTTTCTAGCGGGAGTCAGAGTATATCGCCTGGCTATGTATGACCCCGAATCCCTCATTTCGATGCTCTTCTGCAATGCTGACACGCTCATGTCATATGTTCCAATTCCTCCGTCCAAAATAATCTACAATTGGGTCAAACTTATGATAATGGACAACAAAAAGGACAATGGTCCAAAGACGCCTCAAAACATCCTTCTTTCGCAACTGGTGGCGCTCGGCCTGCTCGTCACCAGCAGAAAATCGCACGTAGCGGTTTACAAGCGGGATGATCTACCTGGACAGCATCTCTTAACGAGCAAACCCATCTACGCCAGGATCCTAAAGGTCAGTCCTGCCCTGGTTTCAAGGCGCTTCAATATGGTAAAAACTTTATTAGAATCATAGCCATCAAAGAATATCAGCAAGAACTTAACTTCACTATTTTTGACTGTCCAAAGCTGGCTGAAGAAAAGCCAGGCTTCAAAGCTTTTCTTAACGAAGTTACTAGCAAATTGCTTGCTAATACTCTGCTTTGCGGCTTTCTCTGCTGGCTTCGGGACCGCAATTTCATCTCATCTTGTTCTTATAGGGGCCTTCTAACGCTTAATGACTCTGAAGATGACGATGATGACGACTCTTCCTCCGGCCTCCCACCCCTTTTACATCCTCCCCTTCTCCCAAACTTCAAACAATATAAAAATCTTCTGGAAATCGAAACCACAACCCAACGAGAGAAGAAAGTTCTCCAATTCTTTGAATCAGGTACTGTTCCTAGAATGCCCTTCTCTCATAATATTCCGAGCCCTGAGGTCTTGGCTAAAGGTAAAGGCCTGGCTGGTATTTTGCCGCCGACCAGTGAGCTCCCAGCTCTGAAAAAATCCATTCGATGCCCAGTTCCTACCTCAGGTGATCTCTCTGCGGCAGTTATCCAGCATAATGAGCAAATTATTAATGCCGCTGATAACATTGTGATCATCAGCGCGAACCTTGGTAACTGCAGATCCCTTGACAAAATTAAGCGACTAGTAAACCATCATCGCTCAGCCCATATTTTTTGTATTAGTGAATTGTTCATGGAAAAAGATGTGGCGCTGGATAAATCAAATTGGCCTAATGGATTCCATATTCATGTAGGCATGCCCTCTCGCGACGGCAAGAATCAGATCTTTACAATGATCATTCTACGCAATAATATTACTGTTAAGAGGATGATCCCCGATCTTCATCAAAACCTGGCGCTTCACATTGACGTCAATGGAACTCAACTTCTCGCCTGCTGTATTTATAACTTCTGCGGCGGCCGTTATGATAACTACAAAACCAAGTACAACGTTGATGACTCGGCTTTTCTGCTGGACCTCGCCAAGGTTAGTCAAGAAAAGGGTGACTCTCCCTGCTTCATCACCGGGGACTTCAATCTCGAACTTGCAAAAAATAGCCCCAAATTTGCTCGAAAGTGTGACGCTGTAAAAAATGCCCTGTTAGATTTCAACCGTCTAACTAACTTCATTACATTCAGGCGTGAGCTTCGCAACGGCCATACCCTCGAGTCAGCAATTGATCATTTCTTCCTCTTCTCCGGCAAACTCGACCTCACCAAAGCTCTCTCCAAACCTGGTGATCACAGAACAAGTCTTCAATCTGACGGACACGTCGGCCTAGTTACCGTACTTCCCATCCGCCCCCCAAACGGTAAGATTTGGAAGTTATGGAGAGTACCCGAGGAAAAAGACCTTCATTTTTGTTACAAAACCGGCATGAAGCTAATCTACTCTAACCTACATAGGTTCAATGAGGAGGGAGGGATGGACACGGTTCAGGTCACACATGACCTGCTCGTGAAGTATGCTGAACTGACCCGCCCGCTAAAAGAAAAAATCATCGTGCAAGATAATTATAAGGTCACGACTTCTGCTACCACTAGAAAGTGGCTGCGGACTGGCTTTTACCTTGAAAAGCTAATCCGGGACACTAAGAAGGATGAAGTTCCTTCCTCCTGGTGGCGTAAGGTAGTTGACCTATGGGTTGACTGCAAGAAAGTAATTGAGAAACTCAAAACGGCTGATCGGCGGTACCACCTTGCGCGTAAAGCCGATCCGTACGAACTAAGTCTGACGGACAGCTGGGGTATTTTCAAAAACGACATTAAATTGACCAATAGCATGGAAGTGAATGACAGCCCCGATGACGTTGCAAATGAATTTTCTGAGTTGCAAAAGTCCACCAAGCCCAATTTAGAGAAATTGAAAGAAGCTGAGCCTCCCTCATCCCTTCACAAACTTCCAAAACTTGATTTTGAAACTGTTAAATATCACAAGTCATCTAACAGGCCTTCTATTCGGGAAATTTACTCCAAAAATAAAAAGAATACTTGTGATTTATATAATATAAATAAAAAATGTCTAGAGACCTTGCCGTGTGTCGCAACCAACTTCTTCATCCTGATGCCAATTCAGCTCTGCATTAGTGAAGGTAAGCTAATCGATGCATGGAATATTAATAAAGTCGTCCCCATCCTAAAAAAGAATGGACGCAAAAGGCCTATCACGGTGGGAAGCTGTATTGGAGGTATTATTGAGAAATTAGCAACCCGAACCCTTGCTGATTACCTCTTTCATTTTGGCTTAATCCCTCCCTCTCAACATGGCTTTAAGCCTTCCCACTCGTGTGGGTCGGCAATATTTAATGTAACTAAAGTGCTTACCACTGCACTTGCGTCCCGAGTCGTGCCTAGCGGGATAATAGACCGTGCCGAACGCGCCAGCGGCGTTGTCATGATCGACGCCGCCAACGCGTTCGGCACGGTCCCTCACGAGGTGCTCATCAGAATGATGCTCCCCTTCTGTAGCGTCAGATTTATTGAGTTCATCAGAATTTTTCTCGTGAGATTTTTCGTAGTTTCCATCAGGGGGTTTCTCAGCAGTGTATTTAAACTAGAGCCTTTCGGCTTGCCACAAGGCGCTGCGCCCTCCCCAATTCTCTTTTCCTTCTTCAGCACCAGTATCCTGCTAAACGCTCTAATTGATCCTATTCTAGTGCCTGAGCGCCCGCTTGAGCTCACCCTGTCATCCTCGTCTCTGCTGTGCAATGAGACGAACTGCCGCTGCGACCACGGAGCTCCACGTGAGTCCTGTATCACCGAAGGTATTAGTTTGGGACAGAGGATGAAGTGCGGTAATCATCCTCGTTTAGCAGGAGCGTTTACCTTGTATGCGGACGATGTGGCAGCCGCGGTGTTTGGAGCCGACATCAACGATGTCAACGCTGGCATTGCGAGTACTGCTGAGGGCGCCGCTGATCGAATCGAGAGCCTGGGGCTTAGAGTTGCTGATCAGAAGACTGAAGTACTCTTAATAAGTAAGTCCGACCATCTCCCCAACATTAACATCAGAGGCCAAGCCATCCCTGTTTCCAACTCCCTTAAATACCTCGGCGTAACCCTTGCATCCGTAAATGGCAAGTTGTCCCTTAACAATCATGACAAGATTATCACGTGCAGGTTGCGGAGCAATCATCACAAGCTAGCCACTCTAAGAGGCGTCGTCAGTCCAAAAGCAAATGCCCAAATGGCCCGAGGCCTAAACTACGGAATCATAAATCACACTGCAGACTATAGGCCTATCCCGCCGCAATCCACAGTGAACACATGGCAGCGTATTCACTGTAACTCGCTGTTGGGTCGTACACCTCGGCCTTGGTACATCATTGAGATGCAACGTAAAATGGAAGAGGAACAGCTCTCTTCCTCGTCCGCATCACAAAAGCCTACCCTTAATCTCCCCATTGACTTCATCAGGCTCGAGTACGGCAAGCCTGTAGCTGATGATGACCTCATTGTCCTGGACAGATACGGTCAACCCACTGTTCTCGACAATATGGTCACAATGGGGGTTAATAATATGCATAAAGTCTGGAAACTGCATCTCCCGGTCTGTGCATGGGAATCGCTTAAGCTCTCCTTGATCCTAGTTGACCGCAAGGGAAACAGGGTCGGTGTGCTTCCGGACTTCGGTGAGTATTCCAGGAGAAAGACATTCTTCATTAACGAGTCCAGGTTCCATCATGACAGAACATTTGGCATTCTCACCGCCAAAGAGCATGCTGAACTAGCCTCCCTGTTAGTTGAAAGGGAAAGGTTGCGCTCGCTACTATCTGCGGGACATCTCACTATTAGAATGACCCACCCTAGGCGTGAGTTACTTAAGCAGAAAATTGATAAGAATACCTGGCCTTTTCACCTCATCAGCTTTTTAACGACCTACCAACGAGCATTCGGAACAGCTTTGTATCTGATGACTTTCCAACTATTCTTAAACTATTTATGAAAAGCAAGCACAAGCACCACAAAAGGGCAATCTGGTGCGACACATGCAGGCCAGGCGCACCCTTTTACAAGTTCGACCTCCATCCCTCTTTGCCACCTACCTCAAAACCATCTACTCCTCGCGTTATTCGTTCCAATTGTACTCCATCTGATCTCCGGATGGACGAATATCTGAACAATCTTGAGGAAAGTATTGAATTTACCAAGAAAGAACATGCACGGGTGTTGCTTCTTGCAGACTGGTGGTTTCCCTTTAATAAGAAAAGAAAAATTTATGAGTCTTTTGAGTCATTTTGTAGTCTTGTGAAGTTTCTAACAGGAATATCAGGAAAGGAAAATCTTATGGCTAAGCAACTCTTGTTCGATAAGACCACAAAGCTTGCTCTTGAAAGAGCAGCCATCAAAATCACCTTGAATAAGATGAAGTAACCCCCTCCTACTCTCATATGCATCAGTCATATAATTTCTTTTAGAAGTCAACTTCCTCGGCCAACGACTTCAAATGGTGATGGATGATGTTGATCCCGGCTACGCAGTCGAGTATGTGCTGTACGATATAAAAACTGGCTCATACAAGGCTATTACTCATATCGAGATTCAGTCACCATCCTTCATCGCTGGCCGAAATGTCCATGTACTTCCATCCTTTCATGGCGAAGACATTACACGCAACTTGAATGTTACTAAAGGATATAAGTTACCCTCCCATATCCTTCGATTGGCAGATGGCTATTACAACAGCTATAGCAAACACTTCGGCTATGATAAGAACAACTTTCTCGTATGGCTTGGCGTCAAACAGCAGCTACCAAGCCCTGCCACTCGGGCGAAAATTCGTTCTGCTCGACAGGCATGGGAAAACATCGCGACTGCTCGGAATTCAGCCTGGAAGTTGGATGTTCGCTGCTCACTCTCCATCGCTGAGATCAATGAGGCCAATCCTTCTTCCTTCCCGAGCGACATGCTATTCGAATCGTCAGAGCCACATCTGGACGCTCGAATTAAAAGCTGCCAGCATCGCCCTCTACGGTGACTTCTTCATTCTCCCAACCGCAGGAGCTGCAGTTATTCTCAAGGACAAGAAGGGAACTGCGGGCGCCTGGATCAACATCAGGACGGTTGAGCTGCTCCAGAGATCAAATGATGCCATGAATGCTCTCCCATCAGTTCTCATGAAGCTATCCCACTACTACACGGTTCTTCGAGCTTTTCGTCAAACTGGGCTCTTCAGCAATCTCGACTCAAACGAGCAAATCGCCTCCATCGCAGTAAATCTCTGCTCTCAGCCCTGCAAGAGTGAGATTGCTGTCCTCAAGACTGATATCGTCTCCTTGATTCACAAGTTCGGCTGTGGGGATGAACACACCGACATCTTTGATTATGCCCACGGAAAATCACTACCACACTCTGCGTTCTTAGGGATCAATAAGGGCATACTCGAGCAAGACCTTATCGAAATTACTCAATTTGAGTGGAATATGATGGAGGAGGTTGCATCATCATCCTTCGGTCACTCGTTGTCCACGCTCCTGAACAAAATGGCCGCGCACGTCTCATCCTCCATGTGCAACTTCTGCTCCACGCTTAAGGACGTCGTGGATTCCCGGGACGCTGGTGCCTCCAATGCTGATCTGGAAAACCGTGCCGCTAATGCTCAGAAGATCTTAATTGCCTTCATAAACAAGCTCAAAGCCATCAGCACAAACCGTAAGTCTGGTGAATCTAGGCGGATGACCGAAAGCCTCTACTCCTTCATCCCCGCCGGTGAGGAATCTAGGATGATCCGCCACCTTCTTGAGCACCATGCTTGTCTAATTCAAGCCACTGGCTTTCTAAAAACGCGTCCCACTCGTCCAGCGCTTCATGTGCTTTGGAGATCAAGAGCTCTCACGATCCTCGTCGTCAACGATTGCTGTAAGCTTCTCAAACTACTTGTAGCTGAGATGGCTCGCATCACGGGTCCGGGAAACCCCTCCGTCGTTGATCCCGAGCTGAAGGATCACTGCACTCTCGCAATGACTCTTCTGAGCATCGTAGCGAAAACAAAATCCAAATTGGAGACCAATGGTGGCAATGCGTTTTCGAAAGCCCTGGCAAAAGTGGAGCTGGCCATTAACACCACTTTATTGAAAGCCTCTCCCTCTTTCACCATTTCGCGAGAAAAAGCCCGTGCGATCACACGTCCGGCCAAGAATCTCTGTCCAGTTCAGAGCATTGAAAAAGCGGATCAAGCTGAGCTTGACCGCTTCCCATCACTCATTGACCCAGAACTTTCCATCATAAAAGCTATGGCTGAAGCGCAGCTTCAACTCCTAACTAATATCTTCCAAGGATCTATCACCACCTCCGGTAGCGATGTCATCGACCGAGGCTGCCCGCTTCTTTCCATGACTACTCTAAACGACTCCTCATCTCTTCCCTCGGGTGAAGAAGCCAACCTTGCGCTTGTGGAGTCAATCCACTCGCTTCGTCTTCGCGCCCTGGTTGATTCTCGCAAGAGGCGAGGTGATTTTCTCGGCCGGCCTACTCGTTATGGACTATCCGACCGAATAATGGCATCAACTCCAGCTGGTGCGGTCGGTGAGGAGATCTTGCATCCCAATCACACTTACGAGACCGTGTACGCAGCGACTGCTGTTGTAGAGCCTGCAATCATCCGACTGGATGATGATGAAGAGCCATCCTCCTCTGGCATGAAGCTTCGCTCAGCAAAATAACTCTCAGTAATCATCTTTCAGTAAGTCGCTGATTATAAGTCGCACCATTCTTATTAAAAACTTCAGTCATCCGGGTACCTGCAAGTTCAGACTGGCTTATCAACCCCCGTCAACTACAAAAGCGCCAGCACTTTGTGAAGATTCCTCTACGTAGTTTATTTACTTAATAACTCTCACTGTTTGACCCACCATCCCGCTCTTTTTCTCTACCAAAGTCCTCATCGTCATCTTTAGCTGTCTTTTAAATTCAATCCCTCTCGGATATTACTTCTCTCTCTCAAAATTCTCTCAAAACGTTTCATGACTTCTGTAATGTATACCAATCAACTCCTGCTTAGCTTACATCTCTTGTCAATATTCCATACTTTTAAAACATCACCCTCGCCTTCCTCTTATCCTGCAAATTACTGCACATTTGTTATTTCATCACATATTGCAATAGGCTATAACCATGCTTTCATGCCACAGTCTCAGCATCTGTAAGTTTCCCCATCTCCATTCTCTTATCTCCATAATATTCTCTCCACAATTGTCAATATTTCGAACATCCTCTTACCACACAATAAATACATCTTGACAAGAAACTCTCAAAGGATTCGATACAGATTATGAGGCTGTATCTCCTCTTGATTCAGTCTTTTGAACTATTTTATTGCATGAAACACAGCAGGGCCTATGACTAAACTATATCAGTATGTCTTTACAATCTATGCGCTAATCTTAAATCCTGAAAATTATAATTCGGAAACTGAGACTTTAACCCTATAACAATCTCCTATAAACTGAAACATTTGGTAAGTTAAAACAGTAAAACAGTCGGGTGGAACAGTAGATGTCTTCCTCAGGGTAAGCGTGGTACTTGTTGTAATATGATCTGAAGTCTGCAGTTTACACCACTAATAGGTAACAATAAACCCCCCAACCTGTGCGTGGCTAATTCTTTGGAAAGCAAGCGCGACCAAGGTACGATTCGGACAATGTTGTTGGCAGATGATGTCTCAGAGACAGTAGTCGCTTTCGTTCCAAATCGTAGAAACAGAGTGGTACCTGGCACTCTGGATATGTCGTAACGGATCGTCGCTTCCCGCCGCTGTTCTGGTAAATACTGTAAACTCGTCGACAGTAGAGTGTACAGAGTGCGACCACGTCCGTCAATTGCCACTCACGTGAGAGGAGATGCTCCATAAGTGGTGGAGCACTATTTCCCTCATAGCGGCCAGTACCGAACGGAACGGAGTTTACAACCTCTGAAATTGATCGTCAATAATTATCACATTAGATTTAAAACTATCAGAAGGATGAAGCTACGACATCCTCCTCCAGACAGACTAATGCCTCAAGCTTACCTTCGGTTAATCGATCAAAATAATCTCGAGGGAAGAACCGCTGTTGCCGTGAGGGGCGCGCGTCGGAGTAACATAAGGGCTTAAGATCGGCAGGCTCGCGCTCCCTCTCCACAAAGCTGTCGATGTCCTTAACAAGCTGCGCCCATCCCTCTCGATTCTGCGGGCAGTCGACGTCGCTACAAGTTGGCACCTCACACCGGTTTTGAGGAGTCGGCAGCATCTCAGCCGGGAACAATCGTGTTATCACCCGTCGTCGCCGTCGAGCCTCCAGTCCGTGCAAATGGGTGTTCAAGCGTGAAACCCGGTCTTGTACCTCGGTGGAGGACAAGCCGAACTCGAAAGGATTTTTCGTGCCAGCCAACTCCTCTCTAAAAGTTTAAAATGACTTTACATTCTCATCCTTCAGTAGTGCATGCAAATTTCTCCTGTCTACTCTTACCGGCATTGCAAGGCCAAGAGTTGCTTTCGCGATTCAGAGTCGTAATCAGCTACTACTGGACTGTCCCTCACGCGGCGTCGGAACTGTTGGTAAATAGCGTCGGCATCCCTAGAATATGCTCACTAGTAATAAGATTGAATTGTAGACGCTCCAATGAGCGAATTAACTATGGAGGATGATGGTCTCACCTCCTCCTAATTGAACTAGGCCAAGAAATTAGCGCCTACTCTTTCTGGAAGCGTGAAGGTACTTACGAAGCCAGATAGTCTGGTGAGCCGGCAAATTCTGGTCTATCGGCGGGGCACAGCTCCTCTGGAAACGGCTGTCCTGGGAACGTATCAGGCTTGTGAGCGGCCCCATATCCAGCGGCTTGGTGCTCTGGCTCAGCCAGCAACAGATAATGTAGCCAAGTTGAAAATAGATCGGCCTGTGTCGCCGTGATGTTCGCGAAGTCGACTATGACGTTCCCAGTGGGCATCGACAATCGTGCGGGGACGCCAAAAAGCTGGAGAATATCGCAAAGTATCCCTATCTCGCGACAGTAACGTGGATATTCCTAGTGGTTCTTGGTTAACATCTCACTTATTCTCTACTTATTATACCTTGTGAACATCTCTTTTGACCTCGTCACTGAAGACGAGATGATAGTAAGTTCCTGGGCCGGAAAAGAAGGGGTCCATCATCACTCGTTGCTGGCTTGCGACATTCTGATCGATCGCGGCCTTTCCAACAGGGTAGATGACAGCGTTGAGGTCTGTTGGTGACAAGCCAACCGATGCCTGACGATGATGTCGCATCTTCATCTCCTCGTCTTTTGATTTGAAGTCCAACACCGGGCGTACTTGTCCCTCTCTTGAAACTCTGCGCATCAACTCGGCCAAGTGCGCAAAAGTCATATACCTGATTAATTACATTTATCTTCTGCTAATTATTCTGAGGAACAGATTTTGGGACTTACATTGTTGACACGCCAGCCAGATAACTCGCGCCTGCCCGCAAGCATGGACCATCTGTAGTGCAAGTAGGCGACAAGCACATTAGGTTGAGCGGCCCCGAACGATGGTCGTGAGCGCTTGATTGGCAAAACACGCGTGGCAGATTCCGGGCGAGAAGGCACTGTAAGACTTCGCCGCTAAACTGAGTGGACGGGTCGTGATAATACGCAAAGCACAGTTTCTAAATGGGTTGTATCAATACTTGCACTAAGGAGGCTGTATCTACATCCTCCTGGTCATCTCTTGTGTCTGAAAATCCTTTCGTTTCTTAACTACTCACACTTTGCAGAATTCTCTTCGACTGGGTGAAGCCGCGACCCTGCTCCTTTGCTAACGTGAACTCAGCAGCAGCGTCCACTGTTGTGGAATAATCAGCGGCACAATTTCGTCGGTAAGGGCGGTTGAACAAAGTGGCGGCGTGCATCAAAGATTGTAACTCATCCTTGGGCACCTCTCGCAGTCGCTTATCGAAAAACTCGACAACATCGTTTACTAAAAGAAGATTCGGTTATGCCCTCATCTGTAGCTAATCCTCACCAGATGTCAAGGACTTGTATATTTGAGTTGCAATGTGCATTGCTTCGCTCTCCTTAGGCAAATTCTTCTCAATGGTATCGTTCAGAATTTGTCCACATTCGCTATCTGTTAAGCCTCCGTCTCTCTTCTCACGGGCGGCTTCCCCCAACGTCGTCGTCAAATCCGTCGAGTATGGTGAAATGGTTGCTCCACCGCGGTCTGACAACTTGGGAGGACGTACACCCTTTGCTCGAAACCGGCGTAATCGCATGCTGCGTGGCTCCTGCTTGCGCTGCGCCCGTTTTATGCCCCGCCGCACGTTTCCGGTTCGAGTAGCTGGTCGCGACGGCCGCGGCCGAGGTGGCTCTGGTGTGTCGTGGTCAGTAGATGAGGATGATCCTTCCTCATGCTTAACATTCACTGCAGGAGCCGGCGCTGGATTGATATTCTGTTCGTCATCGTCGCTTTCGATGACGATAATGGTGGCCTCGCTACTCGGCTGAACCATCTCTGGACCTTCGTTGGTGTCCATCTGCTCCTCAGCTTCAAGGACCTGCTCTTCGTTGTGAGCCATCTCTTCGACCTCGATTTCCTCCTGGCCATTCGTTGGCGTAGCTACTGGGCTAGGTCGAGGCATTCCACTTGTGGCCTGACGCTCTGCTTGAACCGATGCTGGACTTGTCGAGCCCTCTGGAACCCCTCCTGAAGCAGCTGCTTCATCCTTTTGAACAGGACTTGTCCGTCCATGTGATGCACTTTTGGGCGATGTCTCTTCTTCCATTGGAACAGGTGCAGGGCGTGGATCGTCCAGCAGAGTATCGTAATTCGGATCAATAGTATTTTCATTGTGATAGACAGTTTGATTCGCTATTGTCTCCAACGAAGGAATCTCTGTCTCGGTCTCCTGTACAGTCTCATCTGGTGGCGACGAGGGAGCCACTGAAGCCCCCTTTTCTGCATCTTCTGACGTATCTTTATTTCCAGCTGGAAGTTCCGTGGAAGACACGCACTCTCCGGTTTTCTCCTGGGCAGCAGCATCCAGCGGATCGGTCACGATGATCACTTCCTCTTCTGAGTTCTGGGCCCCAGTCGATCCATCTATTTCGGGGGCCTGAGATTCGGTCTGATCTGTTTCCATAGATGCCGTCGTTGTCTCTACAGGCGCGGCGTTGGGCGAACTGGATGATACACCTTCCTCGTCCTCGGGCGTTGGCGCTGACAACGATGAAGCTTGTGCTGGCTGCTCACCTGTCGGCAGTTGTCGATTTTGCTGTGTTGTTCTTACGCTTCGTTTCACTCGCTCGGCCTCTTTTCCAACTAAAGGTTGTAATTATTATCAAAGCATTAAAATCCTAAATTCTTGTATCACGAAAACTGTGACTTACCGATATACTCCATTCGTGAAACCTTCAAGTCTCCATCGTCGGTCTCTTCAACCATGTAACGCGCTCTCACTCGCGAAGGTCTTGAGGATGCTTCTGCCTCCTCCTCGTCAGAAACAGGCGGGCTGCGTTGGCTCGCAGGTATAGCGCATGCTTGGCGGAAATTGTTGTAAGTGGGCGGAGCCATGAAATGATGCAGCTCTACGCCATCATAATCGTTGAGTGGTGGAGCTTTAAGATATATGTTAAATCACGTTTGTTTTAGTATATGCTCCGTGAAGCACAACTTACCATAATCCTCTGGTGACAATGCATGCAAACACTGTCGCACACGGTGCTCCCCTACAACGGCAATATGATCCGCTGGCATGAGAGTCGCCACCAATTGTTTTGACGTGTCCAAAATTCTACATCTCATTAAGAGATAGACAGGGTCCATTGGAAGTGTAGCCATGTGTGACGCATAATCACGGTTGTACTTCGAGTTGAACCCAACCTAAATGGAGGTTATGCCGGTCTTTAAAAGCAATCCCACAGCGCGGAAGTGCGCTACCCACCTTCAGGACATGCCCCAATAGCTTTGCTCCGATCTTCGTGGGACGGATACTCCTCACGTATGAAAATGTCTGTCGCATTATCTCGGCAATAACGGTTGGTCCCTGTCGTGAATTCTTGTCCAGCATCTCGAATAATCTAGAGTAGACAGATATTTAATCAGGATGATGTATTCTCTTCCTCCTACCTCGACTGAAACTCCTGATATTCCGGCATCTGCGGCAGCAAATAATACTGGTCAGGTCGAAAAGCGGATTGATGACGAGCCATTTCTATCAGAGCTCCAGTTAGCCTTACCATCTTTTCAACTCTTGGTTGAAGTTTGCTCATCTTCATCTTTGAGTTGCTTGCCTGATGCAAGAACGGTCGAATCATCTTCTGCATAAGTACACACTGCATGGTTGGGTATTTGAGCATGCTCAAGTATGAAAGTTGCTCCGCCGAATGATAGAGCAAATCTAGCAGCTGAGAGCGTGACATTGCTCTGGAGTAAGCATCCAGCAGTGCCTCGTGCACCAACTAAAATATATTTGCATAATTTCTTGCACTCGAATGGGCTAACAATAAAATGGTTACACTCAAAATCTGTTCAAATTCTGTTCTTAAAGTCGATCTGCTCATTTTCTACAAGATACCTATTCATGACAAATCTCTTACCTCGCTCAAGAGTTCACACTCCACTCGGGAGTAATGTGAGGACGGCTCGCTGAAAACGTTGTTTCCGGGAAGGATTGTTGAGCCCTGATTCAGCTTCGTTCCTCCCAGAACTCCATTTGGTGATATCTCAACCCAGGCGGAAGTTGGTGGTACGTAGGTAGAAGTGGAGGGGCCCTCCTCCATTAGCGATACCTCGGCTTCGTCAGAGGAGCCGCTGGTCATGCTAGACTTCTTCCCCTTCGTTTTTGCCTTGTTGAAAAACGTGCCCAATAGGGTTCGTTTGCGATCTGGCTCCTTGGTCGGGCTTCCCTCGGCATCAGCACTTGGCTTGGCGCGTTTCTTGCCCTTATCGGTGCTGTTTGCGCCGCGTGACGCCTCTACAGCAGGTTCGTGAATCTGGCCTTCTTCGCCCATCGCGGAGGAGGATGGCATGTCTTCCTCCTTTTCCTATTGTATAAAAGTTAATGCTAGCGTTTAGGTTAGCGATTTTCACAGGTCTTACCAAATTAGTCTCTGGGATTTTATCTTTTATCTCCCTTATCTAGTCTGTGGAGTATCCAAGATATAATAGCCGCACGGTTTATGAAAAATCTTGTGTGAAGCGACCTAATATAAGGGAAACGCAAGATTTAAACTAACTGCGATTAATTTCGAAGTTTCTCTCAACCTCACCCTTACGGTCGCAGCTGAATATTCCCGATCATTTCACATCTCCTCCCGCTATATTCCCTCTAGATAGATGTTTACCTGTGTTGGCGGAAAATAAGCGTCGACCGGTCGCACTATCTGGACTTCAGCCATCTGCAAATCTCCAAAAGGAGGAGGAGGTCGGGACATCCTCGGTCTTGCTCGTTTCGATACTCCATCTTTCAGCTGTTGTAGTAGTCACGATAAGTAGGCAACTGACCACCTCGGGCTTCCGAGCCCTCATATCAACAACAATTCTAGAGAAAATAGCATTTTTCCAGGAAATCCTCAAAAACACTCAATATGCGTCTAGAAATCATTATGTAAGTAGGATTTAACAGAATTAGTGAATAAAATTGTCAGCATTGAACTATGCAGTAGGATTATCCAACACTGCGCGTCATCTGCGTCGTCTTCCTTATCTTCAATCAAAACAACACTTCTCTCGCGCTCCAGATCTTATCGGTCAAGTAGCGTGTGAGGCTTCGTGACGTCGCTGCCGCAGCCCAAAATTACGTAATCGCGTGGGTGGGAAGCGTGTACCCTCGGCTCACGTAGTAAGATGCGCGAAATCGATGTGAGCCATTCTGTATGACGTCCCTGAGGTGTGTTTGCGCTTATTTCTATCTCCTCCTTTTACTAACACCTCCTTGCTTATGCTCCAACTTTTTGTAAACGTTTTGTTATCTTGACGACGATGAGGATAGATCCTCCTCCTCCTGACGACCCGCACAAACTGCAACAAGAGAAAAGACGACAACCCAGAAGACCCGCTGCAACCTTGACGATGACGATGAGGTCCCAGGAATCCTCCACCGCTAAAGCCCTGTTTACCGCACCGAGAAGACCCAGAGAAGCCAATAAAATCCATAAAGATTTATTCATCATTCCCAATTTTTCCCCATTATATTACCTCCTCCCTTACCCTACTGTTAGTCTCTCTTTCTTTCATTCTTTCTTTCATTCTATTTTCGTATTCTGTAACCACCACATCAGTGTTAAGCTTTGATTACGTCTCAATCAAAGTCCTCTTTCACTGTGCTATATACACTCCCATCATGCAGCCACTGTTCAGCTGCCCTATGCTCATTATATATACTGTTTCCGGAAATTGCTCCTGCTTGCGGGTTCAATTTGCCAACCACTTTCATAACTGCATCCAATAAAATACCAAAAAAAAAAAAAAACGCCCTTGGAGCACGACAAGATTTGATTTGAAATTGGTTATTTTAATTTCTTTGGTAAAAATAATTAAAGGGCACTTGAAGTGGCGGAATGAGCGGGGACCAGTTCCGGTCGGAAATTGCGCTGAAACGCGTTCTCGAATGGGTGAAAGAGGGATCCGCCGGAACCTCGGCGAATATTCGGAGGATGTTTTCGGGACTCGATAACTAACGACTTTTTATGAAATAAATTATCATAAAACACCCTTTTTCGCATCAAATAGCAATATGTACATTTAACCGCGAGAGCAGCGTTTCCCACCGAGCGGTAAAGAATCTGAGAATTCCTCGTCGACCACGAAACAAAATCGACTTTCAAGAGTTTCCAAGCCAAAACTACACATTCTCGACGCTCACCACAAATACACAAAAAATGTAATCTCGTGTGAGAAAAATGCGGATCATTCGAAAGTCAAGTGGCGCCCTTCAAACTATACATAACCTTATTTGAAAAAAGGGAAGATTATTTATCTTTCTCTCGAGGGTTGAAGCTAATTGTTATCTAAAGAGGGGTGGAGGAAGCTTGCATAGAGAAACTCTGTCGATAATAATCTGTAAATTTATTGAAGTCGAAAGTCTTCTCCTTCCTTTGGAACAACTAGAATTCAAGCCAGGATTTCGATATTTCTATACGATTAGCTTCTACATCCAATTTAGAAGCATTTCGGATATTTTGGGGGAATTCTTCACACCAAAATAAAACAGGTCGCTTTCGCCGTCACGGGAATCTGAGGAAACATACCCTCGTACATAAACATTTTGGTCAAAGTCTTCGTCCTGTTCCTAAATATTCACGGCCAGGGCGCGTGAAATTCCGGAACATCGTCAAGGCATTTTTGAGCATCGTTGAGAAGATTTTTTAAAGCTACAGGAGAATTTTGATTTGATAGTGGATAAAAACGATTTTCTAACCAGTTAAACCTCTGCTATCTTAGGTAAACTTATGTGTAAATTAAAATATGTTTGTTCAAGGAAAAAGAAAGGCAGCTAAAATTGAACGTGAGAAAAGAAGCACCGACGAAATGCAAATTTCCGCAATGGCCAGCCTCGGTACTGGTATCTAATTAACCTGATAAGTGCGCTGACCCTGTGCCAAGGGTCAACTTTCCAATATCCGCGTTTCCAACACGCTCCAAATACACAAATCGCAAGCGCAAAATTATGCTTATTCAAAGCTGATAAACCACTCTAGACCGTGATGCAATAAGTACTTTAATTCCAGAGCGTTGGACATTCCAACTAAAATCAAATTTGAATCGAAAAAACTTAAATCTCTGCTATCTCGGTTTCTATCCACTGAAATCAACAACGAAAAAGAACATCAATAAGGAAAAGCCCTTAGCTTCGGTACAATCCTTTGTTTATTTTCTGTCACGTGTTTCTTGCAGTGTTCAAAACACAATTTCCAACAATTATCGACAACTGCAAAACTCTTAATCCCTCAGAAGCGCCGCCAATAATTATTTTCAAAACTCGGTCTGTCCAAACTTTCAACTTGGAAATTCGAAATCAGCGTCTGCCCTTTTCGTTTTTGTTTGGCTTGATCAGCTGATGGAGGTTTTGAATTTCTAAATTTTAGAACTTTTCGGCGCAGGTGCGGCAAATATTCGCTCGAAATAAGGACGATTGCTTGTTGACTAAATTTGGGAGAAATTAGCAAAGCCACTGCTGCAAAAATACGTATAAACCTAGAAATCAGAGAAATTCGCATGTTTAGGTAACAGCTGAAAGGAGCGCTTTTCTAAGGTTTAATCCTATTTACACCAGCTCCATGCTCATTATTAGAGGGATAATATATTTGGACGCCGAATGCGAATCTAAAGGGATTAAAATTGTAGAAGATAAATTCCAGCGAGTGAAAACATCGCGAAAATTTACACAATTTTTGTGAATAAAATTTGAAGCTCTTTAGTTTCTTTGAAAACGAGAAGTTAATTTTGACAGTTTTACTTTTTCGAGCAGAAATTACTGTGTCAACAGTTGCTAATTTGAATATTCAAATTTCCGATGGCTTCTCAGCCGGATGTGCTTTAATTAGGCTGGAAATGTCACGTGGACCAGATAGCGAATTTTGGAGAAAAATGATGATGAAAATGGCTTCCTCGGCGACCTTTATCGCACCAACGAAATTCTCGGCCTCTGCCAAATTTACACCTAAATTAGCCGCTAAACTCCACCTGAAAACGATAATTTAGGAAGTCGAAGCTTTGAAGACTTTTTTTCATTCTTACTCTGCGCGATTTTACAGTAAAGCGCACCTGCAACAGCTTACCTTCCCCAATTAGGCCAAGTTGATCCTACAAGCTCCCCATAAAATCCTAAACTCACTAAAATTCACACTCCAAATTCATTCATTACAGAAAGAAAAAGAAACGTTTCCATCTGGCTGACCCACATGGACGCATTTAATGATTCCCATGCTCCAAAAACAAGCATCAAGCAATAAATCGAGCTTTATGGGGACACTTTCGCGTGCGTCTGGTAATTTTCTTGACAGTTTATCATATTTGACACTCTTATGGTTGGCAAAATGATGTTTGGGAGAAAGTTTTCGCTGCGAACTTTATTGGTTAATTATGCCAAAAGTGTGTATCATGAAAAATAAAGTGTTTTATGCTCTAAACTTTTGGGTCTTTGAAGTTTTATCAATGCGGAATGGGCTGACCTTGAATCGGAGTCGTGTTTTGCAGGGGATGCTTATCGCAGCTTGATGGGTGTTGTTACAGACTTTTTATTTTGTTTGGCTAGTGCGGTACACATACTTTAGGAGATGTCTGAGAAGGCGGCTGCCAACTTTGATTTTTGTTGTCTGGGCCTACTCTAATGGTGCCCGCTCCAAAATGGCAAAAATGATAATCAGGCACACACTCAGCCACCACCGATGAAAGGTTGTTTATATAGAAGAATGTACCGAAGAATATTTTCTGCAAATTATTTCCAAGCAATCTCTATTTCAAATACTGCTTCATCAGCGGCAAGAAAATGAAAATAAGATGTCAATGCTGACTATTTCAATTAAATTTTAATGGCAATCAGCAATAAATTGAAATGCCGATTATCTAGGTTAGGTGGACAGATGCTTTTCTGTTTTATTGATATACCCGGCTTGTCTTGGAGAACATTTATTATAATTATGGGCAGATCCATCATAACCTTGGGAGGATTAAGTGTGCGCGAACTAATTCCAAGATTGAAATCTTCAAATAGAATTAAATTTTTTTCACAAAACAGTTTTTCCTGATTTTGAAGAAGCCATGAAGATTTTTCAAATTATATTTTCCTCCTTACAAATCGGATGTTTATCACAGGAGTTCACAGAGCCAGTACTAGAGATATCTTTGGATGAGTCAACTCAGCCCTTTACTGAGAGATCGATGTTACCCTTCACCGATGTTTTTACCGTTCCAGACTTTACCGAGACCATGACGGAAGTAGCAGCTTTCGCAGAGACAACACCAGTGTTTTTCGATCTATCATCGACATCTTCTAGCTCAACGATTACTACAACCTCCCTAACTACAACGACCACTACCACAACGACCACTACCACAACTACGACTACGACTACGACTACGACCACGACTACCACAACGACTACGACTACGACTACGACTACGACGACAACTACGACCACGACTACGACGACTACGACAACATCCGCCACCACAACCGAATATATCATCTCCGCCGAAGAAGCCTCCCTCCAAATGATAAACGCTACCTATCAATTTTCCCCCTTTCTCGATCAGCTTTTCTCCGCAAAAATCTCGACACTTATTCGAGCTCACGGTAAATTCGGAAGAGTCCGACTTTGGTTCGACTGGGGGTTCTGGTACTACAACTCTCCCTGTAACGAGCCATCAGTGAGGCCTGCATATTCATACGTCTCACCTATTCTTGACGCGAACAATCCTTGCGAGTCGATAA